AGTGGTAGTAGTAGTGGTAGTGGTAGTGGTAGTGGTAGTAGTAGTAGTAGTAGTAGTAGTAGTAGTAGTAGTAGTAGTAGTAGTGGTAGTAGTGGTAGTAGTGGTAGTAGTAGTAGTAGTAGTAGTAGTAGTAGTAGTAGTAGTGGTAGTAGTAGTTGTTGTTGTTGTTGTTGTGGTGGTAGTAGTGGTCTTAGTAGTAGTGGTTGTTCCCTTTGTTGTTGTAGTTGTGGTTGTTGCCTTTGTTGTTGTTGTTGTTGTTGTTGTGGTGGTAGTAGTGGTTGTTGCCTTTGTTGTTGTTGTGGTCGTTGTCTTTGTTGTTGTTGTTGTGGTTGTAGCCTTTGTTGTTGTTGTTGTGGTTGTAGCCTTTGTTGTTGTGGTTGTAGCCTTTGTTGTTGTTGTTGTAGTAGCCTTTGTCGTAGTTGTAGTTGTGTGCTTTACACCAACACACTTAGTAAATGGGACATATACTTTTTCATTCATATCATAAATTTGACCTTTTTCAAAGGAATTTTCACTATTACAAGGAGCATTAATCTTGGGGTCCACCAATAAGAAATTAGTATTTGCTCCAGGTTCAGTAGTTTTTGTTTCGTTGGAACGGTAAACACCTGCAAAAGTGTTTGGAAGGGTCTTACCTGTAGATCTATTTACCAAATTTCCAGATACTGGGTTGAATGGACAGTTAGAGTATGGATCAGTTGGGAGACCAGTGGTTGAATCTATTCTAAATCCAGTAGATGAATCAGTACTATAGCCCTGTTTCCATCCGCAAGATCTTGAACCAGAAATAGTTGTTTCTTTGTTTGGATTCTTCAACTCACCACTTGTAAGACTTACTGGCCAGTTCATCGATGGGTCGGTTGAAAATCCTGTGGTAGTTGTAAAGTTAAGTTCACTTATGGAGCAAGAATCACTTCTTACACCTGCAATTGAACCTTCTAAAACAGTACCTGTATTTGGGTCGTACATTACACCAGTACTGTTATCAAAAAGCATTAAAGAGACTGGATCAACCATTTTTTTTGTGCTTGGCTCGATTGGAATGCCGCTAACATCCAAATCAAATGGTGCACTGAAAGCAGCAGAAGTAGTTGTTGCATTAGCATGTTTACCATTATACGGACTAAATTTCTTACCTGTGGAATCTACAAGTAAGAAAGTCACTGGGTCTAAATCTGAAGGAAGAGACGGGGTTGCAACTTTTTCATTTAAAACTGCACCAGATGATTCAATTCTCATCTCTAATCGGTTGCTTGATTTGAATGCAAGTGAAAAAAGTGGGTTCATAATAATAGCCACAAGGGCTATTGCTGATGAGCTCACTTTAATATTCACCATGATTTTTGGCTTTACCTAGAATATATAATTATGGCTCTGAGTATTGTTAACAGCAAGCCACCCTTTATCACTAGAGTTGGCTAACTCAAACCCTGTGTAAAAGAACTTGTTAAGCCGAAACTTATGATACAGCGTTAATATATGACAAAAAAACTACTTGCCAACGAGAGTTATCACAAGTGCATTCAAAATGCACAATATGCTTGTCTGTTCTATCCTGGATTTCCCTATCTATGCACTTCAATTCACAGAGTATGCACTTGCATACAGAAACGTATACTTATACTTTGCATGTATTAGGGTGCAATACGGGCTAGACTTTAAAGATACGTCAATTTTTACATATGAAATCCAAATACATGCACCTCACACGAGAAGGCGGGAAAATTTTAAACGTCATTAATACGTTAATATTACGTCAGCATAATTTTACCGCCTAAAATAATTAGTTAGTTAATATGAAGAAACGATAGAACGGTTAGCACTAGTAGTCTAGTGGTAGGATGACGCGTTCCCATTGCGTCGGCCCGGTTTCGATTACCGGCTAGTGCAGTTTTTGAGAGGGGGTAGTTCTATATATAACAATAACTTGTTATATATCGAATTATTATTTTATACATTTCGATTGTGGAAAAATGTGCAAACAAATGATTCGTGATAATAATGGGGTTTCTTTATAAGGAACGAGTATTATCTTTAATTACCTAATGTAAGAAAGATTAACGAGTTATATTTGACCTAAAGTTAACGTTTTCTAAATTTAGTATGAAACCTTTAATAATTTATAGTTTTGTAGATGCCCTTGAAGGTAGTCCATCCTTAGGTCTCTTATTAACCCAAGGTGGTTCGATGTTAGGATGATTCGAAACGTATGGAGGATCGTTGGTTGATGGAATCTGTCCAGCAGGCAATGGAGAATGGCCCAAGACCTCATTACTGTTGAGAGATCTCCATTCTGGGGGGAACCTCAATAGGGATTGTGCTTCCTTTAAATCATGTTCTAAAAGTTGCATGACTACCTGTTGTTCTTCAATTTGTTTTTCAAGTTTTCTACATGCCAAGAGCATAACAATAACATCATTTTGATCTTGAGGTTCAATATTTGAGAAATAAGCTGCCATTTCAGTGAGACTGCTATATGGTCTTCTTCTTGCTGCAGAAAGTCCGCCTACAAATGGGCTCTTTGAAAACTTTGGACCAGTACAGACTCCTTGTTTTGCTAGATATCTTCTGGTCTTTGAATGTCCGTTAAATGCTGGAATTTCACTAGGGAATTCAACCACATCAGAATATCGTGGTTGGCCTATTCCTTGAGCCAACGCATTAGATACAGCCAATTCATCGTCATCGAAATTGGAATCAGAATCTTCTAGATCCCTTAATCCTCTTATCGTAGCAATCTTTTTCTCTATTCCATGCCACTTAGTCCCACTAACAGTATTATCATTTTGATTTAACTTTCTTTCGCCGGTCTTTTTGTTATTGTCATTAACACTTTCTTTTGGAGTTTGGTCAACTTGAAGTTCATTTAAATCAATTGATTCCTTGTTGCTACTATTGCTGTCAACATCTTTAAGCTCAGTTTCTTTTTTATGCTTTCTAGAATGATGTTTTCTACAGCAATGTCTGTTTCTACTTCTTCCACCATTCTGACATGCGGCACTACAAATTGCTGCGATAGTTGTAACCATTTGCCATATTGCAGGGTCTAAATTTTGAAAATTCGGAGTTCCATTAATTCCAGCTCCCATTTGGGGTAATATTCCATTCTGAAAGTTACTGTTTGGATTCATTCCTGAATTAACATTTGTTTTATTAATTGGGTTTTTTGAGCAGACAGATTCCTGGCTAGCCGGTGCATGAGTATTAGATGGAGAAGGAACAGGGGGCTTATTCGGAACCGAATTAGGATTTGGGGTCTGCTCTTTGGAGGGAATTAAATTAGCTTTTGGCTCAGAGCACTTTGGCAAAGAAGGCTCTTGTTGAGATTCCAACTTTTGTTCTATCTTAGATTCAGCTTTTGTAGACGAGTCTGTAACCGGAATTTGAAATTTAACAGTTGGAGTTGTTTTTACTTCGCTTTTTGAAGGTACTGATGCCAAATCAACTGATTTTGCTGGAGGGGCTTTTTCAAGAGAAGCAACGCTTTTTGAAGAATCTATCTTACTTATTGGCATTTTTGGAAACCCCTGCTTCGTAGATGAATCATCTTTATTAGGTAAGCCCATCTTAGGAGCATCTATACCAACTTTTTTCACAGTAATAGGCTTGATGCTTGCTTTGAGCTTTGTTAAAACTACCGATTTTGGTTCAGGTGTCTCCGACTTTGTTACCTGGCTTTTAGGTGCCGGAGGTTTCAATTGTGGCAAATCATCCGGTTTTGAGTTTATCTTTACCAAACCTGCTCCTGGTAATTTTTTAGGTCCAGGCAAGTCTTTTGGTGACTTTCCAATCATCGTATTTTTTGAAATTGGAGGTGGTGGTTTTAACCCTGCCTTAATACTTTCCGACATTATTATTTATTCGAATCGCACTTTAGACATGAGTTAAAAAATTTACATTTTATTTTTTAAAATTTCACTTTACTAATTTATTTTACATCATTCTCCATTTGCAATTTATTTTTTAATAAACACACATGCTAACATCCAGATACCGTCTTGTCTATCGTCATTTTTTAAATAAAGATTATGAGAAACTATCAGGTAATAAAGCAATATTTATATTAAATTAAAATACTTTATAGCCCTAGAAAATTCTAAATTCCCTAGAATAGTGTTTCCTCCAGCTTATCTAGTGATCTAGTATGCAACTCCAGTGTGTACATAAGAAGCTCTTTTAGGGCCAGTAATTGATAGTAAAAACATTGCTATTAGAAACGTATAAACTACGGAAAGGAATGACCCCAGATATAAGGCTATAACTGATATTCTGTACTTTGTACTTGATTTCGGAGCTCTTGACATTACTAAGAATGTTATGCAACCAATTGGTGGGAAAAGAAATGATAAAAAAATTGAAATGAGTGGAAGTCTTATTCCCCTTTCATCCCAAATTGACCCAATTAATTTCTCACTACTTAGACCTGTTGATTTTTTTATTAAGCTTTTGAAAATACTCATTTCTAGACAACTATTATTAAAATGAGGATCCTGATCAATTTTTTTTATAGATCTTAAATGCATATATGGGTTTATCCAGGATATCAGCGCTTGATACGAAAATTTATCAAATTATAAATAAGTTATTCAATGAATACGGCCATTCCAAATTAAAGCAATTTTTCTTCATAATGATTAACAAATTCTATGCTTTGCTTAAATAATACACATTTTATTAGTTTAAAATGTTTTTTTCACTGCAAAAATTCATTTACGCGCAAATTATTGCATTTTTTTTTAGTGCTCAACTTTAACCGCATAATTTGGAGACATATTGAGACATAATTTTAATGTAAGTATCGAAATTTGCGGTAACTAAGTTTGGAAGATCGTGTAAAGGCGAAATTTGTGGTTTTCTAGTATAACTTCAGACTTTCTAAAATACTAGTCAAAGGATAACCGGATTTATCGAATATACTAAAGGTTCTGACTTTTGATTTAATTAGTAAAAATGCCCATCCAAATTACAGACTTGAGAGATTTTATCAATACTTCTAGACGTGCAGATGCCAAATCAGTGACTGTTGTAAAGGTTAAGAAGGATAACCACATCACAACAAAGTTCAAGATCAGATGCAGTCGTTATTTGTATACATTGGTTATGAAGGATTTAGAAAAGGCAAAGAAGTTAGAGTCATCATTACCTCCAACTCTTAAGAAGTCTACTATTTCTCGCTCTGTTAAGAAGTGAACTTATGTTTAATTGAACATAAAGTAGAAATTCTACGTCTTTTTTATCCCAAATAGAATAGGTTATTAATAAGATGATATTTTACTATTTATTATGTTTATTTTGGGGACTTTTTGTTTATAGCATAGTCCCACCCTGTACTTTTGTGGGTTTACCTCTAGCTAATGTGGGATCTTATTGATAGGTTGAACCTTTAGGCCACGTTGTGATTGGATTCTGAGAATTGGAGTTTTAAAACTTGCTCCAGAACGTGGTTTTCAAAGAAAATTATTATTTGACCCTAAACTTACCAGTGCCGCTCTGCTGTCTCCATCTAGATAATTCCCCATTTCGTTGTGTTATTCAAACTCTTACAATTACCATAATAATGCACTAAAGATGGAAAAGGTTGAAGGGTTATATCAGGAACTACAACTTTTAGTTAAGTCTGAACAGTATGAGGCAGCAACACATATATGTGATAGAATTAAGCATCTAGGATGTACGGATAGTGAAGTTTTGAAAACAAAAATATATTGCTTAATTCAGAGAAAAATGTGGAACCAGGCACTGCTTTTTATTAAAACACTTGAAAAAGACGGTGTTGAGCTTCCTTTTGAAAAATCGTACTGTCTATATAGAATTAACAACTATAAAGATGCTTTGGAAACTTTGGAAACTCTTGGTGATCCAACAAAAATGTTGAGTAAATTAGAGAACCGTGCAATTTCCCACTTGAAAATTCAAATTTTATATAGATTGGGTCGATTTGAAGAGTGTGCTCGGCTTTACTCTTTGATGGAACCCATTATTTCTAAGGAAAACAACTTGGTAGAATTGGAAATGCTTGAAGTGAATCAATTGGCAGTATCTTCCTCAATTCACAATCTTAAGAAGGATTTTAGAGATTTTGACATTCCTGACTACTTAACTAACTCAATTGAATACTGGTTTAATCGTTGTTGCTTATATTTATCTAATAATGATATTGACAATGCCATGACATCTCTAGAAATGTCAGAATCTCTATACAACTCACTATTGGATAATGAAGAATCAGAAGATCAGCAACCTCCAAATCCCTCTGACGAATGCTCACTGATGCTTATGAGAGCTTATATTATGCAACAGATAGGTCAAAATGAAGAAGCGAAATTGCTTTATGAAGAATCTTTTAAAAAGTTTGGATTGGATGGAGTGAAGCTAGAACCTTCAATGGTCCATTTGGGTGTAGTTGCTTATAACAACCATTTCTTACTCTCAAATAATAATAATCCTCATACTTATATTGACGGCCTTAAGCGTCTCTCAATTACTTCAAAAGACCACATAGAACACAAGATGACAGTTAATCAAAACTTTATCATTTCCCTAAATAAAGCTCTATTATTATATAATGAAAGTGGATTTAAGCACTATATAAAGGAAGCAGAGAAGTTTTCTGTGGACAACTTGAAACTTGAGTTATTCAAAATAGGATTATTTCTATTGCAAGGAAAGACTAGAAAGGCAGTGCAACATATGGATTTTGTACATAATAAAAACCCAGATAATATTGCATTTTCCATTTCAGTTCTTAAGATATTGCTCAAATTAAAAATGATCAATAATGCCATTAAGATATTAGATTCTATTATCGAAAAATCTCTATGTAACTTTAATAAATGGAATATTTCTCCAGAATTATTTAACGAGTTTTTAACTTTGACTCAGAATATTCTAATTGAGAAATTCCCTAACTCTCCAGTTGAAATGATCAGACAAAAACTTAAATTAATACTGAATTATGCAATCTCAATGTCTCCAGGTACTGAGTCAAATAGTAGCTTAACTTCCTTATTATGTGTACTTGGAAAGCACCTGTTAATGGTGAATTTGATTACTGAAGCTGCTGAGTGTTTCCGCTTTGTACTCGAAGACTTAGCTGACTCTAATAATTACTCTGCATTATCTGGATATGTTTCTGCTTGTACCCTTTGTGGATATGAGATTTCAAGGGTTTATATGAGACAACTTGATAAAAAGCTTCCAAATAGTATATTTTCGATTGATGCTGAAGTTCTTGAAAAGATGGAAGCCCCCTCTAAAGTTTCAGAGAAGGATAATCAGGATACCAAATCCATGTCTCACGCGAATTTAACTATTAAAACCAAAAATAAGCGTAAGAAGAGAAAACCAAGATATCCAAAAGGATTTGACCCACTTAATCCAGGTCAGGCTCCAGATCCTGAAAGGTGGCTACCAAAAGAACAGAGATCATCATTTAGAAAGCTGAATAAAAACAGAAACTCTAAAAAGGGTCAAATTGAAAAGGGAGGTCACCAAGGAGCAATTCCGACTAGTAGCATTGAAACTAAGGCAGCTCAACCTTCCACAGCTAAGCAAGTTGCTCTCTCTTCAAGTTTAAGCAATAGGAGATCTCACAAAAAGAAAAGACGCTGATTTAATAGAAATAATTACTTTCCTAATAAATTAACCAAATTTTGGGAAGTCATCCTCTATTCTTAGAAGTTTCTCAACATTGGATACTTCTGATAACAATGACCCGAAGTATCTCAAAAGCTCTATTCCCCTAACCTATTAGCGTAGAATACTAATGAATTATTCGATGAGTCATTTTGCTACTTACCTCGTTGTTTAGTGTTGGGATGTATGCAACATGAAAATCATAGCTATATAAATCTCGGATCTGTTCCAAATATTTCAGCTGCATGTTCCTTTTACTATAATACTTTGAATATAGTGACTTTGAGTAAGAAAGTAGCTGGTTATAGTTTTGAACAATTTTCTTGGTAAATTCAACCAATTCTGAATGATTAGAGGGGATATCTTCTAATTTTAACAACTCAGGGGGGGTTTTAAGAAGGGAGTTTCCTTGAACACCTTCGCTTGGAAGATCTATTGGGAACATAACTTGGTTTACAACTAAATGAGAACAACTAATTGACTGCTTAGCAAGCTCTTGGATTAGCCTCTCTGTCTCATAAACTGATAGGAATTCAGGAATACAAACACATACAAAAGTTGTTTTAGATGGATCTTGGAAAGTTTCCTTTACCGAAGTTGTGATAGCCTTAAGATCCTCCAATTTTGAATTAAGTGTCTCTTCTTCTATTGCATTTCCACTAAAAGAATTAATTATTTGGAGTGCTCCAGACATATTTTGTTTAATTGAAAATAACTTGGATAAACCCTTTTCAAGCAAGGAAGGGAAGCTTAATAATCTCAGAGTATGTCCAGTTGGGGCTGTGTCAAATACTATCACACTGTAAGACATTGACTTAACAGACTGCATTAAAGTAGCAAAGCCTAATGCTTCATCAATACCAGGAAGCGCGGAAACTAAATCTGGGAGGAATTTTGAAAATAAGCTATTCTCCTCCTTTAACTTGAACTCTACTGCTTGTTGGTATGATGCATCAAGTTCCATTGCATACAGGTTTTTGTATCCATTAACCAAAGTTGGGATATTACTAAACTTTTGAACAAATGCATCACTTAGATTATGTGCAGGGTCTGTTGATAGAATTAGTACCTAAAATGTGATAACTTTGAGAACTCTAAAAATTCTGACAAATTTAACTTACACTCTCTCTCTCCTCTGCTAATCTAGCTGCTATAGAACAAGATGTAGTAGTTTTTCCTACTCCTCCTTTCCCCCCTACAAAAATCCACTTTAGAGTTTTTAAATAGAAAAGTGACTTTAATGAGGGTTCGAGATCACAATCTGCATCAAAGTAGGTAGTGCTCATCTTTTCTAGAAAGAATGGCAATTTTCAGAAATTATTTGAATAATTCAATTCTAAAAAATGTACTCTTCTCTCAATTTCTATTTATTAGTCATATTCTACTGGAAAAATTAAGTTATTATTGGCGCATGAATGATTTGGTGTCTTAAGAGAGAGTACTCACTTTTGAGGGGAAACTCAGTTTTGACTATAATTTTCTACTGAAATAGATTTTCTGCATCAAGTATTCTTTGGGAGATTTTCAAATCGTATAAAAGATTGATATACTGCAAATGAGAAGTCTTCTTAAATTTATTCTAACGCTTTTCTTGGCTCCTCTTTTTGTAACATGCTTGTATTCTAGTAGCTCACAAGTCAAAGTTATCAATGGTGCACAGCTAAAGAAGTTAATTAAAGAAAATCCCGTTGTTTTGGTGGAATTTTTTGCAGAGTGGTGCGGACATTGCAAGGCATTTGCTCCTGAATATGAAAAGGCTGCAAAAGTTCTCAAAGGAATTGTCCCTGTTGTGGCTATAGATGACCAGAGTGATATGGCTGAATATGGAATTCAGGGATTCCCAACAGTAAAAATCTTTACAGAACATTCTTTAAAGCCAAAAGACTTCACTGGGCCCAGGAAGGCAGAATCTGTTGTAAATGCTGCTCTTTCAGCACTCAAAGATGTGACAAACTCTCGTCTAAATGGAAAGACTTCTAGTAATAAGAGTTCAAGCAAGAGTAAGGATTCCGGGAAGAATTCAAGAAAATCTAGTGTTATTGAGCTGACTGATAATAACTTTGAAGATCTAGTCATTAAGGACAAAGAGAATTCTTGGTTTGTTAAGTTTTATGCACCTTGGTGTGGACATTGCAAAAGTCTTGCCCCTGATTGGGAGGAGCTTGGTAGTATGGCAGACGGGAGGGTAAAAATCGCTAAGCTGGATGCAACTCAACACACAATGATGGCTCATAGATATAAAATTCAAGGATTCCCTACATTGTTGATGTTCCCTGCAGGAGAAAAGAAAGAAATAACCCCGGTTCATTATAATGGCCCCAGAACAGCAAATGATCTTTTTGAATTTGCAATCAAATTTCAATCCAGCTCTGCTAACATAAAACAAATGCTTAGCCAAGAAGTATTTGAAAACACTTGTTCCAAAGGACTGTGCGTGATTGCTTTCCTTCCTCATATTGCAGACTCAAGCGATTCTGAGAGAGAAAAGTACTTAAAGATATATAAGGATGTTGTATCAGCTTCAGCAGCAATGAGAATTCGATTTCTTTGGTCAGAAGGAGGGTCTCAATTTGATTTTGAGGAGAAACTAAATCTTGCATTTGGATACCCTGCAGTTGTGGCAATCAATAACGAGAAACAAAGATTTTCAACCCATAGAGGGAGCTTCACAGTAGAATCTTTGAACTCATTTATTATTGCTTTGACCACAGGACGAGCTCCAGTAGAACCCTTACCTAAGCTACCAAATATTTCTAAAGTAAGTCCTTGGGAACCGAATAAATCAAAACAAAACTCAAATGATGAAAGTGGAAGTAAGACTAATCGTCAATCAGACGAACTATAAGAAATTCTAATGACAAAACTATTAGATTTGGATGATAATTTCGAATTTTAGACTTGCTTTCTGGATCCTTGCACTGCATTTTCAAAGTCTTTATGCATTCTTGCTAGCTTAAATGGAGCAACCGATTTTCGTAGGAACTGGGCAATGCATTTCCAATCAGCATTGCTTAGAATGATCTTAATACACACTTTTGAATATGTTCTAATATCAGGAGTGGGACCATTAATGTTTCCGTGTATAAATTCTAGACATGCGAGCAAGTTGCTACATTTTGCAATGTTTGTCCCTATTTTTTCCAATACAATTGCAGTAGCTTTGAGAGTATTATAAATAACAATTGTACTTCTGTTCTTCGATCCATGATTAATTAACTTTCCTAGTAATTTATCACCTGCTTTAATCGAGCAAATTGCTATCAAAGTTTTTGTTGCATCATTTGCAATGAATTTGTTTCTGTCATTTGTACGTTTTAAAATTTTTTCTAGACAGATGTCTAGTAACTTACCCAGATCTAGGGACGATCCACAATGCAGATATAGGTCTTCTATTCCTTGCATTGCACTCTTGCTAACACAAGATCTGAGCGAGCAAATCCATTTAGCAATACTTTCCCCAACTATTGTGGGTGAGATCACGTTTTTTGTACAGGGAGAACGTGAATTGCTAGCTTTTGTTAAAAATAGTGAGTGGTATATAATGATTCTTCTCAAATTAGTAATTTCCTCAACAACACGATTCCAGTTTTCAATGTAAAGCTCATTATTCATTAAGAAATCAACAGCAGTTTTTGTAATAACCTCCAGACGCTCATTATTCAATGAGTATGCCTCCGGAAAATCTCCGACACCGTTCTCATCTTCTGAATTACTATTTTCTTTTCTCTTAATACTTAGCTGAGGCTTAGGATTATTTTTAATCTTTGATTTGTTATTAGTCTGATCAATTTTTACCTCTTTACCACTTTGTTTTAATTTAGAAACCTTGCTATTGTTACCAGAATGAGTGTTCTCAGAAGTTTGGTTTGCTCTAGTGATTTTTGCGTCAATTTTATATTCCAGATCGTTGGAAATATGTTCTGGATAAGAAAGGTTAAAGTCTGCAAAAGTTATTGAGCCATCCTCAATATCTGGTAGTTGAGCATTTTCCATAATTCTTTGATGAAGCATTCTTAATGGATTGAATACAGAATTTTGCTTTCTTTCTTTTGGAATTGCTTCTACTGCCAAGTTGATAACAGTATTAAAATACTCGTTGCCTACTACAGATAAGTAAACTCTCAAACCATCAATTGAACGATAAACTACCTCCTCCTCATCATCATAAATAGACCAAACTAGGGCTTGGACGATTCTAGTTGGATTGTATGGATATTTTGATGACATTGGCACCGCCAAAATAGCATAAATTAAAATTCCAACGACTTCAATTCTAATTATAGAACTTTGGTGTTGAACTAACTTACATAATTGCATAATTAACCCATCAATTAAGTACTCTCGCGATTTTCCCGAGGCATTGTTTTTAGATAAAGAAGTGAAATCTCCACTACTTAACTCAAGCTGTGAAAAATGTATAATCTTTTGAATACATTTCATCGTTTCTGAATAAGTTTTGACACATGAATCACTCAAATGTAAAATGAGCTCATATATCATATTTGTATTTAAAATAATCCTTCCAGAATTTTCGGAGTCGTTAGATTTGCTGGTTATTAAATGTTTACACAACATATTTGACAATATTTTTTCAATAATAATTTCTCCAAAACTTTCAGTATCAGAAATGCATTCTTGCTCAATTTTTCGTGTTAAATTTTCCAACACACCCAAAATATAATTAATAAGACCGGCTACATGGCTCCTTGAATGCAGAAACTCTACCCAATCCGAAAATATTACATCCCACTCCTGAAAGTAGGCTAATTCCTCTAGTGAGCATTCTTGAATAATCTTGTATAATGAATACTGTGACTCTAGATCTACTTTTGAATCCAATATCTCATTCTCATTCTTACTTTCATTATAAAAGTTTTTGTTATCTGGGCTATTTGGCCCACCACTAAACATTCCTCTTCCCCTTAATCTGAATTGTAAAAAGTCATTGTTATCTTTAGCCATTTCATCTTCGTCCATTTCAAATTCTTATAAGCAATTTAGGCCTATTTCTCTTAGCTTTTTATTAACCTTAATGAAACAATTAAATACTAAAGATTTGACTTTTCAATATTCTAATTGCATTAAATATATATTTGATTTATGATTATTTATTATAATATTGATATTAATTTCAGAAATTACATACACAGATTTAACATGTATTAAGGCGCCAATTTGGCGTCCATTCCACACAAATTTGTTATGGTCTCTGTCAAGTTAGCATACATTTCATTAGTAATGAGAAAACACACACTTAAGGATAACTTTAGAAAAATTAATTAATTGTTTCAATGAATCTTGATGAACCAGTTGAATTAATTTCACATATAAAAGCGATATTCCATTTTTTGGGCGGAATTTGCATAACGAGTACGGATGATGAAACTGATATTTCAATAATAAAGTATGTGTATTCTTAGTTCTACACTAAAAAAATAAGGAACTAACTAATAAAATGTTCTTAATTGAAAATTAACTTTTTCCTGCCGATAATTAGAGTTAGTCTAGAAGATTCTAAAGCCCACAAAGGTTTGTAGCTCTTGGCATTTCTACAAATATAAATAGATTTACTAAGTAATTAAATTTTAGATGATTCGGTTTCGCTTAAATTAATTGAAGACAGAATTAATAATATTCAAGGAACGGATCCAAAGTTAAAGCTAATGATTTCGAAAACGCTGCCAGTAAGTACAATACAAAATTGTAGTTGTAACTCATCATTATTAGAAATTACTACTAAAAAGCATAAATGAACAGGAGCGATTTCAAAAAAACGAAAAAGTTATATATTTCAGTTTTAGTGAATTTATTGATTCCTTGAGGGAAGAATGTAAACTACTTGAACTAGAATGAACGTATTCATTAGTTAATTTATAATATTTTTACTCCTTTTTTTCCAAGCAAGTTGAATACTTTATTAATGCTCTTCTACCCAAAAATTAGTTCAAAAAATATTATTAGGATATTTAAAACAATTAGTGGAACTAAAAAGTTTTATTGAGCAATTGATTTTAAATTGGATCACTTCTTTAGTATTAAACTTACATCTTAAATAAGTTCTTATTGCATATAAAAATATAGTAATCTGATTTTTAGCTGTTTCACCATATATCGGTTTGTCAAGACCATCTATTAAATTAAGGCAAAAAAATAAAAATAGGAAAGATTAAATTCAGTTTTAGTTAGAAATATATATTAATTTTAAAACTTTAAAAGTTTCTTAACCTTGAAAATAAGATTACTTACACTTTCTTAAGAACCTTCTGTCATTTAAGATTGCTAATGAATTCATTGTTAAAACAACCATTTCAAACAAATGAGTAAAACATAATGTCATCTTTGATTAATTATAGCAATAGGTAAATTTGATTTATTCGTGGATTTGTATTTTCCTGTTTTTTTAAAGCTAAGATGAATCAACCACATTTTTTTTTATAGCGCGAGGGTAAAAACAAGAATTCCAACTCCAATATTAGAATTTTAAGATAAAGCAATTAAATACACAGAAAAAAAATAAATAATTTAAGTAAAAACATTTATTATAAGAAAATATATATGAGGCATATTCCTCACACACTAATTCATAATATTCATTCAAGGTTCAAAAATATAACTGTGCCTCTGAGGCACTCTATGGTTGGAGACATTCCCAAAATGATTTAACTGCTTAATATCTTCCTCTAAGTAATTAGAATCTTCAAGGCGGTTGTCAATTGTGTTTGAAACATTTGCTAAGGAATTAATTAATACAGAATCCCCAAAACCCAACTCGGACGAGGAGTCAAAAGTGAGATTAACACTTTTTTTGATCTTTTGGTCTTTACTTTTAAACTCTTGAGCATCACAAGCAGTCATTCTGCGGCCAATACAACCCGAAAAGAAAGGTAAAATATTGGAAGCAGATCCAGTAGACTTGAAAGTCTTAAAAGAAACAAGAGTCTTGCCAATTTGAACAGATAAGTTTTCCTTTCCGAGTTTTATTGGTCGTGTGAACTCAACAAGAGATCCAAATTTACTCTTCACATCCGAAAGACAGATTTGGTAGGAACCTGAGAAGTAGCAGTGCTGAAATTGCGCATGCGACCTGCTAACACTGATCTCACCCAATCTAATATCAGAGTTATGGCCTCTACCAATACAAACCGATGTACCAGCTCCCCCAAAAGAAACCACAATCTGGCCGATCTTTGAAGAAAAGTCTCCTTCAAGAGGAACAAGAACCAGGTATGGGAATCTAGGGCGAGGGACTCTGAATAATGGTATAAAAGCTGAGCCAGAACCATCGTTATTGACAAGCCTTAATTGAGTAGGGAAGTAAACTTTACAAAGTTCGCATTCAAACTTCTTTAAATGTAGACATGCTGGAGAGTTTACTTTAGAATTGTAGCCAGAAAAACGAGATGCCCATCTTTTGAGTAGATTAATAACTTTGAATTTCATTCGGTCACGAAAATGTAGCTGTGAGAAATTTTCAGTTCCTCCCTGAACCTGAATAGAGTTTCCTAGAAAGTTCCCAGGCGTACTGGAACCTCTTTCAGTGTGAAGAAACCACTCTGGGGGGATTTCCAAGCGTGACTCAAGCCATGTTCGAAGACATTGTAAATGTACATATTGCATTGAACCTTTACAATCACATGGACAAATCAATGGATTGAGAGGCTCATTAGCATCAGCAAAACTGTCGCCATCATCAAAAAGACATATTCTACAGCATCTAATAACTTTAGATTTTTGTTTTTCGCAATTTACTATTTGTTCATATTTATCTTGAATCTGAGTTTCTACACCAGGATTTATCCCTGATGAACCGCAGTTTTCAATTTGTATAGTTCGGTAACTTTCTTCATGGAAAGTTTGGAAATTGAGATCCTCATGAGTTGCGTTGTTTGAAATGGAGCCGGAAGAAATAAAATTAGTTGTGACATCTTCACACTCAACTAAAGAGTCACCAGGGAGATTACTAACTGATTTGATATCATCTTTTGAATAAATAGCCAAAGCCTTCTCTATAGCACGTGCCTTAGAACAAGCCAAAATTTCAGGCTCTTTACCAGCTTCAGCTGAAGGGGACACATGAAGAAAAGATTCAAGATTTGTCTGAAAGTCTTGATGACCGATCAATGGTAAGAAAGGGGCTTTGGATAACTCTTCCTTGGCCACTGAAGATGTATTTATAATGTCATGAATTAACATCTTACAACGACCAAACTTCAACAGGTCTCCCTTGATTAGAGGTATTCCGGGTGAAGTTTTGGGGGCAACCAACCAAACTTTATTATCTTCCTTATAATGATTTCTTCCCTTACTTGAACCAGACTTTGGCATAGAACGGAAGAAAAGGTCCATACTGTAACCAGATACGGACGGTGGTTGTGGCTGGTTAAAGCAAGTATTTGAGGTTCTTAATTGCCTATTGATATCCTTAATAACTTCTACAAACCAGGAATTCTTTAACAAATACAACCTAAGTACTGGCACAAACTCCTTGCCAAAGTCCTGAATGTTGCTAATTATCACTCCATTTGATCCACATCTCAAATTCTGAGCTGATTCCTGGTGCAAATTTTCATGAAATTTTAGATTGTTGTCGAATTCCGGCTGAACAATTAATTGGCCAGTTTCATTTTCTAAAAAAATTATATATGAACATTTTGTGTCATCTATTGATAGTGTCTGATTAAACTTTGTTTTTTTCTCATAATCATACAATCCATGAGATTCCCCCGACGATGTTGTTGACTCTATCAACACGGAAATCCCACTTCCTTTTGAACTAAACCTCATTACTTCAAAGTAACAATTCAAAGCTTGGTTTATGAGCTTTGCCACAAAGAAATAATCCAAAGTTCATGTACTTTGTTTTATATCTTGAATAAAATATCGGAATTATCTTTTCAACATTAGTTCAACAAATCCTTTAATCAATTTATTTTATTTATTAATTCCACACAATTAATTAAGCCCCACTTGGTTTGGCGCCACAAGTTGGCAAAAATGCCATTCACAGTTCCTCGTCTTCACAGACATATATGTCGCAGTATAAATTATCTATTAATGTTTTTTTACACACTGGGTTTGATTTTTTAATTAAAATAGTAGAATCATAAAAATTATGAGGTTTTACTCAACGTTTCTTAAATAATGGTGAAACTAGATACAAAAAGATGCTAAGTTTTTCAACAATAAATTATTGGCTATTATATATTAAATCTACATAGTAATATAATTAACGTTAAAACAATATCTAGAGTGTTTTAAACCTCTCTAGTGCATTTCTAGTCACTGTTTTTTTAGTTGCCTTGGTAGTTTCAGCTGAAGAGCTGGTATTAGTTGTTTCAACATTTTGCTTCATTTCCCTTCTTTGAGCTGCAATTTTGCTGGCCTTGCTTCTAACCATATTTGAATAGGCAATTTGCTTATTTTTGAGAACGTTGGTTATTTTTGACCTTCCCCTCTTTTTGTTCTTTTTCTTCTTTTGTTTGGAAAGCTTATTCTCGTCTTGAGTGTTTTCTTCCAAGTCGTCAACGACACGAGGAGTTTTATTGATTTTCCCGATTAGGTCAGGATACAATGTAATAGTGGACGCAGGAAGCTTTTCTAATAGCATTCTAACTTCTCTGTTTCTTCTTTGTTTTGATGTTTCAAAGATATTACACTCTCTAGAGTCAAAGTTTGCATATCCCGCACCAGGAACAATCATTGTTTCAATGCCATGAGTATGCCCAATACATAAGACATCATTCCAAGGTTGAAATTCAACCTCAGAAACACGAACTCCTGGGTGATTGTGAGTAATGTAAGGCATTTTTTGTTTCGATTTGGAAAATAGGTCTTTCCAAATTTGAATGTGGCTACCAAAGCCCAAAGCCACTAATCCAGTGCCAGAAATTGAAACGGACCTAACTGAGCTTCCAAACGAATTATAGCTATAAAGAGGAGTGTAATTAGAAGTTTTTCGAATATCCCAAACCTTCCAAGAGTTATCATTACCTGCAGTAATCAAGCTATTATTATTGATATCTAGAGCAGTGACTCCGCCTCTTTGCGCAAAAATTTCCATTACTGGAGTTGATACATTCGGAGTCCAAAGGGAAACCACTCCGTCACTGTGCCCTAAATGTATTACTCCATTATACTGATTATGCTTCATAATATGACAGGGTCCTCTCCCAGTTTTGTGTAAGGCTGCAACTTGGCCAGTGGAAATATCTTGATACTTAAGCTCACCAAACTCTCCAATGCTGCATAGTAAAAAGTGATAAGGTAAAAAATCCAGCTTGTAGGGTGACATCACATGATCACGTATACAATGTATTTCTATTCCTTCACGGTCATAAACATAAATATACTTTTTTTGAGCTACAGCAAACAATGTATGGTTGTGAAGAAATTGTACATCATTTATTTGTTCAGCCTCTAAAGGTAACTCAAGCAGGATATTGGGGGCTCCATTTGATACGTCCAACATTGAAATATGGCCTTTTCTTCCTCCCATTAAAAGTTGATTTCCATTTCTAGAATAATTTACAGAGTAAGGGCCAGAAGACAAATCTAAGGAAAAACGTTTGTTTACTGCCCCTATACTGATGTTTTTGCTCAACTCATTTTGAGTTATTGAAAAACTTTTTTCTAAACCCTCAGTCTCAAGAAAGCCAGGTGTTTCAGGTAGAAGTATTTCACTATTCGCCAATCTCTCTGATGCTGTATGAAATATTTGTTGTTGTAAAGCCAACTTGCTTCTCAACTTTTTATCTTTGACACCTTTTAAACCAGATAGTGAACTATGTCGCCTGTATTTGCTTGAATCTCCAAACTTAAAATCATTTTTAACATCAGTCATGGTTTGGAAATTACAGGGCTACTGGGAAAATCGAAATACTCATAAAAATATAACTATACACCAAATCAAACCAACACTTGTACTACACAGTCCTATTTTTTCCTCTTTTTTTTTCCTAACAAAATGTCATAGTTTACAGTAAAATAACAAAATTACTTCCGTCTAGTTTAGCGCCATGGCGCCAAAACATTTGTAGTTATAATCTTGAAACAAAAAATAATGTATTGATTAACCTAGCCTTAGAAATACTACTTTTATATGATAGATGACAGCAATATATGCTCTATAGCATATTATCCCTCTTTATATCACTTTCAAGCTCTTTAAGAAAATATTCTTGTAATTGCTTGGAATTATGATCTTCACCTATACATTTAGTTAAGTACATTTCTGCATTTTTCTCTTTTGGTTGTATGCAGTAAGAACCAAAAATAAGTCGCTTCTTCCAGTACTCAATATGAGTATATATATTGTTCTGATCACATTCTACTAGTACTATTTTCTTGTTTTCATAGTCGGGATCCTTTTTATTGTGAACTATACTTAAACATGTATTTGAATACATGTGGCGAATGATATTCCCTAAAAATTAGTAATATTCAATTTATGGAAATACAAGTTTCAGAATAAACTTACTCTCACTATCAATATAGAAGCTCTGTGTGTTTTCATTGGTTTTACATTTTAATAATTTCAACTCAAAATTCTTTTCCCCCCGTTTTTTCGGGTCCCCAATTAAAGTAAAGCATAAACCATTATCACTGGAAATTATCTGGCTTTTTGGATATTCTATAAGCCCAACTTCGTTTAACTCATTGTAAAAATTGGAAGTAAATATTGTTTTTTTGTCGCATTCATGTTCTTTTATAAGTTCTTTACGTTTATTTATCAGGGCCTCGAATAAACTTGACGATGATTTCATAAAGTTATTAAGCTTCTTGCTATTATTTAAAATATTCTGTACTATTGAATCATCTAACCAAGATTCTAACAGAATTTGTCTCATTTCGAATGAGGGCTGTGGGATTTTTACGTTGGTGACGCCAAAAGATAGTTCTATTATTTGTGCTACCCGGCCTCCACAACTCCAAGATCTCAGAGAAATATCCAAGTTAATACCTGCCTTGAAAATCAAGTTAATTGTTGGATCAGAAAGTCCTGAAATTTTTTCCCACCATGATTTTGTAGTCGCAAAGATTTTTGAATAAAACATTGGGACCTTATTATTTGATGTATGAATATTGATTAATTCAAATTCATTTTTTGTAAACATCATTTTTGGTGAATATACGGGGTCATTTGTTGAAAATCTCCAATTATTCTTTTCTAACCTTTTAAATCCTGGGATTATAATTGAATTAAAATTATCACTTAAACTTCTCATTATTGGAGACATCCAATTAATTGGAAAAAGTGTTGCTGCTGAAACAAACATTATTATTTCACCTGTTGAATTATTTGCTCCAAGATTCTGTAATTCTCCCAATTCTTGCATTTCTGTTTCAATTATTTTAATTAAAGGTTTATCTAAAAATTTCTCGCCTAAGGCACTTTTGATATCTTTGCCAGAATCTTGGCATTCATTAGATATTATTATTATTTCGTGAAGTAAATTTCTATTTGCAGTCAAAAGTATACTATTTATTGTAACATCAACCAGCTCGTTATCCTCACAGTCTGGAAGAATCACAACTGAAAATATATCTGACTTCCCATATAATCCAGCATATTTATTTTCTTCCATCCAAGAACTAATTAATTTTTTGGGAAGTGTTGAGAATTCATCTTTTGATCCAAAAACAAAAGTTGTCAATACGAATTCCAACATCAAATAGTATATTGAAATCCCAAAAGAAAATAAATTCCTCATTTTGTCTTAACTAGGAATTATTAAAAATTATCTCTAAAATTTCCATAGATAATTTAATTTTTTACGTATTCAAAGTGTGTGCAGAATTGAATAAAATATTAATTAAATGCGTATAATAAACTAATGATCCTATATAATCCATTAACTAAGATTTTACAAAAATTTGCACTTAATCAATTTATAAGTTCAAATAGACGAATTTTTTACAAACTTTGCGAGAAAAAATCCTCTGCAATTATGAGTTTCAGGATTTACAAATAAACATTTTTTGTAAATCTCACTAAAAGAATAATTCTGGCATGTTCTAGGGGGGTTCTCCCAGTTTTCAACCGCAAAGTCAAGTGAAAATCGTGAATTTTCACTATCTTTACACTTCTCGAGAGAATTAAACACAACTTGTTCATTTTCTTCTGTGAATACCGAACAAGTTGAATAACAAATGGTATTGGCAGATTGAAACGAAGTTAGAGCATGTATTAGCATTTTAGTCTGAAACTCTGATAAACTTTTAAGCCTTTTTTCTATATTTTCATTTTCAACTTTACCATGTTGAGGTAGTCCGCTACCTGAACAAGAAGGATCTAAAATAATTACACGTATGTTAGATATGGTATTTCTAAAGTGATACCAAGGTAAATGGTGATCGTCTGTATCAGGTATCAGATTTAGGAAATCACATTTTGCTATTTGAATAAGTAGATCAGGTGCTTGAGTCTTATCCAAACTACTAATATTTATTGATTTATTGTCCTTAATAAGTTTTGATTCTTTGTCCAGAAATATGCAGCCAATTTCATTTGATAAACATTCGTCTGTTATTCCTTCAATTTCTACCAGTTCAAAGTTCTTGCTCTTATAAATAAAAGGTCCAGCTAAATATGGAACTTCCGAGATCCTTTTTATCAAAGTTTTTATTCTATTAAAGTCCTTGTCTAAAGCGACCAATCGCCCTTTTCTTTTAAACATATCAATAATATGCAATGATTTACTTCCAGGAGCAGAACAAGCATCTAATACAAAATCTCCAGGAGTTATTTTTGCACATACTGCAGAAAAACAACTTCCCTTGTCTTGCAATGCAACTTTAGATGTTTTAATTAACTCATTATTACTTGGTATCCTATCTAAACATAACAGTTTGGCAATCTCGTTCTTACAAACAATTAAATTTTTAATATCTTTATCAATCCAAACATACTTTAAAAAATCCTCATTTTCATTTCTGAATTGATCTGTCTGTCTTATTTGCTCCAAAATTGAATTTAATACTGACTCAGTGCTTTCAATACTAGTATTTACCCTTAAATACCTTGGAATTTTCTCATGAACCTTTAAATGGTGTTTTTCATTAACCAACTCAGGATACTCTCTAGCAAAACATTCATAAAGCTTATCTTTATTCTTTCGAACCAATCTTGCTAGAGCTCCTCCCCCCTGAATCTTCAAACTCCCAAATAGTTGTTCGTATGCTAATACCAATAATAGCCAATAATTCGTAATTTGGCTAATGTCTGAACCTTTTAACAAATGGCTTTTTTGAAGAATAACTTCAAGCTCTTTCTTTTTTCTATTTACTCCATGAACTAGTGCACTTAACTTTCTAATGTTACATTTCCTTTGCTTTTCTGAATAGATAGCTGAACGTACTCCTACATTCTTTTTTTCAATCTTGTTCAATACTTTGGCTGCCTCCAAATACAATGTTGACATTGAATTCAATTAGAACTCAGGTAAAATATACATTTATTAATAGCTATTTCGAGGTATGAATCTTTTTAGATAATAGAACAAAAGTTTGTTCTATTATTCAGCCTTGTATTGTTATCTTACAGTTAATTATTGACAATGACGAAAAAAATGTGGCGCGCATTTATTGCAATAAATACAAAAGGGAAAATAACATGAAGATAGTCAAAAAAAATTATAAGAAATAAATTAATAATTATAATTTAAAGTTTTTAAATAGAAAGTCATAATAACTAAGAAACTAATTATAATCGCTGCATTATCATTTGGCCATGGTCGGATTTTGCCGTGGAAGCGATAATTGAGGTAGTATTTCATGCTCATTTATAGTTCCAGGGCTCCCACACAAATTCCTAGACCATATTTTGAGCCTAGAGTCTTGACCACTAGAAACAACCAAATGCCCAAGTGGATGCCATGCAACTCCCCAAACAGCTCCTTGATGTGCTGAGGGAATTAATCCAAGTGGATTTCCAAAATTAACATCAATATTATAATAAGCAATGTCACCATCAAAAAATCCAACTGCCATTAAAGACTCAACTTCTGGATGCCAAGATATACTCACAGCATCACATTTTGTTTTATAAGTGGTTATTGGCTTTGATAATTGTCTAATATCCCAAATTTTCAATGCACCGTCTTTTCCTGAAGAAGCAAGCATTTTGCCTGAAGAACTCCATTTAATTCGCACGACGGTATGCCTATGGCCAAAAATAGTTCCAATAGCATTAGCTGTTCTAGGATCCCAAAGGTGAAGCTGATGGGTCTGAGACCCTGTAGCAATTAGTCCTTTAATTGGATGCCACTGTGCAAAAGTAATATCGTATCCTCTCGAAGTTAGAGAACTTTCAATTTTTTGAGAGCCAACATCAATAATTATAGGGTGAACATTCTCAGCCGCTGCTACCACTTTGTTTCCTGTAGGAGATATTGTGACATCTCTGACAACATGGCCTAAAAACTGTCTGAACGATGCTATTGGTGCTAAAGAAGGGGTTAATAGTACTATATTTCCACTTCCGTCTCCGCATGCAATAAAGTCATCCTGCTTTGAAAAGTTTAAGGCCAAAACTGCTCCTTGACCTGACGGAACACTCTTAAGATCCTCAAATGAAAAATATGTTCCATTCCAAAGAGTCAGCTCACCACCTACAGTACCTACAACTAATCTTCTTCCACCAGGGTACCATTCGATAGTTACACATGGTGCCCTAGCTCGTAATGATACGCGAGCCTGTTGTGTACATATCAAGTCACTTCTGTATTTGTTCAATTCGAATGGAAATCCAATATTCCTAATGTCCAGAGGATTACTGTTGCTTAAAGTAAAACTGCTTTTTTTTCTGTCACTATAAATTCCAGAATCCAAATAGTCTACTAATAAGGAGTTGCTGTCCACTGCAGGCCGGTAAATGGCTCTGTGACTCAGTAAATTCGCCTCCTCCGATGAATCATGACCAGGAATGAAGTCGTGTTGTGTAAACATCTGGCCATATATTTTATTGCATTTTATCGCATTAACACTTCTTTGGAGTTATGTTCTACCGCCCACAATTGGCGCCATGTCCACGTACTTGTGAATTTAAATAAAATTATTAAACTGAGAAAAGGAGTTGGCTTAGTTATCACTCATATATTGAATTTTTGCATGAATCTAACTTCTAATATTGGTTATAACTTTTAGTTTGCAATGAACTCTACATCCCTTCCTTTAAGGGCACCTGCATCCTCAATAATATCAAGGCCCGGATATGTAATGGGGTACCCACACTCCTTTAAAGAGCAGGAGATGCCAATGGGTGGGGTTTTGAATCCCCAGGTTCCAATACCTGTTCCCAGTGAAAACTCAAATTTCAATTTTGATTTTGGAAGAGGACAGAGAATGGCATCCGTACCGAGCATGTCAACCCCACTGAATGCCTTCCAGACCACAAATAGCCATGTGAATAAGTCTGATAGATTAGGCTTCGCCGCAAAGTCTATGACATCTTCTTTTAATGCTCCCACTGTTCCTCAAAGGCTACCATCTCTTTCTCAAATGCCATATCCGAGTATGAATATTCCCTTTCACACCGAGCACTACTTCAACTCTATTAATGCCCATCCAGGTTTTCTGCATTCTGGACCTAAACCAGGAGTCCAAGGAATGGTAAGAAATAATGTATTTCAGAATCAAAAGCATTATCCAATGCAACCTCAGGTAATGCCTCCACAGTACATGATGCAACAATATCCTTTTCAGTTTCAAAGTCAGCAAAGTCAGTTTGGAACATCCAATGAAAGACAAATGGGATTTGCTGGCAACAATGTGGGTTTTAACCATTCTATCCCAAACCAGTTCTCTATTTCTAAGCAAATCCCGATTAATCCCACCAACTCCCATATGTTAGAACATAATATAATGCGTATGAATACCTATAGTGCCGGCATACAACCCCAAATAATGCATCCCAACTCATTCCAGAACAATAGAGGGATACAGATTGCTAATAGGAGCCAAGAATTCTCCCAGAAATTTGTTCCTGATACCAGAGGAAACGAACAAACTTTGGTTGGGAATTTCTTTCCAACTCAGAATCTACCTCTCCCAGTAACTGGAGGGGTAACCATCAAAGGATATAAGCCAACTGTAGTCACTGAGAATCAGGACAAGTCATTGATCATTGATCTCGGCCCAAATGCGTCTGCATATGCTGTTTTTGATGGCCATGGACCTCATGGAGACGTTGTCGCTGACTTTGTATCGAACAAATTTACCTCTTCAATAACACAACTTTTGTCTTCCTATGTTGGAAACCTTTCTAATACTGGTACTCCCACAAGACAGCAAATTAAAAACTTCTTTATAGTGCTCTTCCATAACATGGATCTTCAGCTCTCTGAATTAAGATACGGAATTTCAATGTGGAGTGGATGCACTGCAGCTGTCTGTATCCGAATTTATAGCGAAGTTCACATTGCGTGGGTGGGAGACTCCAGAGTTGTGATATACAAGTTCTCAAAACCTGCTGGAAAAGTTCAAGGCTCTATGGAGATTGATTCTTCTTCAGTCGACTCCTGTGAGCCTTCTGTTTCGTGGTGGACAACCTCGGACCATGTACCGAATAGACCAGATGAACTCAGCAGAATCACTGACTGTGGAGCTTCTATTACTGTTTATTCTACGCCCTGGCTAAACAAATCTACAACTAGAATTCGTGAACATGGGATTGCCATGAGCAGATCCTTTGGAGATAAGGCAGGATCTCAGTTTGGAGTTATTTGCAAACCAGATATGGCCAGCATTAAGCTTCAATCAAACGATAGTTCTGGAGAATATGAAGATAAGTGGGCCATTGTAGTTGCATCAGATGGTATTTGGGACTCGCTTTCCGAGGAAGAAGTTGGGTACAAGATAATGAAGGAACTTATTTGGAGAGAGCCTGAGCTGTCCGTAGAACACTGTTCTCCCCAAAACCAGAACCAACTCCCTACACAAGAGGAAGTAACTAGACTTGCAAGCTCCCTTTCTTCTGAAGCTTGGAGCTTTAGGGCATCTGTGGAGAACTATAGCGACGATACTACCTTGATCATTTCTATAATATGAACAAGTGTAAAACTAGACTCTTAAGACCGCTTTACTATAATTGTTTAGTTTATTTCTTAAAAATAGTGCTTTAATATATTCATTTAACACTGCCTGTCTCATAATATACTACCTAGTACAATCCTAAACTAGCTAAACCTCACTTGTCCCCCTGAATCCCTTTTTCTTAAGGAGATTCTCGGGGGAAGGGAGGACTCTTTTAGTTAAATCGTAAGACTCAATTTCCCATTGCTGGAATTTGTTGTCTGTCTCACAAGTTTTCAACATAAGCTGGCTATCCACAGCTGTGATACATGATTTACCACGTTTTATCAAAGCTGTAAGAGGCTTCTTGGAGACAATTTCCACATCCCATTGATAAGAGTGCTCATTACACCAGTCTAACTTGAATTTTTCAGTTATGCAGGACTCATCGTTAATTGTGACCATCCAGTGTCTTGAGGTCTTAAAGTACATAAAGTTTTGAGTCTCCCCAGTGTGGCAACTCCAAAGCCTAACTTTCCCACCAGGATTGTTAAATCCATCGGTATCAATACACAAATTTGAACCGACATTTTTTATATTTCCTATATATGGAACATCATCAATGGACTTAACTTCAGCCTCAGGATTAACGTTCTCTAAAAACCACTTGAATGAGTTACAGTGCAGTTTCTCTCTCAGTTTGATTCTCTCATCTAAAGGCCCAGTATCTACTCTAGGCCTTCCCATAACTCTCCAAGCGAGGTCGCCAAACTCATCCATCCAAATATAAAGCGTTCTGAGCTTGTTCTTTAAAACAGCATGGGAAGGAGATGAGTAACCCACTCCACCCTTTCGGAAAACATGGAAAACTCTACTGCAGGGTGCACATTCAATAAAACCTCCACACATCCAAACTCTGAACGAGAGCTCAAGGTTCTCTGTTCCCCAATACTCAAACTGAGGGTCATACGATCCAATCTGCTTGAAAAAGGCCACGTTAGCTGCAAGTAAACCTCCAGCCATGGTTGGAGAAGAAACGTAGTCATAACTTTTCGCATACCTTCTCCTGGGGTCTGGAGAGATCTGCTGAGGGAAGGCATGCTCAATCAGTTTCCATAAAAATCCAAGAGTGCATCCAATCCCACCATTGACAAATTCAAATGTCTCACTATCAATAGAATCAATTTGAGGCATTACAATTCTCCTTGGATCTTCCTGAATTCTTTTAATTATTGGTTCTGCCCAAACTGGTTGTACTTCGATGTGGCTATCCAAAATTACAAAAATAGGGGATCTACATGCATTAATTCCTGCAAGTCGAGCCCCGACAATTCCGGATCTCTTTGCATTTCTAATCAGACGGACCTTTGGTAGAGTATTTATGTAATTCACAAGTAGATTATTCCCTCCTACCTTGATATGCTCACTATTGCTACCATCGTCAACAAGAATGATCTCATCCAAAAGAGATGGAGGGGTCCTATTTAACACTGAATGTACAGACCTCATCAGAGTTGAAAATGGTTCGTTATAAAAAACTATGATTACGGAAATCTTTTCCATTTTGCTGATATCATAGTTAATCAATTTGCATTGTAGATCACGGTAATCTGAGACATTTCTGTCCAAAGGAAGGGCATCTGATAGGTTCAGATTGAATCCACCTCCCTGGGCAAGTGCAACAGGAATATTAAGGTCTTTTGGAGGAGGCGGGGAAGGTTTCCACGCCTTTTCACCATTTGGAAGGAAACCGAGATCTCCATGCATTTTCCAAGGGTACGAATTCGGATACTCTTGAGGTCCAAAATCCTCGTTTATCAATTTTCTTCCCTTAAAGTCATCTTCAGGTACTTCATGGCTAATATTGTGGCCAATATCTATGATTTCCCACCCGTATGACTCCTTAAATAGCTTCTCGTTGAATGCTTTGCTTGTGTTATTATTTGTATTAACAAAAAACATTACATTCACGATGATCCAAGTGATAGTTGCAATGGCAACCAGGGCTTGTAGAATAAACAAACAGGAAAACGGAAACCACTTTCCAGTTGAAGTGTTAGAATTGGAATTTGGACGCATCTTGTGAAATAAAATACTTTAACATTCGTAATCTTGGAAAAAAGGCGCTAGCCGTGGGGAACTTTTAAGGCCTAACTAAGAAGAAAATTAACCAACTTTAGATAAAAGCTACTTAAAGAAATGAGAATAATATAACATTACTAAACAAAAATTTAAAAGGAGAAACATTTAGAGCGAATAAGGAAAATTGATTAAAAATTACTTAGCTTGAGTTTCGTTTAATAGCTGAACTACATCTGATCTACAAATTGGGCAAACACAATTCTGTTTAAACCATCCGTCAATGCACTCTAAGTGGAAGATGTGTCTGGAATCACATGGAAGGACTCTGATAGTTGAATCGTCTTCTATTTCCTGCACACAGATCGGGCATGATTTACTGATTGTGATACTCTTTTCTTTAGTATAGCTGAGAGAATTTCCATCTTCCTTAATATTTAGTTGTGATTCAGATAGATTACCTGAATATGGCTGTGTTTCAATAATAGTCTGATTTTCGTCAAAAATTGTGACGTGAGCACTATTGCTTAGGTTTCTAATGTGTTCATTGAAAGGAATAGCCTGAATTTTGCACAGTAGCTCTTCGGGAACATTCTTCTTTTCTGTTCGAATTCCATTTCTATGTAGAATGTAAAGAATAAGTACACAGAGTAGTATCGGGAGTAAAATAGGCACAAAAATTTGGACAAACTGGAACCAAAACAAAAATAATGCGATAGAATAATTCTTTCTACACGTTAATTCTGGTGGATTTGAATATATTAAATGAATTCCATAAAACCACCATGCAATGCCAAAGATATGCAAAACATTGACAATAAGAACCAATATAAACGGCGATGGACTTTGATATACTTTTAAGATAATTATTGACATTGATCTAATAACTGAGGTTAGCAAGAAACGTGATAACCAAACTATACACCAAGTTTTCAGCTGTCTATCACATTTACTCCCCCAGTCCCTGAGCAGCTGAACGAGGATTGTAGTAAATAAGCAAAACACAGAGATCATAATCAGCAAGTTAACTACGATTGCAAGCATTATCCTATTGTTGGTATCTCTATTCTCAGTAATTACTTGATACTCTGGGCTATTGTTGGCAGATTCTTCTCCACAAGGTTCAACAGTAAAGGCATTTGTGAATATAACGTTTGTTCGAATCCCAGAATCTTCAAGTCTTCTGAAGTTTGACTGGTTAACTACACCCTCAATCTCCTCAGCTGGCTCAAGATGGACTGTCCATGATATTCCCTGCTCCTCATCTACTCCCGTACTTTCATTCTGGAGATAGAAACTCATAAACAGAATACTTTATTCATTGATTTTACGGTCACATAAGCAGTTAAGGTTCAAACTTGGGACTGATTCTCTTGAAATATCCCAAATTTTTAGTATTTAGATTATAATATTCGGATTATCCCTCTTTTTGTATTATTTTTTTTTGCTTGCAATATGTTATGTCTAGCGCCACATAGATTTATTAAACAATATGGGTGAATAAAAAAAAATTTCAGAAATAAAACTAAGTTAGAAATAGAAAAGCTCACATACACAACAAAATTCTGAATTGAGAGTTATTCCCTCAGAAAATAACGACAATCTTTTTCCCTAATTTGCACGTAGTTATTTGTATACATAATTAAGGCCACACATGATTGCATATCAATAATGGCTAAAACACTTGTTTCTTCCGAAATTTGCTTATATAAAACCTAATTACTTTAATTTGCAGCTTTTTTAGAAATAAGAAGTGCCTAATTAGCCTCTTATTATTGGTTACTTCTCATTAGATAAGAATTATTCTAATTCCAGTTTGATTTCTTTAATGGCGCCATACATTTACCGCTATAAATTGAGAGTATAAATTATGTGGGCCAGGAATAAGTTCTGGAAAATGTTTGATTCGATTGTAGGGTGCATTTTACTGGATACAGACGGGAACAGGATAGTATCCAGGTATTATGGGAATCTGGATAATGTTGGGTTGATAGATCATGCTGCTCAGAGGCAGTTTGAAGGGCAACTCTACTCAAAAGGACAGAAGTTTTCTGGAAAGAGCGAAGCAGAAGCGTTGTTTGTTGGAGAAATGTTGTGCTTGGTCAAATTCGTCAGTGATTTCTCAATATATGTTGTTTCTTCTCCTTCGGAGAATGAGCTCATACTTTTCGATGTAATAAACTGTATATATAATTCTTTATCTATAATAATTCCGTAAGTTAAAAATTGAAATTTGTAAATATGTAATTAACAACGTTAAAATTGTGGTTCGTATTTTTGTAGGGGCCAATTATCTAAAAAAGGCTTGTTTGAATCCTTAGAAACCGTACACTTAATTCTCGATGAAGTAACTGATAGTAGTGGAATCTTATTTGAGACTGAAGCCGGAGCAGTATGCCAAAGAGCTCAGATGCAGGGAAGTGAAGCTTTGGAAAATACTGCATTTAACCAAGCATTCGCATCCGCAAAGGAAAATATTATGAGAGGATTCTTATAAAAGGATTCCTATAGATAAAAATAGAATAATTTAAAAGAGAAGTTAGGAGTAATACTAGAATATAATTTTTTTTTTAATTTTTACTAGGATTTGGAGGACCACAAATGCAATAAAATCTTCTCTACAAGCACTCTAGAGCATAGTATTGAGAGCCTTTTCCATTGCTATTTGAAGATGAGGGTCTCATGTAGGCTCCACCCACATTGATTTGGGGTTCGTAGAATGTTTGTATTGAGTAGTTACTATTCTTTGTATACATACAACAGTTTGCATCCGAATCTTTTCTGAACATTTCAAAGCAGCAACAAACTGATTCATTGAGCACATTTGCAATCCCCCAAAAGCATCAATTGGCTTTCTTTCCTGAGTCCTTGGAAGTACCAGAGACTGATTGTTCTGGGAAGTCCACAATTTGGTTATATCCTCTAGAAAACGCCTTGAGAACTTCATCTATCAAAATAACAGGAAAAGAACAAATTATTACTGCCACCCAATCGATCATGGAAAGTGGTACAACATTGAAAATGACTGAAATTGGAGGTACGTAGAGAATTATTAGATGAACAAAGATTGAAATTAAAATTGCAACAAGGAGTAGGGGATTGGCCCATGGAGGTACTTGGAGCAGAGAATTGTCTTCACTCAATGCGTTTAGTGCGTTTAACATTTCAATGACTACCAAAACTGTTAGTGACAAAGTGCTTGCTTTCTTTTTACCTATAGAGAAATAAGTACATGGCTCTGAAATGGTGGATCCAAATACGGGATTGCTTGTAAAACCTATCCAAGTATTGCATTTCGCCCAAGTACTAAGCTGCGAAAAACTAACTAGAGTATTTCCATCAGATGGGTCTATTCCCCAAACATACCACCAAACGAATATCCCAACAGTTGCGATTCCGACATAAAGCCCAATAATCAAAAAGCGAATAAATACCCACGCTGAAATCAAATTATCGTCCTTGCGTCTCGGGGGCCTCCTCATAACACGTGGGTCTGGAGGGTTAAACCCTAAAGCTGTTGCAGGTAGACCATCTGTTACTAAGTTAACCCAGAGAAGTTGTACAGGGGCAAGACCTTCTGGAATCCCCAAAGCAGCAGTAAGGAAAATGGATGCAACCTCTCCAATATTAGATGAAATAAGATACCTTATGAATGCTTTCATATTCATATATATAGATCTTCCCTGCTCTACTGCAGCAACAATCGTCTCAAAATTGTCATCAGCTAAAACCATGTCACTAGCTTCTTTCGCAACGTCGGTTCCAGTAATTCCCATAGAAATACCTATATCTGCTTGTTTTAAGGCAGGGGCATCGTTAACACCATCCCCTGTCATTGCAGTAATTTCACCTAGTTCACTCAAAAGACGAACAATAACCTGCTTATGTCTTGGCTCTGTTCTACTAAAAACTACTCCGTAAGACTCTTTTAATACTCTGAGTTTAGCTTCCTCTGAAAGATCTTCAAATTCTCTTCCTGTTAGTGAACAGTATCTAGTAAATTGAGTTTTGAGAACCTCACTACCAGAACGGAACAAATTTCCTTTTCCAGAATTGATATGACCATTAGAAATGCTGTTTTCTTCCAACATGAATGCACCTACAGTGCTTGGGATCGTTGAGGAGCTTGAAAAGTGGTTGTCTCCTTTGATGAAGTTTGAAATATCCCAATCCTCTTTTGGCCCTCTCAATATCCCAATAGAAGACGCAATTGCCTCGGCTGTATTTCGGTTATCACCGGTAATCATGAAAACTCGTATTCCAGCTTTCTGGCATCTTTGGATTGCATTCTTTACGCCTGGTCTTGGTGGATCGTAGATTCCCATGACACCAATAAAACAGAGATCTTTTTCAATTTTGACAAAATTCGAGGGATCACTTAGAAAAACAGCTCCTTTAGACTTTGGTTGGCCATTATAGGTGCTTAAATCACCAAGATCATCAACTTTTACTGCACATGCCAGGGTTCTAAGCACATTATCAGCCATAGTAGTCACTTGATCCAAAACCAGAGACTTGAATGAATCAGTAATCGGCTCAATTGTACCATCAGGCATCATGAAAGAACTGCATCTCTCCAAAATACCCTCTGGAGCGCCCTTAACATATAAAACATTTGAATTCTCAAATGTTTCAGTCTCTCCAGAGCTTCTATGAGTAACCAATTGGACATTAACATCGGCTGTATCTCTGCATAAAACACTCATCGACTTTCGGTCTCTATGGAACTCCAATGTTGTGATTAGCTTTACACCTGTACACCAGTAGTCGTTAAAAACACTTGATGTTTTTGATGTCCTTGAGCTTTCCTTATTTTGATATCTTTCATTTAGCTTGATATCTGGGCATCCAAGCTTTTCAACTAAAACTCTCAAAGCACCTTCAGTGGGTTCGCCTTGAATCTTGAATTTGTCCTCGACAAGGTTAAGCTGGGAAGTATTACATAAAGCCAGACACTTTGCCATCCACTGGAGGTTCACATCTTCTGCCGTGATGTTCTCAAACATTTTAGGTGTTTTAATACCATCACTCATCCAAACTGCTCCAACGGGAGTATATGAATGGCCTTCAACAGTATATTTGTCAATTGCAATAAAACTTCTTGGAACAAAAAACTGGACACAACACATTTCAGAGGTTGTGAGTGTACCGGTTTTATCACTACATATAACTGTTGTACATCCCAAAGTCTCAACAGATGGAAGGCGCCTGACAATTGCATTTCTCTGAGCCATCTTTCTAGTTCCAAGGGCCAAGCATGTAGTGATTACCGCAGGAAGTCCCTCTGGGATGGCAGCTACTGCCAGAGCTACTGCAATTTTTAAGTAGTAAATTGCACCATTAATCGTAGATCCATGGGCAGGATCTTGGAAATTTCTGAAGTTGATGACCCAAACAATGAGACAAATTACAGCAATAACTTTGCTCAAAATCTTTCCAAATTCATCAATCTTCTTTCCCAAAGGGGTGTCTTCGGTACTCTCTGAAGCTTTTTGAACTGCAGATTGAATGGCTCCAATTTCAGTCTGCATTCCTGTTGAGACAACGCATGCAATACAAGATCCATGAACAATGGTTGTCGAAGAGTACAAAATGTTCGTCTTTGATTGAATTTCAATATTTCTCTTTGATACATCCAAAGAGCTGGAATCTTTTAATACTCCTGTAGACTCTCCAGTAAGCTGGCTTTGTTCAACCCTTAAAGAAGAAGTCAAGAGCTTAATGATACGAAGGTCGGCAGGAACACGGTCGCCAACTCTAACCCTAACTATATCTCCCGGTACAAGATCTTCAGCTGTTATTTCACTCCAAATTCCACACCTTAGCACCTCTGCAAGTTTCGGCTGAAGCTTCTTTAAAGCTTCCAAAGCACTTTCTGCATTTGATTCCTGCCAAACTCCAACAAATGCGTTAAGAACTAAAATAAACAGTATTACAATCGGTTCAACAAATGCTGAAATCCCTTCTTCATAAGCATTATCTCCAATTAATGCGAAGAAGAATGATAACAGAGCTGCGCCCAGCAAGATTCTAACGAGCAAATCATCAAACTGAGCCAGTATCAAAGCCCAGTAAGAGGTTTTCTCGGGTTCCTCCAATGAATTTTTGCCAAATAATTGAGTATATTGTTCTACTTGTCCATATGAAAGACCTACATCACAATCTACATTATAATGACGAAGAATTTCATCACACGATTTAACGTGTGGGTCCTCCAATAAATTGATCATAGTATCAGCACCTTATCACTGACGGACTAAAACTCGCGGATCCTGTATTAATTGTATATTAATACCAAGTTCACGAAATTAATCACAGTTAATCTCAATAAAGATAATATATTCTATTTAAGCCACCCGTCTATTTTGTTGGCGCTCAAACTAGTTAATTACTTGTAGTGAAATCCAAGAGGGAGAAAAAAAAGGTGAGGGATGAGAGAAAAAATTTAAAGAATGCTTGAAAATAAATTTGAGAACTTGTGTATATGAATATACTCTTTGTTTGTCTGAAACACGGTTTTGTGAGTATTTAAACCTGCATGGAGCCTACGGTTGAAAAGCTCAGGAAGAAACATAGGGTACTTTTAGTGTTTGTGGGAATGAGGGTTTAGCTTATAATAAGTTATCTCATTATTTAGAAAATTATTATTATCATTTAGTTGTAAATATAACTTAATTTTTTGCACAAGTTACTAATAGTGACAATTTTTCATTTTTATTAACTGTTAAGTAATCCACCAGTTTATGCGGGAAATGTCGGTTGACTATAGCATATGTGAAGAATTTTTTGATATTTCAGTATTGGATTCATGAAGCCCAAACCGACAACTTGGGTTCCATTAAGCTCTTCCGAAGTTTATGAAGCGATTTCTAATACCGAATATGATGAAATAGACAAGGAGTTTGAGACATCGTCCCTCGTGTTTTTTAAAAAAAGTCTAAAGTGGTACTTAGAAGCATTCCATTCTGTTCACTTAATACCTCAAAAAGAATTTTTTTCTCTGGCTGAATCTCTGTATTCAAAATACGATTTGTCACAGCAGGAGGTCATGCAGATCATTGATATCAGGCCTAAGAAACAGGTAGAACTGCACTGCATTATCCCCGAATGCGAAAAGAGATTTTCAGAAGAAGAAATTTTTCAGATTTTGAAATTAGTAAGCGAAATTCCAATCAATCAAGAGGAAAAACAGTGCTCAAAAGAGAAGCTGTGATATTTCTAGGTCAAATATAATGTACTTTGTAATTCCCTTTTATTAGTCAATAGATCCTGTACTATATAACTAGCTACTAGAAACAATAATATTTAGTGAACCTCTGCATTTTTGTTTAAAATTCTTATCCTATTCTTGTTATTCTATTATTTTTTTCCATGTGTACTTAATTAAAATATTCAAGGATTGTGCCGCCTATTTTGTCTTGTGGGCACTCTAAAAGCTCTGGTATTACATTAGGTACTATAAATTTTTATTATTGAATTATTTTTGAAGATTAATTTTTTTAACATGGGAGTTCCAGATTTCCTTCAGGACAAATCAAATCCAGCTGGCTATGTATTTCAAAGTGTTCATGAATTTGCCCTGGACAGTATCCGTCTTGTGAGACGTTGTACAAAGCCTGATGCTAAAGGTAAGTTGAACATATGAATCAATTTGTTTGCAATATAAATATAAATCCCTAACCACTTTTTAAATCTTTAGAGTTCAGAAATGTTGCATATGCCTGTACTGTTGGTTTCTTTCTGATGGGATTTATTGGCTACTCAGTCAAGCTCGTTTTCATTCCCATTAACAATATTATCATGGGAGGGCAAGCTCCATAAAATTATGGCTGACTAAGCATATTTAGATTTTTTATCTATTGAGGTAGTTAGGAATTTAACGATTATGTACTAGAAATAACGTTTCTACCAAGCCTTATATTCACAACCTAATCAAAAAGAGAATTTGAATATTTATATATATAATTTAGTTAAGATTCTACTTAGGGGGGTCCCTTAAATACGAACAAAAAGTTTCTGATTCCTCTAGCTCTTTTATGAACCTGTTTCTCCCAGACCCTAATGGTCTCAGAGAAATCTTCGAGAGATCAAAACATCTAATTAGGTGGGGAGAAGTCGGGTCATGAATTTTCTGTGTTGAGATGGGTTTTAAAGAAGCCAGCAATATGCTGTAAGTTTGGAGGAGCATCAAAAAACCACCGAATATCCTGATATATATATTTTCGTGAGGATAGGAGAGAAGAGTATCCCCTATTTTGTTCCCTAAAGTAAGCAAATTAGTAAGGAGAATTGTATAACACCGTTTAGAGCGAGATTAAATGGATTACATACCTTTGAGCAAGTATATGTGGGCATTGAAGAGTAAAGAAAGACCAATTACAATGGAGGCAGCTTTGGTTAAGGTTAGATTCCTCATTTTCCAGAATGCCAACTTTTCATAATTTTTTTTTTTGCGAGACGCGTATTACTTGAATTTATATACCGGCACTATACCGGCGTATATAATATAAATTCAAAAAAAAATTTCTTGTGGGATAGAAAAAGTTGATTAATAATAAACAGTAAAATTTATTATTAGTTAAACTTTATCAAAATATCATTTGAATAAGTATTTTGACTTTATTAACTGAGATTGGCGTCATAGAGAAGAATAATTGTAGGATTGAGACAAAATGTCATCGGTATCAGTACTAAACCCAAAAGCAGATGTTTTAAGAAAATCAGCTGCCTTTGCTGCTAATTGCCACGCAGCAAAAGGCCTCCAAAAAGTAATCAAGACAAACTTGGGTCCAAAGGGAACTCTAAAGATGCTTGTAGGTGGAGGAGGCCAAATTAAAGTAACCAAGGATGGCTGTATCTTGTTGAATGAGATGCAAATCCAACACCCAACTGCCTCAATGATTGCAAGAGCAGCAACTGCTCAGGATGATATATCGGGAGATGGAACTACTTCTATTGTGATAATTATCGGAGAAATACTCCGTCAGGCAGAGCGTTATGTTACAGAATCAGTTCATCCCCAACTTTTATGTGAGGGGATAGATTTGGGAAGATCTGTTTTGATGAAATTATTGGATGAGATGAGAGTTCCAGTTGAAAAGGGAGATAGGGAAACTTTGAGGTGTATAGCGAGAACTTCCTTAAAGACAAAACTCTCAAATTCCTTAGCAGACAGTTTGGCAGATATCTTGACTGATGCTATTCAGATTATCACAAACGAAGACTCTAACCTACCTGTGGACTTACACATGATTGAGATTCTTCCAATGAAACATGGCTTGACTTCAGAAACAAAGCTGGTTCGTGGTATGGTTATGGATCACGGAGCAAGACACCCAGATATGCCAAAAGATTTAAAAAACTGCTTCATCTTGACTTTAAATGTATCCCTCGAATATGAAAATAGTGAGGTCACTTCTTCATTCAAATATTCATCTGCTGAGCAGAGGGAGCGTCTGGTTGAGGCAGAGAGAGCTTTTACTGATGAAAAGGTAAAAAATATCATAGATTTGAAACGTAGAGTTTGTGAACAAAACCCAAACAGTTCTTTTGTGGTACTTAACCAAAAGGGTATAGATCCACCATCTCTGAGTATGCTAGCTCAAGAGGGTATTTTGGCCCTGAGGCGTGTGAAGAGAAGAAACATGGAAAGGCTCACTCTTGCCTGCGGAGGTAATGCCATGAATTCAGTTGAGGACCTGTTGATTGAGGACCTGGGATGGGCTAATCATGTCTACGAGAGGACCATTGGAGACGAAAAATTTACTTTTGTTGAAGAACCCAAAGATTGTAAGAGCTGCTGCGTTTTAGTAACTGGCCCTAATGATCATAGTATAGCTCAAGTCAAGGACGCTATCAGAGATGGGCTCAGAGCCATCAAGAACGTAATTGATGATGGCTGTGTGATACCAGGAGCCGGAGCTTTTGAGTTTAGAGCTTACAATGCTCTCAAGGAGGCTCGCAAATCTGCAAATGGAAAGGCAAAGTTCGGCATAGATATATTTGCTGACGCTCTCCTGGCCATCCCAAAGACCCTTGCTGAGAATGCAGGCCTGGACCAGCAGGAAACTACTCTTAACATTCTGGACAAAATTGAAGATTCCAAGCAACCCCTGGGAATAGACCTTACCACTGGTGAGGAGTTTTACCCACTAACTGAGGGGGTCTTAGACAACTATTGTGTTAAGAGGCAAATTCTTAGCATTGCTCCTACCCTCGCTCAGCAGCTACTGCTTGTGGATGAGGTCATTAAGGCTGGAAAGCAGATGTAAATTGTGCTAAAATAGATTTTCTAATTAGAACTTAGTGACACTTACTTATATAACTTGCACTCTAATTCAACTAGTATTACTCTAGAGCATTATTTTTTACTTTGAAAAATATCTACATATCTAGACCTAATTCCTCCACTCGTACCGGGTCCTACTGCATTGGATGCCGTTCTTTGAGAAGTAGGGGGAGGAGGAGGAGGAGGAGGAGGCAGCGGCGGTGGTTGGGTGAGTTGTGATCCCACATTAACTTCATTCCCATTACCCAAGGAATCAGACTTATCAGTCTTGGGAGGCTCGTTTGTAATCCTTCTGCCGTCAGGTCCCTTTTGGCACCACTGGTTGATTTCTTTGTCAAAGTAAAAGGTGTTCTCGACTCCAGGCCAACGCTCCTCCTCCGTGCCGATGGCTTTTTTAATGTTATCTGAAATCCAACCGACTATCCAAGAGGAGTTCTTCAGGCTGGCTGAAACTTGGTTCTCTGTTGAGTGGCTTTCAGCTGAGAATTCTGGGTCTCTGGTGTTACTCATACTAATGCTCCTAATTAAGTTAAAGTTTCTTTCCTGGATCCGAATCTTGAGAAATTCACACTCCCTACTTATATTGCTTCTTGGAACATTGGCTCCTTTAGATAAATAGGGAGAAATGCATTCAATATAAAACTCTGACCTCTCAAAGCAACCAAGTTCTGTAAAGTAAAGAGACGATAAGTACCTGCTTAGCACCGAGTCTTCTCTCAAAGAGATACCAGAACCACCCTTATTTGCCATGTAAAGAAACAAAGCCACAATGTCCATGCAGGTAATGTAAGTCTCCAAGATAGAAGGATTCAGACCGACAGGGATTTCTCTGTATTCTCCCAAAATCAGGGAGCAAAACTGCCAACCAAAAACCTTTTCATTATGTGTCAGTTTAGACTTTCGCTCCCTAATGTCTGATAAGAGTCCATTTGAAATAGACGTTACTAAGCTTCTGGACCCCATGTGAGAAGGACCAAGACTAGAAATCACAGAATACACATAATGTGGCCATAACTCGAGCACCTTACTGTTGATCTCAAAATGTTCAGCTTTGTGAGCAATACTAAGGTAGATTGCCTCTAAAATCCCCTCGAAACATTTACACTCCAACCCAGAGTGAACATTGTCTTCCTTGAGTTTCTGATGCGAGGATTTTACATAATCGATGTAGCAGTTACTCAGCTCCCTCTCTCCACAAAACCCACTCAGAGCAAACCTATCACTCCAAGAAATCTCTAGTTTAAGAGAAATCCCAGGTCCCGTCTCTCCCTTCCTATACATTTCCAGGGTTCTGGAAACTCCAAGAGTCCCACAAAAAAGGCCCAACAAAGATCGACCTGAAACAAACTCTGTAGGCTTTCCGTTTGCTTCGCAGCAGCACCTCCAGACCCCTAGCTCTGGAAACGACCTGATTCCAGCAAATACTGTATCATAGTCTGAAGGACTACTCACTATATAATCACGGCTTGTGCTTAGCAAGAGCAACTCAAAAAGGCAGTTCTTCCGGAAACTTCTCAAATAGCCTCGGGGTCCTTGTGGAGTATCCCCCCTACCCTTTTCAAAATTTAAAAATGTGTTTATTTTTGATTTTTCCTCCTGGGAAAGCTGAGACTGTCCTGCTCGGGTTTTGGCCTCACGTCTAATACTGGAATGTAAGTCAGGAGTGGAAACCATTTTTCTCAAAACCCTATTTATGTTCAGAATCCGCGACAAGCCTTTTGTATCACAGAGAACCAAAAAGCCTCCAAAACCAAAACATGTTGAGGTTCCACCTCTTGGAGGAACAATATCGTGACTATTCCCAAATCCTTGAGGTTGGTTCGTCCCACGAGTACCTAAGTGCGTGCCAGATCCCTCAAAACGTCCATAGTGGCGAAATTCATAAGTGGTTTGACTCTCCATTTTCTCTGTTAAGTTTCTTTCTCAAAGATATATGGCAAGCCGTCTAAAACTTGGATTCAAGCAATCTAATTCATTTTTGCTTGTGAGGTACTTGCAATCAACATTTTTCCCGCCATCACAATTTCGAATCTCAAGAATATACTTAAATTTATTCACCCTAATCTCATGAAAGAAATTTAGGCTCTTTTTTGCATAAAATATCCAATTGGCACTCCCAAAAGAAACAATGTTTCTAGAGTTTCAAATGCAAATGTTGTTGGTCCCCCTGGATAAAAGTCACTTTCTCGGACTTGCCAAGATTCTCAACAATGTCCCTAGCTCCGTCTAGCCTCCTTACATCTACAATCCCCCACCCCGAGTCAGAAACAGCTTTTGAAATCATCTCTGCTGCTTGTGCCTCTCCAGAGGCTCTGATTATTGCAGCCTGTTTCTCATATTCGGCCTTTTGTACTATGAACTTTACTCTCTCGGCATCTTGTTGTGCAACCTGCTTCTCTTCTATTGCCTTTTCAAACTCCTTTCCGTAGGTTAGGTGGGTAATTGCCACATCCTCCATAATTATGTCAAACTGTTTTGTCCTTTGCATGATTGACTCCCTAATTTCTCTGCTTACCTTTTCTCTCTGAGTAAGGAGGCTCTCTGCATCATACTTTGCAACCACAGCCTTAAGAATCTCATTCCCTATTGAGGGAAGTACCTTGTCATCGTATTCTGGACCCAAATTCTGATGTAACCTCGGAAGAAACTCAGTACTTGGCCTAAATAGGAGTCGGAGAGAAAGATTAACCATCTGTAAATCCTTGGTTCCAGTTGTGGTGTTAATTACTTTTGGTTTAACTCTAACATCATATATAAAAGGTATCTGGAACCACGGGAGAAAGAAATGGGTTCCTTCTGAAATTGGCCTTGGAGATACCCCCCCTCCAAACCTATTAAACATGACTGCTTTCTCCCCTCCATCTACATTAAACATAAATGACATTGGGATTGTACTGATTGCTCCTAATAAGAGCCCTCCCCTCGCCAGCCTCGTTAAGATCCTCTCTGCATTCATGTCTATATTTTTTACCACTGTTGTATAGGCATGACCACCTAAACTTTGCGGTAAATTTTTGGAGCAAAAACAAAATGTAGAAATTGAATTATTAGATTAAGAAAAATACAAACTAATTATATCTATATTCTATATTTCTTCACTAAGTAAAGACCAACGTAACTACTTCACGTGGAGACCAAATACGAGCTCCACAGCTCTGTCTCCATGCAGCAGGATGTTGATACTCCTTTATATTAGTGTTTGAACTAGGTTCGGATGTAAGCCTAAACTTTAAGGAATGAATCCCAGTTTTACCCTCTTTTTGAGCAAGGATTTCCCAGTGCACATTCCAAGGCCTTAAAACTGTTGATTGGTTAAACTTATCGGACAGAGATTCCCCTTCAAAAAGATCCTCTGAGACATGTTGCCATTGTCCATCACATGCCCATAACCAGAGTGTATGAACAATTTTAACATTTGGATTATTTTTAGCCTGGTGAAACTTGGCGGTATTCGTCTTTTGAACAACTAGATGTGTAGCTAAAGGCTCCAAATTCTCCTCAATGCTAGCACCTAATCTTATAGCTGCGGACTCTGCATCAGCTTGGGAGTCTCCCCAATTAGAAGGTAGACCTTTAACAATAGGCTTTTCATCAGCCTTTAGAAATCCAGTAAAACAAATTGTGCAGTTCTCAAGTATTTCACTCCTCATCTTCTTTAAAATCTCTCCAACGCTCGCAGTCTCGGGATTTTGAAAGAACCTTGTGTGAAGCTCCTTAAATACTCGAATTAGGTAGTCCAAGTGGCGATCATAGTCTGCAATGCTATTGCCTCCGCTAGCATTTGACAATGAAGATAATGCAGCAGAAAGAATATCACCGGGAGCACTTGAATTTGCTGAAATTGAGTTGGCTCCAGAAGACAAGGGGGGGTAGTGAGACTTTAAAGCGTCTTTTCGTTGCTCAAAATATTCATAAGTCTGGGCTTTAACAACTTGGCTTTCTAAAGAACTGTCCCAAACATCTGAGCGGTCATCGAGCAATACAATAGCACGTGTTTCAACATCAACACAAATCTTTCTAAAATCTTTTTGTGTATCACGGCCATCAACACTTTCTCGAGCAACGATTCTATCACCAAACTTATCTCTCTGAGGATCTAAAACTGCCCTAATGACATCGGCATATTCTCTGGTTGCATTGGTGCATATTCCCATAATATAATAGGGGGCAATAGTATTCAAAAATTCTCTTACACCAGGTCTTAGTTTTAAATAGTAAGGTGTATTCAAATCCTGTGGTAGAACAAACTTATACATTTCTGGGTCACCAGAAGAGCTAATGAAATCTTCCAGGTTAATATTACAACCAATTTTGGTCGAGTTATAAGCATGAAGAAGTGTATTGTCTAGATCAAGAATTGCAACCAACTTATTTTGTGCCAAATAATCCTTCGGTACAGTGCTTGCTAAATGAGCATCGTCAGGTAGCACTGCATTTGAATTTTGTAATTTACCTGAATTAATAGCTCCAGTAGAATCTAGCTCGCGGGAATACTTGGAATTTGTAAATCTACTTAAAGGAAACTGACCAACAGGACTCCCACTTACAAATTGATCGCTCACACATACTGGGTCCGAGAATGGATCATAATCGTCCTCATAAGGAGACGCTTCATCAATAATTTGGTCGGCAAAACTGCCCGAAGTTGAGGAATTTGACCCTTTTCTTACACTTTCATCCAAATCTGGAGGCTTCTCCCCAAATCGGCTCTTAATCTGCTTGCTCTCGCGTTTTTGCTGTCCTGATGATAATAGAGCCTCATTTGCCCTCAGAAGTTCTTTTCGCAATTTTTCAGGACTAAACTCCCCATTTTCATTAAGTAATGTAGATGAATACATACTACAATCTGCAATGGGAAGGGGGACCATATTAGTATTAAAATTCATTTTTAAAAACTTTAATAAATATGCAATCTTAGGGTATTTACTGTAACCAAGTAACTTAGTGGGAATCTCAAACAGAATTTACTTCATATTATTGATTTGCTGAAATACTTAAATATACACATTAAATATACACGCTGTTGATACTCTTTTCTAGACAATTTCTATTTTTTCTAACATTACCAACTTTAGGCGGGAACTTTAATTATAATTAATTATATATGGCCACAAATAATGAATATTTAATTTCAACGAATCTCAAAAAGAAATAGCATGTATTAGAAAACAATCACAAAAAAGAAATAATAGTGATTTTTAATACAAAACAATATTATATTTCTTTACAAATATCATCTACTTTAAACTAGCAAGCTCAGAGGTGTATCTAAAATAGAATCTATGTCTTGGAAGCTACACCCCTGTTCTATGTTTCCTCCAATCGGGGTTTTAACATCAATAAAGCATGTAATAGGTAGCGGTCCCCAAATATAACCATGGTTAAACGGGATATCTGGCTGAATAGATACGCATAGAAGTGGGTCGTCATTGATCATGTTAATTTCACCCGAAACGAACCATAGCAATAGCTTTCCCTTTGATCCTTTTGAATTTTCTCCTTGAAAAGGTCTCGGAATACACCAAGTCCATGAAGAGAGTGAACTTTCTTTATCGTATTTCCCATCAAATGGATGAATATCATATGGGATACGATTCAAAATTGCTTCTGTGTCAATTTCCTCGCATTTACCATCAAATAGTCTCTTAACTATAATCCTTCCGGTATCATCATTGTTAATTTCGACTAAAACTCCATCTAGGAGCTTCTGCTCTGAGCCATTAGATTTATAAACGACTATTGAACCTTTAGAAATGTCGTTGCTTGTTGATTCAGGAAGAAGAAGTCTCCACCAATCTTTCTTAATTTCAAATGTGGGAATTGATGGAGGGAGAAAATTCAGAAGAGAAGTTGAAATGGAAACAGAAGCACTATCTTCTTTTGAAGAGCTTGACTTCAGTATTATTTCTCCAGTTTCAGCTGAAATAGACTCAATTTCTCCATTTATCCAATATAATTCATCTATAAACCCTTCTGGCTTGTATACAAACTGTACTCGAATACCAACCTTAATATCAATCTTTGGTAATGTATTTAACACAGACCAAGATAAATTAGAATATTCTTCTATGTAAACGTTCTGATATATTTGGTTTTGAAGACAGCAGTCAGAGGAATTAAAATGTGGAAATAAATGAGTAGGGACCAAATTTGCATGTCCTTTCTTTTTTACAAGAGACCTATCAATATCACGGCAAATCAATTTTGGGATTTTTTCTACAGGCATTGACTCTTTAATTAGCTCAGATCCCTTAATTGAGTTTGAACTGCCTGTCTTTGTTGAATTTTGGCCAAAACCTTCAATTTGTATCTTCTTTGATCTAAGAAAAGGTAATAACCATTCGCTAAAGTTGTTTTCAAGCCCAGATCTCAACTCATTCATTATTTTTTTGAAATAATCTCTTTGAGCAATGCTTTTATCGTTTGCTTTTGGAAGTGGATTTGAGGACTTGTATGTATTTACTTTTGATATAAACGCACTCAAAATATCTGGTCTTACTTTAGGTAGAAGCCTCCACTCCATTGATGCTACTGCTGTCACTACGTGGCCAGGGAGCTTTGGAGAGATCTTTGAAATCTCCGGTCGTCTTGAAAACAACCACCAAATATAATATGACCAATCCGAAACTGAAAAGTATTTTTCCGGAGAAACTATGGTAGTTTCTTCACCCACAACGCAAGAGACAAAAATCTTCTCCATAGTTGAAATCTCTTCCTCACCAAAATTCCTTATTACATCCGAAATCTTCTTTTCTGACCATAGTTTCTTCCATAACTCAGGTGCCGATTCTCTTTTTTGTGCAATTCTTGCCAACAAGTGAGTAGGTATTTCACGGTCAAGATCACTTAGTTTATTCTCCTTGCCTCTCATCAGCTCATGGAAAAATGGATTACTTAAATAGGGTGCACTTCTGTTGACATACTTGTTTCTATTATTTGTTTTTAACACTTCTTTTTGGTTGTTAGAATTTCTGATATCCCCATTCTCCAGAGCAACTAAGATATCGCTCAACACGTCACCATCCTCACATACTTGGATGTTCAAATTATCATTGTTATTCATGGAGTTTTTTCCCCTACTGGTAATTTTTCTGTTAAGTATTGTCTGGTTGTGCCTAAGAATATTGGTGTCGCGCTACCAATTTTTGAAAAAAAAAAGTTAATTAAATAAAAATAAACTAAAAATTGTCTCATTTCTCCCGGAAAGAAAATATGTCATTTTTAAAACCAAATTTTACTATTAGCAACATTAGTATATCGCTAGTACACTTTTCAAATGTTTAAAAATAGAAACCGAAATAAACCAGCTACAAAAAATGACAGTAATATGAAGCATCTAAGGCTACTTTTCTTGTTATCTGTCGCATTTAACTCCAGAATAACTGGGTTTTTTAAATTTTTTTTTCTCTCATTTTACCATATTCAAACCCATCATTACTAAATTTACATACAAAAAAATGGGCGCCATTTCAACATGTTATTTCTGAAAAGATATAATTTCTGTTAATTCCCGAGTGGGGATTAAGGGATATGTGGAATTTATCTAATTATATCTAAGCATTTTATTTTCTTTGGATTTTTCTAATTCAAGTAATTTTGAGTCTTTTTTTCATTCTAGAATAGTCCAGTTTCGCGAATTGTGATTTAGATAAAAGTTTTAAACAAGGCAAAATGACTTACAAGCTAACTTTGATTCGTCACGGAGAGAGTGAGTGGAATAAGGAAAACAGATTCACAGGTTGGACAGACGTTAATCTGAGCGAACAAGGAGTTAGAGAGGCCGTTGAGGCAGGAAAAATGCTCTTGGATAAGGGTTTCAAGTTCGATGTTGTATATACTTCTGTCTTGAAAAGAGCAATAATGACAACATGGACTGTTTTGAAAGAATTAAATAACATTAGTTGTCCAGTCATTAACCACTGGAGACTGAATGAAAGACACTATGGTGCTCTACAAGGCCTCAATAAATCTGAAACTGCTTCTAAGTTTGGTGAGGACCAGGTCAAGATATGGAGAAGAAGCTTTGACGTTCCTCCTCCAGTCCTTGAGAAGTCTGATCCCAGATGGCCAGGGAATGAGTTGATTTATAAGGGCATCTGTCCACCCTGCCTGCCAACAACAGAATGCTTAAAGGACACAGTTGAAAGAGTCAAACCATACTTTGAAGATGTAATTGCTCCTTCTATCATGTCAGGAAAATCTGTCTTGGTTTCTGCTCATGGAAATTCCCTTAGAGCTCTTCTATACTTGTTGGAAGGAATGACACCAGAACAAATCCTCGAAGTTAATATTCCTACAGCATGTCCACTTGTTTTGGAATTGGATGATGAATTGAAAGTAACAAACAAATATTATCTGATTAGTGAAGAAGAACTCAAGGTTAAGATGGAGGCGGTTGCAAACCAAGGAAAGGCTAAGTAAAGAGATATAGTGCTAATTACCTATTTAACTTCTCGGTACTAAGTCTAGATTAGATTAGATTCATAACTTTTTCTTTAAATCATCCTAAAGATTTCTTCGATTATCTTTATTAAATATGATCACAAGACAGTCTAAGATCTGTATAAAAAAAACAAAAGACTCAATGTTTTGGGAATTATTAGAAGAATTCTAAAATAAAGCTGAAATAAATTTCCTGTTATTAACGGGGTAATTATACCACCGTCCCTTAATATGAGATATAAGAGGATTATTAAAACTAATCAATAGTATCCCGGTAGCCTCATCCTCTTTCCTTCGTCGATTTAACTTGATAAAATATTAAATAAGAAGTTTCCGGTTACTTAGTATTATACTTTAGCAATAAAAGTCCAAAGTTACTGGTAAACGAATCAGGAGATTCTTGTATTCAATGATATATGATGCCTAATGTCTATTCTGACTCTTCCTCAGATTCTTCAGATGCTTCAGTAACAACAGATGATTCCGAAGTTATTTCTTCATTCTTCTGGTTGTCAGATATCTTTGGCTTGTATTCTGCCTCAGTTTCAAGCTCAGCAATTAATGATTGATCTGAAGCACTTATGTATTTCATTGGTTTTGAATATAATTGGTAAATTGAAGTGTAATTCTTGACCTTCATAATCTTTTTTTCATGTGCTAAAAAGCCTCTCCATGTAGTTAGTGCCTGGCCATCAGTAAATATAGGGAAAACTGAACCTAATTTATCTAATAGAGTACTTGCTATGGTATTTTCATCATCAGAAAATGCCGAAACTACTACAAAAATCCCACAAATTGTGTTAGTATGGATTGGGAATTTTGATCCTTTAACCATCTTGTTAAGAATTTGTTCTGAGAAATAAGCAAATAATTGGGAACGGTTAACCAAAGGAACTGATAACCCATCACATTTCTTCGCTATGTCTGTAGCAACACATTTACCCTCTGGAGTGGTATATTTACACCAAGCATGATGTGCCTTAACCTTGGATTCAAAGATAACTGAATCCTCAAGTATATATGGTCTATGAACTGCGTGATCTTTCTCTAATAAGAAAATCTGTCTAATCTCAGAAAATCCATAGATTTTTGTGGTTGACAAGTCACTTGAAGGTAATAATCTGTATCCAGACTTGGTACAAATATCTATCAAAGCAGAATCTTCAACTTGTTCCCATTGTTGTACATGAAGACCAAAAACTGCCTTAATTGATTCAACACATTGTTGAGCTGAGGAGTTTTCAAATGGATTGAGCTCCTGTAAAGTAAATGAAACTTCAGAGCAAACATCACGATATATCTTGGAATTAACTCCCTTTGCGAGAGGAGATGCTGAAATGGCTTCTTGGAGAGCCTCAGACTTGTGAATAGCAGCTCCGAAGAGTCTTGAGGTATAAGGGGCTACCTTAGGGAAGGTTCTTAAGTTATAGTGGGCTGCAATCTCTGTTGGATTCATTAATGCTAAGTTCAAAGGTCTCAAATCAACAGATGGTAATGACGGCATTTTGAAGATGTTTGAGCAAATTTCCTTTCTTATGAACTCGTCTAATCCTGCCTCATTCTTCAAGGCAGCAGTAGCTCTCATAACAGAGGCACACTGAATATCATTCCTCATTTCGTCATACATGGTAATCAAGATTCTTAAACCTAGACATGTGTCTTCAACAAAAGTAAATCTACCCCTTTCTCTTAATTTGGTTGCAGCGCGTACAGCCATATCATACAACTTTCCAGATCCCATAGTAGAAAGTAATCCAAATTTGTAGGGTTCCCTTCCGTACTGTTGCAGTGCCAAACACTCATTGGTATCTCTAAACAAACCGCTTGGCTTGACTGGGAGTAATCTTCCCAACTCGCTTGCACCATGTCTGTCAGTACGTTGTATTATTATTGGGCCTGTTTCGGCAGCAGATTTACCCCATAATGGTGCATCAGTTGGAGCATGTCTTCTGAAACGGCTTGTCTTTTCATATGGTCCCTTTCCAGACTCAACGGTATGAGTGGGGAAGCTAGGGATTCCAGAAACTACTTTTTCTGGTAAGATGTAGCCTGGAATCATAGAGGCCTTATACGGGCCGATCAAATGCCAGTATGATCGTGCTGAGTCACGAATGATAATTCTTTGTGGTCTGTACTTTTGCAAAGTACGGATACTTTCAGCCAACATTGGTGGCAACATTCTAGATCCTTGCCATCCAATAGCCTCAACAACTAGATCTCCGCCTGCGAATCTGACAGCACTAATTGGCCATAAACCAGCAGCCTTCTCTACCAATAGCTTACCCTCAATTGAAGATGATCCACTTGTCTGTAGAAGTGCTCCCAAACCTGGATGTTCTGGAGTTGAAATCATTGTAATTGGAGGAGTAATAAAAACACGATAACCTCTAGACGCTAAATCTAAAGCTCTTCCCTGGACCTCTAATGCATTTCTTGACTTGGAACTGATCCACATTTGATGGCCTCCACTCTTTACCTTTCTAAAACGTTCATGAGCTGGATTAATGTCGCTTGGAGCTTGTAATGAAGCAGAAAGTTTGGCTGAATCCCAAACAACTAAGAATGGGTTCTTTGGGTTGCTCTCATCCAAGAACTGTCTTACCTTTGAATGACTTCCTGGCATATATAACCCAGGCTTCATTGTTCCAATAGGGCCTACTCCAGAAACCACTTTATCCTGAATAAATCCTCCCATCGAACCCATTGAACCTGCACCACTTCCAAATGGACCAAAGGTAGTAATTCCTGGCCCTCCCATTGGACCCGCTGAACCCATTGGACCCGCTGAACCCATTGGACCCGCTGAACCCATTGGACCCATTGGACCCATTTGAGCACCAAGAGGACCATAAGCAGATATAACAGGTCTTCCAGTCATAATACCCATTGGACCATAGGCATCGAAACCAACCCTTTCACCACCATATCCCCCCTTGGCTCCGCCAGGACCCATCATTGTACCAGCACCAAGACCAGGAACATATGAGTTGTATGCTGAGGAAATCCCCGGAACTCCTGCAGATAGTCTTACGTTTTCCATTTCAGAAAATGTGGATGGGTAAGGACCAAGCATTGTTTGAGCATCGAATTGAGTGGCTCTTGCCATCAAAGCTCTAATATGCTCCTCTGGTAATGGTCTTCCTTTTTCATCATGAGTTGGAATAGAAAGCTTTCCACCTGGATAATTCAACATATATTTCTCTGGGTGATAATTTGGACTAATTCTTAGTGCGTGAATCTCCTCTAAAGAACCTTCTCTTGCTGAGAAGCCTCTCTTCTTTAAAAATTGCAATCTGAGCTTACCCTTAACTTTTGCTGAAACTTCTCCGTCAGTCTGAACAACAACCTGATGTAATTTCTCATCCCAAGCCTCCTCGACTCCGGCTAAGTTCAAGTCTGATGGAGCGAACAACAAATTGTTGAAGTTAGCACGGTCTAATCTGGGCAATGATGGAGGGTTGGTTGCTACTTTAGAATCGAATAACTTCTTCTGTTCCTCAACAAACTTAATCTGAGCTGCAACCTCAGGATTCCTCATCATCCTTTCAGGAACCCTAGCAGCATTTATCATCTGTGGAGTTCTTGCGGAATCAAAGACTTGTTTTTTTACCAAATTTCTTGCTATGTTTCCACTTCTAGATAAATATGCCGAACCAAAACATCCTCCTACCAATGCCAACTCAACCACTAAAATCAAAAGCTTTTTCATCGTTTAGTTCCGAAAGTCTCAATGTATAATTTACTAAAGATAATTCCTCTTTGAGTATATATCTTTCAATGATTTACTTCTCTTTTTATCAAACCTTATATATGATCAAGTAAGTGTCCAAAATTTTTTACTTTACCTTGAAAAACAAGGAATTATTATTAGCTCTCACTCTCTCACTTTCACTCTCCTACTTATCTGCCTTTATTGCACGATGAAGAAAATATTTACTCCTCATTAGATCCAGTAATACAAATTAATAGATGGCGCCAACCCCGAGACTTGCATCTATTAAATCTTTTTATTCATCTAGCATTTTTTAGAGAGACTAAACAAATATTATACAAGAAATAACCCACTGGAGGAGTTTTCTCTGCCTTATAAATTTATTTTTTCTTCTTCTTTACATCTCTTTCTCTGTATGACTGGCTTCCTACCATATGTTTTAGATGACTGTTCTATCTCTAGTAGATGTTTCATCCTTTTATTAGACACATCCTCCCTTTATTTTGGCATTGATTTAATCTAAAATATTCCTATTTTTTTTTTCTCTGTCCAAATATGTCTGAGTTTTTCTCTGACCGCAGTACTTTTTTTTTGTAGAATTTTGCCCAAAAGCAATTTCCCGCTGGATTTTATTATCACAGGTCACATTATACTATGGCAAATAATAAGGTGGAAAGTTGTTTTAATCTTTATTCAAATTTTGAACAAAAACAGCTTTAAATTGTGTGAAAATCTCTGGATTAATCACTTTTAGTTGGTTCTCTACTTGAAAATCATTCGAGGCTTTTTTTGTTAAATTTAAGATGTGTTCTAAGTATTAATATGAATAGCTCTATAGATGAATCAAATCGGCCCACATCCAGAAATATGGAAAAGGTTTACATTGAAATTAAGGATGGTTCAGAAGATTTTTCGGGCTCAGAATATGATATTTTAATTAGAAATGATGCAGAAATTAAGCAAAAGCCGTTTCTAGTTAGAAAGACACAAATCTTCACAATTAGTCATTATATACTATTTTACGGATGCATACAAGGGTACATGGAGCAGCTATTTCCTGCAAACTACTCACTTTTTGAGAGTCTGCTGTCAATGAATCCAGTCACTATTGGAACGGCAGCCTTTTTGCAAAAGCTAATGTTCACTATTGCTTCCCCATTTTGGGGTATGATAATAGATCATTCAGACCCTATCTATATAATGAAATTTTCTATAATCTCACTAACTATTTCTTCGTTATTGATATGCTTCTCACATACAATAAACCAGTTCTTCTTTGCCATGTGTTTTTGGGGATTCTTTTCTTCAGTGCTTGGTCCATTATCTCAAAAGATTGCCTCAGAAAATATCATAGACAGTGGAAGGGGAAAGTACTTTGGAAAACTTATGTTTTTTCAGACAATTGGAAGACAGTGTGCTTTAATGTTTGCTGGATTTGTAAGCAGCAGACATAAAATTGAAATATCAAGTCATTTTGGATTTTGGATGTTTCCCTTCTTGCTTTCAAGTTTGTCAGGGATAATTCTCTTTACTTTATTGAGAATCTTCATTTCTAGCAATAAAGACCTTCAGCAAAACCACTTACATTTATCTATCAAGTTTAATGGAATCTCATCCATTACTAGTCTGGGCTATATTTTCAAGTCAAAAACTGTTATCTCGATTTTTCTCTTGGGAATGGTCAATGCAATCCCCAGAAGTGCTCTGAATTTTATCCCAATGTGGCTACAATCTACTGGGCTTTCTCAACTTAGTGCTTCATTTATTGTTTCAATCAGTTGGGTTGCTGCCATGTTTGTATCACCTATTGTAGGCTTTGTCAGTGATGTCTTTTATAATATCTCTCCCTCCAAAGGGAGGATTTTGATGGCTCAAATTTCGCTTGTTTTTAGATCCATATTTCTATATTCTCTAATTGCAAGAGTCCCAAATGCAGTTTCCCATTTCGAGTCTGAACAGTCCAAAATTATTGTGTACTCCATCATATCCTTCATTATTGGGCTTTTCGCTGGATGGCCTGGAATTGGTGCCTGCAGACCTATTCTTTGTGAAGTCATTCTACCTCAGCACAGGGCAACAGTCTTTGCCCTCTCATCCACATTTGAAGGAATTGGAGCGGCTTTTTTTGGTACTAGATTTGTCGGAGATCTAGCAGTTTCTTTTTTCGGATATAACTCAGATAAACGGTTATCTGACTCTAATTTGAACTACATTGCGTTGGGAAATGCCATTCTTTGCATGACAATTTTTCCCTGGATTATTAGTATTTTACTTTTCTATTTTATTACAAGAGAAAGCCAAAAACCAGTGCTTATTGGCAAGGACAAGTCAAGTATGGACAGGATTCCTGATAAACAGTTATTTGTTGAAATCAAGACAATATGAGAATTTCGTATTTAACAAAAACGATCACACATGCTTATATAGTTATATTTTTTGTTTTTGTATAGATATATCCTCACAGGGATTTTTTTTAGTTAGTTAAACTTTTTTTTCCTTCTGCACTTCTGAGTCTACAAATTAGGCGCCACGATTCACATGCACTGTATTTAGTTGACAATTTTGAAGATATACTGATTAGATTCAAAAATATAAATTGCCAGAGAAGGAAAGATAGAGTAAATTTTTTCTCAAAAAAATGGATGTTGCTCAAATTTTTATTTGTGAGGTTAGTTTTTTCACGAAATTTTCATTTAATATCTTTAATATATTACTTTTTGTTCTTTAGGAATGTGGATCTGCTTATACTGGAAGAGAATTATATAGCCATCACTTAGAAATTGTTCACAAAAAAAAAACAAATGCCAGGAAAATTATAGAGACTGCTAAAGCCAAGTCTGGAAATGTGACCAGTGCTCCGACTTATGTCGAATCTTATCTCTCTTCAAAAACGATTAAGGATGGAAAAGACCCAAATAACAAAAATCAGAAAGCAGACTTTCCAAGAGTCTCTATAGACCCCTTTGAACCCAAGGAGAAGAAATACATTGAGGAAATAGGCCGGGGAGTTGCTGCTGAAAAACTTGCACAATACCTTAATGCCACAGGTTCTTCACTCGCAAAGGAAATCCCAAAATCAAGTCCACCTAAAGAGGGAAAACCAGCTAACAAAGATTCCGAAAAAAAATCAATGCGACTAGATGAAATTTCTAAGAGCCTCCTGTCTGTTCATTTGGACATGGTCAAGCTTTCTCAAATCCCACCAATTTTAGGGCTACAATTAGAAGTTTCCATGGGCCAACTTACAAACTGGTGCAACCAAGTCGAGAAGTACATAGAAGTTAAGGGGCAAAAAAAGGGTTTATTTAGAGCAAAGAAGAAAGTTCTCCTGTCTAATTTTGAAAAAGTTCTTCTTCAATCTAGAGAATATATTAACAACACTCTACGTCCTGAAGTAAAGAAGTGCTCTGCAATTTGCTCTTTATTAGAGCAACAATTCAATGAAGTTGAATCAATCAGAACAAAAGTTAATACCATGATCAAAAGTGGTTCATACTCATCTTCTGAAAGTTCCGAGTTGGTCTCCAAGTACGATGAAATCTCAAAGACCTTCCTACGTGAGATTGTTCACAACAATAAAAAAGCACTTTTTTGGAATGCAACAGTTGAGGAGATTCACAACCAAGTCAAGGAAATGATTAGAATGTTCAATGAACAAATCGATATGTTATCAACTGAATTCAACTCGAAAATGATTTTTACTTTGTTTTTGCCACAAAAGGTCATTTTCATCTAATTATAGAATAAAAACTAAGGGGGAAAACTGTGAAATCAAGGATTAACAAAAAATAGTTTCTTTATTAGTGTAAGAACTGACTTTATCTAATCAAATATTCTTCTAAAAACTCCTCATACCCAGGTTTTTTCGAGTAATTTAATCTTTTCTTTTTCTTTTTTTGTTGACTCGTAACAAATAGGCGCCCAAGTTTTTCTCTTCGAGCTATTAATTGCAAAATGCTGTATCTAAAAGTGGGATACTGTGAGCCAACTTGTACCCTTCACTAAAACAACAGAGACAACTAGTTTTTGTACAGTGGCAAAACAGTACCAATTTCTCTTTATTCTTCTGATTCAGAGGAATTTTTATTGAGTTAATAGATAATAAGAATCTCAAAATACCCAAGGCATATAACTTTTAAAATGGGACTTTTCAAAAAAGTTTTCCTGTTGATTGCCTTTTTATTTGGGTTTTCTGCCTCACAGGACTTGAGCATTTTAAGTGACCCAGGCTCAAATCAAGTAGATATCTCAAGGTCTCCCAATCAAGATCTAGAAAACTACATCAGTATCGATGATGATTTGAAAAAGAAAATTAAGGCAAATGTAACAGTTGAGTTGTTGGATGGAGCTAATAAAGATGAAAATGATATGTCTGAAACCTGGGAGTTACACCTAAACAGTGGCGAAACATTCAAGGAAAGTGATAATACTTACTACTCAAAAATTGGTAAGTCACCAGAAAATATTGCAAAAAACATCCCAGATATCAGATCATCCATTTTGAATTGTATTAATCAAATCAGATCTGTGGAGGGTGAAAAAGCTGCAAATATGAATATGTTGGCTTGGGACTACACAATTGAGGGTTACGCAACTAACTCAGCTCAAAGAATTTGTTCTTCGGGACAAGTTCTACAAAGTCCCAATGTATGGCCTTACAAAGGAGCTGAGGGAGAATTGATAGCCACTTCTCCAAGGCTCAATAATCCGGATCCCAGAACAATAATGGACAAAGTTTGTGATCTCGTTCAGCAGTGGAATAATACAGGTTCTTTTTTGCCAAAAAAAGCAGACTTTTCAAATATTTTTAAATGGGACATAGGAAATAGCTTCCAATATGCAGAACCATATCTACAATTAGTTTTGGCTAAGAATACACTTGTTGGATGTTCTTTCCAAACAAACTGTCATGAAAATATTGGAACTGTTGTGGTTTGCCAATTTAGTGATAAACCTGACCCAGAAACTCCTCCTTATGCTCACATTCATAAAGCCTTTAATCTAACTGAACCTCAACGTCAACCATGCGGAAGATGTGGTTTTGGAGCCAAATGTTGTTATCAAAATTTGTGTGTTGGGAGAGATGTTGGATCTTCATGTCCAAAATGCACTTTTTCAGATCCAATCAAGGAAAATAATGATGACCTTGCCTACTGCTTGGACAAATATTATCAGACCTGCTCAAGCTCAAACTGTCCGGATGCATGTGTAGACAAACACCAAATTCCAGAAGGAATTCTAATTAATCAATGTTTGTGTACTTCTAAGCAACTAATTGAAGATATGCTTCTTTTTGATCAGCTTCCTCCGGACCCACAACTATCTTATACCGAGGGATGGAAGAATAAGAAAGTATATCTCCATGGAGTTTGCAGAAATGTTAATGGAGAACCTCAAAAAGTAATAGAAATTCCAGATGTCGGAAGTAATATTGAAGAAAGAGAAGAACCCAAGGAAGAAAACATTGGAGTGAAAATTATATCCTCAGAGAGTATCAGATCTGCAATCTTAAAAAATTTAAACACTATCAGGTCAGCTCAACCTGCTGCTGATATGGCAATGCTTATGTACGACTTTACTCTCGAAGGCTACTCTAGAATTAGAGCCAAACAAATCTGTGAGGCTGAGGATCAACACTCTGAATTCTTGGGAATTAATGGGACCTTCCCACCTTTTGTCAAATGGCCATACAGAGGAGGATCTGGTGAGACATTATTTTTGGTAAATGAGACATCTTCAGTTCCCGTTGATATTGACGATCAAGAAATGGCAAATATCCAGCTAGGAGATGCAGATCCAATTCAGATTATTGAAAATGCAATACAAAGTTGGTACTCGGAAGGTGAATCCTTTGATTTCTTTAACATCACAAATAACTATGGTAAGGATTTCTACAACTATAGAATGATTATCCGAGCAGAGGCAACTGCCGTTGGGTGTTCCATAGCAACTAACTGTAAATCAAATGGGTTAAAAACAGTTTTTGTTTGTCAATACAACTACCCAAACTTTAAGGACCCAATGCATGTTAGAGAGTCTATATCTAGGAGAAAGCTCTTGGATATTAAATACTTAGATTATGATTTGCCTTATCTTCACATAGAGGCTGATCCATTCTTACTTCTCCAACAAAGAAGACCTTGTGGTCGTTGCAGAAGAGGATCTACATGCTGCGAAAATAATCTATGTGTTGGAATTGATATCTCCCAATCAAGTATCACTTTTGTACCACCAATTTTGGAGAATCGTCAAAACGGAGGTTGCAGATCTGCCTTTGTTAGACCTTGTAACCAACTTAACTGTCAAGTTAATTGTATGAATCCAAGTAGCTCTTACTTAGCTCACCAGTGTTTCTGTGTAAGCCCAGAAAATATGGGTAAACTTGCTTTTGCAAGTCCTGATGCCTTAGATCTTAATAAAACTCTTATTGAAGAGATCTACAACAAAAACACAACCACTGATGGATTCAATCGTATGTTAATGATAGATGGTGTTTCCACTCCACATCCTATAGCGACTTATGGTTACATTTTTGGTTTAGTAAACTCTCATGGTCTGTGTCTCAAGCTTCCAGGCTTTGAAGAAGAGTATAGTGAAACAATAATGGATTCTATTGAGGGTAATATGACTGCAAACATTGAAAGAATGGGATTCTCCCTGGACAGTGATAACATTACATTGTTGTCTGATGTTTTTATGGACTTGCCAGAGGATGATAATTTCATCCAAAAGGATTTAACTGACAGGTTTAGACAAGAATTTTTGCTTGCAATTAATAGCTTCAGAAGTATTGTAGGTAAATTTGCAACAAACATGAACAAACTAGCCTACGACTTTACATTGGAAGGAATTGCAAAATCTTCAGCAAAGCAATGCCAAATTGCATCCTTAAATAGATTCTTCGAAATTAATGGGGTCCCTCCTCTAACTTATTTATCTCCAGCCAATGAGACATTGCTTCCAAATAATGTAGCATCTATAGTAGCAAGCTGGGCCAAACCTCTTATTTCAAAAAATGGAAATATCCAAACCGAAGCTTTCCTTGATTCTTTGAATAAATATGGAAAGTCTCTCCCAGACTCAGCTAGGCAGTTATTTAGTGCTCATGCTACTTCTGTTGGTTGTTCAATATTCTCAAACTGTCCAGAAGGCAGATATTTCGTGGTTTGTCAGTTCAATCATCTCGACAAAACAGAGTATCCATTTAATCCAATTGAAGATGGATTAAGCATTCCAAAAGCTCCTTGTAGTTGTTGTGGGTCAAAAGCAAGCTGCTGCGAAAATAACCTTTGTGTTGGTGGAAATAGTGTTGGACAGGATTTCTCTGTATGCAATGATATTTCAATGAGTAACGAGAATGGAAAATCCTGTAGCTCTTCTTTTTACAAGAGTTGTAAGGATCTGAATTGCAAGGGTCAGTGTCTAAAGCCTTTGGAAGAAAGTGATCCATTCTATAACCACTATATTTTCAACCAATGTACATGTAGTAAAAAGAAGAGTGGAAGTTCTCCTCAATCAGGACTATTACAAGATGGAAAAGCTTTGATTAGAGGAAGCTGTACGAGTGTGAATACAACCAGATTGGATTCTCCAAGTGTTCTTGTAAAATACAATAATTTGTTAAATTTAGAGCTAATTTCTAATGGAAGAAACAGAAATACTGTATCTCAATCTCTTTCTGCTGCCTTACAGAGTGAACTTAAAGGGAAGCTGACGGTTTTGGATTCAAGACCTATTCTTTACGCCTTGAATAAGAAACGAAGCAAGTTGGGTGAAAATGCTATAAATATGAATATGTTAAAATGGGATTATTCTTTACAAGGGTATGCTCAAAATTGGGCTACAGTTTGTTTGGCAGGAAAGAATAATAATAGTCCTCATGAATTCCCATACAGAGGAGGAGAAAGCGAAGTCGTATATTCTTCTGAAATAGGTGAGGAATATGATGAACGTACTTCTCCTTTGAAGGTTGTGGATTCCTGGTTCTCAGGCGAGGAATTATATGAGGGAAAGAAGGGAACAGCTTCAATAACACCAAAAGTCATGGATTTCCTTACAGTAGCTCAAGCAACATCTTCTTCTGTGGGTTGCTCAGTCGTTAAGGGTTGTCCAAATGCTGGGTTTGTTGTAGTTTGTCAATTTGACTCTGGAGTTAATCTAAATAAGTATCCTTATGTTAGAATTTCAGAAGCTAAAGAAAATAAGGTACCTGAATCACAAGCACATCCTTGCGGAAAATGTTCCTCAGGGTCAACATGTTGTAATGAAAATCTATGTGTAGGAATAAGTCAAAACCCAAGCAAGCTTGCAGCTCCATTGGTCACAAAACTCTCTTCTAGTAAAAACTGCATCTCATCCATTTCCAAGAAGTGTAGCCCAGGATTATGCTCAGAGGGTTGCATTCCTCAAGTAACTTCTGAGGAATCTGAGAAGATTGCTTTATATGACAAGGACAACTCAATTCAATTTACGGTTAATCAATGTCAATGTGTCTCAGGAGAGCTTTTAAAAACACCAACTGATGCTTGGAAGCTCGGAATGGTACGTCGAAACGGACAATGCGAAAAAGTTAATGGTTATAGCGTTGAAGTAACTAGGGCTCAAATTCATTACTTTAATACAGTCACGAACGCTACAAATAGTTTTGATGAAAATACAAAACAGAACCTAGATAATAATTTTGAGGGTGAGAAAGAAAAAACAAAGCGAGGTTTTTCACAGGAGTGCATTGATCAAGCTAAAACCAATGGATTATCCTTGAAATGCATTGCCAATCCATTAAATTGCTCAATACAAACTTTGTGCTACGCGTATCCAAACAGGAAAAACTGCTTCTGTGGAGACGAAAAGAGCAAGAAGTGCGAGGCATTGAAGCTTTGCAGAAGGGATTTACAAGATCCGGTTAATTTTGTAAATCCTAATTGTACTGGAAAGCTTGCCTTATCCAAAGGCTGTCCTTGTTCAAAGAATGTATTCAGTCTGGAGTGCAGCTGCAGTGTTTATCCCAAGAATCCCGGATGTCCTTGTGATAAGGAACCCAAATCCTTAATATGCAAGGATCTAGTCAGAACATCAGAAGCTGCTCAACAGAAAGTAAACTATGCCTTGTCTGAAGTTAATAACGTTTCTAGAACACTAAGAGGTTAGGCTAATTAGCTGGAAATTTTGTGAAAGTAGGTCTTCATTTATCTTTGCTTTCCTTTTTTCTATGAATTCTGAAGACTAACCTAAAATATTATCTCAATAAATACTAGTTAATAATGTGTAAGTATGTTCCCGCTTAAAAATTTGTTTTTTTTTAATCAATATTTATTTAGAAAATAAATTCAGTGAATACAGAAGAAAACAGAGAAGGCAGGAGAGTAGAGTTCGGATTTAAGAAATTGGTTCTGAATAGATTCTAAACATATTAAAGTCACTAAAGATACCGTTAAGTTTCGTAAAACTGAACTTTTGTAACATAAAGGAATTCACACAATAAATTACTTCATTACGTTAAGTAAGGTTAAAATGGTTGAGAAAATTTGGAAAGAATGTGCAATTATGTCAGAAAAATTAAAAAAAAATTAATTATGTTTTTGAAAAGAAAACAATAAGTACCCAAATAACAGTAAACAAGCGCCAAAGTAGGAATTTACAAAAAAAAATCAATTAAAAACATTTACTAATAATACTAATTTTTAGCGATGGTTTGAAAGTGAGTCATTGTGAATGGTGATTGATGATAGAAGTACGAAGAACTAGTCAAATTCCTTTATGGGCATCCAAAATATTGGTACTTGTCCTTTTTTTGGTGGTTTTCTCTGACATTTTTGAAACTCAAAACAAATTATTACACTTTCAAAAGATTAGTTTGTTGAAATTACAGGAAGGGAGTATAAAGGATGAAACAAACAAGAGTACCGGATCTGAAGCTTTGGATTTAAACAAGAAGAGTGATTTTTTGGAAGTAGATAACCGATTAGAGGAAAATGAGGTAAATTCTGAAGCTAAATTAGAAACAAGTGACGTAAATGAAATTGAGAGTAAGGTGTCTGAGTATTCTCTAGATTCCGTGGATGAGCTGATATCACCCATTGTTAGTATTTGTTTAACTGAACTAACAAACATTCACGATATTCTTGAATTAGAATATAATTCAATTTCATCCATTTCAATGTTGGATAATTTAGAAGAGTGCATTAACACAAAAAATACTATTGATAAGATTTTAAAGATAATGATCAAAGCCAAGGAACTGTTGTTCTACGAAAAAAAAGGTAACTTTTCTGATAATAATTCACTAAAAGAAAATTCAGGAAAGGAATCAAAAAACAATAAAAATAAAACTTCTGACTTGTTCTTCTATCTTCAAACAAATATCTCAATACTGAAGAAGACAATTTCTCTCTATAATATTAAATACAGAGTTTTCTCAAGTCAGGAACAGATTCTTAGTCGGATTACTATGTTAATGAATGAAATTAATACTTTGGTTAGTAAATTCAAAAACTTAACCAAAAATAATAAAAATACCTTTGAAAAAGTTATGTTTGAAGTTACAAAACCTGTTTCTAAGGTCATTCATGAATATAAATCCATCTTAAGGAAAACCCGCTTGTTTATGTTCACTAAATACCACACCAAACATTCCAAGAACATTGAGCATTATATACAAACTATTTCATGTATGCTCAAATATAGAATTCAATCTTCACCTGCATTTGACGAACTTCTCTTTATGTTGAAACCAACTCTTAAGTCATGTAGGTAGTCAAATTATCTTTCACTGTAGGAATTAACACTAGATTTCTCCCGTATTTTCAATATTTTTGTGCCCTCACTTTCCCGCCGAAACTGTGTGAATTAGTTATTTCTCGTGTACACATTGTCACTATCAGACTGATTTTCTTTAAATTCTCTTTCTTTTTTATTATTAAAAGAAAATAAGTTTTTTTAGTTTTCTTTAATATTTCATAGATCTTGAAATATGGGGAATGATGGTGGAATTCCAGAGTGGTGTTATCTAACAAAAAATGGTGAGTGTCAAGGAAAAGGAGGAACTTATACTGATGTAATTGGAAAAGATGGCCGTATTGGAAATGGTATGGCAATGACTATGATTCCGTTTGAGGATACTGATGTTCTTTTCAAGCTCGGAAAAAAAAACCAAGGTTATTTAGCGGAATTGAGATGTAAGGGAGGAGTATCTGAACTCACATTTTCTGGGAGTACTGTGAGGTTCACAACTCCCTCAATATCGGGATATAATAGGTGTTCTTTTATAGTTGGCTTGTATCAAGATAAAATTCATGTTAGTCCTTTTGGTTCTAAAAATATTTCTTTGGGAAGTATTCCAATGTCTCCATCATCTTCTTTTAATGAGATTTATTGTGATACAACCTATGCTAAGTATGGTGCTATTCACACCGGATACAGCCCTTCTCCTCAAGTAGTATCTACACCAACAACACAAGGATTCAATAACCTCGATAGCTCTCTTTCTCTTCCTTCAACAACAACAACAACTACTACTACTACCACTACAACTACTACAACTACAACTGCAGCTCCAAAGCTAACTTTAGAAGCACAAGAGTATCTAATTGTTCCAAGCATACAGAGTGCAGCAGCATCTATTTCATTCTCTATTAATAAGTCTTTATTAACTTCTTCTTCACTCATTGTCACTTTGTCGGATGCCAACAACTCAAGTCTTGCTCAGACAAAACTGAAGTCTTGTTGTCTTGAATTAACTTCAGATAATCCAGAGCATTTTGACAAAGCGATGTATAATACGGAAATGAAGAGTGCTTCAACAGTAAATCTTACTCTTGCTTGGACTAAAGCATTTATCTATTTAATTCTAGTTTCCAGCATGTCAATTTTAGCTTCAGTTCCAAGGCTTGGAAATCTAAATACTCCTACCAGAGCAATTCTTGAAAATGATTTAGGAGCAAAACTAAACACTACATGGAAATATTCTAGTGAGTTTGAAGTACCAAGGTTATCTACATGCAGCTTGAATACCTATGACAACTCATGTAAGTCTACATCAATCTCCATCGTTTCTCCAGTTTCCTGGAAGCCTAATATATCCTTTCTTAGATATGGTTTTGTGTCCCCAATAAGCGGCAGTTACCCGATTTCTATCTCATTAACTTCCGGTGGAACTTTATTTGTGTCTATTAATTTCAGTCAAACTGGTATTACCGTTTCTATTCCTTCCTCATCTCAAACTTCTTCTATGAGCTATGTTAAAACCCCAAATCCAGGAGAATGGGTTTCCGGGGATATCTTTGTTTTAAGTCCCAAGTTATACAATACTTTAGATAGAATCAATAATTCAAAGCCTTGTACTCTCATCACATCTTCCTGTACTGCAACATCTTCTTGGGCCTCCACAAGTTTGTCTAATTTGGTTGCAAGTTACGCATATTTATCCAAGCTTTCTTTGGAAGCAGGAATAGAAGATACTGAAGAACAGCCGAAACTTTATGTTACCTATAAGGGAGCTGTTGCACTGAGTATCAATATCTCTAATAAAGATCTAAATGGAGCAACTGTCCAAGATAGTCCTACATACCAACCTTTGGTATATTGGAAGGTCTACAAGGGGCTTTCTCCCTCAATTAATATCCCTTCGGAAGAACTTTCAAAAATTAAGGATGATGTTAGAAATCCAAACACTACCACTACTCTTTCTTTAAATACAACTACAGTTGTAACTACAACAACGACAAAGTCTACAAGCTCAGGATCATGGTTTGACAGCATTTCATCCTGGTTTTAAAATTTCAAAAATAACGAAATCAGAAAATTAATACCTACAAAAATGAAGAAATTATTTTCCAATCTAATGTGTTAAAAAAAAAAAATTTAACCCGTTTATTTTTGCCTTTAGAAAGTTATTTTACTTTTTAATCAAAGTTCTAAACTGGGATCACATCATGCAATTCTTGTGTGCATCCTGGGTAACTTTACGTTTTGTCCAGGTATTAGTAATTAATTAATTAGCTATTGTAAAAATAGCCATTTCAATAAAGATTAATGTATAAGCTTTATTTTTCACTATTTTTTTTATTCACATTTTCATTCCTTTTAGTTGGTTGTTATTTTAATTGGGAAAACAATTATGTGAAGTTTGCCTTTGAGATTTTCAGAGATGCAAAAATCAATTTTCCCTTTAATAGTTATATTTCAAGGCATAGCTTTGAAATTCAGATTTTTGAGAAACGTAAGTTAATTTTAAATGCGAGACTAAATTCAATTTGGGCCTCCTTGCGGTCCTGAAATCACTAAATCTATTAATTCCAGTTTTAGATGGTGAAACTTTATTTGAAGAATTCAGAAATGAGACAAAACAGGAGGATTTAGTAGAAAAAGTTGAAATTGTCAAAAATCTCCAAGATTCTTTAGAAGTGATTTTGGAATCAGAACCAATTGTTACAGAGAATAGAAGAAAGTTTTCCAACAACTTTGGGTTCCCTCTAAACTTAAACCCGAGGGGCTTCAATCTAATGATGAAAATTAAATATGGGAGAAATTCAGAACCAATTAAGATTATTTTCATGGGGAGAGACTTAAGAAATCTATTTAACATCATTATCAAAGAGTGCCGAATCTATCTTTTTTCCAAAGACAATAAGAGCAATGGCTACTTCTACGATAGTTCTCCTCTATTTCTACCAAAAAATAGTTCAGACTATCTCCACTTGATGATGGAATGGTCTGAAGAGACTTTTAGGGTCTCTGCAGTCAGACCAGATAATACTCAAGTGGCTTTGGGTAGTATCGTAAAAACAGACTCTCCTTTAATAGCCTCTGGATCTGCCTTTATGGGAGAAACATTGATTCCACTACAGATTGAGTGGAACTTCACAAATAAACCTATTAACGTCAGATTCTACTGTCTAATTAATTATTTCGAAGGAAGGTGTAAGAGTAACTCTATTAGAATTTTAGACACATCAAACAAAAGGTTTCTTTCTCTAAAAGCAGATAGAGGCTTTTTGAAAGTCGCCTTTCAGTTCCCTCCAAAGAATAAACTTCCTGTGAATCTGAAAATGATAGGGGATAAAGAACTGGCCGTTACAATCCAGTTTTTCCTTGACCAAATGGTTGTACATGTAAACAGTAACTCTTTCAAGCATTTCTTTCTAAACGAGTACCAAGAAGGGGAGTGGCTGAACTTAGATTTGGTCCCTATTTCAAATTTGAGTCTGAAATATTTAATTCAGACCTTAAAAATTGCCTGTTCTACAAGGATTTTTGGTCTCAAAAGTACCAACAGCTGTTTGGACTCTATTAAAGAAGGGAACTCTTCTACTAAGGATAGGAATAAAGATTCGGCTAAGGGATCATGTGAAAATGATTTTCTTCAAAATATAGCAAGAAGTGGGAAAATTCTTGATCGTGGTTATAAACTCCCAAAAAAGAAAGAGCTTAAGACTTTCAACCTGACAGAAGAAACAGAAATATCTGACACCTCCAACTCTAACAATAACTTCAAGCTTTTGATGGCAATAGATGAAGAAATTATAGGTAAGTAAAATAATTAACTTTTTATTAACCTTTTTAACTTATATTCTAAAGGTAATATATTAATAAAGAGAGAATATTTGGATAAGTTTAGTTTAAGCTCGGGAAATAGTGTAAATTCTTTTAATTATACGGATTCCAGCCATGCACCTTTGGGTTATTGGAGATTAAAAGCAGGTTTTCCAAAATATATTGAGAATTTGGTAAGTTTTCTATGGAAATTCAAAAATAGGTTTTAATTCTACAAAATTTCTCAAAATTGTAATTTTCTATATAATTGCAATGATTATGTTGATATTTTAAAAACAGAACAACCTCATTAATTATTCTTTATATAATGTAACTATGTAGATGATTATACTACTCTATAACTATCAAGTAAATAATAATTATACTTTTTTCGATTTTAGACGTTTTTTAAAGTATCTATTGATTCTTTTAAAGAAGTTTAATCCTTTAGTCTTTTTTTCAAGGTTTAGATCATTATTATCTCCGGAATTAGTAGTAGGCATTTTGGATGGAGAAATCAATTTGAGATTCTCTTTTTTTGAGTTTCTTCGGGACTTGATAAAGGAGTTGGAAATATTGATCTTTGGCTTTTTCTTACTTTTGTTAATTTTACTTACTTTGAAATTAGGTAACTGATTCAAAAGAACATTAGTTTCTTTAGCAATTGTAGACAAGTAGTAAGCATACCAAGAAATTTTCAAGTAGTAAGGAAGGAGACTGATCCCAAAGATGTGAATATCTTTGCTTTCTTGGGAGGAAATCTTAGCTTTGTGGTTATTCACTTCTCTGAGGTATTCAGCTGTGATTTTGTAATTGTTCTTCATAATACTAGGGACAGAGTAAGGATTTTTGACAGTGGACAGAGTCAGAACAAGCTTAGAAAGAGTCTTTTTTACCTTTTGGTAACTAATAATATCCATATTCTTTTTGAACAAGTCTGAAATCTTTCTGAACATTGGTACTACAACAAATAAATGATTGTCCAAATAAGACAAAATTGCATTGAAGATATTTTTTCTAATTTTAATTTCCAGAAGAATTTTCTTGTTTATTGGTTCGTCCCACTTGTTAAACATACGAAGTATTTTTGGTCTATTTGACTTGCTTTCAATCTTCTTCTCTACATACCGTATACTTTTTTCAAGTTTCAAGTCTTTTGTTTCTCTGATCTCAAATAAAGATGTAATTAGTGCAAAATTATTTAGATAGTTTAGTATAATGCTTATATCCAGCTTCAACTGTTCAATATCTTCATTAATCCTAACACGATCACAATTTCCAACACCTCCAAAATAGTCTAAGCCAAACGCATTGTCTATTTCCTGGGTCATGTTTTCCATTATGGTTAGCAGCTCATCGCAAAGCTTGAATGCATAATCAAAGTGAGGTCCGTAATTATTCTGTTTTATAGTGGTTGTGTACCTCCTAATCATTTCCACAACACAATTTTCTCTGGATGTATATACCATCTCATAGATTAATTTGTCCATTGGGGAAAGATCTGAACTGATAATTGTGAAGAACTGTCTTTGAGACTTTGAAATATCTTTATCCTTTAAGATTTCAAGAATTTTAGATTGAAGCATCTTGTGAATATAAACCAGCTTAAAGCTTAATGAATTCATTCCAAGTTTTTTTCCAAACTCAAACAAAACATTTCTGTGGCTTTTGTTAGTAATCTTGTTCACAAATTCCTGAATATTAATGGGGTTGAATCCCCTTTCAATTAATTCTTTAAGATCACTTTCTTCAAATAAAAGTTTAAAGTGCTTTTCTTCTAACTCATCTCCAACATGATCAAAAAGCTCCTTTGTGATCTCAAAGACTAGCTTATGAAAACCTTTGTTGGATATTACTATATCTGGAACGTTTTGATAAATCTTGATTTCATCAGTCTTGTCCAAACTAATCCCAGAATTAAAGTTTAATATAACTTCCTTCAAATAGTAAGAAAGAACATTTGGATCTATTGGAAGCCTGAATTTCATGACAAATCTAGTGATGAAGTTAAGAATTCCAAGTTCGTTATTAAGTTGGTATAAGTTATCTTTCATGAGTAACAAGTACTCCTTAATCTTATTCTTTGAGAGAAATCCTTGGAAGATACGATTTAGGGCAAATTGGAATCCGTAAAATACAATCACAAAGTAAAGTTCATTTCTGATATTAACTGATTTAGGAAGAAGAAAGTTCTGGTTTAGTTCATTTAAGTTAGACATTTTCCTATAGGATATTTCACTTACAATTCCCACACAAAAAGAAAGGATATCAGAGTATGATAATTCCAAATTGTTGACAATTTGTTTATTAGTTTCGGAAATACATTCATTTAAAGAGAGATAGATGCTGATTGCTCCATTCTTATCGAGTTTTGATATTAAACTTTCAATATTAACACCATTCTCAGCCATTTTGATGTTACTTAATTTGTGCATAGAATTCGGGATCTTTTCTACAAGTCCGATATTAACTCCCAAAACTGACTGAGTTATTTTTTCAATCATTTCGTCTATTAAAGATTCAGAATCCTTTTGTTTTTCTATTCCTTTAATTTCGATTTCGTGGTAAAGTGATGCTTTGAGTCTTTTCAGTGTTACTTTTCCAGGAAGAGCAACTTTTAAATTAATCCTATTTCGTCCATCTCCTGGCCAAATGTTTAAAAAAGGTTTTAATAGCTCTATTGGATATTCATGGTTGATTAGGAATTTCTTTATATAATCTTCCCCAGTTTCCCTAGTCCAACAAGAAGTTAGCTCCCCAATCAAATCAATTAGGCCAAATCCAGAACTTGGTTCTTTAATATCTTTCTCAGCAAGAATTTGGTCAATATATGGTTTAAACTGGTTAATTATACTGTACAAATTAGAGGAATATTTCATACTTCTTATTAAATCAATCCATTTTTCAGAGAGTCTTTTATTTGTCTCATCCAAATAAATCTCTCTAAGGATCTTAAGATCATGATCAAAAATATAATCATACTTGAGGAATGAAACCAGTCTTTTGAGAGGCTGAGGCCATTCATCAGATAACAAAGTTGAGACTAGAGACTGGATTAGTAACTTCTCACAGGAAAGATAACCTATCTCATCCACTTCAATACAGACACTCATACAAATCTGATAATAGTGGTCCAGTCTTTTTGGTTCATCTGTAATAATATTTAATACAGATGAAAAGCAATGAATATGATCAAAATTGTTCAAAAAACTAGATGTTTGAAGATTAGAATACCCATAAGATAAGAAAATAGCACCGATGTGTTCCTGTCTTGGTGAAAGTTTCATTTTTCCCAATCTTCCTACGTGAATAACCTCATTATTTAAAATCTTGACTGACTCTCGAAGATGACTGTTGAATGATTTAAGTAAGTTTTCTGGATATCCCTCTTTTTCTAGCAGAATCTTGTTGATAGCTTCAACACTATTTTCATCTACCATAGATTTAGATTTTTCAATGGATCTATAAAAATGAGCTCTTGGGGTAAGTCCGAGATCTAAGTTATTACTTTTAGTAAAAGATTTTAAGCCAGAGACCTTAATAGGATCTTTTGATTCTAATATGTCGACAATCAAATCTGAGATTTCCCTAATTGCTTGAGTTTTTTCTGCATCTATAAAGGTTGCAGAGTTAATTGGAGTAACTTCAACCAAAATACTGAGTAGTTTATCTCTAGAAACGCTCATCCTAGTCCAATCAAAATGTTCAAGAACTTTCTCTGTAATTTGTTTTACCTCAATATTCCCAACGATGATCCCCAAACTTAAAAAGATCTCCTGGATAAAAAACTTGAAGAAATCATACATTAAATCGTTTTTGTTTTTTTTATTTCTACTTAAATTAGAAATGACGATAAAAGAAACTATGAAAGGTACGTACTCATGATCATAGTTTCCAATATCTACGTATCCTATGGTATTTTTCATCTCTTTGGTGTTCTTTTTAATGATATCCATTATATCCTGTTTTATTATTTTATAGAAACTATCTGCTTTAAATTGATCTAAATTATCAGAAATCAAAGCTAGATCACTAATCTTAAAATCTTCTAAGATTCCTCTTTTTTCTCTTTTTCTTCCAGCTTTACTTTCAATTATACTTTGTGTGAAAAATTTTATCAGAGCTTGAATATCATCTCCCATTTTTATAATTGGCTCCTCAGAAGCTGTAGATAGAGGACACAAGTTCTCAGGTTTTTTGAAGATTAGCAAAAGTTTGCTTGAATGTTTAAGTTTGTTTTCTAAATCTAAGATTTCCATATTTTGATTCCCTTTGATTGTATCCCATATCCAAGAATCTCCAGTTTCGTATTTACTGTTTGTTGAAGAGAGATAGGGATTTTTCTCTAAAATGGGTAAAATTTGACTTAAATTCATATTGAGCTTTTTAGTTTCTTCATATTCTTTCTCCAATGCAAATTGAGCAAGTTTCCTTACAAAAACAAAGGGACTAATACTGGAACTGACCATTGTATTTCTAATTAACAAAGCTGTCAACAAAATTACACAGCTAGGGTAATCCTTAAGAAGCTTTAAATGAATCTCTAAATGATTTCTTATGAATTTAAATACCTTAAAAAAATCGAATAAAGGAGTAATGGCATATTTCACTTCAGAAATGTTTGGAAGCAAAGCACCAAATGTGCTTTGCTCCCAAAACTTTGGAAATAGAGAGTCAATTATTTGACTAAGCCTATAGGCAGGCAGAGTTTGAACAATCTTTTCGTATTCTCCAGTAGAATCATCATAATTGTTGACGAAAGACTGAATTTGCATGCAAACTTGATCAAAATTAACCATTATAGGAATTTCAAGGTCTCTGACCCTGGAAGAGCTTAAATATAACTTTTCCAATACATTCTTTAAAGTTTCAATACATTCAGAACCTAAAAACCCAAGAAGGCTTACAGAATTAAAGAATAGACCATCCTTTTCTACGTTTATTGGGTGTAACAGTTCCTCCTCCAAAGTTGAGACGACAACTCCACTAATTCCTTGCTCCATTAACCAAGATTCTCTTCTGAAAAGTGCACTTCCCATTCTTTTACATATATTGTAAATTCTAGCAGAATAGACAACATTTTTGGGTCTGTTATAAAAAAAGAAGCTTCTAAATGATCGGATACAAGCCAAAAAATCAAAAAGATCTCCTTCTTTGGCACTCAGTAACCCGTGTTTCTCATGTAACTCGTTGATTAAATTATAGTTAACTGGTTGACCCAGAAAATCTTCAGTTAACAATGGAACTAACCTTTCAAGAGCGCTTGGGAATCTATAATTTGGCTGGAAAATGTATTCCTGAGACTCACTAATCAGTCTCTCTGAGTTAATACTTGGAGTAAATTGTCTCAAAAATATTTCTAGATGAGGAAGATCATTAAATCTTCTTGGGTACTCTGATATTTCACCATTATCAAAAATACCCTCCCTTGCTTTTCTGTAATTTTGAATTATATATCCATAAGAACTCAAAAGTTCCTCAACCCTTTCAAAACTAATTCCTCCAGAAATATTGCTTGCTTCTTTCATATCCACAACATCAAATGAAGATTTGATGCAGGTTAGGTATAAAACATCATGATCTTTAAGTGATATATCACTAAATATTATGTTTACGTTATTCTCAGTTAATTTGATTTCTTTGCCATTTTTTGTGAAGAGACTCTCAGGCCTAATATGATTTCCAAAAGTTTTTCTAAGTAGATCTGAAATTTTATTAGAAGTCATCACAGTTCGGAATTTAATTACCTTATTAATATCTGGTGTGTCCTTCAAAATAACAATCAGAGAAATCCATTCACTTTTAACCAATTTCTTACTATTTAAAAGTATAAGTGAATTCTGAATAAGCATTTCGACAGGATTGAATGTTTTGATCCTTGGGGAAATATTGATATAATGTCCTTTGCTGTTTTTTGCCTCCTTTTTATCCGTGAAATACTTTTCATGAACTATAATGTCGTACAAATCAATGTTGTTATCTAAAATCATATTCAATATGTGAAATAGTCCGAACTGGAACTGGGACTGGAACCCATTATGAAAGTTATAAGGAATAGATGTAATCTTTGCAATGTATGACCATTTCTGAGCCTTTGAAACGATATTTACACTCTTGAAAGGCTCTATTATCAGATTTACCAATATTTGGTCGTGATCATTGATTCCTAAATCAGAAATCAGCATGTTATGTTTTTCAGGATTGTTTTGAATTAAGTTTTCAACATGGTCCAATAATAAGGCATTTGACTTCTGACTATCTCCAAGTATTTCAATGGATGCCACTTCAAACTTATCAACTCCAAATTTGTCTCCAATAACAAATATCTCATCCATCAAAGCAGTTTTAATCTCACTAAACAGGTTTTTTGTGATTTCGTTGGATGAAATTTGTATTTCCTTGCTTAAAAAGTTCTCTTTTAAATTCTCCTTCTCATCTATTGGAGGAATGATTTCGAGTATAGAGGGATTCCTCCAAATAAGCCTCAAATTAAGTAAGGAAATGTTTTTCAACAATGTAATCAACTCTAACTTATTAGAAGTCTCAAAACCATATTTTGAAATATTTTGATCTAAGTTACCCGATTGAGGATCCAACATTTTTCCATTTGGAAATAGTAAAAACTTTATTATTCTGTCCTTAAGTTCCTCTCTTTTGTATAGATCCTCGAGAAATTGTCTAAGAGGTTTATCTTTAATACTAAACAAAAAACTGCCTTCTTTTCTTGTGTTTGTATCCTTCCAGGAAATGTTAATGGTAAAAACTTCGGGTTCCAAATCTTTTAAAATTAAGTTAAGAACATCTCCATCATTTAGTCCAAGAGTTTCAGCTGAAATATCCATTTCATTCTCTTGATCTGCAAACATAAATGTTTTGGATTCAGTCCGAAAACCTTTAAATACCTCTTTTTTGGGGTCCAAAAGACCTCTATTAGCTAGAATAGGGATTATTGAGATTAATGGAACATTTTTGAAGCCAATACTCACTTTGGTTGAGATACCTACAGGGTGAGTACGAGTAATTCGAAGGTTAATGATATCCTTTTGAGTCTCTGTTGTAGATTCTGTGTTTTGGTCGATTATCTTTAGAAATTTGTTATAGGATTTTCTTCTAGGGTAGTTCTCAAAAAGAGTCCCCCATTCATCACAGATTAAGTCAGTATTTGCATCTAATGGAACCTGGAACTTATCAAACAATTCATTGACTTTTTTAATACAATCACTCTTATCAAGAACTTCTTGCTCAGTAAAAAGCTTAAGAACATTTTCTTTTAGGCCTGGATGGTTCTCAAAAGGTAGGTAGTAACCAGAATAGTCTCTAAGCCAGTTAATGAAGTCAAAATCCAGTTTCTTTGTGTTTCCATCAAGTTGGTTCGCAACAAAGCCAGTAATGATTGCGCTTTCTTTAAAGGGAATGTTGTTTTCTGCCAATTTTGAGAACAGTTGGTCATAGTTAAAACCGTAAATTGGGTTTAAAGATAATATAATTTTTGAAGCTTTATCTTTTCCAATTTTAGGATAATTCTCTAGAATATAAGTCAGGAGTCTCCTGAATGTAGAAGATCGATGGAGAGCCATAGGTTTATCCACATGTTCTAGTACATTAATTGAGAAAATTTTAGATAGAGATTTTAACTCATCCTTTGAAATAAAGTCAGTCAAAGTTGAATATCTTTCGATACAATCAATAAAAGCTTTAGAAAGAATTGTATCGTCTTCAATTTCTTTAATGTATGGAATACTTGAAAAGTTTACCTCCATACATTTATTAGGTAAAATGTTACCAGTAATTTCATAGTAAGTTACATAGATTGCATATTTATTGATCTCTGACTGAATATAGGTATAATCTCTGGCTAGATAAATTCCAATTAGACTGCAAAACATAATTGGGTCAGATTTAAGTAAGGAATACCTAAAATTACTCCAATTGATTAGAATAAACTCATCGACACAGTTCATAAAGTTAAACATATTACTGGAGGAGGTGCTGGAATCTTTAGCTATAATATAGAAAGGTGATCCAACATACTTAACAATATTGTTATTTTTAATTCTTACATCTATGTTCTCAGAATAACCACTACAGATGTACTTGTTAGTAAACATAAGCTGTTCTTGAGTGTTTAAAAGGCTACTATAGCTTCCAGAGATTCCCATTATTGAGAGAACATCACTAAAAGGAGTGACTATAACTTTACCACTTTGAATGTCGTTGTACTTTGACATAATCGCTTCTTGAGATAAAAACGTGAGGGTATTCCTTAGGAAAGCCTTTAAACCAACAATTGAGAAGGAAACAGCATTCATTAGGTATCCCCTTGGAACATCACCAGCAAAGCAGAGTTGTAAAGTGGTATCAAAAATTTCTTTGGTTCCTGAGGTATTTTTTTGAGTTCCTTTGGAATTTTCTCCGGAGCTGGTATTCTTAAAAGAGATCATAGTTGGTTGAGTTGTTGGATTAAATTCTCTAAAAGGGTTAAGTTTAGAGAACATTTGAAAAATGATGCTTTTATCATTACAAATCAAGTTAACGTGATCTTGGTTGATTGGACTTGGATTCATCACTCTGACGAAAGGAAACTCTGGTGTGGAATGATATCTTTGGCTTATGAATGGTTCATGACTATTAAGCACTTGAAGATGTCTCCTGCATTCATTTATGTCAAATCCATCATTCATTGCCTGCAACAGAAAATATGTCACAGACCTACCAAAATTTGTGGTGTAAATAGCCTTTTCTGAAGAGCTCATGTTTGGGAAGAAATCAAAGTTTGCATTTCTAGAAAGCCAAACCAAAGCTAGTGAGACATAAGAAGCTGTGTTAATATCAAATAGCTCGACCATATCCTTATTTACTTTTCTGTAAATAAAGTAACATATTCCAGAGACAACCGAAATTTCAAGCTTTAGTTTTTTATCTAAAAGAGACTCAATACAACTAAACAATTTAAATCTGGAGAGTCTCAGCATGGTTTCCTTTTTGACACCAAAATTCATTAGAGAGCTTTCTATCTGTGTTTTTAGAGTCTTCCTGGAGTCCCCCAATTCAGGAATCTGAATTGAATAATTACTCCCTTCAGGGAGTGTAAGGCCTCTATATAGGAAAAAAAGTTTGCAAAGGAACTCGGACTTTTGCATTGGAATCAAATACAACTTGAGAAGAAGATCGCTCCCAAATTGGCATTCATCATAGGAATAATCTCTAGGTTGGTCTTCTATTTTTGTAAAGTCTGCATCTAAAACATCTATTTTAGACCTAGAACTATCTGTAATTTCAGGATTCATAATTTGATTATTGTTTTCCATTTGGTAAATCTCCTTGATTTTGATTTGACGAATTGAGTCAAAGATATAAATGATTTCTGGCTCTAAACTTAACTTTTTAAAGCTCTTCCCAGTTAACTGAGAAATACTAACTCCAAGCTGCTCTTGAATAGAATGATCAAAAGCTATGAGGTCGAATATATGCCCCAAAAATAAGGGGTTTCTTCCAAATATAAGTCCAATATTGTAACAGATTCTCAGAGCCGTGGATCTGTGTAATTTTTCTGTCCTTTTATTATCTCGATCCAAAAAGTTCTCAAGACTCAGTTCAACAGATTCAAGGCAAGTCTCGACTGAAAAACTCTTACTTTTACACAGAAATGATTGGATGCTATTCACAATTTCAAAGGGAACTTTTAGTTTCTGTAATATATTAACTACGCTGGAATTGCAATTATTGGGGCAAGCAAATTTGTTTTTTCTCGAGGAAATGTGGGAATTTAGGACTTCATTTATCATTAAAGTAACCTGATTTGAGTCTAAAATATCTCCCATTTTTTCCTCCTCTAAATTATCTGCTAGAATTTTGCCTTTCTTACTTCTTAGTATATTAATATAGCCTTCCTCCTTTGATTGTAACCAACTAGAAATTTCTTGGACACAGGCTTCGCTTACTTGGTTTGAGTCACCCAAAGAGCAGGAAGGTAACTTGGGAAGATCGTATCCCAAACGGTTGTGCTTTAAACATGACGCCACAGTATTGAAGATTTCCTCAGCAGGGTTAGCTTCCAATAAACTCAGATGTATCACAAAAATAAGAAAAAATGACAGAATGCACCACTTTGATAGTGGGAGCAACATGTCTGAGATTCTAATTTACTAGTCTCTCAATATATGTTAAGATACACATTCACTTCTTCTGGATTTATTTTCTTTGGTTTTGGACCAATTACATGCAATTTTCGACAGAGATCTAGGCGGGCTCTTGCTATGAATCTTTAAAAGCCATGTTAGTGGGATTTAAAGAAAATAATTCAAAAAAAAAAATGATAAATTATTAATTTAAAAACTAAATCAGCCTAAATAGTTATATTAATCTAGAATCTAAGAAAGCTAAATCAACTTTAAGTTAGCGATCCTGTTGTTCTTTTTGAGGATTGCAAGCTATTAGTAATAGCCATAGGAACATTCCTGAATGAGCTGAAGTCATCTAGTTCCACCACCTTAGCTTGTCTTCCCAGAGCCTTTTCTTCACTGTCTTTTTTAAAGGATTGTTTAGTATCATATAAGGCGTTGGTGAACTCATCAGGATCCCTTAATGCTGGGTATTTTAGATCTTCAAAAATATCCATGGAATCTGAAGCAGAGAACGCTGCTCCCCAAAAATCGCTTCCAGAAGATCTATAATGCCTTGCATGTTGGTTAAGCGAGTTTTCCATTGTATCAAAGTCTGAAAAACTGTCTTCATTGAATGAACTGACCTTCCCTTGTTGATCATCCTCAAAGTCTTGTAATAGGTAGGGCTGGATTACGTATTCCCTAGAGATATGGTCCTTACCTCCTCTCATAACTACTGTCATGGACGGGGAGCTAACCACCTTGATACACTTTGTGCACCTGTCTTCAGCTAAGTCGAATTTAAAAAGCACAGGAATTATTCTCTCTACATTTAAAATATCAACTTCACTGCTTTTACTGGACTTGAGAATAGCTCCTTCTGATATTTTCCTCTCCTTCTGTGGTTTGGCTTCCTTTTTATTCATCTTATCAAGAGATTCCTTTTTCGGCTCACAGACGAAAGTCCAACTCCAAATAAAGTTGTTTTTCAGACGAACTACTGAATGCCACCAACCTGTCTGGATCTCAACAACATGGGATTTTAACTCTGAAAGGTCCAAAAGCTTGGGAGTAAAGAAGTTTTTATGTAATTTTTTTTCTAAATACTCGTTCCATACTGGCACTTGTCCCCACTGGTATACTTCTCCATTAGTTGTGAGAGCTAAGGCAAAGTTGTATCCAAGAGATATTTGGGAAACTCTTGAAATGTTTGAGAGGATTTTGGGCCTTTTGGTACTGTAGACCCCCTTCCCAAGGCCAAGTATTCCATTTTGAGCAACTCCAAATACTGCAACAACTCCATTAATTCCAATCATAAAAGTAGTTCCTAGTCCACAGCTCAGAGAGTTAATCCTACCCAATTTTTTAATAGCTGGACTCCTGAGCTGCATTGGAATATACAAAGAATCGTGGACATCCTCTAACCCTAAATCATCTCCTCTACCCCAAACCAGCACCTCATTATCAATGGTTACTGCTACACAGTGAAATGCTCCCGCTCTTGCAAGAGTGATTTTAGTCTGTTTCCAATCAGCAGGTAGAGAAATTGGAGTTGGGGATGAAATCTGATACTCTGTAGCATCGCATCCACATTGACCAAATTCATTGGCTCCCCAACAGTAAACTGAACCAAATTCACTCAAGGCTAAACTGTGATCTACTCCACAAGAAATACTTTTTATCTTATTTTCAATTTGGAGACTTGCTCCAGGTCTGATTAGAGCTCTTCCAAGTAATTCACTAGGAGATTTTCCAAGCCCCAGTTGTGATTTGTCATTCATTCCAAAAGAGTATAGTTTCCCTTCACAAGTTAAAACAACAGTATGGAACCCTCCAATCCCAACATCTTGAATTGAGTTTCCTGATCTGAGTAAACCTGTTACTGATTCTATCCATCCAGCAGGATACTCTCTAGTTGTATCTACTTCTACAACCACTTGAATAATTTGAAGTCCTTTGGGAGCTTTCTCTCCCTTGGATCCAAGTACAACTCTATTCATATTTCTTCTTTCTAAGTCCCATTGCAGCAACATCTGGCACTCATTTTGAGTTATGTAGTCTGTTCTAACTTTCTCTGCCATTAACAAAACATGTAGTTTTTCCTCTCGAATTATCTGTCTGACTCTGTCACCTCTCCACCAGCTCTGAATACATTTAATTGATTTCAGCATGTTTTTCCAATATATCCTTGTCAAAGCTGACTGTAAGCGTGGTTGGAGAACATCTGCTACCCAGAATAACCTATCAAGGTGAGCCAAGATCCAATACCTTTTTATTAAGCACTGGATCTTCATGACGTACTCACTATTCCAAAGTTTTATTCTAATTTTTTGAAAGAAATGAGCATGATTTATTGTTTTTCTGGTGTAATATCCTCTCCATACGCTTTGTATCTTTCTTGCTGGAGATGCTATACGAATATAGTGAATCATGATCTGTCTCAAATAGTAGTATCTCCATGTCCTTTGGATTTTAATAGCCTTTGCCTGTTTAATCGAGTAGAGCTTCAGAAGAATTAACCGTCTCTTCTTTTTGTAATGAATCCAAGCACTTTGGACTTTCTTTGCTGCTGCTTCTGATTTGATCTTATGTAGAACATCCATAAAGGTATTCTTTACTCTCAAAACACTTAATAATAACCAGATAAAATTTAAGAACTTTTTCAATGCAGCTTTTTTTCTCAAAGATTCCCTTATCTCCTTTCTGACTCTATGGCCTCTGTATATCCTTTGAATAGTTACTATTGAATTAGTATAATTCCTCATTGCATTTGGAATATTCATAAGAAGTACAACACCAACAAGGTGATTAAGCAACATGTTCTTTGCAACTCCTTCCTTGTTTAGAATGTACATTCTTACCAAACTCTGACATCTAATTAGAGAAACTGAAAAGTCTTTTAGCTGTTTTCTGAGTCTTGAAAGTCTATATATTTCCCTCAAACTTTCTGCCAAAGGAACTAAACTCTTTGTTACTGATCTGAAGAATCTCTCTACTGCAATCCAACCGTCCTTTTTGATAAAAATCTTTGAATTACCAATTTGCCATTCTGATTCAGGTATTTTCATAGTGTTCATTGCCTGACGGCATTGTGTTTTTAGATCCGTTCCTGAATTTATTGTCTGTCCCATCAATTTCATGATCATTGAATTTTCTTGCATAAATTTTTCAAAGGTTTCTCTGTATGCATATCCTTTTTGAACAAGTAAGATTGCCTCCATAATTGATAGACTTTGAAGCTGGTCAACTACCATATCAGGTTCAATCAGATTTGGTAACTTCTTTTCATTTGCCTTGATACATCTAATAAACTGGGCATTTGTAGCCTTCAATGTATCCAATAAATGTTCAATTGAAACTCTGAAAATACTTGCAAGGAACTTTCCCTTAAGTTTTTTGGAGTTTAGAATTTCAACTTTCTCAAAGGAACCCTTAATTATTGAGTTTTTGGATTCTTTGAAAAGCTGGATGATCTCTGGCCTAATTCTATGTTTATTTTTAATTACAAATTCTCTGGTTGTATATTCTACTGTAGTTGCCGTATGTTCAATGATAAACTTATCGGGAATACTTCCTTTTGGAAGCTTATAGCCACTTTTGCTTGCACAATTCTTATGAGCACTATTGGTAAAGCTCTCATATGTACCATTAGACACTAAACAAGACTCCTCGAGTAAATCAAAGATACCTCCTTTACCATCGAACAGCTGAACCAAAGGAGAATTGTCTTCATATGTAATGTTATCATGGGAAATTGACTCTTTCTTATATTCTTGTAATTCTGCTTGAAATACTGAGGAAATAAAGAACTGTTGAAGTTTTTCATTTGCAAAGTTAATTAAAAATTGTTCAAAACCATTGACTTTAAAGACTTCAAAACCATAAATGTCCAAAATTCCAATCCACTGTTTCTTTTCATCATCAAATTCAATTGCCTTGTTGATCAGATCTATCAAGTAATTAAAACATCTAAGATAGACTTCCTTTGCACAACTCTCTATTTGCTCATATGCCTTTGACTTGTTCAAGGCTGAAACAACTACAGTGCCTCTGATCTCAATACTAGTTGTAATTAAGAGCTCCTCAAATTCTTTGGGGTTAATCCCCCACAACTCAGAGACATCTTTCAAGATGTCTTGACTTTCAATAGAAGCAGCATCTTCCATCCCTTTAGATTCTTGCTCACCTAGTTCAAAGTTACCCATTAGTAGGATAGCCGAAAATAGAGAAATGAGTTGTTCTATGGCTTCCTGATTTGGTAAAATTCTTTTTAGTTGAGGAAATACACAGTTTTTAAACTCTTTAACATCATCAATATTCTGAACATCATAGCAATTAGACGCATTTAAATATTTATACCAGTTTAGTTCACGTAATTTGTACTTAACTATATCAGACTGAGAATTATATGATTTGATAATTTGGTAGAAGATATGGTAGGATCTCTCATTTTCGATTTGGTGGCCAATTCTGCTTAATTCCAACATATAACTTGAAATTGCACCTCCAACAATACCATTAGACCTTTCTAAACATAACTTAATAAACCTACCAAACCTACTTGAGTTGTTATTTCTAAGTGTCTTCGCATTTCCCAAGGCTTCCAATAATGGGTTTGCTCCTAAAATTACGTCCTGTACATTATTGTCAGACCCCATTCCTGAAGAAGCAAAGTAAGACATGAGCTGTCTTGCAGTTTCTGTCTTCCCTGCTCCAGATTCTCCAGATACAATGCATGACTGGTTGATTTTTTGGGTTTCTAAAAGTTGCATTGATCTTTGAGCAACAGCAAAAGTGTGAGGAGGAAGTTCACTAGGGAAACCCATAGAATAATCTGCTCCTTTATACAACCTAATTTTTTCTGGACCATAGAGTCCTTCAATCATCTTGAAAGGGTTAACAGCAACTAACAATCTTCCAGCATAAGAATAGATTAAGTCCATATTGAATCTTTGGTTGATAACATCTAAAACGGAGGCTTCACTTACATGAGGCAATTTAGTTAAGTCATTAATTTGCATAGGATCGATTCCAACATTATAGTTAAAACACATATTAAAGTCAACATCAATATCCCCCTCATCTTCAATATTAACATGTATAGTTTTTTCCCCAAAACTTTTGATTATTCCTAGTTTATATTTATGCTTTATCCCGTCTTCAGGACGTTTGACCCAGATTGGAGTATCAATTAAAAGTTCATCATTTCCTACCATAGAGTACCTCCTTTTAAGCTCCATTTCTTTTGGAGCCGCTTTTTTGGGGAGCATCCTTAGAGCTTTAAAGATTTCTTCAGATTTTCCGATTTACCTTGAATTACAGAAAGAATTTAAAATTGAGCTTTTGATTGTCTCGTATAAAAACTATATAGTTAATTTCTAGGTAAAAAGAAAATTTCCTTCCTACAGAATTCATTAAAAAAGAGATCAATCATGAATGAAATCTTTTTTTTCATGAAATTGATCACTTTTGACCATTTTTGGTGTGTGCATGAGCACAAGTTTGGCGGGAAACAATAAATTAATATTTTAATAATAGAAATAGCTTTAGTAGTTGAAAATTCAAAAGTAGAATCCGGGATAAATTTTGAGTTTTTTTTTTGCAATAGAATTGATAGAAATTACCATAATTTTGATGGATGACAGTCATTTTTTTAGTACTTTCATGACACTGCAATCCATTGAAGTCTAGAGAACATATTTGTACTAATTAGGCAACCAAATAGAACAAACCAAAAAAAATATAGAAATTTATATAATAATTTTTATCTTATTTTTCTAAACTAGACAGCTGTTTAGGACAGTTTTAGAAAGAAACGCAAAGACAATATCTTTCTTTGCCGTATTCAAATTGAAATTACTAAACCAATACATAATAGAACGTCATAACTTATTCATTCTTAATATCCATTTCTGAGTATTCCTCTTCAGCAATATTATCATACTCTTCTTCATCTTGGTAGTCTTCATATTTTTCATTTCGGGTCAAATTTAAACCAGAGTTATTATTTTTAACAAAGTTTGTTGGATGTTCAAATAAAATTCCTTCTTGTACAGCAGTATTGTTTCCTCTATAAATTTGCTGGACTCCACCAGAGTAGACTAACTCAGGCGGAACAATGGTCTTAAATACTTGGTTACAATTTGGACATATCTCCATGTCTTCCTCCTTATCAGACAAACAAGCTCCACACGCTTTTCTGTTAATAATCCAGTCAAAATCGTTATCTTCTTCTAGATCTTGTAGTGAAACATCATTCCCAATATTTACACCATCAACAAAAATTTGTGGAAGTAAAATTGTTCCATCAGATTCCAATGGGTCCATTTTCAAAAGTCCTTCGTTTTTTAAGTTATCAAATATTTCAGAATCTCCTAAATCTGTTTAAATTAATAATTAGTAAAATACAAATTACAAATGAATCTCACCAAGTTTTAAGAATCAATTTGGTTAATTTTCTCCTAACTTGATGAATTTTAGTAGTAAACTTACTTGCAGCAATTGAGAAGTCTCTATTTGCATCAATCTGATAGTATACAACTCCTTTCACATCGAGAAACTGCTTTGCTCTTAAAGAACCATAAAAATGCCTTCTGATACCACTCAAAGAAGTATGTATCAAAACAACCTACAAAAGAAGAAAGCAAAGTAATAGTTGTGTGTGAACTCTAAGTGCGGGGCAAAACTTAAACTTTTGCACAACTTTCTCCCCCATATTTTTAATTACTTACCTCAGCAGGTGTAGCTTGTACTCCTGATCCTATTTTTTTTTCATACATTTTATACAACTATATGAATGACTCTAATTTAGGGTAAAGACAGAAATACAACGGACTTTAAATTAACTCTCTTTATTCTGAGATTCGGTTAATGAAATTATCTAAAATTCCAATTTATAGATAATTTTTCATTCATATCTTTTTACTTGTAAATAGACTTATTTTCATGTCAAAACAGAGTCCCGCCAAACATTACCGCCATAAATTCGGTGTTTTTTCATTGGGAAAGTCGATGCCATTTGATACCAAAAGATAGAATGAAGAATAACTGTATAAGAAAACACAAAATAGGTGTTTGAGTGTGCCTTTCTGTTAGAAGAGTGCAAGTAATTCTTTAGATGTTTTTTTTTCAAAGCTTAAGTAGTTTTGGTTTTTAGAATAGTTCTTTTAGTATAAATAATGTTTTGGCGGTAAAACAATTTATATATTAAAAAATCAACAAATAAAAAAAAAAAACAACTATGGTGAAGTTCTTCACAGTTAACAAACCTGATGTTAATCTGCTTGATATACCTGCTGGATCTGAGAAGTAAGTTTTAAATATCCAAGTAATTTTAAGTTGTCTAGTTCACCGACCAATTTAGAGTTCAGTGGAAGGTAGAATCAAGAGTTCCATGTTGTGGTAGCTTTATGATAATGCTTGAGGATCATACACTTGGAAACTTAATTACAACGTAAGTTTAGTGTCTCTAATTTTCAAAGTTTAACCTGTAACACTTTTCTCTGACGATACTCTTTCCATTTAGGCAATTGTTACGTGATCCAAATGTTATATTTGCAGGATACAAAGTACCTCACCCACTAGAACCTCTAGTGCAAATTAGAATACAGACAAGAGAAAACACTACTCCATTTGTTGCAATTCAGAACGCTATTCAATCGATCCAGATGGAGTCACAAGTAATATTGAATTCATTTAAGGATTCGATGAGAAACTATCCTATATACAAATAGAGAATAATTGAATTAAACTATGATTATTAATACTTAATCTATAATTTTTCTTGACGATTTTTCTTTAGTTTCTTACTTACATCCGAATAAATAACTAACAACAGCCTGATGTTGATTGTTTCTGGTTATTTCCTTTGGAAAGCTGGACTCCTACTGAAGTATTATTAGTAAAACACCCTATAATGATTTTGAAGTAAAAAATAAATTTAGAATAATTAATTTTCTAATTTTTGATAAACTTACCATTTATATCCATGTTTGATGAGTTATCCTTCATCTTCTGATTATATACTTCCTGCAATAAATGCTCAAAGATATGTTTAACATTGCACCTGGTGACTGCAGATGCCTCCGAAAAGAATAAGTTGTTCTCCTGGGCAAAGTTCGCAGCTATATCAAATGGTACCTCTCGTTTACTAGGATCCTTCTCAACCAAATCCAATTTGTTCCCTACAAGCATCACAACAATATCAGGCTCCGAATTTTGCTTAATATCCTCCAACCATCTTGAGGCATTCAGAAAACTGGATTTACGAGTTATATCATATACCAACAATGCACCCACAGATCGACGATAGTGTGCCCTTGTGATTGCTCTATATCGTTCCTGTCCTGCTGTATCCCATATCTGAGCCTTCACTGTACCTCCAATTGAAAGAGGTACTGTCCTTGTTGCAAACTCAACTCCTATTGTTGGTTGCGGAGTTTTTGGTAAAGCATCTCTTGTATATCGTGATAATAAATGAGTTTTTCCAACTGTTGCATCTCCCACTAATATGATCTTATAGAGATGGTCATATTCATCTGATGAAGAACCCATTGAATGTTTTTCAATCTGCACAAATTTTTGAATTTATAACTAATAATGACCAATTAACAGCCATTAATTTGTTCTTAAACCTAATTTTAAACTTAAACTAAAGTTTGAATCCCACTCACCAATTGGCGCCAAACGGTCTGATAACACTTTTTTAATATAATATTTATTTTTTATCACTAGTACTGGAAAGTGCTATGGAATACAGAGAATTTGACAAAAAATATTAAAAATAAAATAAATTAATTATCTTAAATATATATCTCAGTGGCATTTTGCCTAACATGAGATAATAAGCACATAAACTATTCATGGATTTTCAGTGAATTCACTTTCTCTAGCTTTAAACACACTCATCCCTTAAAATCCATTACCATAGTTAATCTTAGCTTGTGAAAAATCCATCTCAGGATGAGCTGCTTTGAACTTCTCAAGGAGCTCGTGTTGTTTTAAGTTGTCGCTCGTAGGAAGCCCCATTGCTTTTTGTCTTTGATCGAACATCATCTTCTCCACTGTAGCTCTGGTCTCTGGGTCTAAGTCAGAAAGTTTTGAGTTTTCTGGGACAATCTTGGTGGTGTCTATTTCCGGATCTCCCTTTATGACGCATGACCACCAATTAATATTTTCCTGTTTCTCGAGAACAATTTGTATAGTTTTCCCATCTACAATAGACCATAAACACTCATCTGGCTTAACTTTTGAATTAAGTTCACCATCTATAATTGTTTCTCCCTTTACTACAACTTTTAATTTACTAGTTCCAATATTAATATTGCAATCTTTTGATTTAAGTCCTGGGATTGTATTAATAAGTACCTCTACAGTTCCTAGTGTCTGAGTCCATGTGTACTTTTCAGTGGATCCTCCATTCCCTGGAGGAGGAGGAGTTTCTGAGTCGGAATCATTCTCATTGTTTGTCTTTTCATCAACCTTTGTTGCAGATAAACCTTTTTCATCATCTGGAAAAATCTCTTCAACTTTTGCCACGCCCTTTGTTAATTTATTTCTTAATTCTTCTTCTTCCTTCTTTTTCTGCTCTTGGATCTTCCTTTTTCGCTCTTCTTCTCTTTCCATCATTATTCGCTTTTCTTCTCTTCTTTTGTCCGCAGAGAGAGCCTGGTACTTTCTGAAATATTTCATTAAAATTTTCTCTTCTTCTCCTTGGCTCATTGCAGTAAAAAAATCTGTTTTCCTCAGTAGGAAACCAAATACTATATCTAAAAAATTCTCAATTCCATTTGCACTTTGAGCCAAGTTAATTAGAAGAGAGTCAAATCTTTCGTCCATAATTTAGATAGCTTTTTTTTTTATTCCAAAAATTAATTAAAAAACAAATTATTTCCTTTTAAACAATGCCGCTATACTCTATTTTACAGCTAATGAATTTTATTTTGCAATTAACCCCAATAATTTGTTACTAAACCTAAATCGTGCCTATTTTACTATAAGTTCAGTTTCTAAAAGGGAAATTTTGGAAAATAATCCGAATTCCCCACTTTCTGTTATTCAACTGGAAGACAACCAAAAAAAGACTTAAAATACTAAAAATGAGCTTTTTTTCCTCTAGATAAATAAAATCTTCAGCTTACTATTTGTGTATTATTTAATACCGGAATTATCTTTATTGCATGTAAAAAAAAAATGTACATGTATGTTGCCTGCTTACAAATATATGTCTTATTTTTTTGCATGCATTCCACCAAGTCGTTGAAATAACAAACTACATATTAATATTCAAAAAGAAAATTAATATAAAAAAAAATGGATTTTCACTGTCAAGTAAAAAATGGACAAAGTATGGAGTATGTGTCACAATTTTACGTACCATAAATATAATATATAAATGAAAAAAAAAATTAATAAAAACTTATGCATAATCATGTGGAAGGTCCACATTGGATCTTCAAATAATTAATAAAAATAATAAATAGTGCGGACATGATATTAAATAAATTAAATGAGACCGAAAGAAATTAAGTGGAAATTGAGAAAATAATATAGTAATAAAGATATATTAAGGAAATAATTAAAAGAAAGAAATGAGTAGAATAGTACACGACAGTAAATTCCGAAATTTGTATGGGGAATGTCTGCAAGATAGGTTTTCAGGTTTGCATATTGTAACGAGCAGGCATACAGTTGATGGATGTGGGATAGCTGCTTCAACAGAATTTATTGCATTCCCAGCAGAGTGTAGTGGTGGGGGAAGTGTTGGTGTGATTGACAATAGCTCGTTTGGGTACAAACCAAATGTAGTGTATTTTAAAGGCCATAAAGCAGCAGTTAGTGATGTGGAATTTTCACCTTTTTATTCTTGCTTGTTAGTAAGTGCATCTCAAGATAAAACAATAAAGTTATGGGAAATTCCTGAACATGCTGCACAAAAGAGATTAAAGGATCCTTTGGCAGTTTTTCGTGGGCATACAAAGAAAGTTTCTCTAGTTAAGTTTAACCCATCAGCAGAGTGGATCTTGGCCTCGGCTAGCAGAGACAACACAATTAAAATTTGGAATTGTGAGACAGTTCAGGATGAAATCAATATTGGATTGCCTGGTTTACCGACATCAGTCAAATGGAGTTACGATGGCAGTCTTTTGGCTGTTAGTTGTATGGACAAAGTAACAAGAATAATAGACCCAAGAAGTGAAAGAATTACTTATCAATGGCAAGCTCACAACGGAAACAGGAAAAGCAGATGTGAGTGGATGGGTGGCACAATGGGAAATCCAAATTGGTTATTAACAACAGGTTTCAGCGATAAAGGCGAGAGACAAATTGGAGTTTGGGATATCAGGTATTTAGACAAGAGTGTTGGTTTAGAATTTGTTGATATTGAGCAACCGTCCCTGATTCCATTCTGGGATGAGGGTACTGGTCTATTTTACTTGGCAGGTAAAGGGGACACAAACATTAAGGTTTTTGAATATAGCAAAACCGAGGGTTGTGTCCGAAGGATGGAGGAGTACAGATCAATAAATTCTTTAAAAGGTTACTGCTTAACTCCAAAACAAAATGTAGAGGTAATGAAATGCGAGATTGACCGAATTCTGAGATTAGAATCCGGGGGTGTTATTCAACCCGTTTCATTTATTGTACCAAGAAAGACTAACGAGTTCTATTCCGATTTGTATCCCGACACAATTGGAAACGAAGCCGCAATGGGCCCAGAGGAATGGATTAATGGCCATACAGGAGAACCAATGAGAATGTCTCTAAGACCAGATATTGTTCAAACTCAAAGTAATATGTTTAAGAGAATGAGATCTGTTGTCAAGAACGCAAGAGTGATATTGAAGAAAGATCTAGCCAAGGCAGAGATGCAATTAAGTAATATGCAAGACGAATTGTATTCTATTGAGTCGCTCAAATACCAGTTAAAGGAGAAGGAGAATGAAATTGCTCAATTAAAAGCAAAAACTTCATTAGTTTAATTATAAGTTTTCACTCACCCATTGTAACTAATAATTGGGGATGGAATATGAGAAGTAAATTTAGTTTGTAGGCTATACATTTCAAGAAATTATCTATTAAATACTACTACCTGATCCTTAAACGTAATTTCTACTATTTCGATTAAAACCTATTTGGAGTAGATTTTCATGGTTGTTAAGAAAAGATCTTTAATTCCTAAATCCTCGCAAATCCTGGCAAGAATCTTCATACTGTCTGCCGGGAGCTCTGTCATTGTGTTTGGTAGAGTTCTCATTGAATTAATAGTTTCCGAGTTTACTATAAAATTTTGATCTACAGGGATATCTTTAATAATTTCTCCTCTAACGACAAAATGTTTCCATCTAAGTCTTTGCAGTCTTCTAATATACTCAAGACAGCAATCTTCGGGACCCTCTACAATAATTATTCCAGGGTATCCAATCTTACAATAACCTCCAAGACAAAGTTCTTTCGCCCATTCTAATATTAACCTTCTCTTTATCTTGCTCCTAATATGGTGACTGTAACAAGCTCTCTGTCCCCATTTAATCATTCCCAAGGTTTCTGAAGCGCTCCAGACAAACCTAATCATCTCTTCTTGCTCAAAATCATCATTTTCACCTTCTGATTCTGAACTCTTCAACTGTACCCCAGAATCCAAATGACTATTTACTACACATGGAATGTCCCGAACCATCTCTTCTGCTGCCTCTCTGGAGGCAATAACCTGATCATAAATGCACTCTGTATTTGGAACAAATACATTCATCCCTGCACTCTCTATGTACTTTATTTGTGATTCAGATAGAAAAAATGGACGATCAGAATTCTTACCCCACTCTTTTCTGGATACCACATCAATCATCTTTAAACCTGATCTATAGTTATTCTCAGGATCCAATGTTATTTCCAGATATAGAGGCATAGAGTAGAACTTTCTGTCTCCAAGTAATACTCTGAAACGCAAATTTTCCAAGTTCCTTTCCTTGCTAATTTCCTGCTCAAGCCACAATTCTAGCTCCTCACTAATCAGCATCTCATCTTCCCCTGAAAATATACACCTAAGTGCATTAATTTCCTGCTTCAAACATTCAATTCCTTCATCATTCATATTTATGTTCATTTAGATTCAAATTCTAACTTTACTAAAATTAAAAACCGTAGGTTTTGGCGGCAAATATTGAAATAGTAATGTATTGCTTTATGGCCCAACAAGTTCATATGAGCTAAAGTTACTGCAGAGCTTCTCAGCCTCCTCAATGGGAATGAATGTAGCTATTCTGCTTACAATTTGAGAACATTGTTTAATAGCTTCATCTGGACGGTCATAGACTAAATCTTCGAGGCTGCTCACAATATTCAGGTCATGGTCAATAAGCTGAGCAGCAATATCACAGGCCACATCCATTGGGATCATGATAACTCTGGTAAGGTCGATTCCAGCAACAATATCTGGGTCTATTGAAGCCTTAGTAATCATCTTCATCTTTCTAAGAAGCTTATAGAATCCGCTGGAAACCGTATCTAAACTTGAATTCTTAGGCTTAACTCCTTCAGGATACAGACAGTTATCTCTAGCACTTCCTATAACAGATAGTGCTACAATAGTTTTTAGATCTGAATCGGAATTTCCATTAGGGCCAGGTTCGCTGCCAGGGCATCTATCCCAGTAGAGAAGCTTGGTAGAAACAGAGCCTTGGAGGAGTCTGTGTATGCTTAGCTTGTTAGCCACATCCAAACAGTATTGCCTGGCCTTTACAGCTCCAATATCCTTATTAGTAACCTTGTAATTGGAGAGGGGGATTCCCCATAAGGAGACTCTATGTTTGAAAAGTCCTTCAATGCTCATAGTTCTAATTATGTTAGTGCATGATTCTACAAATCTCCAGGGGATAAAGTTTCCTTTCCATTTTGGGGATTTCATCATTTTCCAAGTAGAATCAGGAATTTTATAATTACTTTTCATTTTGTTCTCTAGTTCATTCCAAGCAATTGTTTGGAAGACTGAGAATTTTGTAACATCAGAACCCTCCACTCCAACTGAGTGCTTTAGAATTGGAGCATATTTGTATTCATGTCTTGGATGCCCTGAAGTTTTTCTGTCAATTCTGAAACGCATTAATCTTGCTCCAAACGGGAACTTGATACCGAAGAACTTGTCTCTTGTTGGCATTTCATCAATAAAAGATCTCTTAGATGGAGGAGGAAGATCATATATTTGCAAAAGATAGTCATTAACAGTAGATACTGGAGAATTGGATTGTATGTTTTCCTGACTCTTTTTAGGAGATATGATAGCATCCACTAAAGTAAAATGTTTTGAAGATTCGTCAATTGGGGAAAGGATTACCTCACCAGATTCGATTTGTGGGTTACTTGAAGTTGGGGAAAGGCTTTCCTTTATAAGGGTACGGGGAAATTTTCTTTTGGAAAAGGATAGATTGCCGTTCTCATCCTCATTCTCATCCCCGTCGGTTCTGTCATGTAAGTCCTGTTGATCAAGGGAATTCTGAACATTCTCTATAGCTTCCTGTTCTCTCTCGTTTTCTATTTCATCCAAAACCTCAAGTTCCCCTTCTTTGTTCTCCACAAAGTTCATAACTGTTTCATCCTGTTCTTTTGGTTTATTCTTGGTGATGGAAAACGAGTTCCCGTCAATCTTAGCCATCGCCTCCTTAATTAGCTTATCTTTAATTTTCTTTCTATTGAGTCTCTTCTGGGTAGTGGTAAAAATGGGCTTACCTTCTATATTGTGGTAGGTTGAATGCAGCTGGGAATAAGTAAGTTTGTGAGAAGCAAATCCTCCTCTACCAGTTCTAAAGATTCTGTGCTTGTTGTTAAAGTAGTCATGCTTTTTTGGACAGCAGGCAGAACCAATGAGAAAATGGGACGTACAAGACCCCTTTGGCCTGGAAAGTTCAAGATGGTGGTCATGACCAGCTATATAAGCATCAACCTTGTACTTCTTAAGTAAAGGATCAAGAATCTTGTGAACATCGGCATTATCTCCATGCTCTCCACTTGAATAACATGGATAATGGCCAATAATAAAGATCCAGTCGATATCTCTCATGACTGCAGCCTTCAAAGTATTTTCAATAAAAACCATTTGTTCCTCCCAGAAAGCCGGAGTAATGTCGGAACCCATTGGAGAAGACATGACCCAAGAATCAGTATATATGAAAATTGCCTTGGTTTTCACCATCTCCTCCAGCCCTTCCATTGAACTTGAGCTTACATTTAAGTAGGGGTGGGGTGAGGATCTGGGAGAGTCAAACTCCTCAATAGTATAATACCAGAAATTTGGTAAGTACCATCTTGGTGACTTTGTACTGTAGTGACGATCGATCTGGGCTGTTGCATTTCCCCACCAGTCGTGATTACCAAGTACACACCTAAACTGAATATCCTGTAAGGACTCATAGTCAAAGACCGATTCGAACATATTCTCCCAGATTGGATCATCAACCGAGCTGACTCCCCACCTATAAAAGTTGTCCCCTACGGATATTATGAATTTTGGTTTAATAACAGAGGCAAGGTTTGCCATTGATCTGCTTACTGCCGAAAGAATTGCGGTAGGTTCACCCCAATCTCCAAAAGTCATCCAGCTTAATGGTTCGGAACTGCATCCTATTGCCACTGATAAACAAATCAAGGTTACCCTAAGTAGTATTTTGTTTAGCTTAGACATGATGGCTTACTGAAGTAAACTTAAGTATCCGAGCTTGAAGATACCCTGCTTGATCTTAAATTATCTAAACTTTTCTGTTATATTGTCATTCGGGTTTGCTTTTAGCAGTTACAACTTTTATGGCCAAATTAAATCATCTAAAAAATGAAATTATGAGCGCCAAATCTTTGTGTATTATTAAATTTATTAGAATGGTGGCGCCAAAGTTTTATGCTCTTAATATATATATATTAAAAATCCTGCTTGATTGAAAAAAATTGAGATGAATCAGGCATCTTAAATTAATCCATTTTTGTTTTTATTATGCTGACATTGATTTATGTTTAGTTTAATTTGAATAAAATAATCATGATTTAAATTTATTCTATCGATACCGCGATACATGAATTTCTTAGATTTCTAGTAAATTAAGAACAAATTAGAACAATTTTAAAAAGATTTACTTGCAGCTATTTTAAGTTAGTAAATATATTAGCAATTTACCTGCACAAACCCACTTGCATAAACACTCAAAATAGTTGTTATTTAAGGCTATAAGAGCCCAATCTATTTTTCAATGAATTATCTGAGATTTTTGGTATTTGTTTATCTTTTCTTAGAGGTCTTTGCACAGGACCAAATACTTCTTGGAGGGTCTAAGGCAATTGGAGGTATCCAGGAAAGAATATACTCCGCCTTACCTGGCATCTTCAATAGGCCTGAGACAAAGAACGATACGGACACAGAGTCACAGAAAATACCGCAAAACTCCACAGAAACCTCCGTAAAAGAACAAAAGGAAGAGAATACAAACGAGGAAGGTAAGTTTGGCACAGGGGAATAAGGGAGAAAGTGGATGATGCAAATAAAATGTGAATTCCCTAGAATCTGGTCAAAATTAACTGAATTAACGAATTACTTGCAGAAAATGAAGTTAGGGGGAATCTAAGAGTGAGAAGTGAGACTCAAACGAAGACAAAGAAACAGCTCAGAAAGGAACTGATCGATGGCAGCTTCAAAGAGTTCATGGAAATGGTGGAGAAAGAGGTGGAAGCAGTTGGACAAGTTCCAATGGACCATTATGATCCCGACATCTCCGTTGTTATTCCCGTTGCTTTTGATGATTTGAGGTCGTTCCCTGTTCTGCTCTCAGTATTAAGACTGCAAACCTTAAGGCCAGAGGAGATCATTCTCGTACTAGACTTTCCAGAACACGAAGCTGAGGCCAGGGCTAAGGCGTTAGAAGAAGTTAAGAAATATAGTAGCAGCTTGAGGAATCTAAGACCATTCTTTAGGGTACCTCCACCCCCTCCAAACCACAGAGCAGGTTCAAATAGACTCTATGGGGCATCAAAGGCCAAAAATGAAATCATCGTCTTCTTTGACAGTGACGATCTGATGCATCCACAAAGAATTGAATACATCTCTAGGGCGTTTAGAGCAAACAAAGACATGGATGCCTTCCTGACCGAGTACTTTGTGGAACAGATGGATACTACAGAACAAGCAAAGGAGATGCCAACCAAGTCTATGGAAGACATTAAAACAAAGTACGACCTTGATAAAATTGAGAGAGAAGGAAAACTGTTGAGAAACTCTTATGAAGAAGAATTCAAAGAAGCTGAAAAAGCTGTTAAAGAGTATGGTCTAAAGTGTCCATGGGATCCAAACGATAGAATGACCGAGATCAACTGGCCAGAAACACATGGTTGGTGGCTCTATTGCTGCCATAATGGATGGCTAACAGTTAAGAGGAGTGTATTGATAGAGGTTCCGTACCCGGACAAAACTTATGGAGAAGATTCCCTATATGTTTTTAGACTTCTAATGAGTAGAAAGAATGTAGGCCACAGTACTGTTCCTCTAGGAGTCTATGTTCTTGGAAATACATATATGGTTAGATAAACAATATTTTTGCTCCTAAGCCCGAACCATCCCGTAGATGTCGTTAATCCATGTCACGCAACCCATCTGAGAATCTTTTTTACTTCCATACCTTGCAATCTTGTATCTTAAGACCCTCTACTTCATCATCGTTGCAGAAATAGTCTGTAATGAGTTTCTTATCATCTGCTTTAGAGAAATCAAGCTTAGTGAAGGTATGGTATTCGAATGAAGGATGTGACCTCATTTCCTCTGGAATATCAAGTCCTCTAAACATGAAGACCCCCTGGTAATCAAAATCGTTACCCTCACCCACAATGTTAATGACACCAAAAGAGTGCTTTCTGAAGTTATTGTCAAGTCTCTGTAAGAATCCACCAACCATATTGCTTGCTCTGAATGCAACATCCAACTCGTCTGGGAGCTTATTATACTTCATATAATAGAAGCTATACCCACTAGCATCAAAGTTCTGGTACAGCCAAGGCATTGCTACTCCCTTTAAGTCTTTAGTGTTTGAGTAGATACGCTTCCATTCATCCATACTCATTGAAGTTGGTGGAAGACAATCTAATGGGTTCTCTTTTTTCTTTGGCTTCTCCTCAGAGGTACATGCAGATCCCGAGTTAGATTTGGCTTGGCAAACCTTAAAAGCTGAGAAATTCTTTATATATTCACCATAGTGCTTCTTTACTGAAGGCTGTGCAAGAATAGTGTCAACATATCTCTGGACATTTACAAAGTTTTTCAAGGAAAGAGCTTCATCAGAACATTTTATTGAAGAGTCAATAGATACAGCCAATAATATATCAGCAATAGTAATGCGTTCTCCAGCAACAAAAGTACGGCATGTGAAATACTTGTTGAAGTGTTCAAGGATATTTGTGAATTCAGATAATGCCTGCTTGACGTCTCCATTCTTTCTGAAAATTGTCACAAATAGTGAGAATATAGTTGTATCGGTGTATTGTAAGATCATATCTACATGGGCTGCGTCTGAGCTTGTTCTTCCATACAAGTTGGTGTATGGAGAGCCTCTTGCAAGAAAACGCAAGATTGTGCTTCCTCCAAATATCTTTCCAAATTGAGTAGCAAGTACTGGGGTTCCAAATTTAATATTGAAATCCAAGTCCTTATGGTCTGATCCATCGCTCACCTTAAAATTGATCTTATCTCCAGTGATCTCAGCAACGGACTTGATGACAGGTGTCAACATGCAACATTCGGCTCCAAATAAGGTATATTCCATCTTAGGTAACTTAGTAAATTTCTTAGTATAAAAAAACTTTTAATAGAAAATAAACAATGCAAAAAAGTCTTTTAACGTCAATTCTGATTCTAGATTAGTTTTGTAAGGTTATTTGTCCCCATTTTTGCGCGCCCATTTTTTGTGAGGCTCAAATTATATAAATAAATTTTTATTATCTAATTACTATATGATAATATATTAGTTATCTATTTATTCTTTATTTAAATTCACATTTAGCTTAACAAGTCCACTGTTCAAATTTAAGAACGCCTGCTTGTTACGTCCCCCCATACCTTACTCTATATAATCTAAATAGTTTTTCACTATTCTCTTTTTACCAATTAATATTTAGGTACCTTTTATTTAATAACAACTCTACGACGTGTACGCATGACAGCGTCTCATTTGGGCGGGCATTTGGAGAATATTAAGAGAGGAATATAAATAATAGGTGAAAGTAATTATATAATATGCACATTAATAGTAAATATAATGATAGTGAATAATTAAAAATTATAAATTAAATAACAAAAGTCATTTTAACGTTTGTGTCTTCAAACTGTCTCAGTTTGTCTTGCAAGAAAGAAATAATAGCAAGAAAAAAAGCCTTAAAGGAGGAAGCGTTGTAGAATAAAATAGGTTATTCTTTATTACTATATTTAAGGTTAATAAATTTGAAGATGACAGAAAAGATCCAGCTCTATAAGCCACGTGATCGTGTCAAGGTTACTCTTAAGAAGAAGTATTCTTCTCGCCGCAAGGCATCAGTAGTCGCTCCAAAGTTAAGAAGCTCCTTGCAGCCAGGTGTTGTTTGCATCTTATTAGCTGGTCCATACAAGGGTAAGAGAGTTGTCATGTTGAAGGCTCTTCCATCAGGTTTAGTAGTTGTGACGGGTCCATATGCCTTAAATGGTGTTCCAGTCAGAAGAGTAAACCCAGCCTATATCATTGCAACCAGCACTAAGGTTGATGTCTCCAAGGCAGATGTCTCTAAGTTCACAGATGAGTACTTTAAGGTTGATAGATCTAAGCTCAGAAAGAACAAGGATGCTTTCATGGATCAAGGCGATGAAACCAAGGTAAATAGAGTTGTAAGTGAGGAGAGAAAGAAGACCCAACAAGTTTTGGATGCATCTATCATCCCATCCATTCAATCAAATCCATTGATGATGAGCTACTTAAAGACCAGATTTACCTTGACCAATGGTATGTTCCCCCATAAGCTCAAGTTCTAAATTACAGGACTACTTTGGGAAGGAATCGTGAAGCTGTTAACTCTGTTAATATGGCTTGTCTAATTCACCTACACCATTATCATTTTACTGTTTTTTAGAATATACAAACGTTAATCTTATTATAACGGACCTTCTTTTTTTTTCTAAAGGGTAGATCTTTCTATTTGTTAAAATTCTTAAAATTTTTGGTTACAGCCATGTTTACTCTGACTTGCTTACCCTTGTAGTTCAGTTCACTCAATCTGCTGAGGCCATTAGAAAAAGGTAGAACTAAAATCAAAAATAAAATTTCAGATGATTGGGATTTAGAACAGTAACTAGAGCATTTTTAACTTAATGTCTATCTTTACTCACTATCTAAAATTATTATTTTTTTATGCCTTACTCATTTTTACATGAAGCTGTAGACATGACATGGCGCCGGTATAGGCGATACCATGTTGATGCTATAAAATTTCACAATTTGACATGTTTCTTCTTTTTCTTATACAAAAAAGTTGAAAAAACAACAATCCTAAAAGACACTTTAACACAAATTTCTAGGGAACACACTATTTGGTATTCTCATTAGTTTTCCTCTATTATCCCGTTTAAATAACGTACTTAATTCCCAATCTATAAATATTAATTTTCATATAAAGACTTGTATTGCAATGAATTCACGAAAAAAAATTAATAATATCATCCAAGGTTCCCTGACTCTAATAGAAAATAAGTTCTATTGGAGCTTGTGTACTGGTAATGTGCCTAACACAAGCATGGATAAAAAGGCTAGCAATTATTATTTTTGTATTGATGATGAACTTGTATATGAACCTTTCTTCCAAGACTTTGGACCATTAAATCTAAGATGTATCTTTAAATATTGTGAAAAGGTTGATAAACTCTTAAAGATTGTTGAAAGTACAGGAGGACATGTTGTTCAATGTACTAGTGTATATGATATGAAAAAGAGAACAAATTCTGCTTTCTTAGCATGTTGTTATATGATGATTAGACAAGGAAAGACACCTGGAAGTTCTTTAGCCTTATTCAACTCTGTACCCTTACTTTCATTTAGAGATGCAACTTATGGAACATGTTCATACTCTTTAACAGTTGGAGACTGTCTTTTAGGATTATATTATGCAATGCTACTAAAATGGTTTGATTATGAAACTTTTGATATTAATGAATATACGACGTACGAGAAAGTTGAAAATGGAGATATCTCATGGATAATACCCAATAAATTCATAGCTTTTAGTGGTCCAAGTGGTACAAGTGTTGATGAAGATGGCTATTTCTCCCTTACACCAGAGTTTTACCTCCCAATCTTCAAAAAGCTAGGAGTTACCATGGTTATTCGCCTTAATAAGAAACAATATGAAAGTGAAAGATTTACAAACAATGGGATCAAACATGAGGAGCTTTTTTTTATAGATGGATCTTGTCCTCCTCAAAATATACTCAACAGGTTTTTGGAACTTACTGAAAATAACAAAGGAGTAATTGCAGTACACTGCAAAGCAGGACTTGGAAGAACAGGGACACTTTTAGGTTGCTATGCAATAAAGAACTATAGATTCACTGCAGCTGCATGGATAGGATGGAATCGGATTGCAAGACCTGGAAGTGTTCTAGGGCCACAACAACAGTTCTTACACGAAATAGAATCTAATTTGTTTGCAAGAGGCTCAATCCTCCCTCCAGCAATGAGATTGGATACAAAGATCCCCCTTATAGCTAGGAAAGTTCAAGATGCCGTTCAAAAACAGGCCAAAATTAGACAAATCCAATTAGTAACTCCACAATTTGTAAAAAATAAAAATTCGGATTTTTCTAAATACCCTATTACTACGCAACAGAATAATATATCAAAGGATACTACCAATAATTGCGACAATCTGTCTATAGAACAAGAAGTCATACAGATGATGTCAAACCTTAGTGCTGTTGACAATATTGCTATAATAGGAGATGCTGGACAAGGTGAAAGATTGGTCCAGGCGAAAAAAAATATCTCAAAATAATTAGTTAATTATAAATAGTAATTTCCCTATTTAATAAAACTCGATTATAATTGCATAACTCTAAAACTTGATTACTTTTTATCCTTTTCTTCTTTTGAATTATGTTCATTATTGCCATGCAAAGCATAAAGATTAGAATAAACACCATACGGAGCATAAGGTATGAAATAAGGTGTGAAACACGGATTTGAGGTGTAGTAACATTGATTAACATAAGGATAAACCTCCATTTGATGTTGACTCCTTACATTTTCAGAAGTTAAATTTTTATTCTGTAAGTCAAGCTGCATGTGAGGCAATGCATTATAGTAATCATAAAAGTATCCTGATTGCACGGGAAATGATAAAGGATATGAGCCTGGAATCTCTGCAGCAGAAGTCTCTGATTTCTTATTAACATTTGATGTATCTTTTTGTTTGAAAGCAAGAGAGACAAATGTAACTTTACCATCCACGATCCTTTCTGGATGTTGAAGAACTTTCATCATATCTCCCAAATTGTTAAAAGTAATGAAACCATACTTTCTAGATTTGCCGGTATTGTGGTCACGCATAACAAAGCATTCCTCGATATCTTCAAATTCAGAAAATGCCTGTCTCAAGCTTTCATTTGTCGTAGATTCAGATAAATTCCTAATAAAAAGCTTTTTCTTGAAAATAGTGGACGTGAGGCGCTGATTAGATTCCATTACCTGTTTGGTACAATCAATAGGCCCACATGTAAACTCAGAAAAGGGATCAGCTGCTAATTTAACCAATAGTTGTCTCCCATTAAGTATTAGATTTTCATTAAACAACTTCTTAATTGAATCACTACTTTTGTAAGTCACAAATCCATAGCCTCTAGATCTCCCATTTTTTTCTCGAATTATGGTGGAGTCCTCAATCTCACCAAATTTTTCAAACAAATTCAAAAATACCTTATCTGAAGTCTGAAAGGAAATGTTTCTAACCATTACTCTTCTGCTTACAGGACTCCTCTCAACAATTAATTTACAAGCATTACCAATAATATTATAAAGATATGCGGATTTACTCAAAATATCAACAAGCTGCTCCTTAGACAACAGAGAAACAACATTTCTATATTCAACTATAACCTCCTCCTCGAGCTCATATTCTCCTGTCAAAAACTCAAGAGCAGAACAAGGTAATTGCTGGCAATTATTCAACATTTCCTCAGACTCTATGTCTCTTTCTTCTTTTTTAATTCCTAATCTGTTGGTCATTCTCAAAACTTGCTTTGATTACCATAAAAAATACTCATTTGTTGGATGACTCGTTTTTATTTTCAACTCTACATCAGCAATATTAAAAGCTTTCTTAAATTTTTATCACAGCTTAATTAAATCCAAACAATGATCATAGAATTTCATAGACCAGGATAAATAAAATTTTTTATATTTAATATTTAGGCGCGTAAATGTTTTATTTACTTTTACATACTCTATTACGAGGATAACTTGCATGAAGAATTTGTTTTTTGTTTGTTTTTTAATTTTCTGATAAGGAGGTTTAATTAACGTAAATTTCTATAGATTCTTTCTCGGAAGATCTTTTTTGACTAGAATCCTTTATTTCAGGAACTTAATCTTTCTTTGATTTTCTAATGGTAGAATAGACAACGACATTATGCCTAGTAAAAATATTTAGCAGTTAATTTGCAATATAATTGATTAGAGACATTTTTTGAACAGATTAAAAATGGGAGAATAAATTCCAATTGAGCAAAGCCTCCAATCATTATTGGAACGTGTGTACAAATTTCACCTTTAGTATATTAGTTTAAAAAGGAGACAGGTTGTATACTATATTTTTAATTCACTTCTATAAGCTTAGCTAACCTATTCGATTATAAACCCAATCCTATGTATGTTCTTATTATCCATTTCAAAGCAAAGGCCTCTTAAGTAGTTGTAGCCTTCGGACTGATTATATTCAGTCAACTTTGAAATTGTCTCACCAGCCTGTGAATACATAATGTACCTTCTTCCTATTTCATCGCTGGCAAATACGTAAATCAGTTGGTTTCTTGAGTTCATCCCAAATGATAGACGTTTAAATATGGTAGCAGCGCTTCCTTGTTTTAGAACATACTCGGTCTTGGTCCCTATTTCAAACATACCAGTCCAGGAGTCATCCACAGAAACTTTCTCTGACCTGAATTGGTTGTGGCAAGCCACGTGCAGTCCAACTATTCTACCGTCAGGTGGAGGAGAGGACAAATAAAGCATTATGGTTGCAATTCTGTGACTACTAGGGCAAAGGACTGCGGTGTTTTTTGAATTTTCCTTGTGAATTCCAACCAGTTTTCTGCAATAAGTAGAAAACTCATTTTTATCGTGAGTAATGTATCCACCATACAATTCGTTCAGTGATAGAGTTACAATATCGTCCAAATTTGCATGTGAGTTTACCTTTGGGACTCCCCTAACAGTTCTGCTTTCTTTAGGCTCTGAAGCATAATGTCTATTATGTTGAGTAATTTCTTCTTCTAAACTCAAACCTTCAATCTCATTCCAAATTTCCTCATTGTTTTTAGATGGGACTCCAACCCCTTTAATCCCACCATTTTCTTCATCCAAATTAAAACAAAGGGTGCTTAGAATTTTCCCATTATTAGAGTCTGAAGTCCAATAAATGCTTGAGCCAAGTCCCTCAGAATCCAAAGTCTTAGCTTTGAATTTCTCCAAAACGATTCCCTCTGTGTTAGAGACTAAGAAGAACCCAAATGAATTCGAGTTTTTGCTAAACCCAAGCTCCAGCTCTGAAGCTCCATTCAAGTTTATAACTTTTGAAAGCTTATCCTCGCAGATACCCACACTGAATGAGGAATCTTTGTCTTTGTGATCACAAATTACCTTAAATCCAGCAATTTCAGATTTCTCTTCTCCGTAACAAATAATGATTTCTTTTATGGAAACCTCTCCACAAGATAAACCAAAATTCAAATTATTCTTATTATGAACTCCTGCCCAGTCCATACAAACTGTTTCTGGTTCTGGAACTACAAATGAGTTAGAAAGCTTAACATATTTGGATTCCTTTATCTTGGAAATTTTGCTAAATGAGTCTTTTTCTTCCTTTATGAAAGGGAACTGAGTTGGAGGTAAAATGAAATCATCTTCCCAATACAAACCCTGAGATCTAAAGTATGCTCCAAACCCAGTCACTTCCTTAGATGTCTCTCCAAATTCTAGGCAAATCATTGACAGAGAATATCCACTATATTTTCTGGTATATAAAGTAGAGATCTCCTCTTTATTTATACCAATTGGATAAATGTTGAATCTTCCATCATTAATATAAAGATCAAATCCTTGTATCCCTGTCTTTTTAAAGTCGAATGAAACATCTATCCCTGTAAGGTATTGTGCTGGTAAATCCTTAGAAAACACTTTATAATCTTCTGGAATATCTAACAAAGTATCCAAATCAACTTTAATGGAAGAGTATCCAATTAAAGCCCTTCCTCCATTATCACATTCAACAATAAAAGCAACAATTTTGGAATTCTTCTCTGAAGAGAACTTCAAGGGAATAATTTTAGTGAACGAGCTTGAATCTGGACAAGCGACTGTAAAGGTTTCCCTTATTTCTGTTGTTAAAGGAGCTCTTGTCATTTGGCATTGAGGATAACCAATTTGGTTGACAAAAATGTTTCCAATAGTATGAATTGGATTTCCACCCTTAAGAGTCTCTATCTTTGGAGCAGCTTTGAGACCAATATTTAAAATACCCTCCTTCTTTAGTTTCAATGAGTTTCTAATAAGTTTGCTTTGCACCAAAGCACAAAATGCATCAAATGGACCATCTTTAATTTCATTGGACTTAGTTCCTTTCTTACGAGCCATTCCACTCTTGCTCGACAAGTATTTATATATTAAGTTTGTTTCTCCCGATAGAGTCTGAGCATAAGTTTCAAGCCTAGCAAGAAATTTTTCACCAAATATTTGTGGAATCCCAGCAAGAACTGAGTGTATATAGTAAGGAGGGCTAATACTAAGGAGATTCTCAACCAAGCTAACATTTCTTATCAGAACAAGATCTTGGTAAGTTCCAATTATGGCTCCAGAATACCCATCAGAACAAAGAAGTCCAACAACTCCCATTAACTCAGTCTTTTTGTTTGATCTAGCATGAATATGGGTAATAATGTGTCCTTTAGGGCATGTAAATGCAAAAGTACCCACATCTTTAGACTTTTCTAATTTCTTGTTCTTCCTATCTATTATCCATTGGTTTCTACACTCTTCTGGAGGTGAAGATCCAACTCTTGTTGCTATTGCAACATCTCCAAAAGCTATGTAAGCAAGTCCAAAAGCTCTATATTCTGGTGGATAGAATATTTTAGGTCTTACAACTGACTCACTAATTTGTTTTTCACGATGGATCTCTGGTTTTGCCAATGTGATACCTCTAATTATGGATTTTCCGTTGAATGTCTCAATTCCAAAACAAATTCCATAGAATGGTCCATCCTTGTCATATTTCCAGCTAATCTTTGAATCAGAAGTAATAATCTTCTTTAACTTTTTGTCTACAGTTCTGTGATGATATAATTCATCTCCTTTTGAGTTATAGATCTTCAAAGATACTGGCATAAACTCACTAGAGAGATTTTCTCCTCTGTATCCTATTTCAAAAGCAAGACTTTGAGCCTCCTGTACATCTTCTATAATTGTAACACCTCCCTTATTAGGAGTTTTCTCACCAATTCTAACTTCTCCATTTCCGCAAGTTATTTGGAAAGCTTGCATAGGATCCTCGGAAGTCCAAGAGAATTCATGCAGTCCTTTTAAGAAATACCCAGGTTTACAAGTTACTAAATAATAATCAAAATCATCATTTAACTTGGATTGTTCCCCAAAGTTACATATATTTTTGGTAATACTTTTCCCTTGGTAAACATCCACAGTTCTATCAGAAATAAAGTCAAGAACTGGGATTAATGATCTTTTTTTATGTTTTGGAAGTAAATACTGAACTTTTTCAACTTCAATATCAGTACTAGAAGAATCTAAACTTTCTGAAGAAAAGATCCCTTGTAAATCTGAGAAATGAGTTTGTACTCCTCCTTGAATAAAAGGCAATACATAAAGCTTCTTAGTAAAGTAAGCTCCAAATCCTAAAAGTGTGCCAGTACTAGAAACTTCAGTACATATATACTTGAGATTATTACCAGAGAAAGTTCTTTTGAAACTCGGAACTCTTTCTTGTATAAATATGGTGCTAATTCCGTCAATAACCACTTCTAAGTATGAGACAAACCCTAGCTGAAGAGTGCTCATATTATCCTCAGTAAGTCCAATTGTAATTTGAGAAATTGATCCAGTCCTAGAGACTTTAATAACTGAAGAATCTTTAACTCTTCTTCCAAGTAAAACTGAGCCTTCTGAAACGGTTTCCTTAAACTCAATTGAAATCGGAACATGTTTTAAAGTATAGGTAACTTCAATAAAGTTGAAATAAAATTGGCTAACAACATTTGGTAGTTTAAAAAGAAAGAAGTTACTTTGATATTTACCCGAGGATGTTCCAAACAGCATTTGACATTCTGGCCAAAGCTTAGGAACTGCAAGTACTTTTTCAACTTTGACACTATTATTCTCAAACCTATAAGACTCAGGAGATAGGTCTATTGGAATACTTTTCAAAGGCTGGACATTAATTGGAATCAAAGCAATTCTGTTAATAAAACTCATTTTTTTGCCAGAATTTAATCCAACACATCCTCCAGTAATAAAGCTTCCACTCCATTCTTTAGACTTTGAAAAATGAGATCTTGAGAGAAATGGAGGATTTTCTCTTAAATCATAAGCAATATGAAAATCATTATTAGGAATATTAACTCCAAATGTCCCGTCAACTCCAGAAGCTGATAATCCTGACAAATACTCTTGCCCAGTGATTGATCTTTCTATAAATGCAGTAACATTATGAATCCACATTTTCTTTTCTTGAGGTATTGACAATCTTACTTCAGATTTTGCAAGACTACCTATGTGAATAAAACTCAGGTTATCATCACATCCAAATCCCAAACCGGTAATAGCTATTTCAGTATGTTTGATATTTTCTGAATCCTTCTTTTTTTTTGCATTGAATGTGAATTCTTTGTAATCAAATCTCAAATATGAAATTGCTGATCCCAATGGACATTTGAAGCTGATTGTCCTGGACTTTGAAATCCCATCAGCCTCCAGTAGATATCCAGCACATTCATCATCAATCCTGTCTTCCATTGTTAACATTGATCCAGACACAAAAAAATCTTCAATATATTTTTCTACAGGTAGATAATTTGAAGTATACATAGGGTATGTTGTACTTCTTGATAACTTTGGATTCTTGGAGTAAACCTTGCTCATTTTTGAATAGTACTGGGCACCTGCCACTTCATCCTCCATTTTTATTTGTTTGGTACTTTCATCCCGATCTTTTTGAGACAACAAATCTGGATACCTTGAAATAGAATTAGGTAGATCACTTGAAGATTTGTTCTTAGCTGACTTCTTAGCCTCATTCTTTAGTTTTTTTCCGTATTTCACTTTTAAATTTGGTGCGTTCCAAACGTTTTCTTTGGTTCTAACCCCTAATCCTTGTTCCGATCTTTGTCCTAAACTTGATTTCACTTCAGTTACAATACTAGATCCCACATATTCGACTACAAATGATCCCACCACAACTAAAATGAGAAGGAAAGACCATGTAATTAACTTTTTGTTTCTCATTTGAGATGGATTGTTTCCTTTTCCCAATATCCTTAAATTTACAGGAATCTCATATATGTGGCATACTACACGTATGCACTATGTAATTTGAGATCGAGAATTTTCGCGCCTTTTATATTATGTTTATTTACATAATTGAATAGTATTTTTAATTAATGTACTAATTAAAGAAACCAAACTAGAACGATAAATGAAAACTGAAGAGGTAATAAACTAAATGAATTCAGGCTAGATTAATTAAAATAATTGAGGAATACCACTCCTTAAATTTAGTCTTGTTTTACTGTCACAGCAACTTTTCATTCAGCTTATATGTAGAACTTCTGAGATTCAAACTTCTTATTTAGGATGAGTGAAAAAGAGATGGAGGTAGATTGAATAATTAGATGTGGATACCGGAGGAAAAATTTGTTAAAGCAGGATGAGTATATTTATATGAAATACAACTTTTCCGGTTTGCAAGTTTTTTTTATTTCTTCTCAATTATTCCTAACCCCTCACCTCTTAGCAATGCATGTGAATTTGCATGCATTATTTTACATAGACTGTCTAGTCAATAATAGAAAAAAAAAATGATTTCAGTGTAAATTATAAGTGGCCTAATTCACTTTGGGTTAAAATCCTATCCTATACAAACTTATTTATACGCAAACAGAATGAATGTAAAAAAAGAATTCAAAAAATGCAATTCATCTTATATTTCCATAATTAGTGTAATCTTCAGCTTTTTGTTTATTCAAAATTTGTTCTATTTATAAAAAGCCATGTAAATTTGAGCGCCAGAAGAGAACCTTTTTTTTTTACAATATGAAAATAATTTCTACTTAATGGTACAACGCTTAGAGAGAGAGAGTTTTTTCTCAATAGATTTGTGATTCATTACTCTCCCTTGTAATTTTCACTCTAAAACGCCGATTTTTGATAACTCACTTAAAATAAATACAAATTACAAAGTAAAATCAATAATATAATATATATATATATAAACAAATTATTTACACGAAATATTATTACAAATGTGCATGCACCTAAATTTTGAGATTCCCGCCTCATTAAGAAATACCATAACTAGTCTAAGTTGAAAATCAATTTAAAAAAAAAATTCGATTTTAAAAGATTTCAATAAATTTACTATGTTTCCAAATATTATTTTCTTTTAATAATTAAATAATTATCTTAAAATTATAATAGTAAAGTAGTTATGAGGCGAATATGTAGTAAGAGAAGGTAATTAAGAAAGTCAGGTAGCTAGTATGAAAAATTGTTATAATCAAAAAAAAAAAAAAATTATTTAAAATAAATTCAATCATACCATATTTTAATTCTCCAAGCAAGAACTTATTGTTTAGTTAAATCTTAATTTTTGTTCTGTATTAAGTCAATTCACCTTTTAGATCAACAAATACAATTATTTAGCGCCATGTGATCTTAAAATTGAAATTCTGTATTTTAAGGCCCTAAAAAATAATTGTTATAGATTGGTGCACAAATCATTCATTTTAATACTTCCAAAAATGAGTTATACTTTGTTATATTTTATTTTTTTGTTTTTTCTCATAAGCTCTCCATTTGGAGATGCAATTTTTGTTACTAAAGAACAAATGTGGGATCTAATTAAGTCTGAATCGAAACATGACTCATCATCTCCATCATCTAAAGTTGTCCAAGATGTGAGTGGGCCTTGTCCTCATACAAAAAAAGGTGGAGCAAGCTCTAAAGCTGAATTGATTGAACTATGTATAGAACTTATTACAAATGTTGTTCAAAGTTGCCAAACCCCACGTTTCCAAGCTGAATATGTTCTTTTTGCAGAAAATGGAAGAACTGTTAAAATCCCAGGAATTAAAACTTCAACAAAGTTTGTAATTGATAAAATGATTGCAAAGTTCTGCAGATTGGTTATTGCCAATCGCCAAGTTAGTTTTGGACTCTATCCTGATCAAAGCTCTTTACCTACCCCTCCAACAGCACCACCTCAACACCCATTCCAGTCACAAGTTCAAACCCCAGTTTATCCATACCAACCACTCCCTCCCCAGTCACCCCAGCCCCCTCCTCCACCACCGCCTTCACAACCATTACCACCACAACCATCTAGAGCTCCTCTACCTCCTCCTTTAACCCAACCAACTTATCCGACACCAACTCCTCTCCAAACTCAAGGATCTTCAGGTCCACTCCTTTCAGAATGGAATAAAATTCTACATTCTGCTTTGTATGGATCTGGGAGTAGGTATATTTCTTCGATGCCAACATCTCCATTCCCAACATTCAAAGTAGGAAAAGACCAAAATGAGAAATTTGAAATCTGTGTAAAGACCATTAAGGATATGGTTGGGGCATCAATTGGTACTAATAAGTTATTTAGTAATGGAAATCTCGTTCTTAGGATTGACATGATTTCAGATAAAGGAATTAAAGTCCAAGAAAGTCTAATTTTAAGGACTAGTAGTGATAAACCTAATGAAATTAAGGAAATCATCAAGCGTTTCTGTAGTACAGTTTATTCTATTGGAGAGGAACTTGATGAGGAGTTGGAATGGCAAAAAATCTACCGTAATTCACTTTCAAGTTCTATTGTCCAGAAACTCCCTAAGACTATCCCTATCTTCTACAGAGTTACTGGAACCGATAATTCCAGTTTATATGATGCTTGCATTAAGGTATTGGAGACTCTTTTTAAATCTGCAACCAAGAACAATCCTACTCGTGGTCCAGAAGCCCAGTTTGGCATTGTAGATATAAATGGAAAATATCCCCAATTAGGAGGTTCTGTTACATCATTCTCCTCATCAGTTTCTTGTAGGTACCCATATAGTCAGGCAGATATAAATGAAGCCATTTCCGCTTTCTGTAGAGGAATTTACTATGGTATTCCGACCGGGCCAGTTAAAGACAAGAAAGACCAACTCTTAAAAGTTTATGATCTAATTCAGTCAGCCACAACCAAACAGAATTCACCTTTTGGGAAATTCCCTCATGAAGCTCCGAAATTCTTCTTCTCCTCTCTAAGTGCCTTTAACCTAGATAATCAAGGAAACTTCTCTCCGGAAACCAAAATAGAAATCTGTAAAAAGCTTTTGAGTGATATTTGGCATCAAAGCTCCTCCAAGAATCCCGCACAGACTTTCAGAGTAGGACCTGGAATTGCTGGAGTCTCTCCCAATAAAATTATCAAGGTTGGAATCCATTGGAGTGAAAATATAGGATATGTTACAATCAACTTCCCCTACATTGATACAATTATCCAGAAACCTGTATCTTTCGATACAGTTTCTACTGATTTCTGCAGACAAATTTTCCAACCTCAAGCTTCTCCTCCAATATACCCTGCCTTTCCATCTGTCCCACTTCCTACTCCATCTCCACCTCCTGTTCCAGCTCCACAATTTGTTCATGCTCCAGATAGGTATTCAGGAAGGAGGCCCCCACCAGGTTTCCCAAATCAGATAATTTTATTGCCTGTAATGACTCAGCACCCAGGCTCAACTTTATTGTTAAAGTATTCACGTGGGATTTGGAGTCAACTTCATCAGCATTCCAACTTTGGAATTGGATCTGCATCAATTATGGGTCTTGGATCGAACAGACATATTGATTTCTTAACATCCAATACAGGAGAAAATCTTTATAGTTATTGTCATAATATCTTTGCTCGTTTTTACAATACAGCAACAAATTACAAAGTTTCTGGTGATGGAAAAAAACTTATGGTTGAAAAAACTGTAAATGTTGATTTTGGTAAAGGTTCTGATCACGTAAAGACAGGTGCAGAAAGGAATACCTTGGTGTTTATACTTCCAGGTCAAGGCCAGAGTCAGATTCAGGGACAAAACAATTCTCTGCAACAACTCATTGAAATGTTCTGCAAATCCTTTATTAACATTTCAGGCTAAAACATTAATAAAAGATCAAATTAAATAAGGATATATTGAGTCATGTAGAAAAAGTAAAATAGACAATTTAATAGATTTAGGATCTTAATTTTAGAGTTTACAATAAGAATTATCTATACAATAAGTTCTAATTAGTAAATAAACGGCAAATTTTCAAAGTTTAGTGGTCACCATGAACTAGAGAGTAAAATATACTGTTGGGATTAGAGAGCAATAAATTGGGATGGTCAAATTCAACAATCTTCCCAGAGTCCAAAACCATGATCTTGTCGTAATCAATTACAGTCTGAACTCTATGTGCAACTGCCAATATAGTAGAGTTATGGAACTCCGCTCGGATTGTCTTCTGTATAAGAGAATCAGTATGAGAGTCAACAGAGGATGTTGCTTCATCCAATAAAACTACTTTGCTTTGTCTCAATAATGCTCTAGCAAGACAAAGAAGCTGTTTTTGGCCTGCACTCAAAATTTGTCCTCCTGAATCAAGTACTGTATATAGACCTAAAGAAAGATTTGAGACATAAGAATCCAAATGAGAACTCTTTAAAGCTTGGTATATCTGATCATCAGTATATTGTTGTAAAGGATCTAGATTAAATCTTATAGTCCCAGAAAAGATAATTGGGTCCTGAGGTATGATTGAAATTCTGCTTCTAAGGTCAAAAGTACCAATAGAGGATATATCTATATTATCAATCTTGATACATCCTTTTTCTGCCTCTACAAGTCTAAGAATAGAAATGAAAATACTACTCTTACCAGCTCCAGTTCTTCCAACCACTCCAACTTTGTCTCCTGGTTGGATATTGCAACTAATACCATTTAATACAAGTGGTGTTTCAGGCTTATAACGTAGTTCCAAGCTATCAAATTCAATTCTACCTTCATTTGGCCAGTTCTTAGGAGGTCTAAACTTATCCAAAATGGGCATGGCTTCTAGAGGAGTTGATACTGTGTAGTCTCTGATCCTCTCTAAACCTACCATAACTCCTTCAATTTCTCCAAGAACCCTAGTTCCAAAGTTGAGACAACTAGAAACTGATAGAGCAAAAGTCATAGCAGCTCCAAACATCCCAGCAGTAGTTGGATCATAAGCAACAGAAATAACTCCTAAAGTCCCAGCTGTAAAGACTGCAATACATCCCATAATTTCAAGCCTAACAAACAACCACCTATAAGCTGTTCCAGCGTGGTACCTGATTCGAGCTTCTACCCTAATCGCATCATCCATTTTTTTGATGAATCTTTCCTGAGCATTAAAAGCTCTGATAGTTGTTAAACCATCAATAGTATCTACTGTATGAGACAGAATGGGAGCAGCAAATATAGCTGCAAATCTTTCGCTTTGTCTAAGCATAGGAGCATATTTTTTGGATACCTGAAAGAATAGATAAGCCAAAATCGGAATACAAATCAAGAACTTTGAGACAACCTTAGATATAGAAATTGTGATGACAATAACCTTGGCAGTTGCAACCAAAAGATCACCTATATTTCGAGGAAGAGAATCATCTAAGTTAGTAAGGTCGCCTGTAAATCTGTTCAAAATCTGACCTATAGGAGTAGACTCGAAGAAACTCAGTTTAGTGTATCTAAGTCTGTTTAATAACTTCTCGTGAAAAGCTTTTGATGCATTAATTCCTCCGTTCCTTACCAATAAGGTAGAAGTAATATGGGAAATAATATAGAAAATAATAAGGATAATGTATATAAACACATCAACCTTCCAGATTGAGGATGAGTTAGATATGGTTGAAGGATCAGAGTTTTCATTTCTTCCAGTCCAGTTTGCTAACCAAAACATATTCCTTGAAAAAATGAACCCCGAAATAACATGACAAAATAGGATTCCAAGCATATTGAGTATTCCCCATTCCAAGAAATATTCAAAATAAGTTCTTTTGGACACACTACCCAATTCAATAGATTCTTCTTGTACCACATTGTTCCTCTTCTGTGTCTTGAACAATCCTCCACCAGATACTAATCTATCATTTGAATTTCTCTGTAGGAAATCCATAGAACCTTCACTAAAGTGAGAATCACTTTCTCTTCTATAATGAAATCTAAGTTTTTCTCCACTAGTCCTAATTGATGCTGTACGGCCCTTAATGAAACCAACTTTGTTGGCCTTTAGATATGGTGAAACATTGTTGTGGTCATCCAAAGTTATTATCTGTCCATTGGATGTAGCCAATTCCTTCTTAGAGTGTTTTTGACTCTCTAAAGTATTTTCACTATTATTTCCTTTAATTCCAGTCTTTCTCTTTGACTTTTGGTGACCCCTTCCAGATTTAGATGAAAGAATGACCTCTTTATAAGGGGCTTCTGTTGTTATCTTGGGAGTACTTGGGACAGAGTTTTCAGCCTTTGTGACAAGCTCGTCCAAAAGATCCACAGCAACTACGTCATCAACAATCTTGCCAGTCTCTGAGTCATCTGGTCCCAATTGAGAACAGTCCTTAGGAGTAGTAATGGGTCTGTTGTATACATTATGTGTATTGGTAATCTCATTATCTCTATCAGAGTCTGTAGCCAAACTAGAAGGAAACCCTCTAAGAGGTAAATTTCTAGGTTGAGGTTTGTCTAAATTTCCAAATACCTGGCTATAAAATGGCTTTGATCCTTCAATCTCAGTATCAAACCCTTCTTCTTCTGCAGATTGTAAAGATTCAAAGGAAATGTTTTGTAAGGTGAAACTTGGTAGTTTTGAGAGACCCAAGGGGTTACCAACATATAATTGTTTCTTCTTTTCTGCATCAAATAGGATAACTCGGTTTACATTTGGAATTATATCCAATTTGTGAGTGACAAGGATCACACATTTCTCACCTAAAAGTCCACATATACAATTCTTAAATATATGAGCTGCAACATGGCTGTCTACAGCACTTAAACAGTCATCCAAAACATATACATCTGATTTCTGATAAACTGCTCTAGCTAGACTAATTCTTTGTCTCTGGCCACCAGATAAGTTGATTCCCTTCTCTCCAATAAATGTTTGATCTCCATTTGGAAGAATTTGAAAATCCATCCAAAGAGCACAAGCTTTAATAACTGCATCATACCATTCTGGATCCATTTCAGTCCCAAAAAGGATATTCTCTTGGATTGACCCTGTTTGAACCCATGGTATTTGAGCTACATAAGCTAGCTTTCCCTTTTTAATAACTTGACCACTGGATGGAGAGATTTCTCCAATAATGGCTGATAATAAACCAGTCTTTCCACTACCAATTGAACCAATGATAGCAACAATCTCTCCAGATTTGACCTCAAAAGATACATCCCTAAGCATAAGGTTACCATCTGGCCAATGAAGCCTGACATTCTGAAACTTAACATATCCTTTCATATTATTTATAGATCTCTGAATTTCGTCATCTTGAATCTCTATGATTTTAGATCTTTGAAAACCTTGAATTGGTTTTGTGACCTTGTCTACTCTTTTTTGTTCTGAAATGACGAGAAAATCTCTAATTCTATTAGATGCCATGATAATATCATGGAATGAAGAGTAAGAAAAAGGAAAACAAGATAATACTGAGCTTAAAGTTTCAAATAAACCTTCAGCAAAAAATACTGTAGCTGGGTCAAGTTTGTTTCCCATCAAAACATATACTAAGGAAGTAACCAATGTGGCCTGCATAGTGGTACTGTAGATTCCCATAGACAAAGCTCTGTATTTTCCTTGTTTAAGAAGACTCTTAATTTCATCATTTCTGCAATTGGTGATTCTTTCTGTAAAGCACTCTTCCCAGGCATAGGACTTGATAATCTTCATGTAAGACAAACATTCACTAGTAAATCTTATTCTTTGATCTTGGAATACAAGGTATGGCTTCCTTTCAAGAGCTCTAAAGTGTAGAGCTATGACACTAATAAGCATATTAGCAATAACAACAGAAATCCCAAACAGAGCTGAGACTCCAAGTTGTGAGTAAAGACAGAATGTAAGAGCAACCAACAGAAAGGTAGCAGAATAGAATAAGTGAGCAGATATGAGTCTGCTAAGTTTAAACACATCATTTCCCATTAAGTTGATGAAGTTATGGGCTGTCCCAGGATTCTCAGAGCTTTGAATATTCTTGTTTCTAGAATTTAAAGAATTACCAGACTGCTTTTTGTTTTGGGACGGCATATTAAATTCAAAAGAATCCATCATTAAAAGCTTCCTGTACAAAACTCCTGAAACAAGGGACTTGGAATATCTCCCTAAATTAGTCACTAAACGGTACTCTTGTTGCTTCAACATTGGAAATAATATAGTTAAAACAGTCATTAGGATAACCAGGTACATCCCTCTCTGGAGTATTTCAAGATTAACATCTCCAGTTTCTAATCCCAAGGTTTTAAACAAATATGTGAGTGAGGAGTTGCCTTCAACGAAGTTTTGATTAGGATTTTGCATACACAATAGGAGTTTTCTTAAAACTATTGACTGAGCAAGCAAACATGTGTCTGCCAGGACTACTAAGGAGAAAATGACAAGTAATTCCCACTTAAATGTCATAATTAGGACATAAATTAAAGAAGGTTTTTTACCAGAACCATTCTTAACATGATTACCTTCAACAGACTCAACTAATCTTGCGGATTCCAAGTCATTTTGGTGTTTCTCTTTTTCATTTTTGGGTAAAATCTTACACTTATTAAGCTCTCTTTCCCAGTACTTGTTGAAATCCGAAAGTTTAAATTCTGGAGTATCGTAGTCTGGAAGGTCAAAAAAATCATTGTATTCTAGATTTGAGCTATAAGCCTTGTCCATAATCTCAGTAAACCAAGAAAAAGTTAGCTTTGACAGCCAATTTGCGCTCTCTTCGGGAGTTACCCCGGGAGATTTTGACTTAGTTTTAGCATACTCCCCAGACACAGTGCCATAGTTGGCCTGGAAATCCTGTTTTATGTTTCCTTTTTCATTCTTTCCTGTTTCCATATTAGTCTCAGATTTTCTTGACTTTTTCCAGTTAATGATTGGCCTTTAGCCAGGTTCCGGGCTTTCTATATTGAAACCGCCATTATCCGGCTATATGTCTAACACATACCACAATTAAAGTGCAAGTTTTCATGCTTTTTTGAGAACTTTTTATGGGCTCTTTAATTTAAAGCTCTAAACCATAAAGACTAAAGCTTCTAGATAACCTTCTTTTACTGCCATAATTTACTCTTTACCGAGACTCTATTCACATCTAATTTCTTTAGTTAAATGTTTAACTGGTGACTTCTAGTCTCACAAGAGAGACGCTTCACTTTTTCCCACTTCTTATGATCGGCATTTGAACCAGTTTTAATATTTAGTTTCAGTCTTTCTCTTTATTTTTCTGCCCTTTAAACCTTTTCTCAAAGGTTTTTTGAAGAAAAAACTGCTTAACATATAGCCAGTACCGGCAGAGGCAATTGGCGCCGGCGCTCAAAATCTAAATATTTCCTTAGTAGTAAACATGGGGAAAAAGTATTAACTTGAGGGGGGGGTGGAAAAAAAACAGAATTTCGAAAAGATGTGAGACAAGTAGTAGAACTTAGTTGTTTTTGTAACTTAACACAGTTAAAAAGTTTCTTAATTTTAACACAAAGGGAAACAAAAGGTTTTCTTTTAAAAGATTAGTTGACGGTTAGGAATAAAGCGCGAATTCTTTTGCTTGTTATTATTATTAAGTTAGATCTTGGTGAGATTCAAAATAGGAACTTTACATTCTAAGGTTTTTTTTTGGTGCCTAGGTTCTCAGGAGGTAGACCTGGAAACGATATCATCTTCGGAGGAAGAATCACTAAATCCCCCAACTCCTCCAAATACCAAGGTTTCAAACACCTCCACAGACGTAATAGAGGTTCCAAAGCTAAAGGAGTAGGAAAGATTACCAATTTAAAAGTTTAAAGAGGTTGAACAAATAAAGGAAGTCTTATATAAAGTTAAAAATGGGATAACAAATTTGGATTAATCTAGATGGCTACAAGTTATACTTTTAGCCTAAGTTATGTTTTGACCGGATTATTCTTATCTCTCCAATACATAAAAGTTAAACAAAGACTGAGGATGCAAGCGAACTAAAAACGCTCTTAGGGTTTCTAAGGAGGTTTTGCGGAGTGTCAAATTCAAATACTCTACCTGAATCAAGAACAAGGATTTTGTCATAGTTTATGATTGTTTTAATCCTGTGAGCTATAGTTAAAATTGTACATCCCTTAAACTCGGATCTGATTGTTTCCTGAATTAAAGAATCAGTCTGAATGTCAACAAAAGAAGTTGCTTCGTCTAAAAGTAGAATCTTGGACTTCCTTAGAATTGCCCTAGTTAGGCAAAACAGCTGCTTAATACCAACACTAAGCTGAGATCCGCCTCCTTCTAATTGGTAGTCTAACTTCCCTGGTAAATTGTTAACATATTCAAAGATATGAGCCCTTTTAAGGACTTGGTAAAGTTCTTTATCTGAGTAGCTTCCTTTTGGATCTAGGTTGAACCTGACAGTACCAGTAAATATAACTGGCTCTTGGGGGACTATGGAAATAGAACTCCTGAGCTTTAAAGGTGATACCTTCAAAGTTTCTACATCATCGATCAAGATTGTCCCGAAAGAGGGATCGAAAAGACGGAGTAAAGTGGAAAACAGGCTACTTTTTCCGGCTCCCGTTCTTCCAACTATCCCAATTCTCTCTCCTGGGGAAATTTGTAGGCAAATGTTACATAATGATGGGTTGGAATTAGGATAAAATGTCACATCTACGTTCCTGAATTCAATTTTTCCTTGAGATGGCCAATCCTTTGATACTTCAATATTGTTTTCTTCATTATCTAAGGTAACTATCTGGTACATTTCTGAGTCTGTATAAGTTCTAATTCTTTCAAATCCGACCATATCTGCCTCAAGTTCACCAAGAGTAAATATGCTGTATCTTAGCCAGCCAGGCATAGCTACTGCAAAAGAGAGAATAGTGCCAAGTATACCCGAATTTGACATATTACAGGCCGAAAGAAGCACACTAAAAACCCCAGTTATAACCAAAGTCATGCAACCAATTACTTCAAGGCGTAGGTAAAGCCAGATATAAGCAATATCCAGGTGATACCTGATATTGTTTAAAGCAATTATAGCATCTTCCATTTTCTTGATAAGCATATTCTCAGCTTCGAATGTATGGATTGTTGCTAAACCTGACATAGTTTCCATTAATTGAGACGTTATTGGAGCAGTCAGAGCTGCTGACCTTCTTTCGCTTTGACGGAGAATAGGAGGGTATTTCCTTGCCACATAGTAAAAAGCATAAAATATTGGTGGAATGAAGGCAATAAACTGTGGAGTTACTATTCCAATGGATACCAACATAGTTAATGACATCAAAACTGTTACAGACGAGTTATTAAAACTGGTTGGAAGAAGCTCGTCTATGTGAACCAGATCTGAAGTGAACCTGTTTAATATTCTACCAATAGGGGTATTCTGAAAGAATGATAAAGGAGCATGCTCAATATGAGAAAGTAGTTTGTTGTGGTAAATCTTAGAAACTTCAAAACCTCCTATTCGAAAGTATATTGTAGTGAAAATACAACAAATCGGGAGTAATATACAGGCTGCCAAGTATATATAAAAGTAAGTCTTCCAATCTTTTGCATTAAAGTTCTCAACCCAAATTCCAATAAAGAAGGTAGTGAGTACGTAGAATGCAACCAATAAGGACACAAGTATAATCAGAATAATTATATTGGACTTTTTATAAGAAAGGATATACTTCATATAAGTCTCTAAAGACACCACTCCTTCTTCCTCTTCTTCATCATCTTCATACTTTCTCAGCCTTAAACTCTCAATTTCTTCGTCTGTTACAGCAATATCATCAGAAATGTAGCTTGGAGTTGACTCACTTCTTATAGTACTAGCATCCATCAAAGTCTCTCCAGAGTTGTTGTTCAATAAAGGTCTCCTATTATTTTGGTTATTATTATTAGACGAAGTTGGGTTCATGCTAAACAAATTCTCATAGTGAGGGAACTTCAATAATCCACAAGGGTCACCAATATACAACGGCCTCTTGTTGATTTCATCAAGAAGGAGAACTTTGTCAACATGAATAACCAATTCTGCAAGGTGAGTGGCCAAAATAACACATTTATCTCTAAGTAGCCCAAGTATGCAGTTTTTGAAGATTTTTGCTGAGACATTACTGTCTACTGCACTTAGACAATCGTCTAGAGCGTATATCTGAGACCTTTGGTAAACGGCTCTAGCTAAACTGATTCTCTGTCTTTGGCCACCAGAAAGATTATTAGAACTTCCACCAATCATTGTTTGGTCACCTTTTGGAAATGTCTTAAAATCTGCAGTCAGACAACAAGCATTAACAACTTGAGCATACCACTTTGGGTCAAAAGGGGCTCCAAAGAGAATATTTTCTCTGATAGTACCTGTAATTGCCCAGGCCAATTGAGGGATGTAAGCCACCTTTCCGTCTATTCTTCTAAGTCCCTTGCTATGTTGGAGCTCATTAATTATAGATAAGAGAAGACCACTTTTCCCACTACCAACTGGGCCTAAAATTGCCATCATTTCCCCAGGTCTTACTTCAAAAGAAAGATCTTTAAGTAGAACTGATCCATTTGGCCATCTAAGCTCAACCCCTTCATACCTAACATTTCCAGGTTGTAGTTCAAGAGGGTCTTGGTTCTGAATTGGTGAAACTGGTTGAATGGTGGAGCAATGACTGCCACCTATAATCTGATTTATATTATTGTCCCTATCCTCAATAACCAAAAATTCACTGACTCTCTCACATGATAGGATTATGTCCCTGAAAAGAGCATAAGACTTGGGGAATGAAGCAATGAATTCACTCACAGCATCGTATATTACGTATGCAAAAAATATGTTGGCAGGATCTACCACCTCTCCCAAATACCTCCTTATCAAAACGGTAAAAAGAACTGCATGGAAGACTACAGCATGACAGGCTGTTGCAAGTCCCCAATATACGGCTTGGGCAAGTAAGCTTGATAACTCATTCTTTCTTTGTGAATCAATATTATTAATGAAATACCTTTCCCAAGAGTAAGATTTAATAATCTTAATGAAGTTAAGGTACTCGGATGTCAAAAGAATACGACGATCTCTGATTTCTGAAAATGACTTTCTTACAAAGGCTCTGGCATTGAGGAAGTTAATACTCCAGGCAGCATGGGCAAACATAACCAAGATCCCAACAATTCCTGAAATTCCAATATTGGCATAAAGCAATATAGTTGCAATGGTAATCGAACAAACACCATAGTAAAACTCATGGCATATGTAAAGTCTTCCAAACCTAGAGACATCATTGCTTAGAAGATTGACGACGTTTCCAGACATCCCAAAAGATTCAACAGCTCCTTCATAAGACATCTCTGAAACTACAGAAAGTCTGGCCTTACTGACTCTAGAACCGAGTTCAAAGTTTGATTGAGAGCTTTCTGAAAATATATTCGAATCCAAATTCAATAACTTCCGGTATACAACTCCTGTAATCAGGGAACGAATTCGTCTTCCTAATTGTGTAACCATTCTGGTCTCTTGTTGCCTTAAAAATGCATAAGCAATAATAAGAATGGTCATAGCAAATATGTAAGCAAATCCTTTGTAAGCAATACTCGAATTAAACCTCTGGGGAACAATCCCTAAAATAAGTGCCCACCAAGGGATTATTGATTCTGTAGAAGTATCTACTCTGGGAATAGTCTCAGAGGATTGAATACATTCTAATAGTTTTCTTAGTATAACAATTTGAGTCATGTTGCAAATATTTGAAAGTATAACCAAAATAAGTATAATAAAGATTTGCTTACTATAACATTGGAGTAAAACCCTAGCCAGTGAAGGAAGTTTGAACTTGTTTCTTTTAAAAGAACCATAAATATTTGGCTTCTCACTATTATCATTTCGAAAACCCTTAGTTTTTCCAAATGTCTCACACTCAACTTTCCATTTATTCTCAAACTTATTAAGTGAATAACTTGGATTGTCGTGCTCTGGTAAATGGTAATACTCGTCTAAAGATAAAATGTGGTCGCATGCAGAATCAATTATTGGAGTAAACCAAGAAAAAGTAAATTTCGACCAAAGACTAGCACTCTCTTCTGGAGTTATTCCACCAGTCTTTTTGATTAGAAATGGCTTTTTGTCCTGTACTTTATTGTCATTTTCTTTTTTCGAACCGCTTCCACTAAAAATCCCTCCGAGCATTTTACAGTAAAAAGATGACCTCTTTTATGAAGTTCACTCTCCTTGCTTGCTTTTTCTTTCCTTAACTTATTTCCTTTTTTAAACTTGATTCAACTTATTTCAACCTATCTTTCTCTTCTTTTTTTTTTGGTCTTTTATTCTTTTATTCAAATCTTTTGCTTGTTTCTTATCAATATACGGTACCGTCTAGAGTGGCGCCAAGCTCGTTCCTCATACTTACCAATGAAATTATTCTTCTCTTTAACAAAAAGAATCTCACACTTTATTTAGTATCAGAAACCCGCTATTTTTGTCAGGAAACGATTTGTTTTCTTGTATGAAGATCCAGATACTTTTTCTTACCACCTTGTTTTTTAACAAGAGCACTTCCAAAAAGATTTATGGGAATCCATACATATGCCCGCCAGATTGCCCGCCTATATGCATCCCCCCACTAGGCCATGCACTTTGAATCATGTCATCTGAATCTTTTAACTTTTTTGAAGTACCCAAAAGGCTAATAAGAGTTTTGGTGGGACAATAAAAGGACCGAGATTTAGATAGAATGAGTTGTTGTATTTTTGGAATATTGCTTTGAAATTGAAAAAGAATGACTCTTTTCGGTACAAAGCTCTTTAACCACATAATACTATGGCTTGGTATAATAATTGTTTTGGCAGTTACGGAAGTTTTTGGGAAATCTCCAGGGAAACATGGAAAGCTGATGCGTAATTGTCCTCCTGAATTTACTTATAATGAGCTTCGGAAACTTATATTAAATGGATCTCTTGTGGAGGCTCAGAATTTCAAAGACTCTTTGGGACCAAGTGAGAAAACAGTTTTGTATGGATTTATTCAAGTAGCCTTAGATACAGATATTCAAAGTCTTAAAATTGAACTCCCAGATTTGGAATTGGTTGATATAAAAACATCTTCGATAATTCGAGATTTTATTTCATACGATTATGTATTTGATTGCAAAGATATTACAGAGAGCACCAGATTCTTGTTTTGGATTGTTCGCCACCTTGATTTAAACTATCTATCTGCTGCAATATCCTTTTCAATTACCAAGTATGTGCTTATTGAGGCCATTAAAATTTATGGAGAAGAACATTTTAACCCAAAAATCCCAATTTCACAGGTTAATTTGTCCAAAGTTATAGTTCAAGCAAAAAATGATTATTTTCCTTCAAGAAAACAAATAAATGAAGCCATAAGAAAATTTACCTCCACTGGGAGCTTTGTGGATTATAAAGGAGTTATTGACTTACCAGACCTTTCAAATGTTGCTCCGGCTTCTATTGAGGATAAAGTTTTGAGAAATAGAGTCGTATTGCTTCAGAGAGGAGGATATGCTCCAAATATTAAAGAACGTTCTCAGATTCAAACAGTTAGGTATATTATGAGAACCTCCAGATATTATTTGAGTATCTATATATCTCCAGAAATGTCTTATAAGCTTTGGAGTATAGTTTATTTAATCATGATGGGAATAAGAATGCCAGATTATAAATTTAAGATGATCTCATTTATCATGAAAAAGAGTAATACTGATCATTGGCCACATGAATCTGACGTTTTAGAGGCAATTTCGATAACTCTTAACAGGTTTAGAATTAAACATAAACCTTTGAGTATCCACTCCAAATGGTATAAAAAATTAAAAAAGGAAGGGTACGTACTTTCCGTTCCTCAAAATACAAGAACTTCTCGTTGGTTTTGCAGATTCTTCCAGCACTACCTTCAAATTATGATTAACCCACATTTACAATTTAACATTTGGAAGATGACTCTTGAGAATCTTCTGGAACCTCATGTCAAACAGGTCTATGTTTCTGGAGATAAATGTTTTTTCAGAGAAGATCCCAAATTCCCATGGCCAACTTGCTACAATACACCAACCAATTCTCCTGAATACGATGTTCTAAAGCATGATAAAGCTGTGGACAACTTAACTCATGAATTCGCTCGTATTATCCACGATTTTAATCCTGGATACCCATTCTATGATTTATGTGAATTAACACGCCAATTAGTAGCAACCGGATCATTACGTAGAGAAGTGAGACAACCAACCACCAAATTAAAGCACGAAATTGCCATTCGGAAGTTAGAAAGAAGGACTTACATTAGAAATCTCGTACGATCTTATAATTATGCAAAGAAGTACGAGCCTTTCATTAAGCCAAGTGATGAAATGCTGTTTTTCTTCAAAGATTATATTGAAAATGAAATTCCTCTGAATGACAAAATTGCTGATAAAATTGCCAGGGAAAAGTTTATGGATGAAGATCTTGAGGATGTTATTAAAACTCGTAACTTTGTTATCGACTGTGCAAAAACTTATAGTTCCATTACCTCTAGGGAATATTGGAATGATGAAGAGATTAAGGAGATCCCATCCAAAGGAAAGAAGGCCATTAGTACAACCTGCAGTAACCTTTTCTATTCAAGACCGAAATGCAAGTTCGAATCAATTCCTCCGTTTCATCCAGCAAGAGAATCTAGTGATATTTTAACTGGTGAATTCTCGCTTCGTATATTTTCATATTTTAGAAGTATTGGAGTATATAACACAATACCAGATGAATTTTGTATTGACTCCATTAATGTAATGAGTAAGTTGTTTAGAATCAAGCCAAATAATTATGAACAATTAAAGAGGGATTATGCCAAGAATTCCAAAATTCATGAAAGAGATAGATTTATCCGAAATTCCCTGTTGAGATTTAAAACTCTTGATAATACTGATAGCCAAAAATCGAAAACACGCAAATTGAATGAGATGATGGAACAGATTGTTAGGTCAAAGCTTCAAGATAAACTCAAGCCAAGAAGGCAAAACTTTATTCTTGCTTCTATCACCAATAGATACTCAGACTTTGTCAGCAAAGCAGATGGCAGTGAATGGGAAATTGATGAGTTGAAAGATATGATTCGGCTTGGTAAAAAGTTTACCTATTTCAACTCTTTTAGGCAATTCCCTAAAAACAAATTTAAAGCAATCTGTAACAAGTTTCTTACAAATATCGTTCTCAAGATCCATGGCTCTGAAACCATTATTGAGCGTATAAGAAATTCTGAACCCTCTCTGAAGCTTACTGATGAGAGGATTTCCAGGGATATCACCAAAAATCTTTGTTTTAGTCTTGGAAGTTGGCAAATATCTCTCCGAAGAAGAATTAAGAATAAACTTGAGTTTCTCTGGCTTAAAATGAATAATTACAAGCATGAATACAAACTTCTTGATTCTTCACTGATCCCAGTAACCAAACATACCGGTCAAAACTATTACATACAAACAATTAATGCTAATGTATTAAACTTTTACAATACACTGAGCACCAATTTGAAAAATAGATTTCCACATCTAGATATAAAGCTCCCAAATACTAATCCCATCGAGCCTGAAGTAATGAAGCTTAGAAAGCTAGGTTATGATTGCCCTCCTCCGAAATCTGTTAAAAGTGATGGAATTCCAACTGCTCAAGAATGTATAAGATATATTTATAGATATGGACTTTATATATACAATGGCTTGATTTTAGACATTGAAAAGCTTTATAAAGTGTATCAGAAATCTTTTATGGACTCAGGGTTTGAGACTTTAGCATATTTACCCGATATATATCCCCAATTTCTCAACCTCTCGCTTAGAAGATCAAGTATATTTGATTATAACTTCCACAGATATGAAACTATATGTTCTATTAATAAATTAGATACCGACATATACTGGAACCAATACTTTTCAATTGTTGAGAATATCTCTAAAGACTTAATTACTCACTTGCATTCGGCGAATGTAGTTCTTCCAGGATCAACAAATTATATTGATAGTTCCAAAAAAACCCTTGTAAAAACCAAGGCTCAAAGTATTTGCGAATTTATTGCCAGAATTCTGAATCCCAACTATTATAAAAGTTTTGATGTTGATACTTCTGACTATTTCAAGGGTCAAATATCAAATATTGAATATAATAAGGGAATGGTTTGGTATGATTTAAATCAAGTTAATAGTGGTTATTCACAACAATCTTTTGAAAATATTGATAAGAATGTTATGCGTTCACTATATACTATTTACTTTGTACAATCTTGTGTTCATTCAATGATGAAATATTTCCCAGGTATCCACTTTTTGCATGCAGCTTTATTGTGTAGAAAGACAAGAGAGTGGAGAAGCTGTGATGAGAATTTTGTTGGGAGTAACTACCTGGATGATTTGGAGGTTGGAGATCCAATTGAAGATGTTTATTTGAAAAGACTTATTAAAGGAGTATTTGTTGATATGTTAACTTTCGAACTTCAAGAAAAATCAATTTCTTTATTTTGGTCCAGTATATATTATGATTTACCAACTGAAAGACTCCCAATTTCTTACACAAAATTCTGTTCATCTTCACTAAAAATACATAACTATCTTCAATCTGGTAGGTTCAAAAACTTTATGGATGCTTGTGTGTTTGCTTTAGAAACTGATAATATTTTCCGTGTTGAAATTGATGGTGAAATGTTTACTATAAAACGAAGCATTGCTGAAAAACTTTGTTCAAGTACACTCTGGGGACAAGACTGTAACCATCCCACTATCAAGAGTTCGGCAACTTTTCTTTATGAAAGTATGGTTGTTGCTCTTAAACTGCCTTCTCAAGTTGTCCCAAGCTCAATAATGTGTAAAGTTGCATATGAAATGGCATTTAGTAGGGACCCTGTTAATATTTGTTTCAATCCAAATACTTTTGAAGATACTAGAGCTAAAGCTGGAACAAATCCTTACTCTGAAGACTACAAACCAAATCTTAAAACCCATTCTGAAGGAGCTAGGGCGAGAACCAAGAAATGGGATACTCCAGAAATGAACTTTGAAGAACCTGTCCCTTTTCACGAAGACCCTATGGGAATGCTTGGGCATATAGCAAAAACTTACTCTTTAGAGGAAGTCAGCTTTGCGGAACTTAGAGAAGCCTGTGAAAAGGCATTAGTTTCTGTAAGAGATTGTTCCAAGGTTCCTTCATTTGTCAAAGATTATCCTAGTCTCGTAAAAAATTCGGAGACTTTAAAAAAGATTAATGAGGAGACCTTGAGGTTATTTTATCCTCTGATAAAAAAAAACAACCCAAAGAGTTTTGAGGAAATCCCTGTTAGAATCGCCACTTTTGTAGAGCTATGCAATCTTTCTGTCTCTACTTACAATATCAGTCCAGAACTCTTTAACACTGCTTGTGTTTCTTCCTTCGGATGGGATAAAAATCTTAATTCAAACCAGGAAATTTGGGAAGATATTGATTGGCAATCCTCCATACTTTACTGTAGTTCCACATCTAAATGGAAAAGTTGCTTAGGGTGGGTGAACCATGAAATCAAAGATACATTTGGCAACAACTATAAATCATCTACATTATATTATAATTCAACACCTCTTCAAAAAGCTGCAGTTGACTTCATGGCTGCTTTCTTTTCTTCCACTATCTCTCTTTTCCTTTCTGGTGCAAATTCCCAGAACATTACAGAAGACCCTAAAGACCTTGAAATGATTTCACATCTGAGAAAAAACTACGAAATGTTTTGTCCAGCAGCAATTGATCTTCTTCTGAATAACAAACTCATTAAACCCTCGAAGTCAAACTTGTCAATCATTGAATTCATGAGGTCTCAAGAAATCTCCTATTCTGAAGTGAGAAGAAAGAAGCCAACTTTCGGAGTTCCATACTTGTTTTTTAATGCAGATTGTCCTGATGTTCTCACAAATCACATCTTGAACGTTGTAAAAAACATGAAAGATTCCAATAAATCAAATAATATTCCCTCTCAATGGTCAAGAAAAGAGTTTATCCTTGAATTTACAGTTAGAGTCTGCAAAAAGCATTTCTCTTGGGAAAACTGTAACTATAACAAAGATATCTTGAGTAAATTCAATCCTTTGGAAATTAATTCCTTAGAGTATGTTGCCTCCGCCATGTATAGAGAATTTTTGTTGAGTTTCATTGAAGATGAGGAAGATGTCCCTAAAGAAGGTGAAGATCAGAAAAGTGATAATTTCTACTTTTTCTGTGGGCTTTCAGTTAACATGATCTCCGAACACCCCAGAATACTCGACAAAAACAAAATCGAACTTTTAATTACCAATTTCCTTCCTAACAAAATGAAAAGATGGTCCCAAAATATTATCAATGCCTTCATTACCTCGTACGAAAGCTTTTACAAAGGTGTAAAATACATTAAAAGTATTCAATCTCCAAAGGGGGCCACTAAATTTTCATTTTCTTAACTTCACTCAACTTTAACCACTCTAAAGCTTGAAACAGAGAAAAAAATCATTTGAGACTACTTGAATTCAACGCAAACACTCATGTATGCATGCAAATCTGTTCATGTACAACGGTACTATGTATTTAAAAGGCGGGAAATACTTTTTTAAAAAAAATACAGGTTAATGGAAAATTTAGTTTATTAAACTACAATTGCTATTATTATTCATATTTTTAGACCCAAAATCATATAATTAGGGATAGCTTTCTTATCTATAATTAATCTTTCGTTTAGATTTTCTATAAGGGTGTATCTATCTACACTTCGTAAGTAGAATAAATAGTTAATTATGTAAATATCATCTAAATACAGAGTAAGAAAACTATATATTTTTAAGGAGAAACATAAGTTTGATCCAAAAAAAAATAAATTTGGCAATTGGTTATTTTTCCAGAATTACTAGAATTTATAGATCTGGCCACCCTGAAGAATTTGGAGGGAAAATTTCATATTGAGAGGGGAAGTGTAAAAGACCAAAGTTTTCAAAGAAACACATTTTTTCATACATTGGTATCATTAAATGGCAGTAACTATTAAGCTTCAGTCTATTTCCTTAAGTCCGACAGATTTTTTTTCTAATTACCTTATCTTCTTATAATAATAATTAATAGATTAAAATCCCTAATATAGAGGGGTGGTGCTACACTCGATGTATGTCTACCCCCAGATAAAGTGGAAAAATCCGCACTTTTTATATGTAAAGCAGAAGATTTTGAGATTAACTTATTTTTGAATTATTAATCAGAGAAAAACAAACCATGGGTAACTTGAAATCATGTTGTTCTTTTGCCGATGAACACTCCCTAACTTCCACTCAATTGGTAGTTGGGAATGGTCCAGGAGCTTCAGAAACTGCCTCAAATCATGCTCAGGAGGAAGTTAGTGATATTAATACCTTTAATGTCAAGTTAATTATGCAGGATAGAAGTAAGCTTGATTGTGAGGTCGTCTTTGATAGCACAAGTATCTCGCTTTCTGGAGATGGGAAATGCAGAAATATTGGTTTGGATGAAATCCACCAGTTATTATATTCAAAGGAGGAGCTTTCAAGAGTCGAAAGTAGTGCTGGAATTAGCGATTCTGATAATTGTGTTGCAATTCACCTCAAGGAATCAGGAAACTGCATACCCCTCTTCTTCAATAATTCACAGGACAAGGAAAGATTTGTTGCAACAGCAAACAAGTTCAAGCCAAATTTCAACTGAAACTGGAATTAACATTAATTCCGAATCGATCTTTCCATTATAAATTACAACCAAACCGTTTCTTTCTAATACTGAGAGAAAAGCTGACAATAAAATTTTTGATTTTTCTAACCCCTCCCTTCCAGAGACTTTTTATTAATATTGGAAATGAACTTGAAGAATTAATTGTTTATACTTTGGGGTTACCCACCGATTTCATCAAAGATGATGATTCTCTTGGAACACCAAAAAATCAGAAAAAAAAAAACAAATTATAATCGGTAAAACTTTCCTTATAAAGTATGTCTTAAGTGAGTTCTTTAGGATTGAATTATCCTACTATTCAGAAAAGATTCTATAAAGGAAAGCCTAAAGCTCTAATAAGGATTAAAGCCGAATAATAATGCTCTGTAATATTCAAATTTTTTAGACTACTAACTTCTCAAAGTCTCGTTCATATTGAGATTTCCTTTATTATCTCATTTTTAAAATGTTTTATTTATTTCTTAATCATTCTTACATTTATAATCAATTCGAGTCCTTCCCGAATCCAGGCTACTCCTTCTCCTTCTGAAAATAGCAACTCCAAGTACTTCCTCTTCTCTCCGTCATAATCCACCTCTAAGCTGTAGGACCATATGTATTGTACACCCAGCTGTTACTTTATAGTCCAAAAGCCTCAAGTCATCGGACATTTGTTTTCCAGAATAAATCAGGCGAATCTGCTTTACATCAATTCCTTCTTTTTCCTGGAGTGCTTGTTTGACCTATTTAAATAAAAAAAAATCATTAGTTTGTTTTTTTAAATATTCAATAACAATAAAACTTACCTGTAAAACTGTATTTTCAGGCTCAAAATTAAAATTTTGTTTTTTACCTGTTAAGGTTTTGACTAGAATTTGCATGAATAACAATTTTTTGTTCTTTATTATACAGTTCAATTTCCAAAAATTGCATTAGTTATCTCAGTTGTTCATTTTCATACGATTTCTACAATTTTAGAAATCTGCCAAATTATTTCATATTAATTGAATACACCAAGTTTCCCCCCAACCATTTTATAACTATTTTTGCCACAATTAAATAATATAAAGTTTTCAAATCACACAAAATTCCCGAACAAACAATTAAAAATAATAAAAGAGAAAAAAGTATTATATAACTTAAAATACTACATAATATAGATTCACATTCAATTTATGTACATAGAATTGGTCAATTAATTGAGTAACCCTCTGATTTATTAAGTAAACAATTGTGTTTGAATAATTATTAGTTAATTTGAGGATTATTTATTACTCTGGAACTTCCAAACTTACAAATAGCTATAGAAGAATCCCTTTTTGTTTTCCTCTCTTTCCTTCAGGAACCACTTTTTCCCCTTTCTCTTTGTAAATTTTCTTTTCCTTTATCTTTGAGAGTTCTAGATTTCCCTTTTCACTGATGGTCTGTCCCGAAAGTGTGTGAGAAACATCTGTGCTGGATTTAATATGCCTTTTCTCAGATGGAGATTGAATTTTGGAAAGGAAGGAACTTTCTTGGTTACTCCCCCTGTCCAACTCAGATACAGGACTTGCAGTCTCAATATCACACACATTGCTTTTTCTTTTTACATCCAAAATAGCCAGGGTTTGTTTGTTTTCCTCTGTATTTTGATTATTCTCAAAATTCTTCTTCCATTTGTATCTTCTGAACCAAAATAAAATAGCTAAAATTAGCATTCCAAATATTAAGGGAGCAAATAAAATAGCATATAAAGCAGGACCTGATAATCCTTTACTTTCTGATAGTTTCATAACTTCCTTTGGAACACAATCAATAATAGAAAATATGTTTTTTTCTGAATCGGAGTCAATTTCTTCCTGGAAATTGGAATTTCCTCTAGAAAAAGAAATAGAAGGAACTTTTGGAATTAATCTGGAAGAACCTGATAAACCTACATTTTCACTATTTGTACCTCCAAAAACTGTCTTTACTACTAAATTATAAATAAACTCTGAGTTATTGCTTTTTGAAATAGTAACAGTATCCCCAGGTATATTATAGAAGTTTCCATTACTACATGCTAATAGTATAGGTTCAATTTTTGCTTCGTATCCTCTCGAGCAAGATACTTTGAAAACTTTCCAATTATCAGGTTTACTAGAGAGGTCAAATTGTTCCTCAACCATAAATTTTTCAGTCCCAAGTACGTTAGAAAGAAAACTGGTTCTGCAGTACTTAAGAGAAGCTTCTGCCCCTTTCACACAATTAAACTTTTCTTCAGAATGGGACTCCCATTTTCCATTAGCACATTGAAAGGTTTCAGAATCCATATCTGGATTGTCAGAAACGTATCCAGCAGAACAAGAAATTGATCTTGTAGAACCATGGTCATTTCCTACTCCACTTACAATATATTTACTTGGGGCAGAATTCATCTGGCTTTGATATGGACTTAAACTAGAAGAATACATTTCTCCACTATATCCAATACTTGTATATAGATTTTTTGGGCTTGAGTTTGAATTGTAAATATACTTCTGATTATTATCATCCACATTATTCTCTCCTAAATCAGGGAGAGAAAGAGATAAGAGATTGAAAGGTTTGCATGCTTTCTTACAAAGTATCTTTGCTTCATGTTGAGTAATTCTCCATCTTCCATTATCACAAATGAAGGATTGAGAGGCAGGAGAAGGAGGGACTGGATTAAAATAGTAAGAGCAAGCAACATTTCTGAAGGCTCCTTGTTTGAAGGAATTATCTCCATTAATTTCGTATCCATCTTCTTGGTCTTCGATTCCAAGAGTTTTTAGTGAAGGTTTTGGACAGTTTGGAAAGTCTAATTGGTTACTGAGAGAGTCCATGTCAAAAGTTCCAACATATGGTGGAGGAGGAGCAATGGAGGTTGAGAGAGATCTTGAGTGAGAAATAGTTGATTTACTCACTTTTATTCCAAATTCCCTGTCTATAGAGTCTATTTTGTTCAGTTCCTCTCCTAACTGTTCAATTCCCTCCTCTAAAGTCATTAAAACAGTTCTGGAAGATAGTCCTGAATCTATTAAGACCTCTACTATATAGCTTCCCGGCCAAGCTCTAATTCTTGGGATATCTGAAATTGGAATACTCAAGAAACTGCTTACAGTCTCACGAATACTGTTTCTCAATAGTTCTTCTTGAATAGAGTTTGAAATTTCAAAGAAATTCAAATCCTTAAAAATAAACTCTAGAATTATCAGATCAGTCTTCACTCCAGAGCTGCAGACTCTGTCCATGCTAAATCCACATCTTTGTTCTAAATAATCTACACTCCTCTCAGTATTTAGCTTTGAAGTATCCTTCTCTATCCCTAAAATTACTCTTTGAATCTCCAAACTGGCTGCGAAACAACATTTCCTATTGTTTAATTGGTCCAGTAATTTTTTCTTGCAGTGTGGAGAACAACCAAAGTTAATATGGTAAGGACTACAAATATCTTTTTGAGAAATATTCCCAAATATTGAGCTTTTAAAGTAATCCCACCAATCTGGATTATTCCTGACTCCTCCAAATAGAAATTGACCACAAAATCTATTATTCTTGGCTTCTTGGCAAAAGTATCTTCCAAAAGATCTATATAACAATCCAGCCTGTCTCATTTTTTGGTTCTTCGTCTCAGTTCCTACCTCTAGTAAAAGTTGTCCAAAGACTCTAGTTGCAAAGAAAAGACATGAATCCTCTGGAAGGTTTCGAATACACATATCAACTAGATTTCGTTTCTTTTTCATTTCTCTTTCATCTCCATTTTCCCTTTCGTCTTTTTCTTGTATTAAAGAAAGAAGCCAACTTACTGAAGATCTGTCTGATGTGATCATTTCAGAAACTGAGTTAATACATGAATACTTTTCTTTAGGGTTAGAAGGATTTTGAATACTTAAGCAAAGGAGATTTAATGACTTTTCACTCTGTGAAAGAATGATTTGTTTCCAAAAGTCTTCATTTATATTAGATACCCCATACAGATGATCATCTTGGGATGTTGGGTACATAGAGTTTTGTCTTCTCACAAATGAAGTTTCTGTTTTTGAACCAGAATTTTCATTTACTCTTTGATTTGCTACTTTTGAAAGATGAGACAAAGCCTGAATAAGTTTTAAATTTCTTCTATGACAACTATCCTTTTCACAAATCTGTTTTAGTGTCTTTGGCTGACCTAAAAGAAGAGACGGCTCGTTGACAATCATCAGAGTTTCGTGAAAAGAGAAAGAACAGATACCCTTAATATCTGAGGATTGACACAAATGGGATTCTATAATGGTTGAGATTGACTTAGCTGCAATACATTCTATTGATAATATCTCAGATCCTAAATTCCCCTCTCTTCCAACAGAATCTGAGTTTCCTTTCTTATATTCCTTAAGAGATTCCTTCAATAGATTCATACATTTACCTTTGCAAAAAGTCTTAATAGTTGTATCTCTTCCTTGTCTATACATGGTTCCACATTCTCCACTCCAAACCTCGGAGAATCTTCGAATTAGCTTACAACATTGTCCAGAATTTTGGTTACAATAAGCAAAATTTTCCAAAGGAATGTTTAAAACATCCTCCTCAATCATGCTGGTGGCTTGAGAGACTTTCAAAAGCCCATTTCTTCCACAAGGGAGGGACTTAACTGATTCCCTGTTAATCCACTCACCATCATTGCATGTTAGAGTAACTGATGCTTCTCTAGAAGAACACCCTACCACTAACTTAGATCCATGAGTCGGAACTTCCTCCCTTAAAGAATTTCCAGAAAGAATGTACTTTCCAGAACTTTCTAGTCTGAAGATGAATTCCGAATCACAAGAATTACACTTTCTACAACTGGAACCTCCACAGTCAATTCCTGTCTCATCCCCGTTTTTGATCCCATCATTGCAGGAAGAACAATGGTTTTCACAGCTTCCTCCACAATCAACTCCCCACTCATCTCCATTCTGAATACCATCTTCACAACTCGGAGCTGCACATTTAAGACTCATCTTTTCGTTTGGACCAGGAAGAGACCATTTACCATCATTACAGGCCAGGATCTGAAGTTTAGACTTAAGGCTTTCATCCTGCTCCCATCCTGGTATACATCTTATGTGAAGCTCACTTCCAGAAGCAATTGCCATATTGTCTATTAAAAGAGACTCTTTCTGGATGTCTTCAATGTAGCTGAATCCACCGTCAACACTCAATATGGTGCCTTCTGGGAGATTACTCAGTGGAAACCCATGACAAGGTTCACAAGTTGAACACTGACTTCCTCCACAGTCAATTCCTGTCTCATCTCCGTTTTTGATTCCATCATCACATCTGGGACAGTTTTCTGTTCCACAGGAACCTCCACAATCAATGGAGGTTTCATCCCCATTCAAAATCCCGTCAAAACAAGTTTCAGGACATTTTTTCTCACAAACCCCTCCACAATCCACTCCGAATTCTCCCTGATTTTGAATCCCATCAAAGCAGCTCGGTCTTTCACAAATTAAGCTTGGTACCTGGAAAATACCGTTATAGCATTTCAAGGTATCACGAAGAGGACCCGTTTTTCTTACATACCCCTTTTTGCACCTAATTTTGACAGGTTCTCCATGACTAATAGATCTCCTTCCTTCCTCAATATTTAAGATCTCAAAAAATTCTCTCAGAGGTTCCAGATCCTCTACATTGCAATTTGAAAAACAGTCAATACTTGGAACAGAAGGTTTCCACTCACCATCCTTGCAAACTATTACCTCCTCTATCTCAGAATTCCCAGGTCTTGTACAAGTTACAATACGTGTATCTCCGGTATCAGCAGAAAAATCCGAATTATTTTGACTTCTAATTAGGTACTTGGCTGGAAGTTTTAAAGTAGAACATTTCGATGCACAAATTAGAACATTATCAAAGATCCACTCTCCATTAGTACAGGTGGCAGTCTGGTGAAGTTCTCCTCCTTGGATTAAAGTTCCTTGATCAGAGCACGAGATTAATAGTCTGGTTCCATGAACATACAAGCCTTTTCTTTTAACTGATCCCAGCTCGTTGTTAACTGAGTAAGCTTTTCCAAGAACCTGCTCTGGTGATTCACAATGATTCATACAAATAGTCTTTGGAATACCCCAAACTCCATTGAGGCATTCCACTATATCACTTGTTCTCGTACCAATTTGGACTGAGCCAAAGTTCCTTTCACAGGAAATTCTGATTTTCGAACTGGGAAGACCTCTCTCTAAGTCAAGACTTTCAATTTTGTAAGCTTTGTTTGAGAAAATTTCCATATCCTTACACTTTCTTTCGCAACTAAGTTCATCAGGGAGAGAATTAGACGGAAGGATACTAGTTGGAGAGAGATCTTTATCCAAAACAAACCAAGAGCCGTCGTAACAACCAAAAATCGTTTCTCCAGTCTGTCCCACAGGACTCCATTCCTCTGAACACTTAATCCTTGCCATGGATCCATGTCTCAGGTATCCCAAGTTAATTTCTTCATTGTATTCAATAACTACAGATTTTTCTGAGTTTATAGCAGACTCAGATAAAGAAATGCATTTCTTGAAACATTTATATTGATTTTCGGACTCCCAACGTCCTTGACTACAAATGATCTTGAATTCATTACTTTCTTGGTCAATTGCCATCTTACCTTCAGAGTATTCAATCAACTTGTCTGAATTCTTGTTACAAGAAATAGTGATCTCAGATTCTGGGGTGTGTTTAACTCTATCTTTTTCATATTTAAACAGATAGTTCTCATTTGGAAGCGAATAGGGAGGACAGGATGTCCCACAGATCAATTTAAGGGCACTCCAAACTCCATCTTTACAAGTAATAACTTCAGAACCTTTTGTTCCAACACACTTTACCAGGAGCTTGGAGCCATTTAAATATTCTGATTCATGATCTTCAGATTCTGAAGAAGAATCTTCAGAGGAAAAGTTGCTTTGAATAATATAATTTTGACTGGATGAGGAAGAAATAGGATAAGGCTTGCATTTCTGGTAACAATGAATTTTCTTCACCACCTGCCATTTACCCCTTACACATCCAAAACTTCCTTCCTGTTCAATCTCTGATTCACTTTCCTCCAAATCTTCTTGAGTCTTTTCTTGTCCTTTGGAGTTCTCTAGTTTGATAATACTCTTTGTAGAGTATCCTGAATTACATTTTAGTCTTGCACTGGTTCCTGGAGGGAAAAAAATGAAATCTGAAGTTCCCCGGTCGTTTCTTGGAGGATGACTGTATTCTAATTGGTATCTTGAGACGTCATTATGGTCATAGAAAGATAAAAGATCTAGTTCTTTGCAAGACTCTCCACTGGTTGTAAAAAATAACTGATTTGGACCGACATTTCCCCATGGTTGGTAAGTTAGATCTGTTAAAGCTCCAAGTTCTACAGTAATATCATACACCTCTCCTTCTACTAAATTCTCATATGGTCTTAAAATTACATCTGATGTCTGGTTTGAAATAACTGAAAATCCTCTATTTTTGGCTTCAAAATCTGTTGGAATATGGATTAAATGGCCTGTTGTTCGTCCTGTAATATTGAACCAGGCCCAGTGACCATAGTTCATTGCTCTGTTAAAAGTGAGTTTAATTTCAGTATTGTTTGGTGAGACATCCACACTCCCTAATGGAGGATGAATTGCTATTAGGGATGGAGGGGTTTTCTCTGGAAAACTTCTGCAAATTATGGAGATATCACTGTGATCAACCCACTCAGGTTCCTCATCTGGATTAATTGAAACCCATTTCTTCCAGTTTGTACTTTTACCATCTGGAGGTATATGATTATTTGGTTCTGGAAGAACTGATTCAGCAAAAGAGAGGATATCACTACTATCTAGGTCCCTGTCAATTACCCAGGTCCCATTTTTTGAATCGGAATCCAAAATAGAGTAGTAAATATAGAATTGCTTCCTCTCACCTCCATTCCAAACTGCCTTCCCATTCTTTGGAGCTTTCCATGGCATGTATAATCCATTAACATTCCCATTGTTTGTGCTAAAACCAGTTACGTACATGTAAGGACAGGAAGCATTTCTACTAATAGTGAATGTCCAAAAGGGAATCCCATCATTTGGGTTTCCGTGTAAATCTGAAATTGCACCAGCTTCAAGTCCAACCACATAATTATCTTCAGGAAGAGGAGTTCTGGAATCAAAGCTTACCACTATTTTTTGATCTCTAACATCTGCAGAATAGAGTACTGGGGCAGTAAAAGGAGTTGAAGCAGAGTTTGAGTTTGAACCTTGATTTTTTGCTTTATTCCACCAAGTCCATCTAGAAGAATCAGAGTTCTTTGTCTTTTCTTCACTACTCATAGGAGTTAGTTGCTGGTGATGATTATTTGATCTGGATTCTTTTTGAGGAGGGGAGATTGGGATTTCCAGTGGTCTGGTTTTATAGTAAACATTACTTGAGATTACAAGTCTTCTTGGTTGCCAGTTCTTTGGATATTCTATGTTTTCATTGAATCTAATAACTAATTGTTTGACTGGAGGAATAAGGGTAGAGTGATTTAAAGGAGAGAATCCAGTTGGATAGGGAAGAAGTTGGTCATTCAAACACTTATGCTCAGTACAAACCTGTCCAGGTTTACAATCCTTGTCTGAGTTGCATTCTCCAACATCTAAAAGTCCAAGGTCCGTGTCAAAGTCCTCTGCTGAGTCACATGGGATTCCATTTCCATCTCTATCTACTCCACTGCAACCACAAAGTCGATTAACCCCTAAAATGGCATTGGTTCCGAGATTGATTGCACATTTATTGCTTTTTGGAGAATTTGGATCTCTGTATTCTTCAGAGTCATCATTTTGGACTATACAAGGTAGTCCCATTCCACCAGGTCCAGTATTCTCCATTTGAGTTTGAACTTTCTGATAATATTCTGGGTCCAAGGCCACATTAGCTCCACACTTGACATAAGGAGCAGTTTGAATAACTCTGTACATTTCTCCCCCAATAAATTGGCCAATATTGGCTATGGTACAACTTTGTCTAGATAAACATTGCATTGTTCCAAGACCGATCTGAGCAACACTAGGGAGGACTCCCTGGCATTGGTTGGTTTCTAAGTTACAAGAAGCCAAGGCATTATGCATGCAGTGAGTATTATCAGTACATTCTACAACTCTGACTTGAGCCACTGGAAAGTAATACTCAGCTGGATCATCACAAGGCATTCCTACAGATGCAAAGTCTGGACATCCACACAACAACATTGTATTGGAGCTAATTTCACTCCTATTGTATCTTCTTCCTACTCCAAAATGAATTTCACAATCAAAAGGGTTTCCTCCTTCGCAGTTCCACTGGCTCTGGGAGTTGAACATTGACTCTTCTCTTCCTAGTATCCTAACACCACATCCCATCATAGGACTTGCTGCTACCTTGTATCTAGATGTTATTTGTTCACCTAGAATTTTTCCTTTAACCTTACAGTCATATCCATCAACACAAAGGATCAAAGGAGGTTCATAAGGGTTATTTCCAAATCCTCCATAACAAGTTTTCGGGTTTCCGTAGCATAATCCATATCCATTAACACAACTAGCACAGGGATCTACCTTTTGCAATTTTCTGGTTTCAGTTCCTTCTTCTTTATTTAGGGTATAACTCTGAGAATTTGTGATTTCTTTAGCTGTTTCATGGTCAGGATCTTTATTTTGGATCCCTCTGTGGTAAACAACGTTACCAAGATAAACATTATAGTCGAGAGAATTATTACAATTAATATTTTCTGTGATAGTGCATCCGCATAAAGTGGTTATCTGTGACTTTGGTGATAGACTATTAATATAACATTCAGTCCCATCATTATAAGGGGTACATTTATGGGGATAAACTATCTCACTTTCGTCCAAATCTCTTCCACAAGTACTTGAAGTTGAATTATATATTTCTATCACTTTTGAATTTTCAGATAGACCAAATCCTTGGATCCCTGAGATAGTACATGGTACGTTAGCAGTACAGATCTTAGGATTTTCCTTTTTGAAAGTAATTTCCTGACTAAAAAGATGACTTTTTAGTGGTGGTTTCTGCTTTAAGACATTCCCTAGAGTGTTTTGGGACTCTTTAAAGCCAAAAATGACTAAATTACCAATCGGAACCTTGAAACCAAACCTTTTTGAGTCAGAAGAGGCTTCTTTTGGAAAAGCAGTTCCACATAACTTGTATCTACCTAATTCCAAAAGATCCATGGGAACATAGATTTTACATGCGTTTTCTGATGTCACATTACAATCAAATACGTACAGACTCCTTCCGGAACACTCTGAGTCGTATGGTACTACTCCAATTTCATAAGTTTTTTGTTTTGATAGATAAAAGTATCCAGAAACCGAGTTTATAATACATTTTTTGCCTTTGAGACAAAAATAATTCTTATCTTCTGTTCCAGCAAGTCCAGTACATAGTTTGTTAAAACAGAGTCTTCCTCCACAATCTTGAGACGAACTACATTGTCTTATTTCAGTCAAATTCCTTAAATCTGGTCTGTAGAAGTTGCTCCTCACCAGACTTAGTGTAGCAAGGTATAGAAATACATTTAAGTGAAGTCCTTTAAGAACCCTATACAACTGGCTCATTTCTCTCCTATGAAGAGGCTCATAGAGAATGAAGAACCTATCTGAGCTTATAAAAAGTCTATCTTATACTATAAAAGTTACAAGAAAATCGGAATCAGACGAAGGGAAATTCCCCTACATGCGTTTTAACCCGTTTCCGAGCATGGATGATTTTAGATTCAATAGTGCGCTTATGAAGCTAAAACATCTCAGACTTCATTTTCTAAATGAAGATAAAGAAGAAGTAGATCATTGTATTAAAACTAATAGAAATGACAATTTCAATTCCAGTGGGTCTCTTGAGATAACTTACAGATTAACTAGAAAGTTTATGAAAATGATCTTAGGCGGGCAAATTGTGTTTGGAAATTCGTTTGGTTAGGAAAAATAGCAATAAGATCAAAGAAAAATATGGGAATTTGGTGGGGTAAAGTTGATATAAGAGATGAACTGAATAAAAATAAGAGAGCAGTTTCGAAGGCGATTCGTGAGGTAGATAGGGAGATTCAAAAACTTGAACAGGAAGAGGCGAAATTAATGAGAGAAATTCGAGTTGCCGTAGAAAAAGGTTATACAGAGTCAGCAAAAATTTTCAGCAGGGATATTCTGAAGGTGAGAAGACAAATGGAGAAGTTGAATTTAGCAAGGAGTCAGCTTATGGGTGCTGAGCTAAGGCTTACTTCTGTAAAGAGCCAACTACAGGTTAACAGTGCGATTTCTGATCTGAACTCAATCATGGGAAAAGTTAACGAATCCACTGAAATTTCTAGAATACAAGGGATTCTGAGGAACTTTGCAAGAGAATCCGACAAATTGGATGTAAAAGGGGACATAATTAATGATTCAATAGATGAAGCACTGGGGAGCGAATGCCAGCCTGAGGAGGAGGAAGCTCTTGTGAACAAAATATACATGGAAGTGTGCGAATCTGTCAAGCAGGGGAAAGAGAAAGAATCAGTTAGAGGTAAAGGCCCGGATATTGGGAAGCTACTATCTAGCAATACTTCAAGCAAAAATAACATTGAAGATGGGGACTCAGGAATTTCAATAGAAGAAAGAATTAGGAAACTCGGTGAAAATAGATAGTTAAGGGCCGAATTAGTCAGTTTCCAACCTATTAGCTTTACTTTTTATAACGCTAAATTTCTACTATTTTTCTTTTCTTTTGCTTTATTTTTATAATTTGCATTATTATTAAAACATTCCCGCCTAAATGGGAGTTAATTATGAGGTCTGATATTGCCAAAAAAAAAGTAAAGAGTGAATTTAATGAAATAAAGTAAGACAGTGCATTTCATGAGTGAGACACCTGCCAACAAATCTCAAACAGGAGGAGGTACCCAGAAAGGAGGTAATACGATTCTACCTTTGGCTCTGATAGACAAGTGCATTGGGAGTAGAATATATGTAGTAATGAAGGGTGATAAGGAGTTTAGTGGAGTTCTGAGGGGATTTGATGAATACGTAAATATGGTATTAGATGACGTTCAAGAGTATGGGTTTAAAGTAGATGATGGAGACTCTGGTGATGGAAACAAGAAACTAAAGAGAGTTTTAGTAAATCGTTTGGAAACTATATTGTTGAGTGGAAATAATGTGGCAATGCTGGTTCCTGGAGGAGATCCAGATAGTTTTAACTTTTCTTAGATATAGTTTTCAGTAGGAAAATATCAAAAAACTAATTAATTATAAGTTTTTGTTGTTCTCTAGAAGGTGAGGCCTAAGTAAAGCTAAAGTAAGCCCAAGAGCTTCTTCTGTTCTTATGGTTCTGGACCTTTGTTCGGGACATATATTGATATACATATCAAATAGGGAGGAGGGATCCTTGACTTTGTCTAGAGAGCATTGAGGATCACTTAACACATCTTCAAGGCCTCCAAGACCACCAAAAACTATAAGTATGTGTCTAAAGCTTTGAGATTTCGAATTTTGATTTTTAGAGAAAAGTCTAAAGTTTTTGTCAATTGGTTCACCTCTTTCGGAGGTTCCAATTTTGAGATCATAACCTCCTTCATACTCTGAATCGCTAAAAACACTCTTGAGGGAATTTGCTGGTCTAACTTTATATCCCCAATAGATTCCCTTCTTACTGTATGGAGCTGAGTCATCAACAAGCTTCCCGACAAAATAGGATTTAATTTCTGGATATCTTCCAAACTTCTTAAAGTCAGAGCAAAGCTTTTTATGTAAATTTTCGGACTCTTTTGACATTTTAATAGTAACTTTGGTGTTGTTTTCAATTTTTGTGTCGATCCAAGCTTCCACAGGAAGCCCACAATTAACCCAAGATCCTTTATTTTTGTTTTCAGGTAGTATAGGTCCCTTAAATAATTTTGGAGCTGGAACTATAACTCCCTGTCTGTAAGGAAGCCATTCGGAAATTCTCATATGATGAGGAGCATCAATTGGGTTCTGTAAACCTGCAAACTTGAAATCATTATCAAACTTAAAAAGACTCTTCCTGAGATATTGAGGAGTCTCTAGATATTTCAAGTTCTTCACAAAAAACTCCATCCATTTTGAACAAGCAAACTCTACCCATTCTTTTGAGGACCTATTTTCATTATCAGTAATATCTTTGCATTTATCCTCATAAATAATAATTTCGTCAACACCAAACACAGAAAGTATTCTGGCAATCTGACCAACCAAATATGCTCTCAGCTCAAAAGACTGGGCATTTCCAGCAATGGATGCAGGAATTGCAACGCTTAATGTAGATTTTGATGGACTTCCAGCAAATGGTATCCTCGAAAGAATGTCATCATTTCCTTCTGAACTAAATTGAGAATATTTCTGAGATTCTTTTGACCTCCTACTTCCAGATCCTTCTCTTAAATCTGTCTTCTGCTTAGATTGCCCCTGTATATTTTTAATAGTCTTTTTTGGGTCCATCTTTAATTTTACAGATTTATTAATGTCAATAATGGATAATGGCGCGGGCGCCAACATATGTGAACGAGAATTTATTAAAGTGGGTATTTAGTGCAAATGGATGATAACAAAAGATCTCTATATGCTATTTCAAAGTCTATTAGAGAGGAAGAGGAGAAGAAGCGAAAGCTAAACCCTCACTACTCTTTAGACACTTTGAAAGCAGAAGAGGAAAAGTTGATAGCAGCAGTAAACCAATCATACAATGCACCATTGAAAGCAGTTCATGAGATTGCCAAAGGAATAGTTTTTTCAAGGGATGAGGAAACTTCCTGGAGGGTTCCCAAAAAGTATTTGAATCTATCAGTGTCTGAATGCCAAGATCTTAGGTCCCGTTTGCTAATTGATATCAATGGCTCGGATGTCCCTCCGCCAATATTATCTTTCAAAGATATGGGCTTTCCTCAAGAAATACTGGATGCTTTGTCTAGTAAGGGGATATCTAAGCCTTCTCAGATTCAAATGCAAGGGCTTCCTATAATACTTATGGGAAGAGATTTGATAGGACTTGCTTTTACAGGGAGTGGAAAAACAATAGTTTTTGTTCTACCTATGATCATGTTTTCTTTAGAAGCTGAACTAAGCCTTCCTTTTAAAGGAATGGAAGGTCCTCACTCTCTTGTTCTTTGCCCATCTAGAGAATTGGCTCTACAAATTAAGAGGATTATTGATGAGTTCCTTGAGTTTTTAAGAGGAAACTATAGAGAAAGCAGTGAATGTTCCAAACAAAAAAATACCAAATATCCAGAATTAAGGGTATCTTGTATAATAGGAGGTGAGAATTCTAGCCAACAACTTGCAGAGTATCAGAAGAAGGGTATACATATGATGGTAGCAACACCTGGGAGATTAGCTGATTTGTTAAAAAGACGAAAAGTTACTTTACAACAATGTGTGTATTTTTGTATGGACGAAGCTGACAGGCTTACTGAGCAAGGATTTGAGGAGCATGTAAGGTACATTTTTGATAGTTTTTACGAGAGAAGACAAACTGTTTTGTTTTCAGCAACAATGCCCAGAAAAACTCAAGAGTTTGCTCAAACTGCTTTAATTAATCCGATTGTAGTAAATGTAGGGAGGGCTGGAGCAGCGAATTTAAGAGTAATTCAGGAATTTGAATATGTCAGACAAGAGCGTAGACTGGTTAGTCTGCTATCATGTTTACAAAAGACAGCACCAAAAGTATTAATATTCAGTGAAAATAAAAAAGATGTGGATGAAATTCATGAATACTTATTAATAAAAGGAGTTAATGTGGTGGCAATACATGGAGGTCTTACTCAAGAACAACGTTCAAGATCTATAGAGCAGTTTAGAAATGGGGAGATGGATGTTCTTGTTGGAACAGATGTGGCGTCAAAAGGACTAGACTTTGCAAATATTCAGCATGTAATAAACTTTGATATGCCAAAAGAGATTGAGAACTATGTCCATAGAATAGGGAGAACAGGAAGAGGCGAGTCTGTTGGGGTCTCAACCACATTTATAGATAATTCTTTATCTGAAACATTATTACGTGATCTTAAAGCTTTGCTAATAGAGGCAAAACAAGAAATTCCTCCATTTTTGGAGCAGTTTGATACTACAAATACTTCTTTGCAAGAGATTGGAGGAGTAAGGGGTTGTGCATATTGTGGTGGACTCGGCCATCGTATTGCTCAGTGTAACAAGCTTTTAGAATTACAAAAAAGAACTCAGTCTGGAGCTCCGAGAGATACTCTTTCACTTGGAGCCAGATATACAAGTTCAAATAAGGAGGATTGGTAGAGATATAATTATTTTCAAATACCAGAGTTGAGTCGTAATATAGCTTTATTAAGAATATTGAAAAGTAATGCTTGTAAAAGTAATATATAAGGTAAAAAAATTAATTTAATTATTAATATATAATAAATAGCTGTAAACTAATATAAGAATTAGTAATTATTTTTCTTTAAAAAATGTATATACTAAGCGGAATCACTATTAATTAACCATAAAAGGACCTTTGAACACTCGTCCATGCATTGAACAACACGTTCCGTATTGATTTCTGGACATATTTTCGAAATCCAAGAATTGAATCCTGAAGCATCTTCATAGGCAAATGACATAGAAAGAAAAATTCCAGCATACCATACTGAACATAATGAGACTTCTAAAGCGTTGTATTGCATACATACGTTTGGGAGTCTATAAAAATCCAAACTTATGGATGAAGCAAGTAGTCTAAACATCTTCAAAGATTCATATTCTTTTTCCTCCTCCTCTCCCTCCTCACCTTCTTCAATATGCTCGTTGATCCTTGGGGAATAAAGTAGGATTCTTGTCAATCTTTCAATATGTGAAAATGGCAGTTCAATTGGTACTAGATCAAAATTGATCGCTCTAAGAAGTGCAAATTCATAGGTCTTAATCTGCTCCATATAGTGAGTATACTCCTTCCCTGAATCCTTATATATCCAAAAGCTTGAAGAGAGCTCGAGAGGTATCGGAGGGTTGGACAATTGGGAAAGCGAATTAGCTTTAGTAATTCTATATAGAAATCTGGACAATTCCGAAAGTTTTCTAGAGCTTCGAGTTGGTTCTATATCTTCTCTAACTTTCCAAGATAAGAGAACAGCTGCAGCTGCAATAAATTTACGGTCAGTTTCAAGGATATCAAACTTTGACCAGAACCTGTATATATAATGATACGAAGTCAGAGTGGTTCCTGGTGATAAATGTAAATTCGTACAAAGAACTGTTGCTAACTTGCTAGTTCCCAATAGTAGCTCTCTGTATCCACTACTATTTTTAGCCAGCTGCCAGAGTTCCGGCTGGGATCCTGACCTTTCGTTCATTTTGACAAATTTTATTATAATATAATTAAATAAAGAGTTGGCGCCACATGTTTCAACTGTCTCTAAAATCTCTATAATAAAATTCAGGGGGTAATGGGTTGAAAGTGCAATCAGAAGATTTGGAATTGCAGTATAGGACGGTAAAAAACAATGATCGTACTTTTCGTCTTCTTTTTATGAAACACATTTGTTTATAGATTTGTTTAAAAACTTTAATGATTAAATTAGGTATATTTAAAATTTTGCATGTATTAATTTAGCTCAATACCGGCGTTTGTTTGTTTTGCATGCATACATGACAGTGTGGAAAATGTAATTAAGTAATAGGAAAAATTGCCAAATAAACAATTTTGGAATATCCAAGTAAATTAAATAAAAAATAGGGAAAGTTGAAAAAATACTTTTCTAAACAACCAAAAAACATATAAGCTGGTGAGAGATTAAAGAATAGAAGAAAGTAGTATTGCTCCTCCTCTATTTTCACAAGATATCTCAATATAAGTAAATAAACAAATACATTAATAATATAAGTGGGGTTTGGCTATTTTTTTGCACTTAAGCGGAACATAATTGGGCGGGAAACCAGAATTAAGAGGTTTCACAGGCCAAGTAAAAAAAAAAGCGACGTCCAGATAAAGATTTTGGAGAGAAATGACAGAATTTCCTTCAGAGCTTCAGAGAGGAACTTGCGACCAGCTTCTTTCGGGGGTAGTTTCTCCAAACGGATCGGTAGTAGTAGTACTAGCAATAAACTTGATACGTTCGGGGCCGAGAGCACTGTAAGTTTGATAGATGTGACCAAAGAAGAACAAGAATTCCGCAGTTCTTTTTTGGCCAAGAACACATTATTTAGAGAATTTAACTGATTTCTCGATTATAATTTTTCATTCACACAGGGTCCATGTTACAGATGCAGGTTCAAATATGTTTGATAATGGGTCTCCCTTGAGTATAAGGTTAGTAATGTCGGATGCTACTCAGTTGCAGCCGGGGGATATGATTAGGATAACAAGGTTTTCTTTGAATGAGATTCATTCTACTAAGCTGGTTACTGTCGTTCAATACGATAAAGTTGGGCACTGGTCTGGATTTACTTCTATTGGGAAGGCTACCCCGCATCCTTGTATGGGCTCCAGCAAGGCAGCAGGGGGAGGTCCTGCTGACCAGAAGCAGTCTGTACCTCAGAACCAAATTGGAGGGTCGTGTGGTACTCCTAATTCGGGCCATTCAACAGAACCAAGTAGCGGTGGGCAGCAGTTTCAACAGCAGCATAATATGCAACCTCAGCACCACGGATACGGGGGAAACGTACCGTCAGGACAGATAACAGGAACTGCAGGCCCTGTTTCAGGAAAAGATGGTTTGCAGTCTTCAGGACCAGGCTCTGTAAACATGGGCCATACGATGAGAAGTGGCCCATATGGAGGTGCAATTGGTTCAGGGCAGTCCAAAGGACCAGTTTCAAGAAACCAGGACATTCCAGTATATCCAATCAAAAATATAACATCATATCTGCATAGGTGGAGGATTATTGGCCGTGTTGTGAGCAAAAGTGATGTCAGAAAGTTTTCTTCGTCCAAGACAAAGGAAGGCAAAGTGTTTTCATTTGAGATTTGTGATGCAGATGGCAGCGAGATTAGAGCAACATGCTTTACAAAGGCTGTGGATAAGTTCTATGACATGTTGAAAGAAGGAGAAGTGTATAGTTTTTCAAGAGGAGATGTTAAAGAAGCTAATACTCGTTTTAATACTACTGGACACGAATTTGAAATTATATTTAATGAAGACGCGGAAATTCAGAGTTTACCACAGGATGACCGGATTCCAAAGAAGACCTTTAACTTTGTTCCTATCTCCGAAATCAGGGGATACTCCAAAGGCCAGTCACTCGATATTCTAGGGATTTTGCTCAGGGCTGGACCAATCACAACTATCACTGTAAAGTCTACTGGGGCAGATACCCAGAAAAGAGAACTGACAATCATTGACAAGTCTGGCCATAGTATTGACTTGACCTTGTGGTCAGAAAGAACCCAATTAGACGAGAATCTCATCTCTCAAAATCCAGTTATTGCTGTTAAAAACGCTATAGTTGAGGAATTTAATGGGTTTAGATTGAAGTTGGGTTCCAGCTCATCTTTAGAGTGGAATCCCTCTGGAGTTGAACAATCGCAAGAACTCAGAAATTGGTTCTACTCCCAGCCAAATGTGCAAGAGTCTCTGGTTTCACTCTCATCCTCTAGTCCAAGCCCCGGAAATACTGGCTCAAATTCTTCAACTCAGAGACTTTTTATTGATGAGATAGTAGCTTCTGCTACTTCTGGCTCCAACTCTTCGGATATGCTTGATGGAGGGATTTGGGTTCACACTTATGGAACCATAAGGTCAATTCGTGACAATAAGTATTACTGGAGTAGTTGTCCTAAGTGCAAACGAAAAGTCACTGAAATTGAAGACCCTAACAGCATTAATGCTTTGGTATTGCCTTATGGATCGGAAAAGGAGAGTAGCACATCTCTTGGCCCCAATTACCACTGTCCCAGCTGCCAACAATCCATTGAAAACCCTATTAAAAAGTACATTTTGAGTTGTGAGATTGTTGACTCCACCGGTACAATCAGAGCAGTAGCCTTTGCAGAACATGGAGAAGCCATAATGGGTGGCATATCTGCAGAAAAACTTGAGTCACTTAAAGAAAATAATGAGAAAAACACTGAGGATTATTTCTCTGATAAGCTATTCAGTGAGTGGGTCTTTAAATTGAATGGTAAAAAAGAACTCTACCAGGATTCTGAGGTCATTAAGTACCGGATCTTTTCGACTGAAGATATGACTAATCCAGAAATTTTGAACAGAGAAGCTAAAAGAAAACTTGAGTATATTTATAACAAGCTTAATAATATTAAGGAAACCAATACTAATAATGCTTATAATACTGTTAAAGTCGGTATGGGATTTGGACAGTTTGGATATTAAAATTCCCAAATTTAATTAACTAAAAAGTTTTTTCTATGGCCTAACGATTTTGCTAAGACAGGGCTATTAATTACTTTTCTCTTCTTTCCCTCTCCCCCTCTTTCCCTTTCCCCCTATCTCTCTAATTATCTATTCAGATAACATTACTTGGATGATTTCATTAATTATAGTTCTACATCATGCCGTTATTCCTGAGGAAGACGAAGATGATACTGAAGCCGTGGACTGAACAGCTAAATTGGATTCCTTGTTTAGATTCTCAATTAAAACTTTTAGTTCCTCTTCTATGGATTCGTATTGCTTCTCTAATTCAGAAATAGCAGAATCTAAAGCAGCCTTCTCTTTCTCCAATGCAGGCTTAACAGTTTTCACTGTCCTCTCTACCATAACACCACCTATTACTCTAAAGCATCTTCTATCTGGGTCAACCTTTTCAAAAGCATTGAGTACAAGCCCGTGTTCTTTGCTGTCTTGAGATAACTCTGAAATCTTGCTGCTTAAAACCTTCAACTTTCTATCAAGTTGTGAAATCTTCTCTCTAGAAGCTCTTTCTTTGTCTATTATAAATGTGGAAAATATGTACAAATAAAAAGTGTAAGATTTATACGTCTGGATAGACATTAAAAAGAACTTACCGGCTGACATTTTGTTTAAATCCCCCAAATTATCGTAGAGAAAAATCTTCGGATTGTATTTCTACCTATTTCCTCCTGCCTTCTTTTTTTCTCCCAAATTTGGTACCTCTTTATTTTTTTAATATTTCACATGGGGACTCTATTAATGGAAATTAGTCACTTAGTTTTCCCGCCGAATCATGATTTTTGCATAAATAAGAAATGCCAGGAAAAAAATAAATAGATTTGGCAGAGGAAAAAAAGGATTTAATTCAAAGAATGAAGTATCTCCCAATGGTCAGTTCTTCATTTAATTCTACTACGTATAACCGGCTTTTGACGAGATTTGGAAGCAAGCAAAGGTCAGTGTCTAGTAAGAACAGGATACTACTAACAGGTGTGTACACATCAAGGAATCCAACCAAGCCATTAGGATGTGAAAATGAGGATTCTTGTTCTGTAGGAGCAAGCCACATTTGTGTTGCGGATGGAGTTGGTGGTTGGATTTCTCAAGGAGTTAGTTCAGCCTTGTATAGTAGACAGCTTGTAAAGTACATAGAAATGAGTATTAATGATTACACTAAAGGTAAAAAATGTGAATTAGACAGAGAAAAGTTTATGGAAATGGTGAACAAGTCCTACGAAAATATGAAATCTTCCAAGATTATTGGAAGTTCTACACTTTGTTTGACTTATTTGGATAACAATAAGCTTCATGTATTTAACTTAGGAGATTCAAAGTGTGTAATATATAGAAAGGATGAAAAGGAGGTTATTTTTGAATCAGAGATTCAACAACATAACTTTAACACACCTTTTCAGTTAGGGACAGGTAGCATTGATACTCCGTATAATGCGGATTATATGATATTAGAGGGAATTAAATCTGGGGATGCCATAATTGTAGCAACTGATGGATTATGGGACAATGTTTCAATGGATAAGGTTATTCACATAGTTGATAGTAATTTGCTGTATGAACCACAGAAAATTGCAGAAAAGCTTGGGAGGGAGGCTCTACAGCTATCTTTGAGCTCCAAACACATCTCTCCATATTCTATGAATTTAAATAATTATTTATTAAACCAGAGATTTCAGTCAAATATTTCATCCAACCGTAATTTTAGTTTGGTAGCAGGAGGTAAGCCTGACGATATCACCGTATTAATAGGGGTAGTCCAATAACTGGCCAGAAATGTTTGTAGCCCTTTAAATGAATTATTCTTGTTTTTTCATAGTAACCTTAATTGATATTCCACTCACATTTCTTGTACTTTTAGAGGATTCCCATTCTTTTTCTTCATTAATGTGCTCATCAGTTACCTTAATTGTATTTGTTGTTACTTCAATTTTGATTTTATCTCCTAAGTTTGATTTCAAATCCTGAACAAGCCATATTGCTGTCATTATGCAGGCTCCCATACCATGTATAATGACATATTGATTGTCCTTACCAGACTTATATAATTTCTTGTTACGTCTACAGCCAAGCCTCTCTTCATAAATAAAATTATGAGTCTCTGTAACTGTAAGAAGATCCATTGCCCTTCTAAAGTATACTACCAGGGGCCTCTTTCTGGTTACATAGATATCATTTTCCTTAATTTCCTTAGGTATAACTGCCTTCTTTACTACCCGAGTCCTTATTCCATTATCACCTGCCGAATTAGACCCTGTCATCAGTACATTTTCCATCTTACACACTCCAGATGGTTGTTTCTACACTTATGACAATAAAGATCTTAATTTTTCCAACTTTTTTTGCTTCAATAGAATTCCAAATGTTGGCGCCAATTGTATGTTTTTATTAAAAAAGGAAAACCTATTTGGTTAAATATTTTTAAAACATAGTTTACTTTCATACATCTGGGAAAATTTTTGTCATCCTTCTTTTCATTAAAACACTTTTTATCTGATTGTTGAAAGAGCGACACTGGATAAGAAGAAAATTCTGTTTAAAAGTTAAAAGTGGAAAAATCCCAAGAAAATGATTTGTGATTGGAAATTTCTAAAAGAAGGAAAGTATTAGATATAGTAAATAGAATAAAGAACTAAACACCACCAAAACAACCAAAATTATAGGGAGCATCAATTATGACATTTAAAACATGTTTCGAGTTAAGACTATTTAAAATCACGTCAAAGCAAAACCTCAAGTCCCAGACAGGCAAACCCCAGGAAAAATCCAAGTTTGAATAAAAACATGAGATTTAAGGCTTGGGGATCCATCATCTTTTACTTTGAAAGAGTTCAATTCACAGGTATTTACAACCAACTTATATTATGTTATGCATGTAATTTTTGCCATTGGCGCCCAGAGTACCTGGGGTTTTGGCGGTAACTCATTCCCACTATTAAAATTCTAGGTAAAAAAAGAATAGAGAAAAGATGAAAGCTTAGTAAAGTAGATTGGTTGTAAGGGCCATCTAGAAAGAGCAAGGCACTATTTAGCTTTTAATGGAATTCCCCAAATATTCCAATTTTTTGGCCTTACTCCTTCAACTCTGATTATAGTTTATGACATTAGCTCGATGTGGATACCCGCGATGTCTCGTATGTCTTTTTCGGTTACTAATTAGAAGGTCGGAGATAGGTGATCTAAAGTTGGAGATTTTAATATTTAAGGAAAGATTCCAGTTAAATTAGCTAGGATGTTGTTCAGGTACTTTGTATTTCCGTTGGCAGTATTATGCCTAACTTTAGTGGAGAATCTTGCTGTAATTGCTATGGAAGATAAAAGGTCTCTACTCATTCAGAGAAGAGATTTTAATCTAACATCGAGCACTAGATCCACTACAGCCGCGTCATCTTATCAATTTGAATCTTCTACATCAACATCAATCCCTTGTACTGTCTGCCCAGACTCCATGTTCCCCGAGAAACCTCAAGATATGGAGCAAGAAGATACTAAGTCTCCAGTAATCTTGGACGAACTTTATTCGTCATATTATACAATGAAGAATTTCCAGGAGGACTCCGATATCGAGGGTTCCTCTTCTGATCATTTGGTTCTTGTCACACCTCCGTTTACCTCCCCAGTTGAGACTCCAATTCCTGCTCCAAGAACCACTACAACTACCACTACCACTACTACTACCACTACAACAACTACCACTACCACAGTTCCACCTACCAAGTCTCCGGAATTTGTTCTTGAAGATGTAATAGAACCAGTTTCTCCAATTGACGAGGCATTCTTGTACTCTCCTCAAACTGAAAACTCGAAGCGTTTTGAGGAATGTCTTGGCCAGGATTGCATGGAACTAGCATCTTTAGAACCAAAAGTCAGTAATATGGTTAACTTTTTTGAACAAATGCCTTCAGATGTTGTAGAACCTAGACGTGAGTATCCAAGATCAGATGTTAAGAGATTAGTTGATAGATTTGAGCATCCTAACGAAGACGAATTTGAGTCAAAGGTTGAAAGTCCAACTTTGTCCTCCCTAAGGGAAGGTACTTTGGACTACTTGAAGCTCCCAGAGAAACCTGAGCCAAAGATTAATCGTTTCACCCCAACTAGAGAAGTAGTTCCAGATATGGTGGAAATGTTTGAATCTATGAACTCAGAAAAGCCCGCCCAAGTTAAAGATGATGAATATGTTGCAACTTCTGTTGTCGAAGTTGAGGACAGTTCCGTTGAGAAAAAAATTGAATCCAAGGTGACTAGAGAAGCTGTTCCAAAGCTTGTTGGAGCTTGGGAAAAACTCAGACATAAGGAGGAAGTCCCCCTTTCTGGTAGGAAAGTAGGTTACACTTTTAAGGAACTTTGTGATGATAGATACAAGAAATGCTCTGAAATCAAATTAGAAAAAAGTCCTTTGGTTGAAAACGTATCCTTCCCACCAGCAGAACGCAATATATTTGATGTTGAATCTAAAAGGAAACGTAAGGTCAAGATTAGAGCCATCTCTGACTCTCCAGAATCTGCAAAGGATGATCTTAAAGCTACTGCTGGTAGATTGGGATTGGAGTTGGGAGATGACGAAATCAAGGTTTCTAGGTTAAGAGGATATAAATTAGTAGGAAATTAGTCATTTCCAGTAGAACGTGGTGTTTAACACGTCTAGTGTATATAGACGAATCCCCATAACTAGATATAATGTGAATGTTGCAATTACGGTCTAGAATTCTCTAAATGCCTATATTCCTGTGGAATTGAGAATATCATGGCTACAGTGACCTAACCTTAAATCCTACTGAAAAAGAGATAGAAGCTAGCAGGGGTCGGATGGCAGCTGAAGACTATTTGTCATTTTCTGGAGTATTTCTTCATCTTTTATCCAGAAACTGCTGTTGAGCTGTTGTGAGTCTTCTAAGTTTGGACATTGAAGTTGTCTTCTGATGGTTTGGGACTTCCTGAGCTCAGTCTAAACGTCTTTTTGACAAATGGAAGAAGCTAATATGTATGTCATAGTGCCTCTATCACCACAACACATGAGAAGTTGTATTTTGAGATCCTTACGTTTCGGACAATCCAGAGTCTGATATTGAAAGCTCTGGATTTCACTTCCCTACCAACTTTTTGGAAATACAATTGAGACTTTAACTTACGTGAGTTTTATCTCGGGGTCTCCAGATTGTTCAAATTTGAGAGAGAATACTCTTATGTTTAATGGGAATTCCCAAACCGTAAAAAGTAGGCAGTACATTTATAGACTCAGCTATAAACAACTAAAACTTTGGGTAATTCTTGCTCTTGTTGACTTCTGTTACATATTCTCCCCCCCTCGTTTCCCTCCTGTTTTCAACTCTTATCCAAAAAAATCATTCAAGTTTCTTTGCCATTATGGAGTTTTTGGTGGGGAGAGTTTTGGCGGGTTTTAAAAACTAGATATTGTGATGGCTTAATAGGGGAAAAAAGTGAGAAGAAAAGAGATGGCAAGAAATTCAGAAATGAATGGTTCAGGAGGAAGTAAGAACATTGAAAAGATGATTAACAGCAGCCTTGATGACATTGTGAAGGAGGCTAGGAAGGAGAGACGGATGAAGAAGGCAGGCCAAGGACAAAGTAGAGTTAGGAATAATAAGAGTGGCAAGATTCAGGAGTTCAAGAAGAGGAATGAAAAAAGACCAAATAATGTAAATTCGAACGTAAGGGGAAAGTTCAAAGGTTCTCCGAGTAGAGCTTCTAGAAGTAGAGTAGAAAATGAAGGAAGAGGTTTTGACAAAGGGAAAAGAATGAGTAGGGGTCAAGTTAGAAGTATCCAGATCGTGGCTAAGCTTGACAGTATTCCAACTCCAACAGCACAACAAAAGGCGGGGTTAAACAATTTGGAAGTTATTCCAAGCTCAATTTCATCACAAAAGGCCAGGAGGAGCCGAGTATTTAGCTAATAAGGGTGAGAAAGAGGAGGGGGAGAGGTCATTTTTGTTCACATAGAAGAGATTAGGATATTAATTGAAACTCATGAAGGATATACTAAGTCTTATTGCCTCTACCTATTAAACCTGCCGGGTTTTGGGACAATTAGACCCATTTTTTGTAATTGACGATACCAATTCACCATCATTCCGCTGCACCACTGTTTAAGTTCTTTATTAATTGAATCATTTACAGATCTGCTGATTTTTTTGCTATACATTATCCCGGATATAGATAAATATTGTAGTTTGAACGCTTTGTAATAGTATTCAGTACAGTCAGTAACCGTTTTTGAAAGCTTCATCCCCAAAGGAGGAATAGGTTTGATAATTCTAACATTGTCTAGTCTTGGGTCAAAAGATGTAAGGAAAAGCCTCCACTGCATTCTACTAAGATCGTAATCGGATGGCTGTTGAGTTTGGAACGGCTGAAAGTTTTGGCTTTGGGGAGAAGCCACATTTTTAGGAGCTTTTTTCCTAATAGTTGGAGAAACTAGCTCCAACTCTGGAAGTGGAGTTTTAAAAACTTCCTTTAAAGTTTGCTTGATTCCCCTCTTATTTGAAATTGGAGATGTGTTTTGCTCTTCGAAGTACCTAGCCATGTCCAATTCGTCTTCAGGGCTAACAAAAACCCTTCTATCTTGATATGTGTGACTAATATCTCTCGGAGTCGGTCTTTTTTCAATTACAGGAAGTTGAAAAACTGATTGCCTTCCTGAAGCTGGATTGTAGCTCCTGCGAGTTTGGTTTGGGATCGGAGATATTGGTTGGAGGTACAGAGGTGAAGCTTCATGGCTTGAATCTTCTTCCTCCCAGGTAAATTGTTTTTCAGAATGATGAAGAGTAGATTGGATGGGTTTAAAATAACTTCCTGGGGCTACACCCAGGCCAGAGTACTCAGGTGAGGTGGAAATAGCTCTTTCTCTGTATATTTGTGGAGTTCTTCTGGGTATTCCAACTAGCTGAGATTTCAACTGCCTCACCATATGAGGAGGTACTCTTGCTTCACTCACTGGAGCCCATCTAGTCCACCCGCCATTTAATCTCCTTGAAGAGAGCCAGTCAACAGACCCATCTGAGTACAGCTCCCCTCTGAATCTCTCCGGAAGGGGTGTTCTACTTGGTACTTTTTTTCTTGAAATATAAACTCTTTGATAGTTAGGACTCCCCGAATGGATAGCTTTCACGCACAAAACCTGTGAAACTAGTAGTAATAAATATCCTAATCCAGTTGAAATCTTCATTCCTTAAAGAATCTCATTTACTCAACAATTCTATTTTTTAACATCCCCAAAAAGCTGCGATTTTTAGATCAGAACAAGGCGCCCAGTTAATGGCATGCATGCAAAGCTTTTTATGTGGCGGGAAAAGGAAATCTGGGAGTTAAGAGAAAAAGTCAGAAACTTGAACATTCATCTTGACTGCGTCAGTGCAGCCATCGTTGTACCTGTAAATGCAAAATGAGTTTGGCTTCTTAGATTCTTGGGTTGTTTTTGTTTTAGCCCTGAGTTTCATAATTAGGTCCTGGAAACTTGGAACAGAGACAAAAATGTCAACCGGTACTTGTTTTTCAAGTAACCTAGTTTTTTCGTTTATTTGGACATTTCTTTTCTGGGAAGAATTGAGGTTGTAGTAGTGGATACCTGGGATGATTTGTTTGGAAATGTTATCCTTGAAAAAATCCACTAACTGGTTAACTAAGGTGTAAAACCCAATATCATATATGTATTTACCATGATTTGGTGGTAAGACAGAGGGGTTTCTGACGTACCCAGATTCTATTGAGTTCATTAGACACTGGAAGGAGTAGAGTGACTCAATGTTTGGTTTAAGGAAATGTGAGGTAGAACCGTTATCATTGTTTTTCCCGAACAAACTACGGGTTTGGTCTTCAAACCTGAACCCAAAGCAAACCATCTTTGAGACAAGGTTCTGCAGAACATAGAGTGACTCCAATTCTTCAGAACTGAGAGATCCAGTCTGAGACTCAATGAGACATTTAAATTTCGGAAAAATTTGTGTGGATTTCCACTGATTCAAATACTTGAGGAAGCCAATTCCATTGAAATGAGTTAACATAGAGGGCAAAGTGTATACTTTAAAGGAATTTGTCATGGTCTCTACTTTCAGAATATCCAGAGTTGAAGAGGAAATGTCCCTGTAAATACTGTTAATTGAGTTTGAAATGCCTTGAGAAAAAGCAAAGGTTGAAGAACCTAGGTATCTGAATTGGTTACAGTGAATTCCCATGATCTTTCTAGAAACAAAAATTGCTGAGCTTAAGAAGGGAAGTAGTGAATTGATCCTCAAGGAAAGAATATTGTGTTCGACGATTGAATCCAAAATAAGCTTTAAGTAATCGTAGTAGAAGTCACTCATTAAGTTACACCGGTAAATGTTTTCAGTTAGTAGACCTGCCAGATTTAACCCGAAATTTATTAGACACTCTTCTCCATACTCCAGGACATATTCAAAGATTTCGTCCTTCTTGATTCCAATTTCCAATCCAAAGCAAGTCTTAACAAAGCCTGAGATATCTTGGTCCAAATCTTTGGTATAACAACAACCTTCAAAATCTTCCCAATATATTGGAACTTGCACTCTTTTCTTACCTTTTTCATCGTCATGATCATCTTTTCTTCTAATATCCTTTTGGCTCATGAGATATATTGAATTCAAACATGATCTAATGTCACAATTGTGGACCTTAATGAGTTCATTTAGGATTTCATCGTCCTCTAACTTTAGTCCTTCGTTCCTACAAACATAGCTGAGTCTTTTAAATATCTTCTCTTTTGGTGGGGACGGAACCACAATATTTAAGGATTTTGCTCTTAAAGACCTTAGGGATTTCTCGTGGATGTCGTTACATATACATATTATTGGCCTACTAACTGTCTCACGGTTTTTGGAGTGAGTCTCTGAAAGTTTAACTAGGAAACTGAAGCAATCATATTTTCTTACATTTCCACCGTTTGAGAGACTGTCTAACTCATCTATCATGATTAAAGTTGGCTTACTGGTCCCTCCAATTGTCCCAAAATTAATTCTCATTTTTATGGAGTTCTCAAAACTCTCCATAGTCTTTTCATCAGAAACTTTAATTTCATTCACTTCGTATCCACATTGTTTGGCTAAGATCTTGACCATACTTGTTTTTCCACTCCCAGAAGGACCTCCAATCAGTAGAATTGGGACTTCTGGGGCTTCAGAAGATTTTTTAGAGCTTAAAGAAGATTTGAAGACATAGCCTTCCCAGCTTTTTATCCACTTCAAAATGCTTCTAATTGAACCCTCATCGTTTATCAGATCCAAACAGGACTTTGGCACATACTTTGTTGTTAGAATTGGTCTATTGGTATATGTCCTTTCGATTTCATTGGAATCAAGATCAGGATTTAGATTAGGTCCAGGCTTAGACTCAGGCCCATAGTTGGTCATAAACTCAGCCTCAAGCTCTGGCTCTGTAATATCAGGGCCTAATCTTGTCCCTCGAGTTCTTCCCAAAGACTTGTCTTGTCTGGAACGTAGTTTTTTGAGCAAATCTAAAGTGTCTTCCCTTTCCCAAGTTTCAACAAAGAAGGTTTTGGATGGGTCAGACACTCCAGAAAATCGAATTATCCCCTTGTGTAACTTCTCCATAGAGGAGACACTTTCAAAAAGCTTGTTTGACCTGGTAATTTGTTTATTTTTCTGTAATGTGTTTATTGAGTTCAGCCCAAATATATCGTAATCCTGCTCAAAGCTCAATTCACAATTTATGAACTCAAGCCTTGAGGAACCCAACTCTTCAATGCCTTCCTGAAAACTCCAGGCTTCTCCTTCCTCTTGAGATACCACACACAGATCTATGCTCATATCTATACTTTTATCCGCATTTTTTCCTTTTTTAGCTCTAGAGTTGTTCAGTTTCTTGTCTAGGCTCTCCAGAGCCTTGGATAGGGAAGCCTCGCAGTAATTAAGCGAAGAGTTTTCATCTATTCCCATACTTTCGCTATTCAGTCTGTACTGTGGAGCTTCATGCAGTTTCTCACTCTCTACTGGGCCATTCAACTTCTTCCGCTTAGGTTCTGGCTTACCAGCAAAACCAAAGGACTCATCCTCACTCCAGTCTTCTTCAATGTCCCACATTTAGAACAACTTGGAGGATTAAATCCAATTTAGAGTTAATTAGTTAATTAATTTTTTTAGTTTTTTTTTGTGTGATTTTAACTTGTCATGCGGCCCTTTCCCTTTTTACCTTTTCAGCTTTTCCCATCATTTTGCTATTTTAATGCGGACTTAGCACCCCCTCTCAATTTGGCGCGCATTATGCATGAATTAAAAATGCTAGAATATTAATGATAAAAAAGGTAATAGAGGATAAAAAAAGGTATTAAATGGACTAGAACACTGATTAATTTTGTGGGTGCATATAGCGAACCTACAGACTATTAACAATGTCTGAGTATATTAGGATGGGAGAAGATGAGGACATAATAAGTAATATAAATGATACATGCTTTATATGTCTAGAGGATTCATCCCAGGGAAAACTTAAGCGATGTTGTTCTCAGTGTTATGCACTTGTACACGGAAAGTGTTGGTCAAAATGGAGTAGCTCGCAACAGATTTCGGTCTTGAGAAATATTTTGCTTGGAGAACAATCCAAAGAAGTTGAGTTGTGTTCTATTTGCAGAAGCGGATCCATCCAAATTGAACACTCAGAGGATGGCTCTGAGGATTTTTCCAAGATTCTGAGTGGTGGGCTAATTCGGAGATTCTTTCGAATTTTAGCAAGCAGACTTTATGGAATTCAATATGGTTCTTTTATGGTATCTTCAATGGGGCATCCATTTTCTAGTTTGAGAAACCTACTAATAAATGGAGTTTTTCTATTGCTCTTCTTCATCTATATCTTATACCAAGAGGGGAATCCAGATACCAAGAGTATAATTACAATCTCTTTGTGGGCATATATTACACTACTACTGCAGTTTCTGATACTAACAGGAATGTATAGAAGACAAGTTTTAAATGAACTAGCTATAGACGAGCCTAATCTAACTGATACATATGAAACTGTAGGACAAAATGATTAAGATTATAGAAATCTAAATTTAGGTGTTTGAAAAAACAAAATCTTAAGTAGGATTTATTTGAATAAAATTGATTTACATCTTATTTATCTACCTCTTTTGTAGAGGAGTCTGCTGGAACTTCTTCCTCCACCTCCTGTGAAAAGTACATGTCAAAGTTATCCAATAAATGCTTTTTCAAAGCATTCAAACTTTGAAGTTGGGTGGCTAAGACAATTCGTTGTAGCATTAGCGGGACAGCTCCACCAAGGTCCATTTTTTGAGCAAAAAACAACTCAGTCTCACCTTTAAATTGACGGATTAAAAATCCCACAAACTTGATTTCGCCTCTTACATAAGACTCCGTAACTGGAATCTCTTCTCCAGATTCAGTGAGATTTTTAGTATCTGAAACAGAAGAGGCAACTAGAACATAACAGTTATCACTAAGAATGAAGTTTCTCCCCATGATCAAAAACTCCCTTCCCTGAACCCCCATCATTCCTCTATAACACTGTTTAGCCAATGCCAGATGACCCAAATAGTATATAACAGATGATTCTGCGCAAGTATTATCATACAAAGGTTTGTTCTCAATATTAACAATAAAGTCAAAAATATTTTTTGGTGTGAGAGATGTCCCAAATGAACACTTCGCAACATAAGTAGACAACCCATCATTTGGCTTAGAGGTGGGAGAGGATGAAGATGAAACAGAGTCAAACCTACTACACAAGGCGTCACCCATGTTACCCAAGTTTACATGAACCTGACCAGTTTTCTGGCAACTCCCAAGAGCCTTAAAGTTAGACTCACTCTCCTGTGCTGTATTAAAGTCTTCAAGTACGCTCAGAAAAGAGTTCAAAGCTTCTTGCATTTTTTGGCTATATTCCTGATAGAGTGTTTTTTCTCTCTCAGTACTTGGGTAGACTATTTCATGATGGTCACCAATAATTGCTCCGTTGCTTGCTATATTTGAAGGGCATTCGCAGGTTGAGTTTCTGGAGGCACATGTAGTTGGATTTGGTGATAAAGTAGTTTCTCCAGCTTCCTTTACTTGTTTTTCTAACTTATTTGAGACGGACTTTGTCCCTTCAGCACCACTCCAGAGACCCCACATGGATTAATTATTACAAAAACAAAAAATAAGTAAAATGCCAAGCAGAATTTAAACTATGTTTAGTTATTCCTTCTTTTAGTATTTCCCCATCCACAAAATGCAAAAATGCACGAGGATCGCAACCCGCCAATTGCATGTTGTGCTCGCATGGGGGTAGTGGGAATTTTTTTAATAACTCGGAAGGCGGGTAATATAGAAAAAATGAATTGGAGGAAATACAGGGAATAACAGAATATAGAGTGAAGGAAGAATAGTTAAGTATATAAAATTATTTAATTTAGATAGTGCAGTATGGTAGGGTACAGAGGTATTTTCACCTTATATTATTAACTACTCTGGCTCAGAAGAGTCAGAGTCATCGAGTTCGGAGTCTGTTTGATTTCTAATTAAATGCAAACCTCTATATTTTGAATGAGAATGTGCCGAATGTTTATGGTTTTGTTTTTCATTGTTAACAGGAACTTGTTTATTTACTTCATAGCAAGTACTACTATTGAGTTCGTGAATTAGATTTGGTGGACCACTTGAAGAAATTTCTGACTCATACTTTGGTTCGTGTTCTTCAATGGTAAACCTTTGTTCAATTACAACACTATTGTAGAATCCTGGCTTAGTAGAAAAAGCTTTAATTATATAGTTTCCTGAACCTTCAACATAAATAGGCTCCGAATATACCTGCTCTTTTGAATCATTTATCTGATAAATAATATTAACGTTTTTTTGAGCAGACGAGATTTCAATCATTTTTGAATCTGGAGATGTTTCAATAATTTTTATCCTGGGCCTTATACACGGGAGTTGTTTGGCAATATAAAGTTGGGATAGTTGAATATGTGCATTGGATGGACAGGGAAATCTGTAGTTGGGCCTTCTAGAAAGGTCCTTACCTGTAAGATCATCATATTCAGGAGGAGCTCTGGTAGTGCTCGAGTATCTTAAACTGATATGTGCGATATTTCCAAGAGTTAGATTTTCAATAACGGACTCTAAAAAGTTTTGAATGTGAAATTGAATATTAATAAACCTGAGCTAAAGGTACTTTTTAAAGTTGAATTATTTAAACTTACTTTGGTTCTTAAATTTTTCTATGAGTTCCAATCTATGGCCAACTTTTGCCAAAACCGACTCAATTTTTCTCTTCAGTTCTACAACCTTCTCAATGTTTTCCTCATTGACAATCATTTAAGTAAATATTACAGTATTGAACAATACTAAGTTGAATAAAAATTGGGAACACTGTGCAATCCCCAAATTTCTTTTCTTTGTATGACCTTATATAAACTGAACCAAAATGTTATAACCAGAGAAAATAACCTTCAATCTAATATAATATTGATAGATAGATTATTCCGCCTGTGATTTATATTTCTTCTATTAATTATTAATAATATGATTATTTTCCAATAATAAGGGGTAACGTATTTTAAGGACCTTGCGGGATTTAAAGTAACTTAGATCTACAATAATTTGGAGTTTTGGCGGGAAGGTGCAAACAAATAAATAATTAAGTGCATGTGAAGAGAAAATTTAAAAAGAAAAAAGAGAAAAACAAACTTCCGGATATAATATAAAGCATAAGGATTTAACAGGAAGAAAATAATTGAAGAGATTTCATGATTTTCGAAGTCTAATAAAAATAATGTTGGAATAATGATGAAAGTTGAGTTAATGTGTATATATAGAGACAATACATGAAAGCGTTTAATGTCATGTCGTTTTTGTGAGTAGTTGTAAAGAAAAGAGATAGTTTGAATAGAAAAAAAAGATAAATAGGAAAGTAGAGTGGCAAAAACATACTTTGGAAATATGGAAGAGCCCAGAATCACCTATTCAGATGACCATAGATCTCAAGCCGAGATGTTTGTAGAGGCTCAAAATCAGGTGATGGAGGGGGAGCTCTCCAGAGGCCTTTATGTATCAACGGAGGTAGAGACTAACCAATCTAGTGCCTGTGGAATAGCTTGTGGACCAAAAGAGCAAAGACTTACCCATACTATTCGTTCGTTCACAAGGCCAATCCCGGTAACTGCAGGACAGATGAAACTCAATTCTGCAGATGAATTGATTGGAAAGCCAGTAATCAAGCAGAGATTGAATGAAATGTACGTTAATAGGAGCCTGAAAACATCTCCAACAAATAAATTCCTGTCATTTGGAGTGGCTTCCATGAGAACAATGAATAGTAATCCACAGCCATCATACCGATCAACAGGCTCGGGATCAATGTCTACAAGCAGAAGCTATACATACTTAAGTCATGTTAATACTAATAATTATGGCAATATGAATACTGGTATTTCCCAATACTCAAGAGAATTTACTTCAAACAGCTCACCAGTTTTTAATGTGTTCACAACAATCTTGAATGGTTTTTGTAGCTGCCCAGGTTTCATTTCAGCATGTAATAATAAGAAGAAAATACATACAATTGAACAAGAGCAGATTCCATCAGATTCTGACTTTGCTGATTCTGGCTCCGAAAGTGATGATGATGCAGGCTTAGACGTTGCTCAGGAAGAACAAAACTAAGCTATATTTGATAGTTTTTCAATACTCAGAAGCAACGAAGACTGATCACCTATCTTAATATCGGAGTAATAGTTTAGGTTGTACCTCAGCCATATTGAAAGTTTGTTTTTACTTTTTATTTGAATATTAATTTTTTATTTTATATCAAAGAAGAAATAACAACTATTGTTGCCAAGTCAGAGTACTGAGTGTTAATAAAGATGATTCAATAATTTGCTTAATAAATGAGTTGTAAAATTGGCCAGTTTTTCTACAAACTTATGTTTTTCCTTTTATATTTTGTGAATTGTTGTGAGTTGTCTCTCCAGCAATAGAAAACGAATCAGTTCTAAAATACCTGATCTATTTTCTTTAGGGAAAAAACAATTCTAATAGGTCAAGAACTTAGTAAAATGATATTGTCATTTAAATCTAAGACAACATTTAATTACACTCATTCCACACTAGGTTTTAACTATAGATATATTCTACTAAGTTCTTCCGAATACACAATTTTCTTTATTTGATTTAACAAAATATAAGGGCCTCTGGATGGTTAATTTCTGCATGCATATATGCATGTATTCTCGGACTTTAGTAGAAAATTAAACAATAAATAAAAATTTCCCACATTACTGTAGAAAAAAAAACAAATAAATAGTATTAGGAAATAGTTTAGTGAATAATAGATAAGAACTTTGCCACACAAATTATATTTTCTAGTTTTGAGAAGAATTTATCTCAATTCTTCACCAATGTTTCGGAACTTTACGAATTTGGAGTTTTATTGTTCTCTCCTGTATATCTTAGTTAATATTATTCCTCCTCCTGTAGTTTTCTACAGCATTAGTATATCACTACATACATTGTTTGAAAGCTAAATTGTGAGTTATTTTCCCGCCTTGTCTTTTTGAAAATAAAAGCAAAAAAGTAATTATAGTTAAAGAAAAAACGAACCAAACAAAATTGAGGAATAAGATGAAAATTAAGGTTAGAACAGTTCAAAACACAGAGATGGAAGTGGAGGTGGAGGTAGATTACTCAATTGAAAAGGTGAAACAAGCCATTCAAGCATTAAACCCAGTAATGGAAGCTTCAAGGCTCAAGTTGATTTTTGCTGGAAGAATTCTGAATGACTCACATACTGTTCAAGATGTAGGAATTAAGGATGGAGAGCGATTAGTTGTTCTTCTTTCGAAAGGAGCTTCCCAAAAGGCAGCAGAAAGTCATCAGAATAAGCAAAACAATGTATCGACTGAATCTAATGCAAATACAGAACCAGCTACTGGAATTCCACCCTCAAATAGTCAGAACCAACTGGGGATTTCTGATCCATCCATAGATTCAAGAGCCTCAACTTTGCTAACAGGGCCAGAGCTTGAGGAAACAATCGCAAATATTGTTAATATGGGTTTTGAGAGAGAACTGGTTGTAAGAGCAATGAGAGCAGCATTTAACAACCCAGATAGGGCAGTTGAGTACCTTACCTCAGGGTTGCCAATTCCAGAGAATCCAGTGGCAGCTAATCCCGCTAACACTACACCAGCAAACTCAAATGCTTCCTTGAATACAGCCATAACTCCAACAGAAGAATCCTCATCGGAACAACTTCCAGGGAATTTGGAGTCGCTTAGAACAAATCCATTATTCCAACAGCTAAGGTCTGTTGTTCAACAAGATCCGAGAATTCTTCCTGAGCTCCTTGTAAGAATTGGCCAGTCAAACCCCGAAATTCTCCAGCTAATTACAGAAAACCAGGAAGAGTTTATCAGAATGATGGAGAGAACAGATTCTGATGAAATCGGAGAAGCTGCCCAATTCCCAATGCAAACAACTATCCAACTTACTCCCCAAGAAGCTGAGTCTGTTGAACGTTTGCAGGCGCTCGGATTCCCAAGAAATGCTGCTATTGAGGCCTATTTGATATGTGAAAAGAACGAAGAGCTTGCTGCAAACTATCTCCTTGAAAACAGTGCTGACTTCTTTACTGATGGTGCGAACTAAGACTATCTTAATTTTTCATAAAATATAACTTTGTAATGAAAGTACCTACAAAGTCTAATATCCTAATTCATTAGGTCCAACCCTTAATATTTTATAATACAACTGAATCCTTTTCTTTTGTCACTCCCTCACTATTCCTCTGTTTTTCCAACTTTTTTAGTTCCCACTTTTCCTCTGTTTTCCATTATTTTCTTATTACTATTTATTCAAACTTCTAACTACATGCCATTTTGGCGCCTTTGACATGAAGCCTAAGATATTGATATTTAAGGCCAATTAATCAGAAAAAAATAAATACTTCTTAAAAGATGGAAGAGGCACAAAATGGAGATTCCTGGGACGTAGTTGTCTTAGGAACGGGACTGATTGAATGCATTGTTGCATCAGGCCTCTCAATGAGAGGATATTCAGTCTTGGTTTTGGACTCCAATACCTCCTATGGAGGCTTAAGTAACACTGTAAAACTCCCCACAGCTCATAACTGGATCTCAGATAGCCCAGAGCACTCAAACTCTCTCTTTGAAACGAGCTCTTTCTTTGAGAAAGAATACGATATTCAGGTCTACTCATCATTAACTGAAACAGAATCTGAAAACTTGAAAAATATATACATTGATATGATGCCTAAAGTATTATTCTGTCGTGGTCATCTTGTAGAAATGATCTTATCATGCAATATTTCTGGGTACCTTGAATTTCAGGGAATAGAGGATATATATTTTGTGGACATTAAAGATAAGGAAACTCTTAAATTAACAAGAACACCATTTTCAAAAAAAGAGGTATTTTCGTCAACAGAATTAAATTTAGTAGAGAAGAGACAAATTATGAGGCTGTATAGTGGAATTAGGGATATTTTGGAGATATCTAAAATTGAGGAAAAAGTTGATTTAGATTTGGTTTCTGACCCTTTCAGAACTCCAGCATTAATTGTTAATACACAGAATAGCTCAAAAAAGAATAATAGTTATGATAATATTCAAAATAGTAACAAGAATACATGTATTTCAGAAATAGCTTCCTTTTCAGATTTCCAGGATTTTTGGAAAATTAATGATCGTATTTTAGATTTAGTTAAGCACAACATTGTTTTTTGTAGCTCAAACTGTAATGAGCAGTTTCAATGGAAAAAGAATTTTACGAGGTACTTTAACCTCCTTCTGAGCTCATTAAATCAGCACGGCTGCATAGGGACTCCTTTTTTATATCCAAATTACGGTACATGTGATTTACCTCAATCATTTTCTAGGCTTGCAGCAGTTAAAGGATCTGTACAAAGACTTGGGACAGATATCTCAAGCATTGAAAGACAGTTTGAGAAGGAGAAATTATGGAAGATTCATATTAACTCTAATAATCTAAAAGAAGTCATCCAATCCAAGTTAATATTGGGATCACTAAATAGCTTTTCAAAATACTTGAAGAATCCCATAAATAATATAATAGAAAAGAGGGTTCTATGCTATTTTATCATTCTGAACCACCCATTAATCACACCAAAGAACTCCCAGAATCATAAAAAACTTTGTCTCGCCAGTATAAGGATTGGAGAAAACCAATTAGATAATAATATAGCCTATATTCTACAATGTGATCACTATACAGGATGCTGCCCTTCTGGGTATTACATCGTTTATATTAATAAAATTATGGGAATGCAGGAGACCACTTTAGAAGCAAGGAGTAAAATACAAAATGCAATTAACTCTTTTTTATCCGAAAAAACAAATAGTGAGACAAAGATTCTGTACAAAGCAAGCTACATTTACAAACAAAAAGTGGAAAACCCAGAACTACTGTCAGATGGACTAATACTTTTATCTGATCCATCTATCAATAATAATAGCTTCTTTTTGTTAGATGAAGATGTGGATAACGCAATATTAGCACTAGATAAGTCCTTAAAGTTTTTAAGTTCACAAAATCAGGAAAATGTTACATTCCATAACTTCTCAAATTCAGAAAAGGATCAACAAGGAAAAGAGAACCCAAGAAGCCAAGAATTAAGTAATCAGTACATTATAAAAAAGCTACAAAATATCCTAGATTAAAGAAATTCTTACATATACATAAATTAAGACGTTATATTATTCTTTTTATTAGTGTCTCATGAACAAGGAGTACTTGTTTCAACGGAAGCAATAATGATATCATTCCTATACAGGTATTTCATTAACATTTGAATAGCTTCAAGGCCCTGAGTGTGATCTTTGACCTTGTGTACTACAATGTAATTAACTGAAACTACAAAACAACATTGAGTTATTTCATTATTGATTTCATCTATTTCCTCATCTGGGAACCTAAGAAACTTGTTTGTTGATATATTGTCTTCATTGGAATAAATTCCATTAGGTTGAAAACTTATAATCATAGCTGTATATAATTCTGGATCAAAAAGTATTTCAAAAATGTGATTACTAGCAATAATAGTATTATAAAGCTTGAATATATTAATTAGGCCGAATTTAGATGGGATCTCAACTCTCAAAATAGAATTGACTTGCTTTATTTCCAATGGAACAGACGGATCGTGTTGTCTAAATTTTTTCCTAAGCCATGCAATGTATTCAGCACACGTTTCCTCGTTTTCTCCAATGCTTAAAATATACCCACTATTGTAAGCGATAATACACCCGTCCTCCTTCACTCCTCTACGTCTGGGAGTCGGGCAAATTAATGCCTTTTTGCTGTGGCAATAAACAAACATTTCCGAACTTTTTCTTAACATGTTCTTGTAAACATCCCACGATGTTACGCTATTCGAAAAATCAAGGTGTCCCTCGAGGACAATCCTGCGCCTGATCATAACCTCAGGGATTGAGAAGTCCATTTTCGCTACTTCCTATGTGTGAACTTAAAACATGCAAAATAAGACATTGAAAGTAAAATTTCCAGAAGTTAATATATTCAAGAGTTTAATTGGTATATTGAACTTGAGAATTTTAATTTGAAATTTTTCATACGTCCCTTTAATTACCGTTTTTAAATAGTTGTTTTTAATTGACAAATTTTTTAGAATAGTTTAGGCGCCAAATGACATTAATAACTAGTAAATATTTACATACAGGTATTTGGTCAAATTAAAAACTAACTTTTAAATTATTTATATTTTGGCATGTTGGCGCCTTACGTGTATAATATTATTTCTAATATAATAATAAATAATAATAATAAAATAAAATAAATAGTAAATAAAGGAAAAAATGGAGACATATTCAACTTTGACGCGTTAATATTAATAATAATATAATCGAGACGGGAAAACGAAATAGATAATTACTATCAGCTTGGTTCAAGTTGAAGGCGAGGCGTTTAACTAGGAATTTTAGAGTTAAAGTTGTATTTTAGAATCATTAAAGAATGGTAAGTTGAGAGTGTTTTTCGTTAAAATAAGAAAGTTTCTAACTGAGACTTATCAATCCTTTAGGCACGTGGTCCAAAGAAGCATTTAAAGCGTGTGGCAGCTCCATCCAATTGGATGTTGGACAAGTTAACAGGTGTATATGCACCTCGTCCATCAAGTGGTCCACATAAACTAAGAGAATGTATTCCATTGGCAATTTTACTCCGTAATAGATTAAAGTTTGCTTTAACGTATACTGAAGCAAAGTATATTGTAATGCAACGTCTTATTAAGGTTGATGGAAAGGTCAGAACTGATATCTGCTTCCCATTAGGTTTGATGGATGTTGTAAGCATTGACCGTGTTGGAAAGAATATACGTATTATGTATGACACAAAAGGTAGATTTGTCCCAGTCCAAATTGATGCTAAAGAGGCAGGATTTAAGCTATGTAAAGTAACTAAGGTTGCTCTTGGAGCAAAGGGTATTCCAACTGCCACAACCAATGACGCTCGTACTTTGAGATACATCCACCCAGACGTCAAGGCAAATGATACTGTTAAAGTTGATTTGGCTACAGGAAAGGTAAGTTATATTGGTTTGAAAGGCATGATATGAAGAATAAACCATAATGTTGTTTATTATTTTGGTATTACATTGTACATTTCAAATTGCAATCTTCTTTTCCACAGTTGATTTGGTGTGTTGTTGGCTTTTCGGTGATGAACAATGACTTAAATGGGAATCTCTCTTACAATCATCTTACATGGTGAGATATGGTCTCGACTTTCTATCATGATTGTCCTGATGTTCTGCTTTTGACACACCATTTCACTGCTGCGGATTGGCCGAAGATTTTGAGAAGCTTTTAGTGTAAAATACCTACTGAACATTATATGGAGATTTATTCTTCTGTATAACTTGCCTTGCAAAAATCTATTTTCCAAAACTTTTTCTAACTTTTTTTCTCTAATAGGTATTGGATTTTATCAAATGTGAAGTTGGTAACATGTGTATGGTTACTGGTGGTAGATCTCAGGGTCGTGTTGGTACCATTACTCACTTTGAGAGAAAGATGGGTGCTCAATGTATCGTCACTATTCGTGATCAAAAAGGTGCCACTTTTGCCACTCTAATGAAAAATATCTTTGTTATTGGAGAGGAGGGTAAATCTTTGGTCACTCTTCCAAAGGACAAAGGTATTAGATTATCAAATGTGGAGGACAGAAATTTGAGAATGAAGAAGCACAGGAACTAATTAGAGACTGATTTCTAGGAACACTCAAACATATTAGTCATTTTTTTTCCTCATAGTTTCATAGTTGTTTCAATTTTATCTTAATACTTGGAGTTGTCTCTTTTTCTGACTCGAATCTTATTATTTTAGTAAGATTTGTTTTTGGAGTTTCTAGGTGGAAATTACAGGGAAATCAAGCTAGAATAAAATTGACCGTTAAACACTATTGCTAATTAATAATTTCTAGAAACCAGCTATTATACTTAATCCAGAATTAATTCATCAATCTTCCAATCCTCATAATTCCCATTTGGAAGATACCTTCTAATAACGAAAGGAATTTTCTTAGTATAAAGCTCTTTCTCTGCTATTAATAAAGGATCTGTTTCACCATCTAATGGTATAGCAACTGGAGCATTCATACTAATTTGTAGTGCTCTTGTTCCAATGATTCTTGCCTTTTCAAATTTTGTCATATAAGGAGTTGTAATACGTGGGCCTTCGTTTGGTTTTCCATCATACCTACTATGTACTGCATCTTCTGCCAATATTTCTATATTCTCATCTCCTTCTATTTCTTCCTCTAATAACTCCTCCTCAATGTACTCTTCTTCCTCATCATAGTTTCCTCCAGACTCATCGTAATCATTCATTTTTATAACTTAATACTATTAAAATTTGCCCAATTTTTTAAAATGGCTAATTTATATTGTTTTAATTTTTTATGTCAAAAATTCGGCTCAAAAAGCAAATACAGAAACTCATAACCCCGGAAAAATAAATTCAGAAATAGGCGGGAAATTTGCTTTTTAAAAAAATTACATGCAGAAATAGAATGTAATAAGAAAGTGATAGAAAATTCATGTTTTAAAAAAGAGAATAGTTAGGAAAGATATCGATGAACCAAAAATTAGCTGATTTTTTGTATTAGAGCAGGTCATCGTCAAGATCTGTATAGCGATGTTGGATTCCTTGTATTTTTACCTTTCTTTAATGCAATAATAAGTATTTATATTCTCTTTAAACCTTCTCATAAAGAATATAATTTTTTCAGATAACTTTAAGTATATAATAAATTACGTGTGTTTAACTTTATTTTTATTAAAATTATAATTGAAAAAGCAAATTTTTGCTTATTGAATAGAAAACTGAGTATTAGTATAGTAGGATCTTTTGGTTTTGGCAAGTATAAATAGGTACTAATGGAATATATTGGTTCTTTAGATAACCCATTAAGACTTATTTACTTTTCGTGCAGGTAAGCACTATTGGGCAGTTTTTAAGCAAGGCCAAGAAATATCGAGTTTGAAACATATCTAAACGTTATCTCAAACCCAGCTATGAAAGCTGACATGCTTGCTTGAAACTCAAATAGTCTACTAATGAATTGGTGATTTAATAAAATTTCTAGAGGAACTTGCGATGCAATAAGATTATTATTGGTAGATCAAGAAATACCATATGAAGGTAAGTTAGTATACTATTTCTGGGTAGCAAAGTATAAGCTCATCAATATTTTTATATAACTTTATATATGAACATATAGAGCATAACATTTCAGGAAAAGACTTTTTACAGCCTGAATTCCAGCATGTTCTAGCTGAGTCTGGGAATTTTCCAATGCTTCCATATTTGTCAGATTCAAATAATGAAGTAGAGCTAACAGGATCATTCACAATACTAAGATACCTCGCAGATAAGTGTAAGTTGATGGGTAATAATTCAGAGGAAAGAAATAGGGTAGAGAATTGGTTGGAATTTCTTCAGTCATTACTACATTCAGTATGGGATTTTGAGAATATATCAGAAAATTATACTGGAGTTCAGCAAACAAAGAAAAAAAGCAAATTCTTGTTGGATACTCTTCACCCTATGCTTAAATGCATAGATGACAAGATTGAACAAGGATTCTGGGCTCTGGAGTCCTATTCGGTGGTAGATATCGTCCTGTATTCTACAATAAGTGTAGTAATTAGATCTTGGGGGAGTGATTTGTTGAAACCTTATATTAGGTAAGTTAACTAGTGAATGAAAGGATTGACCTTGATAATTGAACAATATTAGAATTCTATCGCATAAGAAAAACATGGAAAAATTGAGAAAACAAATAGATTCGTTTAAGGATGACCCTAGACGTTTTTAAAAATAACTAGTAATAAATTAGTTTCTTGATTATTTGAATTTGTCTGGTCTACTGTTTAAAATAATCTGATCTATCTCACTTACAACCCAAGCAACAACAACGGTAATATCGTCCAATTTTCCTCCAGTACTAAACTGCCACAGCTCATCGTTCACATTACATTGTTTGTTAAAAGGAGTCTTTGCCTTTGGATCCAAAGATTTAATATATGCTGCATTTGCCAAAGCTTTGGATATATTATGAGGACTAGAATATAATTTGGGGTCCTTTAATAGCTGAATTGCCTCATATGGGGAAATTGCTCCACTACAAATACTGCAAATTTCATAGTCATATAAATTGTCAAATAACCCATCTGTTGCAATTACAATCAAGTCACTCTGGGAAAGCGTAATTTCTTTGTAAATTGAATGAGATGGCAGATCCTGAGGTACACCTTCACTGTTTTTGACCAGATTGATAAAACAAGTTAATCCCTTTTCTTGCAACATAGGGAAGTCCTCATGTGTTGGTAGTTTTGATAATTGAAATGGACAATTAAAAGAATGCTGTTGAACGGGACTTCTGTACACTATCCCCATCCTAAAAGTCTCAGGGGTCCTCCTCAGTATAATTATCCCAGAGTCACCCAAATATGAAATCTGAAGTTTGCAGGTTTTTGGATCAAAGCATGCTACAAAAGCTGTTGATGAACCAAATGATTGTGTATTTTTATATCCCTCCATCAACAGAAACTGAGAGTAAGAAAGGGTCCGAGGACTATCATTGAACTCCTTCCCCACTTTGAGTAACTCGTCCTTCTCACCGTTTACATAACCTCTACTATCTCTCTTCTTGTTATCAAAGTCACTCTGTGATTCACTTTTCTCTTCCTTATTATAAGATATATCAAACTTCAACTTCGCTCCTTTAGAACGACATTTAAACCCACTAAATTCCAAGGCATTTTTGCTTTCCACATTCACATTCCCCACTTCCAACTCACTATTTGCATGCACATTCTTCTTTAAAATTGCCACGTCATTAGGCGGGAAATATGGTTGCATGCATTTCGTACTTAGATAAGCCTCTCTCATTCCAGAGATAAGTTCGGAGGCAAATAGTTTTGGATTGATTCCAAAATTTGCCCATTCTCCCACACCATCGGCAACTCCAATAACGTTTTCTTCATAAAAATGAGCATCCTCTCCTCCATAATGAACTTTAGAAGGATGAGGATGAGAGCAACTTCCAATTGATAAATTTAACATAGCTCCATCTTTCTTTGGGCGTATATACTCTGGAATCCTAAGAAAAATGTCAATTCCTTTAAGGTAAGTTGTAACATTTGAAGGCCAAATTCTATTAGAATGTGTTGAAATCCTTCTAAGTCTATCCTCCTTCAAAGCTATATTCAATTTTTCCATACCATCATCATTATAAGAAGGAAATGCAACTGTAGTACTTGTCATTACTCTGTAAATAGAAGGACGCCCAGAAGTTGGCGTGTTAGAGAAAGGAGAGTTTATTGCGGATGTCGAAGAGGAGGAAGAAACAGAAGTGGTATTAGGGTAATCATATAAGTCTTTTCTCATATTCCGCTCGTTTACTTCTTTCTCATTTACCTTTATATTTTGCCTTTCGGCCTCTAACTCCAATTCAAAATCCAAAATTTCTCCTGAATAAAAATTAGGATTCTGACTCAAATTTGAATGAGCAAACATCAGACCATCGCTAAAACATCTATTCATGAAGGCTTTCTGCAATATATCGTCGTTCTCTCTTTTTTCTTCATTATTATCCTCCCCTTCTACCTCTCTTCCATTTCCTCTTGAATTTCTCGAACAAACCTTAATTGGAGTTTGATTGGATGTTGCATTCTGGGATGGAGAGAAATTTCCCGAAATGGAACCATCTGTTGACTGTGATGAATATCTCTTTGAATGATAAAGCTTTTCAGGAAACTCTTTCAAAAATATCCTCAATATATTCTTTGAGTGCTTCACTATATTCTCTCCTCCTAAATGACTATTCTTTGCCAAACATTCTAAAAACTTCGTGAATATTGCTGAAAGCTCCAGTTCTTCCTGTATTTTTTCATTTTCTTTATACATTCTTAAACTATTGCATTAATGCACACGACTCCTCTAACATGATTTTACCATGCGGCGCTTAAAATGTAAGCATGCCGCTCACAGGTACCGAATCTAAAAATACGCCTGGGGGCCCCCTAAATAGGGTAGAAAAAAAAATATAAAAAATTAATTAAAATCTCAAAAATTACAAGGGGGGGAAAAATATAAGATATGGCTCGGAAAAGGTTTTTTTAATTTAGATTTATTGAAATTTTATTTTAGTTTTATTTCGTCTATTAGGACTGATAGTTATATCCTTTAAATCTATCTACGTGTTTAGCAGATTTGAATCTTTGCCTCTATATACTTTTGAATCTTCCCCTATTCCTATCTCTGCCTTTATTCCATATACTTTACCTGGTTACATTATACACACTAGATTTCTACGATTAGTCTCCCAGCTTAAAATGGCCATGGTAACAGAGGTAAAAGAAATTACACTGCCAATAAAAACCATAAATCCAATGAAAAGACGTCTGGTCTTCGAAATCCTTTCTTTATTAAGGCTAAAATAGAAAAGAGGTGGATAAACAAATGCTATAGGAACACATAAAAGCCCTCCAGTTATGGTCACGAAGCTTCCCAACTCGTCTTCAAAGTTATAAGCCAAAGTTCCACATAATAGAACCAGAGAATAAGAAACTAAAGCTCTCAGAACTGAGTGATAAAATTTCGATCTAGAACTTATGAGTCTATTCTGATTCAATTCTACTATCTGGGTTCCTTCATCTTCTATCTCCTGTTCATCTAGGTACTCTTTTTTGTCCTTTTTTGAAATAATTCTGTTATTTACATCACCATGAATACTATTACAAACATTGCCCTTTAAATCTTCATTTACCACTCTTTTCTCAAATTTTTGTTGTCTTTTAGTATCCAAAGTTCCCACTTTTCTACTTGGAGCTGAACTTTCCATTGGAGAGTAAACAACTTTGTTTCCAATAGGAGAATCCCAGTTTTCAGATATTGGCACTAGCTGAATCATCTTTGAAGTAGAAAACAAACTATTTTGGAATGTTGAAATATTTTCTGAGTTTTTCAAGGGGGAGGAAGAAAAGCTCAATTTGGAAGTTCTTACACTGTTTATAGTTGTGGGATTGATCCGAATGTTCTTGGTCGAAAACTCTTTCTCGTGTTTATCTGTAATCATTAAAGCTTCTTCCATAATCTCTTTTCTAGATGCTTCTTCAACTGTTTTTGGTACAGGTTTTGATCCAATCTTATTTAGATTTTCCAAAGTCTTTCTTTTCATATAGGAAGCCTTAATCTGAAACAGGTACTTTTCAATAATGGCCATAGATGGGAAAAGTTGTAGTGGGACGGAAAACATGATAGCAGATGAGTATATTATGAGTGAGATGATTTTTGCTTTTGGATTTAATATGTTCTCAGTTACTGGGGAAGCAGTATCATCACCAAATGAATAGTAAACAAAGCTTGCAAAGAAATTTGAGAATATCCCAATCATTATCATTGTAAAGGTTATAATTGTTGGAAAAGCTTGAATTAAATATTCTGGAGTTGAACTTCTTATAGGAAGGATTAAGGCTATACCTTCATAATTAAATGCACTTGTACCAAGTACTAATCCTGCTCCATATATACTACCGAACCTTGATATTTGAGGTCTAGCGAGAGGATATCTTTCCAGGTTCTGAACGCCATAATAAATGATTACTCCAAGTACTGAAAAAACAGAAATATTCGCAAGTACACTGGGAAATCCCAAATTTTCAATGTCTCTCAAAAAGATAAATGGTAAATAAATCACCATTTGGAAACAAATTAGTTTGAGTATTGGAATTTCAATTTGGCAACTTGAAATTGAATATATTATTTCCTGAATATTTTGTGATACAAAGATAATATAAACTGTGGAGAATCCCAACTGAGAAAAAAATATTGAAGAGTCAACCAAAATCAATCCAGATCTTCCCCAAACCCTTTCAGCCAACTCTCCTAATGTCTCTTTCCCTTGGCAACATTTAACCAATAATCTGATAGAAATTATAGCCAATATACAAACCAAAGTTGATAATATATTTCCACTAACAATTCCTGAAACTCTAAATGACCCAGGTAAAAAGATTATTCCAGTCCCAATAAAAGATTTTACCAATGTGACAACAATTCTCAAGCACGGCCTTACTCTTTTCATTATATATTGGTTTGAAAATCAACAAGTATTGTAAGAATCTAGTCTAATGGTATTTCCAAAAGCCAGCCACACAGTATCTCATAACTTCTCTTTTTTCTTTGCTTTTTTCTTTTTTTTAAAGTTAATTTTAGATTTACTGGATTAAATACCTTTCCATGCAAAAATGCACCAAATTTTGAGATTTTGCCGCCAAAATGTAGGCCTTTAATTATGTTTTAAGTAAAACCCTAAATATTTTAGTTAAATCCAATTTAGCATTATTCAACTTACCGGAAAATTGTCTTCATTACCGAGCCAATTCAGATCAGCTTTGAAATTTATAAAGTTAGTGGAGAAATTTGTAATGTAATCTCTGAACTGAGACCGATTATTTTCCTGTTAAGGAAATCTGAAAAAAGAAAAAGTTTATGCTGAATATTAGAATAAGTACGTTGTGTGAAATGAGTGTTTCTGAACTCAAAGAGATAAATTGTGTTGGGTTGAGTTAAACAAGAAATAATTAATATATCTGAAATATAAATTTCTATAAACCAATTAGTAAAATTGATCTTGCTATTTTTCAATATTAATCTTTATTATATGATCAGTTTTGGCTGAAAAAATAACTGATTAAGGATCTTCTGTAATATGGTATTGTTTATATGGATCATAACATTTTGTGGACAATACACTAAATTTCTGCATTCTTACTCTGTAGAAGTAGTGGTAGTAGTGTCCTTTGTGCAACTTTTCCCATATATCATAAAAGAACCTCCAGTTTGAGTACTATCAACGAACATCTGAGAAACCTCAATCTTTACCTCCTTTGCAGTTAGTGGGTACTGTAACATATATTTGTGGGAGTTTGGATTGGCAGTGTGGGCTAGAGTGAACTTCTCTTGGATATTAGTTTCATGCATTTCATCAACCTGTTGTTTAATATACATGGTCAATGAAGCTGGCCACATCGATGGATTATCTAAAGGAATAAATTGGAAATCAGTGACTTCAACGGGTTGCTTGAATCTGATGGTAATGCTCTCACCAATAGTACTTCCTACAGATGTTCTCCAAACTCCATAAGGCTCATCACGATTCTTTCCTTTTAATGCATAAACTCCATCAAATTCAGGGCTTTGAGAGGATGAAGATTTGACAGATTCAATATAAGTGTCAGTGCTCAGGAGCTTTCTTTCGGAGCACTGAGTATTAGTTAAGGATGTTTCTGTTGGGTGTTGCTTGAAGAAGAGAATAAAAGGTTTAGATTCATTAACCCTGAGAGAAATATCAGTTGCTTTTGGGATAGTTACTTGAGCAACCTTCATTGTTTGAGTCTCAACAGCTTTTGTGGAGTCAGCCTCGTCAGTCTTATAGATTGAGAATACAGAATTTGTGTTGGTAAATTGCAAGTTTTCAGCAGTAACAGGCAATTTATCAGTAACATCAGCGGCAATGAACATTGTACATGGCTGGTTAACGCTCACCTTCATATTGTGTAATTCTGGAGAAGATGATGATTTAAGCATCTTTAAGCCCTCAAATCCAGCTGGTAAATCTGCGATGTAGTGAGTATTGCTATCCTTGTGAGCAAATTCTCCATTTCTTAAAGTCGAGATTTCATAAAATACTGGGTTAACACCTGAAAGTTTTAATGGCTGTCTTGGGTTTCCTGTATAAAAGTATGAACTTGGAATAACCTGTTCTTGAATATTTGAGGTTTTCCACATCAATTTAATTGAAGCGATATCTGGATTGTTGTATCTAAGATGGCTGCTATGGAACATCTCAACTCTAATTCTATACTTTTGGCCACCAATTAATTCTTGAGCTACTGAAGTAACTTTAGTTGGACCATCATGTCTTGCATCCAATAACAGTGGAACAGCTCTGTCAGAGGAAGCATCCCCAGAGGAAGGTTGTGGCATTCTATCAACAATAATAGCTCTTCCACCTAAAAATAATCTGGCACCACAATCAGCTTCAATACTGAAGTAATACCTTCCTGATTCAGGGGCGAGTAAAAATCCGTCCCATCTAATAGAGAATTGTTGGTTTGAAACACCATCAATTGGGTCCTTTGAAATGTACATCATATTAATATTTCTATCATTTCTATAGTTTCTTGGAACACCATCAAACTTTGGATTGTCATAGTATGAGCCTCTTAAACCATCAGGGAAAGGAATATCCTCATATCCTGGTAATAGTTCACAGTTTTCTGGTCTGCTCAAAGCAAAGTCACGGTCTCTTACTATATCTTTTTCTAATTCATCAATACTTGTTTTTAAAACATCGACTTTTGTAATTGACTCTTCAATCTTATTTAGGCAATGTTGACCTTTCTGAATTAATGACTCAATGTTGTCCAATCTACTGCTTACTATTGATTGTTGAGAACCACAAGTACTGTTGTATCTCTCAAGTAAGTCAGTTAATCTTGAAGCTTGATTATCTAATTGATTTGCAATCTTAGCTGATTCTCTTGCCTTGATTTCAAATATTTCATTCGCCTTTGTACGGAGCATATCATAGTTTACTACTGGCAAACAATAATTCCAGTTCTTTGAACCTTGGGACGCTACCTGTGGTTCAACATAACACCACTCTCTTCCTGAAGTTCCATCTGGAGATTTTGCAATCGTACAATCTGTATATGTTTGGAAGTCTTGTACAAATACTGCAGAACAGAGTCTTCCATCTACTGTTCTTCTAAATTGTTGTCTGTACTGAGCAAGCTCTTGAAGAAGCTGCGAAGTTGGGGCTTGTTGAGTTGTTTGGCTCAAAGCGTTTCCTGCTAATAAAATAAAGCTAAGGCCTTTAAATATACCCTTGAATTTCAACATTTCTTTTTTTTTATTTTGAAACTCTCAAGTTGAGAATATCACTTGTTTTTAGAAAATATATTTTCAAAAACTATTTTTTTTGCTATCCTGTAATTGCATGCATGGGAACTAAATTTGTATATACCGTCGTTTATTATCATGCATGCTTGCATATTTGCATGCACACTTGTCCACATGCTTACAAATATTAAATTATTTAAAAATCTATATAAAATTCCAATATACAAATTTTAACATTTTTTGTTAGGTAAAAAAAGTCACTTTCAGTAATAAACGATATTTCAATGAGTTTTTTTTAGAATGATATATAAACTTAAAATTTCTATTCTCAATTAATATTAAAAATACTATAAATATAAAAAGTCGCTATTTAATTTCAAAATATCAGGAATCTTGATTAAGTTAGACTATTTCTGCCTTATCTCCTCATGGTTAAGAAGCAAACAAAGACTAAAATAATCGTAACTACAAATCCTGAAACAATATAGAATAAGTTACTCATTAAGAGTCCTTTTGGGTTTTTTGCAGAATTTCCATTGAAAACAATACGCCTTCCAAGTTGTAACTCTTCATTGATTTTTTTTGGCACTTTTTTGCTGATTTGCACTTTTTCTGTGAACTCGTATGGTTTCTCTGCCTCGTATTCATCAATATCTCTGTTATTGGATGACTCCGCATCTTCAGATTCTTTATTTTGGCTAGATTCCTTGAAATCTTCATCCTCGTACTCCTCCGCCTGTCGCAATATAGTTTCCGGATGATTTTTCAACAATCCCTGAACAATTTTATACTGTGCTAGCTGTGATTCAAGCATTCTTGAGCAGGATAAACGGAGACAAAATTTGTAATATTTCATATCGCATGACTTTTTTTTACTGCATTTAGCTTTAATCTTAAATTCATATGGTCTATAAACTCCGGACCTATCAAGTGGTATAGAGAAAGATTTGGAAATCATTGTCATATTTTCTTTTGTTTTCTTCTGTTGAAACTTCAGTGGGTTTAAATTATGAGTAATAGGGCAAAGAGATTTTTCTCTTCTTATTCTGGCATTCATACCTCTTATATTAATCTCTTCCAAAGTTTCATCTAGATCTATCTGAAACTCTATTGGAGGAATATCCTTACCCTTTGGTTTATTTACCAAAATTGCAATATTAAAAGTCACAGTAGAATAAAGTGAAGTATACCCACCAACTGAAAATGCTGAGTAAGCAGTATTGTAGTTAAAATTTTCCAGCTGGCATTTACTTAAATCAATGGGTTTATTTTCGCCCCAGTCCGCATGCAAATCTTCGAAGCTGTTACCACTTATCTTTAAATTTGAATATATTGACCCATTTGCCAATAAAATTCTTTCAAATTTTCCTAAATTCCATCCGCCACAAATATGTGTCAATGGCTTAAATACATTCAACTGGCATTTAGTGCAAAAAACAGATTGCCCACATGATGTATAATAATTTGCTGACTTAACATTTTTGCAACCAAAGTTTTTACATTGCTCCTCTGGAACAAGCCCAAAAATTTGGTTAGTTTTTGTATTTGAAGCTAAAGCAAGGTAAATTTGAAGAAATAGCCATATTGATCTGAAAGTAGTCTTCATAACTTCGAACTAATTGACCATTCTTACCTAAAACACAGCCAATTTGTTTTTAAACTTCCTTTATTGACAACACTAGTGCTTTTTTTTTTATTACCCTATGGAAAATGTGTGTGCAGTGTGTATGGGCAATTTAAATTAACTTTTTTATTTCCTAAGATTAACAAAAAGCAATAAAGCATGATTTATATTGAGACAAAAATAACTAAATTCCTAACTGCTATACCCTTCATTCTCTCAAATATACTTTTTCTTTCATAATTAAGTATTATTATTGAATGATATCACCTACATTCAATATCGAAGAACTTCTCAGATAATTAGAAATAAAGTTAATGCTCATACTCCTCCATTAAAGATAAATTTGCTCATTTTACACATTGTGTTCCATGATTTATACCATTAATCCTCCATTTGTTCCATTCCCCACTCATCCCCACCCCTCTAATTATCCTCTTCTATTTTTTTTCCTATATTCTAATTATCTCATAAACCCATGCATTTATTATTTCTACAAGCTTAGGCGCCAAACCTTATAGATCCATATTAATAAATAATTGCATGTATGAGAAAATACAGACCTTTGAAAAGGATTAGCATCGAATAGTGCTACGAGATGGAAAACGTAAGCCCAAAGGATGGTACAGGACAAAACAATGCTCGCAAGAGTCGCAGAGCAACCAGATTTTCGATGATTTGGAGGAAACCTGAAGAAAATATAGATGGAACTCAAGAAAAGAAAGATCATCATCGTTTTTCAATCTGGAACCAAAAACCCTTAAACGAAAAAAAAGCACTGAATGCAAAGGGCTCAAGTGCTGATGGAAAGAATAATGTTGATAAAATTGATGTTTTCAAGGCTAGAAATGAAGATGAACAAAGTATATGTACAAACCAATTAGAAGATGAAAAAAACCAGAAAAATATATTCCAAAAACTAGGAAGTGATTTATTCTTTAAAAGACCCAGTAAAGTGTTTGAAGAAAAGAAAGAAGAAGAAGAAGAAGATGACGAGGCTGAGACTTGGGTATATACAATATTTAGATTTTTCTTTCCAGACTCTGCACCACTATTCTGGCAATTCTTTCTATTATGCTCCTCTATTGCAATGTATGTCAATCATTTAATAGATAATGGTTTCTCAACAAGTACTGCTAAATGTGCTACAGTTATTTACTTTATGGATGTGGGCACTTTTTTGCTTATGATGGTTGTAAGATTGATAGTTTTCAGACTCCTTTTACCATGGCTATGCCCGGAAGGTAGAATTTTTGCTGCTCTTTCTGGAACAGCAGATCCTGAGCTTATATACTGTATATGGGCAGGCCAAATTAGCTTACTTTGGAAGTTACAGTTAACATTGAATGAGGAAGGAACAGGATATATTATTCCTTTTCTAAATGATAACTCAACAATTCCTCTATTCTCATTCTCCATAATTATGAAGTCAAGATTAATAGTTTTGGTATTTGCTATTAGAAGACTTATTCTTGCGTTTATTATGTTTTACTTTATGCTAGACTTCATTGGATCCATGTCAAAACTTTTGGTGGAATTCCTACTTAAATATCGGTTCTTGAGATTAATCAACTGTAATTGGACTAAACTACGTCCTCACATTGTTGAGGGACTCAGGTTAATGCCTAACCAGAATAGTCGTTTCTTGTTAAGTAAGTTCTCTTCAAAAAATCGTTCTAAAGAGAAGCATATGAATAAGGGAGATTCTATTACCTTACCTTATTTTTTGACAGAGGAGGGAATTTCTCAAATAAAGAAAAAAAAGTATCAGAACTGGTTGGCAGTCCAATTTGTGAAACAGTACTCAGCTCTCTTTTATCTCGATAATCAGTTTGTTGAGGTTAGGAATAAGAAAGATGCAAGGAAATATGCGAAATCCCTATTTAATGATATGGTAGAACACACAAACGAAATACTACTTTTTATGGGGAAGTGGAAGTACAAACAGAAAGATAAAAGCGCCACGAATAACTCTGAAGCTGAATTTGACGGAATGGAACGCATGCATGCAAAAGAAGCCGTCGAAATTGGGAGTGCCTCAGGAGAACACATTATTACGAATCTAACTTCAATAGAAATACCATCATCTGTCCCAAATTCTTCCTCTCAAGCTTCATCTTCAAGCGAAGGTGAGAGTGACTTTATCCCAAAGATTGGGAAACAAGAGAGTTTAATTGACGATAAGTCTGCATGGGATACCTCCATAAAAATCAAGAATCCAACTATATATGAATCCAAAATCAATGAACCAGAGTTTAAGAGAGAAAAGAAAATAGAAGGGAAAAATGATGATGAGAAAAATGAGGAAAAGAAAACTAGTATTCTTCGTGCAGAGGAATTTAAGACAGTTTTAGTCGAAGAAAATGGAAGGCCTATTCAACCTTCAGTGTTAAGTGGAGGAAAGCAAAACTCAGATTTGAAAAAGAAAAAAACATACAATTCATTTTTCCCAGCAACACCATATGGAGTGTTTAATTACAATGACTTTTGTTTGTTTGAGGAAGAAACCGATCAACCTCTGATATTAAACATTGATGTTTTAAAGGTATTGTATGGAGAAAATGTTGAAGCATTTCTAAAGAAGATAGATCCAATGGGAAGAAAAGAATATAATGAGGATGACTGGGTCAGGCTATTAGTAACTACCTATGAAACAAGGAAAAAGATGATTAACACATTAGAATCTCAAGAAGGAATTGCAAAGGTATTTAAACGCATGGTCTCTATAGTGCTTTGGTTTTTCTCATTTCTATTTATTTTAATTATATTGGGTGTTAATGTAAATACTCTAGTTATTTCAGGTGCAGCCGTGGTATCCTCAATTTCAGTTGCTTTAAATAGGCTCTATAGTAACTTTGTAAGTTCTGTAATCTTTGTGGTCTTTGAAAACCCTTACAACCAGGGAGATAGAATTCGAATCAACAATGGTCCAATTATCACAGTTAAAAAAATCAAAACATTTTGCACAATATTTTCAACAGTGGAGTCAGTGCCAATCATGTACCCTAATTATTGGCTGATTGATCAAAGTATATCAAATGAAAGTAGGGCACTACAAAGCAGTCATATCCTTACCTTCTATATGTCAGACTTAACAAGTCCTTTTGTTTTTGATGCACTCACCAAATCAATAAAACAGTATGCCAATGATCGTCCAAGGGATTTTATTCCAAACTCAGTTTATGTGTACATCCACTCAATCCAACCAGGTCATTTCATCGAAACAAGAGTTTCTTTTTCTAACGTTAATCCTTCTTTTGAATGGGAAAAGCTACTGGAAATCAGAACTCCATTCTACCTGTTTATCCTCCATGCATTGAGACAGCATGGAGTTGAATACTTCCTTCCTGAAAGTCGAGTTCTTTATAGCACATGGTCAGAAAGAGGAAAAAGGAAGACAAACCAAGCATTTAAAGACCCAAAATCTTTGACTTCTAACACGTTACCTACAAATAAAAAGCCTTAATTAATATTTATGTGTTACCATAATTAAAATTGTTCTTTATAAATCCTCCAATTTTTTACTCTTTTCGTTTACACTGGTACTATGCATTAATTTATAACTCCACTATCCACTTGGCTGTAAAATTGCATGTTTTTGGCGCCCAAATAATTTTTTACTTATAATTAATTGGGGTTTTAATTAATAATTACCACAAGATAGTACAGGGGTCAGGGAACCGAATTTTTGGAGAAAAATAGGAGTCAAATTAGATAATTTTTTAATTTTAAGATACCGATTTAAAGAGCAAATACATGTTTATGTTTTCAGTTTAATGAGAATCAAGAGTCCATTTTTCGTTGTGAAGTTTTTAGATCTTAACAATTAAGAATGTCAACCACAAATCCAACAGAAATCACTACACAATGGGAGGATCAGATGGTTAAGCGAGGAATCTGGGCCCCAAGAGAGCATGAGAAGAAGAATGAGGAAATATACAAGGAAAGGATAGATGCTTTGGAATCTATTAACTTTTTTGAGAACGCAAAACTGGAGAAACTTATTGATATTGAGGTTGATAAAGACGAGAACTTTGAGAAAGAGCTAGATGCTATACGAGCTAGGAGATTAGCATCTTTGAAAAATAAGGCGGATGAAAACTCCAGATTTGGTGAATTATACTTTATAAGGAAGCCTGACTTTGTTAAAGAAGTCACGGAAGCATCTAAAGACAACACAACAGTTGTTGTCCACTTGTATAAGGAGTCAAATGAAGACTGTCAAATCATTAATAAACTCTTATCCGAGACAATAGCAAAGAAATATGGTAAAGTCAAATTTGTTAAGGGTATTTCCAATGATATTGTTCCAAACTACCCTGACAAATCATTACCAACTATGATTATATACAGAAATGGTACAAGCATTTCTCAAATAACAGGTAGTGAGAGTTTTAAAGGAAAAAACAAGAAAATTACTATTAAATCTATTTTGAAGTTGTTTGCCCAAAACAATGTTATAAAAAATAGTGAAATTACAGAGTATTCCGATGGTTACTCAAGTAGCGATAATTCTGATGATATAGACAATGGTAAATGTTATAGTTCCTTGGCTTTTGATAAAATGCAAGATAGAATTAAATATCTACAAAAGATCTGAAAAGATTTTTAATTTTAAAGCTTGAGTTGCAGTAATCCTTTCAAGTGAACTAGGGTTTAATGAATGTCTTAGTAGTTCAAAGAAAGGTTTGCTATCTTTGCAATTAAACCCTAACAACTCCCAATTTGGCTTGAAAGAGGGAAGAATTATTCCTGATTTTGAAATTGAAGGTAAGCTATTCAAATAATTCAAGCTTGCTTCTACTGGTGTTCCCACTATTCTGAAAATACTTAATAATTGGTCTATTTCATTTTCTCCATTAAATAATGCCTTCCCAGTTAGGAGTTCAAAAGCTATACACCCAAAGGACCAGATATCGCTAGCAAAAAGATCATCTAAATTTCTGGTACCTAAAAGTCTTTCTGGACTTTTATATTTAAGGTTTGTGAATACCTAAAGGCAATAACAAATTTAATAAAGAGTTAATTACCCAAACAAAGTATTTCATTGTTATAATGTATTACTTTTGATAACTATGAGCTCTCAGATTCGCCTTTTCATTTCAAATTACTGTTTGAAACCAAAACTCTAGTTAAACCAAACAGTTATTTTCATCCAGAAAAATTCATCATTGAGCACTAAGCTAACCATCTTACTACCAAACGACTTACCTTATCGTATTTAATAGTTTTACTATCAGTTTCTGTAGCCATTCCAAAGTCACAAATCTTAATGCTGAAATCCTCATTCACTAAAACATTCTCAGGTTTCAAATCATTATGAGTGACTTTTAAATTGTGAATATGCTCAATTCCCTTCAATATTTCAAAAAGGATTTTCCTTCTAATATTAAAGCTATAAGCCTCTTCTTTAAGTATTACCTTTCTTAGATCTCTTGGTAAGTACTCTAGGATTATTGTAAATAGTCCATTTTCATCCACAAAAGAACCATATCTCTCGACTACTTGTTTTCCCTTCAGTTTTCTAAGCAAATTGTCCTCCTTTTCGAGATCCCCATTCTTTTCAACCGAGTTTGCAGTCTTGTAGATACAAAGTTTCCCAAATTTTGAATCCCTAAAGACTCTGACTGTCCCAAATGTTCCCCTACCAATAACCAAATCCATTAAAGAATTCTTAATCTTTGTTATCTTACTCTCAACCTAATTATACTAACCCATATTTTTATTTCTTACCTTGTTTTTTTTTGTGTTCATGCTTTTGAGACAATTATTTGATTAAGAACATGTTTTGGCGCCATGGCGCCAACTCCAATTAAATTGCAAATAACTTGTAGATAATGTCAGAAAAGGACAAAATTGTCCATGCTAAAAATCAAATGAGCTCTGATGTACTAAAGGTAAGGTATAGAAGAGAGCTCAGCTCCCTCTCTTTAGAACCTCAGAGTCACCAGAGTTTTGACAAAAAAAGTCTGGCTATTTGGTTATTTGAGTGGTATGATTCTAAAGGTAGAAAGCTTCCATATGGAAACAATGAAAAGAGACTAAATGAAATTCCAGAGGAAGAGTTGAAGTTTTTCCATGAAATACTGAAGGAGCTTCCAGGTGATTTCCCAATGATTAGATACTCTGTTTTGTGGTCCAAATGGTTATTTCCCAATGTTAAGATAAGAAACTCGAGAGAATCTTTTAATAATTGGCTGAGTATAATGAAAATTATGGAACAGAGATTTCCAAGTGTTTATGTGAATGATGTGGACCCTCTGGTTAATCTCCTTTCTGATTATTTGGATTCAGCCTCACCAAATGAATTTGAGTTATGTTATGTAGGAGTTAAGCTTCTTGGAAAACTTGTTTCCATGTATATTCCCCCAAGAAAAGGCTTTACTATAGTTTCAGGTCGTCTCCTAGAGTCTTTTAGAACTTTCTACGAAAAAGAGAACCTTGAAATTCCTTTTGTTTTAGAAATTAGGCACGAGATTACTCAACTTATTCAGTTTTGTGTAAGTAACAACCACCTACCTTCTTTTACATCTATTCTTAAGAACGAAGTTTTGGCAATAACTAGAAATCTTAAACAGAATCAATCTAACAAGCAGATTTCCTCTTCAAACTATACACTTATTTTTTATAAGACATTAATCACAAAAGATTCCAAATTTGACTGTTTTCTTCCTCTGATTATAAAAAAGATCCACGACGTTGAAAAGTCTATTTATAGAGAAGCTCAGATTTCTAACAATATTGGAGGAGAATACTTGTTGTTCTTTCTCTATTTGAGTATAAATTTAGCTGAACAAAAAGATTTTTATGAAAAGGTCAAATATCTTAATGAATGCTTTAACTTCTTTATTAATGTTAATACTTTTAATATTAGAGAATCAAATGATGAGTTTGGAAACAATTTCAAGCTTAGGATCTATGAATTGATCTTCAGTAAGCTCCAAGAATGCATTTCCAAAGGTAATTTAAATCAGAGTATCTGGAAGACTATAGAGAATTCTATTATCATTGATCCAATTAAATGTCTAAAACTTCTACCAGACATTTTTCTCTCCAATAAAGCTAAGAAATCTATTATTCCAAATTCTCTCCAAACATATCACAAAGACTCCAATTATGGTCCTCTCGAAGTTATCCTTGATTTCATATCTAGTGAGGATATTCATCTCAAAAATTCTGACTTCTTAAACTCACAAAGTTCGGTTTCTTCCTCTCTTAAGATTTGTATAAGCAAATATATACTCACATTTATAAAGCTCCACGACCTTCCACTATTCTTTAATGCCATTTCTGAACTTATATCTAAGGATATTAATCCCAAAGACATACACAAATTTGAAGATATTTTTCTAAGTACTGAAGTTCTTCAGACAATCAAAAATAATATTGCCTTTTCTGTCCTTCCAGGTCAAACTTCTGATATTATCAACTCTTTCCTTGGACTTCTTAAAGGAAATTCATCTGAATCTTTCTTATATGAATGTATCTCTAACTCTTGGATTGGAATTCTAATGATTACTATCCAAATTACAGAACCATCAATTCCAAACTTGGAGGAAGCTGTTAGACAAATTCATCAGTATATTAAAGATACTGATTCAAATGGATTATTTTCAGAAAATTCCAAAATTATTCAAACTACATGTACTCTAGGACTCATACATCTTTTGAGAAAGCTCTTATCTTGGAACATAGAACGGAAGAGTGAGTTTTTTGAAATGATAAATTATCATTACGACAAAGTTTTGAATGAAAACTACTGGGGAAGTTGTAATGAGAAGGATTCATTATATTCTCCATTCAATGTTTATATCACTTTAGTTCATCTGATCACCTTAATTACTAAACTCAGAGACTCGGGATCTTTGAAAAGAGATGACTTTAAAAAGATTTTTGTCTTATATGGTCAAATTTTGAATCTTTATTCAGACTTGGATATAGATGATCCATCCTGGAAAGTTAGAATCAACAAAATTCTTACCAAGTTCATCTTATTGAATATCTCTCATTTGAAAGGTATAGACAAATACATTAAAGATTATGTTGAAGGTAATGACCAGTTTTCAAATTTAGACTTATTCTTGAAATCTCTATATGAACAATATATTGAAAAAAATGATGTACCAAATTCTCTTTTCAATAGTTTTGTCCAAATTCCTTATTTACCAAGTATTATGATAGATATAACTCTTGAGGAATTGAACAACAACTTTCTAGAGACTGGTAGTAGAAAGAAAAGAAAGTTAAGCTTGGATAATGTCTCTGGAGAATCTAGTATATTAATGTTTCATGATTTAAAGATCTTAGATTTCTGGAATCGAAAAGAAATAGTATCTTACTTTTTGAATAACAGAACTGAGCTTCTGGTTGAAGATATATTTTCAAAGATTTCTAAATTATATCTTAATCTAATTTTTAGAGAAGATTATGTCTCAAGCTTAAAACAGGACCAAATCTCTAGAAGACATTCTTTAGAAAAGGCTTTGGAAGGAATTATAAGGTGGATCACTTTAGAAGGTGAAGTTGGAGCTGATGATTTTGTTAAAATATTATCCCAATTCTTTTTTAACAAGGAAAATGGTAAACAAAATATACTGGCTAAGTACTTGGATCTAATCTCAAGAGTAGAGACTAACAGCAAAATGTCTCAAGATCTTAATTATATCTTAAAGAAATCAATCAAATGTGTCTCAAGATCGGAAAAAGACTCGAAAAGAATCATGGATTTGGTGATAAATCAGATGGAATCCTTGGATTGGTGGTGGTGGATGAATGTTAAGAAAAACAATGAGGATCTATTAATAGAAAAGAGATCTTGGCTTAATCAGATTCAACTGTGCATAGATTTGTGCTCAGAGGAAAGTTTTGAATCTATGAAAGGTATGGTTATGAAAAACATTAATATTTTTCAGATATTAAAAAGTTTGAAACATAAATTGAAGGAGAAAAAGAAAATAGAGTTACTTTATTCAACAAAGATTTGTGAGTTCTACTTGGGAATTCATCCTGAAATTCAGAATTGGGAATTTGATCCTGGTGAAGAATCTAGTGAGACACAAGAAAACTGGCCTTTGCCAAGAATTAATACTTTAATTAAGATATTGTCAGGTATCTTGAATAAGATTCAAAAAATTCTTGAAGATTCTGAAAATTCAAAAAAGTTACTTAAGGAGTGTTTTATTTTAATTGATCTGATAATCAGCTACTTGAAACAGGTAATTCAAATAACTAAAAATACTTTATTAGATCTAAAGAAAAACCAAGAATTCATGAAACTTTGCTTTGGATCATTAGAGAAAGTTTACTCAGAGACTTTCAAGTTATTTTTGGAACTTATTAGAGTAAACCTTGAATTTGGAATATATGGAATAGATCAAGAGGATCATGAGACATTGAATTACAGAAATCATTTTAAGAACGTCTCAGAATGGAGTAGATACTTTGTCAAGTGTATTTTAGAAGGAAGTTCGATTAGAAAGGAAGATTATAGTCATTTACCACATATTTACAGACAAATGGATATATACGAGATAATTTCAAATTTGGTAAACAGCTCTGTTACTAGTCTCCTGAATCACGCCATTAATGAAAGTATGATTAAGGTCAACTTTACTAGAGAAACGAATTTATTCTTATTCCTAAGTTATTTAGATTTATTTTGGGGAATAATTCGTAATAAGGGTCAGATTTACAAATGTTTATCTCCATGTTTAAGAGGAAATCTATTTTGTAAGATTTCCTCTTGGGGAACTTCAGATAAGCTGGAATTCAGTATTGTGGTGATGATCTCGAGACTGGTAGATTATATAGAAAAGAGACAACCAAACTTGAGAATTGAGTATATTTTATGTACTTTTTCTTTTATTAGACTCAGTAATATTATTTCAATCTTGTACTCATGTTGTGTTAGGTGCTATATAACAGAAGTCAAAGAAAATCCAAGATCAAGTCTAAATAATAGTCTAATTATTCCAATTTCAAACATGTTACTGGTAATTTCATCAAGGCTTTCAAATATTGGATTGGGATTGAGACTAGAAGATTTAGAAAGTATTGTAAAGAAAGAAAGAATGGATGAAAATACAAGAGAATCATTTTATATGGCTTTATTTGAGTGTCTCATGATCAGTCCTTACATTCCTTTGTATACTTTATTGAATCCTCTTTGGGATCAGTCTAACAGAAAGAAGAATAGGAATCAGAACACTACAGGCCATTTGGATGTTTGGATCTCTCAATTTCATTTGATTGAGGAGTCTTTGAAGAATCTAGTGAATCTGGGAGATCAAATAAGCTTTCAACCTATAGGAATTAAGTTATACACACTTAACAATAAAAGAATAAGCAGGTTATACCCTTTAATAGTGTCACAGATAACAAAAAATAAGGTTCAAAGATACTCTATTTCTCTGGCTTGTGATTTAATTAACTATATAAATATAATAAATAAGAGATTAGAGTTTTTGGAGGAAAATAATGAAGAGTTTAGGGATATAATGAATTTGAACATAAAGATAATCAAAAGCTCGTGTTTAAATCCAATTCTATCTGTCATTGATGATCACTGTAAACAGAGCTTATTCACTATGTTGAAAGATGAACAAAGAATCATTTTCAAACAAATTAATAAAAAGAATTCTGAACTTTCGTCATTAAGTAAATTAGAAGGTTAATTAATTTTGAGATGAAAAGGACACTTATACTAATTATTATGTTTATTTTATTTTTGTTGAATAGTTAAGAATCATCATTTTCTTCGTCTTTAGAACTTTCATTTTCTAGAAGATCTTTGGAAATAAATTGTTTAAGGTAGTCCCAGTATTTGACTCTTTCTTCTCCCATCAAAGATCCATCAAGTTTTGGAGAGATTATATCCCTGTTGTCTGACTTACAAAGCATAAAGACCTCATTTTCTCCACACTCTGGGAAACCATGCTTATCATGTATGTTAATCTAGAAGTTTATAAAGAATAATAGAATAATTAAAGTTCTTTTTGTAAGAGAATAACAAGATAGCTCAGATAAACTTACAGGAGGTCCTCTTTTTAGTAGAGATTTCTGCTCTTTAAGGCATTTAGTATTTGTCACTAAGTCACAATACCTTTGATATTGAGTCTTTTTCAAGGTTCCAATACAATCAATACAAAAACTAGAAATTAGAGGTGATTAGTGATTGGAAAAAGGATAATTTACTTACAGTGACTTAAACCATTTAGAATCAGAAGAGGTTTTGTATTCAACGGAATTGATTTCATCCAAATCAGTAAAACAAATTAGGCACTCCATTAATATTTGATATAAAAGTTACTTCCAATTTATGAAAGGTTTGAGGAATATCTATATTCTTTCTCTGATTTCTTTTTAGTTTCTATAGAATTATTTTTTTAAGCCGATTATTTAATCGTATTCCGCCTAAAAGTTAACATGGGGAAATTTATTTGGATTTAAGAGACCTTAGAACTTCAAAGTACTTTGGGTTACATGAATAGGAGGTAAGGAATCAAAAATACGAAGAACAGAGGATTATAATAATTTTCAGGTATAAATTACGAATTAATTGTGACTTTTGACTACTTAATGCTTTTAATAACTTTTTCTTCCTAATAAATGGAGATTCTAAAAAAACATTATTGAAAGAAAACTAAACCCTAGTAGGTAAAGAACTTAGCTCACATTCAAAATAAAAATAACAAGAAAGATTAAAGAAAGTAATTTAAACATTTTACAAAAATTTCTTTTCAAACAAGGACAAAAGATAAAAATTACTTTCTCACACTTAAATAAAATAGAAAAGACCCGCCTAAACGTGTCATTTTATGAAAACCGGTATATGCAAGTGAAAAAAAGGTCAAAGTAAGAAAAAAAATAAGGTGAATGATAAAATAGAGAGGTGGAGCTAATAAAAAGTATAGAATTGTGTGGTTATAACTAATTTTGAAAGTTTTGGAAATATTATGGTAAAAATGAAGGAAGAAAAGAAGTCAAACCCATTCAGTAATTCACTCAAAAAGGCAAAGATTTTAAAGGAAAGGAGAAAAGAGGAAGCTATGGAAAAGAAAAGATTGGAACAAGAGAAAAAAATGAGAGTTAAAGAAAGATACAACAAAAAGAGGGTTTTGATGAGGAAAACAAAAAAAGGTCAACCTGTTTTGTCTAAAACAGTAGATTTTATGCTCGCAAAATTGCAGAAAACCGGTAATTAACAAAAAACATGATATACTCGAATTAATGTGGACTACTTACATGACTTTCCGGAATTGAGTCAGACTATGCTCATTTTAATTAGTGAGTGGAATTAATTAAAAAATAAATATGAAATCAATTTTCCAACTGATTTTCCTAATCTCATTCTATATTTTTGGAATTTTAAATGCTTTACAGATTCATGATTCTGCAGATGTTGCTTCAGTGGATGGTTCCGTTTTAGGAAACGAAGTTTTTGATTTGGGTTCTAAAACTGAAACTAGTTTTGAGACTGATTCTCAAGAAGGTTCAAAATCTGTTGATACTCAAAGAGAAAAGTCAAGTACAACAAAAACTACTAGAGACACTTATACAACCGAAAACTATAAACCAGATACCTACACAAAGACTGGGGAATCCTACGATGAATCTGACGCTTTTGAAACCGAGTCGACACGTACTCAAGATTTAGGTACTTACCAAACCAATGATGAAAACACCTCTTCTAATATCGGAGAAACCAAGACTACTACAGTTAAGGGTTCTTATCAGACACTCGGAACTAAAAGCACTGTTAAAACAAACAAAGGATCAAGGGAAACCCAAAAATTTATGAAAATGAATCAGACTAGCCCTAGTACTACTTCTCAGGAGACTTCTGACGATTTTGGGACTGAAGATTATACCAATGAGGACAGTACATATAGTGTATCAGAAAATGAGAGTACAAGTCAATCTCAGTCGACTTCTGCCACACCAACTGAAACTGAGACTGGAACTGAAACTGAAACTAAACACATTGGTTTTGATGGGGATGGATTTTTAAAGGCTGTATCTAAGTTGGTCAACATTAGAAAAAGAATTGGCACAGGAAATACTTCGGTTACTACAACTAAAGATTATCAAAAGGGTGCTACTGGGGATTATTCTGAATCGACAAGTAAACCAAATAATCAAGATAAAGATGATGATGATGATGATGATCAAGATTCATTCTTCAAGAAGTATGGAATTCCAGAGTATGTTGTTTGGATCATTATTTACACAGTACCAATTGTGATCATACTCTTATTCTGCCTCACTTCTTACTGTTGCTGTTGCAGGAGATAAACCTCTAAGTAATTGGAGATTTTTAATATACATTAAGACTTTAATCTAGACGGTTTATTATTATAAAGTATTGATTATTGAGTCATTTGATCAAGCTTACTTCATGTAGTTAAAGATTTAAAAGCAATGTAAGCATTTTTGAGCTTTAATGAGAAAACAAACAATTAAAACTTAATATCAGCTTTATACCTCTATATAAGAAAATACTACTAATTATCTTTAATAAGTAAATATTTAACTAAAGAATTATTTACCTTAATTTTCTTTAATATATATTAAGTCTCATTGATTAACAATATAAACTTTATTTGAGACGATTGGACGTTTATCTAAGTAAAAATTACTATTTTTTATTTTCTTATAGGGTTTTTTGCTTTCTCCTTTTCTCAAGTTAGTTCTTTCTTTAGGGAGGTAAGTATATTTTACATTTTTACCACCCTTACTAAGTTCTTTCTTTCTTTTTTCCATGGTACTTTTCTTAAGATTCTTGTCTGCTTCAACAGCCTTGAATTTTCTAACTTTCTCCTTTTTGGTTCCTTCCACCTTATTATTACTTTTACCGCCAAGGATCTCATTATCCATAGAGTTCATAAAACCTTCAAGATCCTTAAAAATAACAGTTTTAACAGGGTTAAAATCATTTTTAAAATTGGAAAAGTTGTTTTGAGTTGAGTATTTGTCTAAAATCTTCTTAAAGAAGTAATTTTCCTCATACATAAATTCTCTTTCATTACCAATTAAAGTCTTATTGTTCATTCTATTATTAACTATGAATTCTGATGTATCAAAGTTGAGAAAAATGTGGTTTGGTTCCAGGTTTTGTTCTTTGTAAAAGTCAGAATGATCACAAAAATTTAAAATATTAAAAACTCCATTATAATTCGAATCATTAAATAAGATGTTATACATTACATAGTTTTCTGTGATTACTAATGATTGAGAATCACTTTCTCTAAGTTTTTTAACCAGTTCTAACTTTTCCATGAGTGTCAAAATATGACCCTTGGAATTCATTATTTGGATTTCATCAGATTTATTAATCCAAGAAAGAAAATGATATTTAACTAAAGCTAATATATTCTTTTTGTGAGTTCCCGTTAATTCAGTTTGATCCAAGAAGGAAAAGTATGATGGGAAAAAACGAAAACATTCATCTTCTGTCTTCTTGTTGATTTGAAATGTATGATTAGTCTCATTTTTTGAGAGTTTAATGGCTTCCATAAATGTTATTAAATTTAGATCGTTTGAATATGCTCCTTTTATTTGGATGAATAAACTTAAAAAGGGAAAAATGAGCAGTAAAAAGGTCTTTTTTGCTTCAAAGTTCATGATAAGTGTTGAATAGAGTATTATTAAAAAAGAAACTAGAATTAATCAAGTTATTTATTTTATTTAATTTCTGTCCCCTCTAAACTTTTTTTTATCCTCTTTTTTTTTACATTTTTCATTTTACATTTTTTCGGTACCCATGTTATTTTGAGAATTTTGATCTTTTTAATATTTTGAAAAAATCCAATAATTAGACTCATTAAAGTAGAATTTCATTCAATAAATCAGTAAATTCTCAATCAAAGCTCATTTTTTCTTAGGATATTTACCTTACTGAATTTTTTTAAAAAATATTTTTCGATGGATCTATTAAGTGTGGTACCGTAGAATTTAGGCGGGAAACTGAATTTTAAAATGTTGGGGAAAAAAAAGAGTGAGCTAAGTGAGTTAAATTAAGAACAGGAAAATTAAAAAGATAGAGAAATAGATAGGACAGATTTTCACATAAGGAGTTAAATTGTGTGTAGAATAATTAGATGGGTGGATGGATAGGTATATGAAAACTTCAGTTTATTATTAATGACGTCCTAAATTGACGATGGAAAACAAAGATGAACATCAGGAAGGAGAAAGTGGACTTTTTTGTATAGTTAACTATTCGGAGGAAAATAATGAAGATGTAGCCAGAAGTAATTTAGAGGAAGGAGTTGATGAAGTAGATATTGGTAGTCCCACTTCGATTACAAAAAGTTCGGTATCAGATTCATACTCTTCAGTGAGTTCATCACCATTTATTTCTATTTCAACAAAATTTTCTGGATCTATTCGCACAGATTGCAGCATCTCTCAAATTTCCCCGGGATTAGATTTGGAACCTTACTTTTTTGGATCATCATCAGAAAGTTCGATACCTACTTTTCCAACAAATATAGACTCTGGCTCCAGAAAATCTCAGTTTTCAACGAATATATTAAAAAAAGAGGAATACCAAAATGAATGTATGAATGGCTTTTCACTAAATACTTCAGAGAAATCGCTTGAGGAGCTTTTGTCTGAGAATCTGACGATTAATGGAATAGTAATGAAGAACTTGAATGACTTAGTATCTACGTATTCAGGAGATCTTCTTTCTGAGTTAATAAAGTTAGACTTAAAGTCTATAGTGGAAAACTTATTTGGAATTTACTCAAAAGAATATTATGAAAAGAGTCTGCCACTAATTTGTTCTTTTCTTTCAATCCTTCTTGAGCTTTCGTTCAATGAAAATAAACTAAATGAATTAAATATACAATTGTGGACTTTTTTTGAATATATTATGAAAGAGATATTACAAATTTTCGATATTAAAGAAGTTTATGACCTTCCACTGATTCCAGTGGTTTATTGGATGATAGAGAATTGGAATAGGTATGACATATTTCTAACTTTTAAGCATGACCAAAAAGATGAAGAGGCCATTATTAAAGGTAAACTAAATGGAATCCTTTTTTCCCTACATATTAGGAAAGATTTAGAAGCTCCTAGTGCAGTTTTAGAATATTATTTCAGATTAATACTAGATTATAGGCCTACCGATGCATTTCAAGGGTGTATTTTATATGTAATAAAGTCCACTCAATTCCTAATAAATTACTTATTACTATCTGACGATGTTAACTTTTTAGAAGTAAATTATAGAGGAATTATTGAGATTTTCAACAATTTTGATCAAAATAGAATACAAATCTTTTCTAGAACACTGGACGTTTTAATCTCGAATTCAAACCCAGATCAAAACCAAAGCCAAATCCAAGACCAGGTAGAGTATTTAGCTTGCATTAAAACCATCCCAATTTACTTCTTTTTAGCTTTCTTCCTGATAAAATATCCGGAACAAAATACTATCCAAAAAATTCTCTTGGATATCATCACTTCAATATGCGACAGTAATTCACTAGAATTCGAGCATAAAAAGCAATCAATTATACACATAATTAATTTAATATTATATTCATGCAAAAACACATCATCTGGCGGGACATTTGACATGTCAGTAATGGATTTATTATTGGAAATATTTAATTTAGAAGTATGGAAATACTTGGATAGGCCCAAAACTTTGGAAGCTTTAAATTTGTTGGATGAAATTATAAGAGATTTGACAAAAAGACTAAGATTGGGTGATTGTTCAAAAAACGAGTTTGAGGCAATTTCAGGATTATACAAGTTGCAGAGCATATTACTGGTAGGTACTAGTGACAGCTTCAAAAACAGAGATGAAAAGAGAGGTAAGGAGACTTATAGTGAATATGGAGAGAAACCAAGTGAGAATAGTTGGAAGTCTAGGCTGATAAATAACTATTTGACTTTAAATGAAAAGGACAAAAGAATAAGAAATGTTGGAAATACTTGTTATTTAAATTCTACAATTCAATGCCTGGCATTGAGTTACTATTTCTTGGAATGGCTTCATGAATACATGAGAAACAATTTCTCAAAACCAAATAAATTAATCCTTTATCTTTTTGAATCTCTGAGTTATTTATTGGAACCGATAAAAAAAGATCGAAAATATGACATAATTGGGAAACTTTACAATAATGATGATGCTAAGTCAATAGATATAAGGTTTATTAGAGAGATCTCAGACCAGTTCAGTTTCGGAAAACAACATGATGCTTGCGAATTTTTAAGATATTTATTAACAAATATTGATGATGATTGCTTACCTTTTATGATGACAACAGAAGATTTTGTTGAATGCTTGTCTTGTGGAGTAATCCAATCTAAAGAAAGTTATTCATTGTCCATAATTGATTTGTACGTTTTTAATAACACCCCATTTGGATCATCTAACAGAGAAAGTTTTAACCTAAATAATGACACAATAACTTTAGATTCTCTAATTAAAAGTTACTTTTCAGCAGAAAAAATTCCAAACTCTCTTGATTGTGACCATTGTCAACAAAAAAGTGCTTCCAAAAGGTGGATTTCATTAAAGAATCCCTCCAAGTACGTTGTTTTGGCAATTCATAACTACTATTGGGACCGAAAACTAAATAAAGCTATAAAACAAACACAACTTAAAATAAAGTTTAATGATTTCTTCATACTAAATAATCACAAATACATCATTTATGCTCTAGTTTTTCACAAAGGAGAATCTACATCCTCTGGACATTACTTTGCTATAGGAAGGAAACACTTTTATGATAATTATAAACAAAAAAATCCGAATTGGTTTAATTATAATGACAGCATTGTATCAAACATTGAGTCATTCTATCAGGTTCAAAAATCTAGTGAAAATCCTTTTCTTATTTTTGCTTTGCTAGCGGATAATTAAATGTTTAATTAACAAAGAAAACTTCCCTCCCTCTATTCAATAATTATGTATATTAATTTCTTATTCATATTTCTCTCAAAATATTAATCTATTTTTCTTTGATTGTAGTTTTATGTAAATTACATGTTACCGGTAGACAAGACGTCCGCATGCAATGCAATAAAATGCTGATTTACGAGACATAAAGTATCGTGCAATCTAAAAAATGCTTTCAGAATAGAAAATAAAGGGAAAAATGTGTAATTATTGTGTATAATATCACGATATAGTTAGTATAAAAAATGGCAGGAATTTTTATGTAAGACAAAACGTGATGTATTAATAATTAAATATCAAAAAATATAATATTAATATTTAAAGAGAGGTGCATTTTAGGAATTTAAGTTAAGCTCTGTTGTTTGGATTGAAATAGATTATCAAAAAACATATTTGGTTATCTGAACAGTTATACATGCCATTAAAACATTATAAGGAGAACTACAAACAGTCAAATTATTGAGAAGAAAAAAGGTTTTTAATGCTTCTTGATTATTTTTAGTGTGAATACTTGAGAATTATTTTCCCCAAAAGGAGTTTCATAGACTTTCCAGTTAAATTTCCAAAAAATCAACCCAAGTAAGAACAACTAATAAACGTTCTTCAATAATAATTTCCCTCTTAGTTAAAATATTTACATTTTTACAGCTTCAAACTTTGTCTTTTACTTGCTATATGGAAATTGGCCTAAATTAGCTGAAAAAAATGACAGGGTTTGGAATTAATGATGCTATTTTAGGATTGGCATTTATGTATTCAAGTGCAGATTTAATATCTCAATGGGATAGCTTTTCTACATGTTGCCATCCAATACAGCTTTGGTTAATTATAAGTTATATAACAATTATTGCTTTCAGAGTAATTCACTATGTTTCCAGTTATCTCACAGAAGGAAGTGATGATGTATTACCATATAGTAGTACCTCAGGAGCACCATTCTGGTTAAATTTATCAGTAGTTTGTTTAATTTTTCCTTTCTTCCTTTCTTGGACTGTAGTCGGTACTATTTGGCTAAAGAACATTGAAGCTAAGACTCCACAATGTTTAGCTGGAGCTGGTACAAGCCATCCTTGGTTTTTGATCTTCTGGTTAGTACTTTGCTATGTTTGGATCGTTGCTTATACTGCTTTTATTGGTATATCCATATTCTTCGAGTTTAGAGTTAGAAGAGCAGAGGAAGATCTCTTATTATTAGAGAATGATGAAGTTGTTAGACGTTGGGGAAGACTTAGACTACTTGCAGATTATGGTATCCACTTTATTAGACATGGTCTTACCCCAGTTGAAGTAGCTGCTTTGCCTGTAAGCAAAGTTAAAGTTGAGGAATTTAATGATCCTTGCTCGATCTGCATTGAAGACTTTAAATTGAACGAAGAAATAAGAACTTTACCAGCATGTGGACATTGTTTCCACAAAGGATGCATTGATGCTTGGCTTCTCCGTAATGCTATTTGTCCCAACTGCAAGACTTTAGTGAGATATGGAAAGACAGAAACAGGTACTTCACCTTGCAGAGGAAATAGCTACATTCCAGATCATCAAAATTCGTCATATAGATCAAATTCCAGAGATTCAGTATCTACCATGGATACTAGAAGAGAAGCTGGAAGGGAGAGAAGTTATGACAGTTTGATGGTATAAGGATTCAGTTTTCTTGTTGAAGGGTGAGGAGCCTCTCAAGTAATACTGGTTTTGCTTGATTTATATTTAACAATTATTTTCCCTTATATAGACAAATATTTATTTCTAAACTGTACGAACAAACAAATAATATATAAATATTTATATAGTAATGTAGGAAAATTTATTAATAGTTTCGAATATTATTAGCACATTAACTAAATTGTATAAAATATCAAGCTACTTAATAAGTGTTTAATCTTAATTTAGGTCTTGTATTGTTGAGTTTCTTAGTTTAAACGGAAGAAATGCTTATATTACCGTTTTTTTTATGCTCCAAGTCTGGATTGATAGTCAAACAGTCAATTCTGTATTTGGTTGCATACCTCCATTCTATGACTGCATGCAAAATGTAAATGATTGAAATAACATATAATCCAGCGTTGAATGAGCCAAAGAAGTTGTTTGTTATATGAAGAATCAAAGAAATAAATGATATTACAAGGCCATCAACAACTGTGACAATAATTCCGGAAAATGCAGATATTTTTCCTAAGAGGCAGTTGGACAAATGTTTTTGAAACCTAGAGAACTTGATAATAAGTTAAACTTACCTTGCTTCTTTTCATCATCTGTAAATAGTTGATATATTATACTCAAACCAATCTTTGGGACCGAGTAACACCCAAAAAAAATTGCAGAAAACACAAATATTGCACAAATGCCTAAAATAAAAATGATAAATTTCTCACAATAATGCGCGCACTTTTATATTGCATGCATTGCATGCATTTTTGTGGACAACTTACACGTAATTTGCATGAAAAAAAATTCAGAATAAATTTTCATGATGGAGATGGATACTGGTAGGAGAATAACTGAGAGGTCTGCGATTGAAATTTGTAGGAAAAGGTGATTAAGATTGCTTTCGTTAAGAAACTGGGTAATAAATTTGGAATAAGAAATATCAGTCGATGGTGGGGTAAATTCTGAGGAAATTGTGCGGTTATTTGTAGAGAAGTTGTACTCAAAGTCGTTGTTTGCATTGACTTCAAATTCTCTGTTTTGTATATATTCTTTTTGGTATTTCCAAGTAACAATAAAGCTGGAGAGTTTTCCGAATCCTAAAGTAATTGCTACCAAGAATAAAGATATCGATGCCCAATAATCTTCGAGATTCTGAGTTTCTAAATATATCTTTTCTACCAATTCTTTTGATAAATGGATAATTGTTAAAGGAATAATGATTGAAATCATGACATCCTCAAATGCTGTTTCAAATGCTAAACAAAAGATCCTATTTCTAATATTAATATCTTGGCTAACGAATACAAAACCTTCCAAAAAGTTGGAGATTTCGTTCTGAATTTCTTTTATGCTAAATTTATGCGAGGGATTTGCAACACTTCTTTCATATTCAAAGGCTTTTTGAGCTCTTTCTTGATTAACATTCATATAATATTCACCAGAATCTTCGCTGGTAGTTAAACTGGACTCTTTACTGATTGGAATACCAAATTTATAAAAAAAGATTGAAGTGGTTGAAAGGGCCTGAAATACTGAAATTATAATAAGAATTGGAATTTCAATTCCTGAATTACTCAAATCAAAGTTATCGTATTTAGTTAATTCCTGGTTTGAAAATACTATATTAATTCCTTGTTTTGAGTTGCGAAAGATAACTAAAGATAATATTGAAAATGCTAGAATTGGATTCAGCACTATAAATGAAACGTCAAAGATTGTCAGGTGAGTGTAAACTGCTTGGGATTTTTGAGTTGCTGTGATTTCGATGTCATATTGATTAGAAAGATAATTTAGTCCTCCACAATCCAAGTCAACAACATTCAATAGTGAAATTAGTGCACCGTCTAAAGCTATTAATATGTAGAATTGTGTATTTCCAATAATCTCCAATATTGATTTATATCCAAAATACCTTCCAACGACATAAACAAAAGGTAGATATGAACACCAAATAAAAGATCTTAGCATTGTTACATATACTAAGATAATTCTCATTGAAATCTTTTCAGAAATAACTCTTGATACTGGAGACATTATTACGAGCATTAAGTTAAAAACTAGTCTGGCATTCCCAGCTGCTAAGTCCGACTCCATCATAAATGTGATTACTGTACCAAAAAAACCCCACCAAATTGCTGCTGATATTACACTAATTAGTTGCCCATAAACAAATAATCTGTAAATCTGGTCTCCATTTCTTTCTCCGGAAAAGCTATTTGAAAACCAAGACAGTGTAGAATAAACTAAATAATATATCCATCTTTTTAATATTAAGAATTTCTCTCTAACTATTATCATAAAGCTTGGCAATCTTCTTTCATCTAAACCTAAGTCCGGAGGAATCACTCTAATTGTGGGTATCTGAAGGTATCCTTGGCCCAGGCGAGGAAACTCATCTCTGTGGTTATTCTCATACTCTAGCCTATAAGTTTCTCCCATGTAAATACTTTAATTGGCAATATTAAAAACGTTTATTTGCCTTTAGGAAGTGATTAAGAAGAAGAAATTAAGATGTTTCTTCATTATTGACTTTTCTTATCTCTGAAAATATTATATATTTCTTTTTTCATTCGGCCCCTCACCCTCCATTTTACTTAGTATTATATTACTATTTAATTATTAACCTTATAAAATTAAGTGTGTAGTTAAAATACAAATAGACTGTGATAAACAGATATTAATTAAAAAACAATAAATTAACAATAGAATCTAAAGTTTAAAATTTTATTTATACCTTTTTTAATTGAATCTTATTACCTCGGAAATCTCAATCTCCCCCTAAAATGCATAACACAAACAAACTGCATGTACTTAGGGTGCATTATTGTTCAGAAATAAAATAGAATTTTTTCAGGAAGACCAAATAATCGGTTGAATCTTCCTAGATTTTAATTTCTCATTAAAAATACCAGAAAATGTCCATTCTGACAGTTACTTTTCACCAACAATTTAACATTGAATTACGTTTTGGCGGGGAAATGGGCTTTTTTTCTATCTTAAGTGAGTATTTAAATACTAATATCGGCTCTATTAAGATGAGTATTTGATGAAGATCCAGCTGGAAAATGTACAGAAACATTGGAATAACAATATTTGTATTGTTTATATTAAGGTTTTGTTTTTGGCTGAAGAAGAGGCTATCACTCAGTTTAAATAATAAGGAAAAACCACAGAGAAATGTTAAATGTGGTGATAAAGTTAAGATATTGACAGTTTTAGGTTCAGGGGGCCATACAACGGAGCTATTAATGCTATTAAGGGATATGGATTTACGAAATAAAGTTTCCTTAAGTTGTGTGATAGCAAGTACTGACAAGTTTAGTTTGGAAAAAGCGCTACACGAATTTTCTGAAAATCTACAGGTGGAAACATGTAATGTAAAGGACTACGTGAAATTTTATATGATAAAAAGAAGCAGAGAGGTAGGACAATGTTACCTCACTTCAGTATTAACAACTTTGATATCTCTTATGGATTCGATGAAGGTGTTATTCCAAGGTAGATATGATTTGATTATAGTGAACGGCCCTGGTACATGCATTCCTATATGTTTTGGCTCTTTGATATTGGAGGTAAGTTAAGATAGCAGGGGGTTTGAGTTACATGCAGTCAATTAGATAGTGAAAACATTTGATTTTTTTTTGGATTTCTTTTCACAAAGATTTCCCTCGACTGAAAATTATCCTATAAGTTAAAATGACTTGAATATGAATATTAACTTTTTAAATTGTAGTTTCTCTTTATAAAAAGCTCAAAAATTGTATTTATAGAGAGTTTTTGTCGTACTAAGACCCTCTCGTTAACGGGTAAACTATTATTGCCATTTGCAGACAAGTAAGTTAAAATATAATTGATAAAATGTTTTAAATTTGAATTTATTTGACTATTTCGTTAATTAAACTTTTTTCCTCTCATTTAAATAATAAAAATCTAAATTTTTTCAAGGTTTATTGTTTTATGGCCTTATTTAGCAAAGAAATACCCCAAGTGTGAGTATTTGGGAATACTATTTTAATTATTATAGGTTTGATTATTGACATAATTGAATATATTGAGTGTAATTAAGACAAAACTAAGGATTGTTGACAATAACTTTGAAATGTCAGAAAATTTTTTTAATATTCAGGACATTGCAAAAAAATCAAGGGATTCAGGAATAGAACTATCTTCCAGTACTATTGAGGAAAGGAATTCAATTTTAGAACACCTTGCAGAGGAAATATACTTGAATAGGAACGAGATTTTGGAGGCAAATAAAAAAGATATAGAGAATTCTGAAAAGAATGGAATTTCGGAATCAATGAAAATGAGACTATTTCTGGATGAATCAAAGTTAAAGGCATGCATAAGCTCTGTAAGAGATGTAATGAATTTGGATGATCCTTTGGGAAAATGCACATTATCTAGGGAAATCACAAGTAATGGATTAAAATTATATAGAAGAACTTGCCCAATAGGTGTAATATTAGTTATATTTGAAGCAAGACCGGAAGTGGCTATTCAAATTAGCTCATTAACTATAAAAAGTGGAAATTCAGTAATATTAAAAGGTGGAAAAGAGGCAATAAATACCAATAGGGCGATTTTAAATTGTATAGAAAATGCAATTAATCAAGTTAAAAAAAACTATATTAATATTAATAAAGAAATTGTACAAATGGTTTTTTCTCACGATGATATAAATAAACTTCTCTCATTTAACCAATTTATTGACCTTGTCATACCTAGGGGGTCCAATGAGCTTGTCCAAATGATAAAAAAAAATACATGTATACCGGTATTAGGCCATGCGGATGGTGTGTGCATGTTATATGTGCATGTGGATGCAAAAACATCAGAAGGTGTAGAAATTGTGATAGATGGGAAATTGGATTATCCGGCAGCATGCAATTCACTGGAGACTTTGTTAATTCATAAAGATAAATTATCCGAGTTTTTACCTGCATTATTGTTAAGATTAAAGGAACAGAAAAAACACATAAAGTTTCACTCAGATAAGGAATGTTTAAAGTATTTTGAAGGCGAACATGATGTTTGCGAGCTGACTGAGGACCTGTATCACCACGAATTTAGTTCTGAAGAGATGTGTGTGAAGTCAGTTTCAAGCATGGATGAGGCTATTGACCATATTAACCAATACGGTTCTCACCATACAGATGTGATTTTAACTCAGGATGAGCTATTAGCAGCATCATTTATGAACAGAGTAGATTCTGCATGCGTATTCCACAATTGCTCTTCAAGATTTTCAGATGGATACAGGTTCGGGTTTGGTGCTGAAATTGGGATTAGCACAACAAGAATTCACGCACGTGGCCCAGTGGGACTGGAAGGTTTGTTGACTTACAAGTACATGTTAAAAGGTCATGGCCAGACAATTGCTCAGTTCAAGCATGGCAAGTTCACTTTCACAAAGAGAGAGATAGTTTAACCATGGATTAATACATTTAAAAATATTAAGATAGTCATGTGATTGAATTAGCTATAGACGATATTATATCGAGGAAAATGCAGGATGGAATCGATATAGATGCCACTACTGGGCTAAAAATGTTTGGAATTATAAGTAATATAACTATATAAAGGTAACTTGGTATTTCATATTCTCCAAATTCAAGGATTTTGGCCAGCCTTGGTTCTGGATCAAAGAAACATCGAACTCAATTACATTTGTAGCTTAAGTAGGCTCCTATTGCCCCAAAAAATCCATCTAAATAGTGGAAGAAAATATTAATTTTATCATTCAGCATGTGAGAGTATTTTTTAATAGACTTGATGATTATTTTATGATGATTTGAGACATAGTTTCCACAAAAAACTATGTTTTCGTACTTGTAATTTGACGATATCAAACATATAAGGTACGAAAGATCACTGTACATCATATTTACGATGTTATGGACAAATTTCTCTTTTAGTTCGACCTCTCCAAGATATTGAGACGAAGACGATGATGGAGAAGAGGATACAGAGGCTTCCTTGACAAACTCTTTAAAGAAGCAACAATTCGAGTTAATTGAATCCCCCAAGTATTGACCATTCTTCCGCTCATAATTTGAATATAAGTTCAATAAATCACCATAATTCTCAACTCCTAATAACTTTGAGATCCCAAAAACAGTACCTCCACCAAAACGTGTTCCAGAAACTCTTTCAAATTTATTTTGGTTCTCAACTCTGATTATTGAGACACCTGAGCCAACGGAAATTACCAGACTGGGAAATATTCTAGTGTTTGAGTCCATTCTAACAAGAAATGTCTCTCCTTTTGAAATGCTATAAAAATGTGCCTGATGAAGGTTACCAGTTGATAGGTTCCCAAAGAGTTCAAAACATCCATTCACAATGCTTTGCATCTCATCAAATCGGACAACTCTTATTTGGTATTTGTATTCAAGCATACTTTTGAACTTCACGGATCCTCCTCCTGTCATTGGGACGCTATTAGGTTTGTAAAGCCCTCTTTCCTTAAGAAATCCAAGAACATCTCCAATTTGCAACTCTATTTCCTTATTCACTGGAGCTATCAGACAAAACATTGCATACTTTTTGTTACTTTTCAGCGCCTCAATATCATAAAAATTCTTTCTCATGCTTTCAAGCTCATATTCAAAAAGCTCGTCATTCTCCAAGCTTAATGTGTAAACCAGCTTAATTAGTGTCCCTCCTATATCAAGACCATAATGACTATCGTTTGGCACTTCATTTAAAACTCCTACGCCAATTATATCTAGACTGTATTTTTCAAAGAGGGACTTCATCCTTTTACCAAATAATTCTTTGTACTTCTTAACCCTTAATCCCTTGTCTTTTCTTTCTTTTGTCTCCAGCTCTCTATTTGGGCTTGCTTGCGAGTGTGTTACCGTACCAATATTAATATATGTAGTAAAAGGCCTCTGATTTTGTTTGCACCAGTAACAACTTGTGTATATTATTGTCCTTGATTATTGGTATATTCACGCAAATTTGTCATTAATCTAAAAGTTTCTGTCTTTCTTATTCATCTTTCAATTTTTATTTGCCATCAGGGCACTTTATTTTCCCTAATTTTGGAAGGGGGTTCAAGTCTTGTAGTGTCTAGAAGCTATAACAGTCCGTATAATGGTCTGTTTTCCGCTTAATTTGTGTTTTCTTTCTTTTATAGTAGCTCAAGTAATCGCTAATAATTCTAATTTACTTCTACAAAAAAAATTTCCTTCCAGTTATAATAATATTTAATTATAATGAACATTTCACAGTCAATTTTCTAATGGGGGAAAAAAAATCCTTTTCAAAAAACTAAGCGGAACGACGTTTCGATCGTCGGACCTTCAGGTTATGAGCCTGACGCTCTGAACCTCTGAGCTATTCCGCTTGCACTACTTGTCGGATACTTAAAAAATAGTTATTTAAATATTTAAAATACGTTAGGCGGGGAAACCAGGCGGGAAAACTCTAAGAAATTGTAACTAATCCAACCAATATACATGCATGTGCATGAAAGAGGCTTTTAAGGAACTGGTTGATAAAAAATCAGATCAAGGAAATATAAGGAATATCTCAATTTATATATATTAAATATAAGTTAAAGCACATTAAATACTAAATGTAATTTTGAAATCTTCTAAAAAAAGTAGGACAATTTGAATGAGACGATGCAAAAATGACATTTGTCTTCTTACTTTGGTTGAGGATGAGCCAAATAAATAGGATAGTTATCTGTGATAAATTAGTCCTGGATTGATTAGAAATATTATTCAATATTGTATTTATAAATATAAGAGTATTAGTAGAAGTAGTAATTGTTTAATAGTATATTAGTAATAGTGGCGGCAATACATAGATAATAAGTCAAGGCTGACACTTAGGCATTATTGACCCTGAATTGTGATATTTGCATGAGGCATAATAGCTCGAAGAATATTGATACCACTCTCAAGAGAAGGATTGCTGACATTAATTTGTTCTCTGATATCTCTATTTTGAATTCCCTGAATGATTCCAGCATGAACATTTGAAAATGTTTTTCTGTTGTTAGAGGCACAGTTTTGAGCCATTTGGTTGGAAAATATGGAATGGAAGGGTTGGCTATTTTCAAGAGAATTTAGGCTGACAAAAGGATTCTGTTTTTCTTGAGCACGAGGAGCACTTTCACAGGTTTCCTCTTCAATCATTTTTTCAATATTATTTTTAATTTCAAGTTCAAGCAAATCATTATCTTGATTAACGTTGTCAATATACTCTATAGGTCTCTGGTGTACTAAACCGTTTATTGGGTATACATGGTTTTGAATTTGGGTCTGGTTGAATGGAATATGGCTATCAAGGTGATGGTTTGAAATAAAAGGGCGTGGAAACTTTTGCATATGGATTTCTTGTATAGGTAAATTTTTGTTTTTGGAGTATTCCAAATTCATAGGCCTTTCTTCTTTTTCTTGGTTAATACTAAGGGATGGGTAGTAGTATATGCTGTTTGGCATAGTTTTTGTAGTGTTTTGAGAGTTTTCATGGATTTCAGGGAGGCAGTTTCCTGGTTCATGGAATTTACCACTTCCAAGATTAATAGAGTGAAAACTTTCAACACTATCGTCAAAATGAATCCCCCATTTGATATCAGAGTTGACTTGGACTTTCTCATCTTCCTTCATTTTTTCTATTTCTATATTATTTACTATGTCCTCTTCTCTTCCCTTTTCTTCTCCATAAACATTTATTTGTTCTTCATTAGTAAAATGAGATTCCTTAGGTTCTTGAGAAGCAATTTGTTTCTGTTCTAGTGTTGTATTAGTTTCAGGGCTGATTTGAGAGATTTGACACTCTCCAAGAGTTTCTTGGTTAATAGGGGTATGCTGATTATCATTTTGTATTTCAGTAGGTTCTTGTAAATTTTGTATCTCCTCATGGCACTCTTGTCCTTGTAATTCCCTGTAGTCATTTTCGTTTTTTTCTGTACAGTTATAGTGTTGGTTGTTGGAATTAGCATATGGCTTTCTAACTTTGTTCTTAATAGGTTTCTTATCTTTGTTGTATATTTCCTGTCCATTCTTGGCGTTTTGTTTAAGCTCTCTAAGGGGTTTTAATGCAAATTTGTTGGATGAGTGGAAGTTAATAAGTTCAGATTTGCTAATGCAATCATTTGAGTCAACAATCTCATGGACATAAGCACAGTTTGGATTATTACAAATAGAGTTTCTGATAAAGCTATTACAATACTTGTTGGTTCCAAATGAGCATCTAATGATATTTTGTCCAAACATTTTTTTCCCATTTATGTTTTTAATAGCTTTAGTAGCAGATAGTTCGTCGTAATATGTGATAAATGCACTGCATGTATCATTATTATTAGGTAAAATCCTCATATTTAAGATTTTACCATACTTACCAAAAGAGTTTTCGCATGATAGTATCTCTCTCTTAGCTATAGAATAATTTAGACCTACAACATAGACCAAATTTCTCTGAATAATCCTCATGTCTTCCAAGTTAGAAGCTTCATTAGATTTGTCTATATGTTCAATAGTATCAGAATGATCATTTTGAGTCTTATTACTTTCATTATTAATTAATCTAGAAACTGTATTTCCACACCAATTAAAGCCTTCATCTTTGCTTAATGGTTCGATTTCACGATCGCAAGGTCTGCTTGTCAGACTATTTTCGTATTGTTGCCTACATGCCGGGCACTTATTGTCCAGCTGGTCTCTAACATGATAGAAACACCATAAACATATTTGATAGCGACATTTACATGGAAAAAACTTTCTATCTGTTTCGTCCATCTCTTCCATACATAATGGACATGTATAATCAACTTTTGTCAAAGTAGGCCCGGGCATATTATTACTCACTGTCTGAGTTTTATTTACATTTCGACCTGCTCCTACATATACTCCTCCTTTTTCTCTGAAATTCGAAACGGACGGGTTCTGCCTACCCATACTACTCATATTTAACTACAAAAATTTTACTTTCAAAATCTTCCTTTTCAATTTCAAGAAAATAAAATGTTTCCTCAAATTCTTTACATCAGAACAAATATATAAATTTTATATTCTTATTATTTTCTCTGGACCTTATTTTTTATTTACCTTTATTATTTGCCTTTATACTAATTTAATTATTTTCTGGTCTGGCGCCATTATTTTGGCGCTGTTTGGTCAAAAGTTTATATCGAGAAATGAATATTTTAGGGAGAAGGGAACTAAGAATGGAATTTAGGAGAAGAAAAAGAGAGAGAGTAGGAATGGAGGAGGCAAAATAAGAGAAGGAAATATGAGCGAAGGGGGGGAGAGATGGAGAAAGAGGGCAAATAGATAAAGAGACAAATAAAATTCTGCAGTTAAGCAAGATTTTCATAAGAATTAAATACCGATTTTGAGCGAACTTGAATTCAGGGCAGTTTTATCTACAAGTATAGGCATGCAGAATATTTGCATATTCTGCATGCAGCTTTTGTAAAGTAGGCAAAGTTGGGCCCGCCAAACTATTAAGGTAGTGGCCCAATGCCACTGAATTTAAAATGAATGCTTATATTACTAGTAGATTTTTTAGAATACTAATGTTCTCTTCCTACCACAGGTACAGTTATTTACTTTCTGGAAAAAATGAGCTTTGGGGCTAGCTAGAAGCCAAATAACCCATTATACATATACAAATCTTTCTGTTTAAATACTAATCACACAGCTTTAAGACTACCTTTCAATAGTTCCTCATTTTCTAATTTAAATAATTACTATTATTTTTCAAATTCTGCATGTAATACATAATTTTAGGCGGGAATCTTTTATTCATTAAGTAATGTAAAGTTGTAGCAAGAATGAGAAATAGAGGGAAAAAGTTGATAATAAACTTAAACAAGTTCTTCAGGTAAAAAGTTTAGATAAAACTAGGTATTAAATGAGGGCTATAATAACGCAAGTTGGATGATTGAGCTGGTTTATAATAACAAAGGTTTAAGTTGAATATTTATCTAGGTTGGCACAAATAAATATTATAAGGGTATTGAAGAAGAAATCTTTTGATGTGGGTCTAGTTGGTTAATTAAATTCGACAAAATATAATAAGATTTCCAAGATTAAGTTTCATCTGAAAATATATTAATAATGTAAAGTAGTTTGGGTAGAATAAATTAACTGGGAATATTGGTTATTTGTAATAATGATACTATTGGATAAAGACATCCAATGCTTATTTTTTGAGTTTGTCTCGAGTAAAATTAGTATAAATATTAATGATGAAAATACAGCATGTGGGAATTACACTGTGAATTTAATTAATAATACTAAAAATGAATCATCTATTTTAAAAAAATCAGAGAATGAGGAAATAATAGATAAACTGAAGAAGATATTTCTAGATAAGGAGAACAACTGTATTAATTATGATGAATGGGAAACCCAAGTAGTAGAAGGGTTGTTAGGAATGAATAAGCTTTGTTCAGGAACTTTATATGAGATGATGAATGATGAAGTAAACGTAAAAAACTCAGTTCCAGAAGTTTATTTGAATCATAGAAATTCTGTTCAGATAGAGTATAATAAAGTGGAGGAGTTGGTGTGTAAGAAACTGAATTTGGTTCAGTTTTATGGTGGGTTAAATTATTTTAAGTTACTATCAAAATTGTCAGAATCAAAGGATTACATTTATCCTTTTGGATTTAAACCAGTATTGGAGGAAATAGTAAATAGGCATAAAGCATTACAATTTTTAGTTAAAAATGAAATATTTAAAGAGCTCTATATTGAAACAATAATATCTAGGATATTTTATGAATTGGATACACTAGAATTACGAAAATTAAGGTTTAAGGATTTTAAAAACACAAATTTGGTGGATGTATTAATAAATATGAATGGAAATGAATCATTTGACGACTTAATCAATTACTTTAATTACCAACACTTTTATGTTTTATACAGTCGTTTTGTTGAGTTAGACATTGATGAAGATCAATATTTATCCTTGGATGAGTTTAAAAAACATGATTTTGGATCAATAACTGAGTGCGCCTTGAAAAGAATCTGGGATTGTAATATAAAAGAGAAAAAGGAATTGTTTCAGGATGAAGTAAACCCAGATCGAAAAATGAGCTATCATGATTTTATTTATTTTTACATTAGTGATGAAGATAAGACAACAGAAAGAAGTATTAGGTATTGGTTTGAGATTATTGATTTTGACTGTGATGGATGGATAAGTTTTAATGAAATTGATCATTTCTTTAGAGAGCAGAAGAACAGATGTAATGATTTAAATTATTTTATTCCAGAATTGAATAATATTTCTTGCATGATGAATGATTTACTTATGCCAGGTGTACACGGAAAATACAGGCTGGATGATTTTCTAAGAAACAAATTGGTTGCAGGTCATTTTTTCAATGTTCTAGTTAATACAAAAAAGTGCCTTACTTCAATGTTCATGGATGCAGAACTAAATTCACTGCAAGCAGTTGTTCTTCCAAAGCTGGGTTGTAAATCCCTTTCTCCTTGGGAATTACATTGCCAATATCAATATCAGATCATTCAAGATTCAAGAAGTGAAGAAAACACTGAGGCAAAAGAGAGAGAGAAACAACAATAAATATTAGTAATAATTTCACAACATAAGTTAAACACGGACAATATATTCAGGTTTAACATTTTGCGGACTTTTTTGCATGTTTGCATGTTATGCATGCAAATAAACACGTAATGCCAAAAAAAAACCTATGAAAACAAAATTAAAGAAATTATTACTTCTAGTATTGCTTTAAACACCTATTACTATAGAATAATAATGTATATATAGTTTTATTGTATGATTTTTCTCGGGAAAAAAACAATAAAATTCTCTCATCATTTAATCCAATAACATTTTTTTCCCCCCAATTAGATTCTCTCTATTTCCTCAATTATTCCTATAAGTTATTCACTCTTTGTATCCAGTTATTGTAAAATGGGTCAAATATAAATTGATTTGAATCTAAAAATAAGTAATCTGTTATCAATACAAACACTGCAACTCCCAATCCTACTGAGGCTGCGAAAAAGTACTGATCATAGGAGATAAAAACTGCTAATAAGAGAATGAGTACTAATGACCATTCAAATCCTTGTCTAATCTTTCCTGACATTATTTTGTTACTATATAATATTATATATCTTGTATATATTGTATCAATGCAAACAAATATATAATTACGTATATTGCTTGTTCTTGTATTGTAATATTAAACTTCTAGCCAAAAACTAATTGAAGAATTCTTTTCAGTATTGACCTTTATTTTTTTAATTTTTCTTAAAATCGTTAAATACAGTATTAGTTATTTTTTTTAATTTTAAATAGGGGAAAAATTTTATTGTGTATTCAATTTAATAATTATTTAATTCATATATGAATTAAATGTTTAATTAAATTAATTTAATATATATATATATTCAAAGTTATGGCGGGAGTCTGGGCCATTTGTTTTTATTATGGCGTATTTATGTAATTGGTTAAAAATGTATATTAATTAGGGGGAGTGAAGAAAAATTACTACTATTTATTTAAAGATATTTAAAATAAATGATGAATTCTAAGATAAAATTCTATTTAAGTATTGTTTTCCTATATATATTATTTAAATTTAGTTTTTCCTTTCAAGGTGATCTATTTCATTATTTAATCTATCATATACTTTTTAATTTATTTTCAATATTCATATGTAAATATATTTTTATTAAATTATTTTTAAATGTTACACATTAAATACACTCAATCTATATATAGTTCACTAGTGACACTACTAGTAATTGTATTTAGTGAGATACGGGATTCTTATATACAATTTTATTAAAAAAGTAGTATGGAATTGCACTAAAAATAATTTACTTGAATTATTAACAAAATTTTAATATTATGATGTAATTTAGTGCCAATAACAGCAATCGGCCATACTATA